AAATATAATTAAAATATAATTAAGGTATTAAAAAATATAACATTTAAATTATTAAATTTTAATATTTTAAAAATGTTACGACTATTAAAAAATATTAAATTTAAATATAAAATAATATTATAAATAATTAATAAATGGTTTAAAAAAAATGGTTTAATATAGTTTATATAAAAAAAAAAAATTATATTTAAATTTTAAATAAAAATTTAAAAACAATAAAAAAATAAAACATAAATAATTTAATAAACATTAATAAAATATAAAAAACAATTAAACGTAATAAATAATAAATTAAATAAAATGTTATAAAAAATGAAAAAAGTAAAATAAATTTTAATATAATAAAAAAATAAAAACATTTTAAACCGTATAATATTAATTAAAAAATAGCTATAATAATAAGGATGTTATTTTTTTTATTTATAAAAGGTAAATATTAAAATTAAAATAAAATTAATTATAATAAAAATAAAAAATAATTAATTTAATAAGTTTAATTAATTTAATATATAATAATTTTTTATAATTTCATAAATTATAAAATTCTTAACTTAATATAATAATAATTTTAATTTTAATTCTTATAAATAAATTATTATAAAAGTTATATTTTATATAATTTAATTTTTTTTAAAGTTTTATAATTTTTATCGGAAATTTATTAAAAAATATAATTAAATCGTAAAACCGTTAATTAATTTAATAAAATATAAAGTAAATTTAATTTAAATTAATAAATATTAAAAAGTTTTTAAAAAATTAAAAAATAAATTAATTAACGCGTTAATATTAACGTATTTTTTTTTTAATTATAAAATTAAAGTGGAAATAAATATATTTAATAAAATAATTATTAAATCTTTATTTTAAAAGAAGTTTTTAAATTATTTTTAATATTTTATAATATTTTATTCGGAATTTTTACATAAAACGAAACTTAATTATAATATTTACGATAAAAAAATATTAATAATAATTAAAGCTTTATTATATTAAAAGTTAAAATTAATAAAATTATAACACACTTAATTATTTATAATTATAATAAATTATAAAGCTTTAAAATATTTTATTATAAAAAAAGGTTTTAATTTTAAATAAATAAATTAAACGGATATAATTTTTTAATATAATTTCGTAATAATTTATTAACTTAATATTAAAAATATTATCTTTAATATTTTATTTAAATTATAAAAAAAAGTTTAAACTTAAAAAAAAAAAAAATAAATAATACATTATAATATTATTTAAATTAATAATTAAAAAAATAATAATAATAATATTAAATATAAAAATTTACGTTTTAAGCGAATATAACCCGTTAAATTTATTAAAAATCACATTAATAAATATTTTATTATAAATTAATTATGAAAATTTTAAGTTATAAAAATATTATAAAAAAACTATAAAAAATAAAAATAATAATTAAATAATATTAAGTAATTTAATAACTTTTAAAAATCGGTTAATAATATTAAAAAACGAAAATTTACGTATTTACGTAATGGAAAAAATACATGGTTAATTAAATTTAACACATTTTAAAAAAAATAAAACTTAACATATAATCGCCGAAAAATATTAATAATTTAATTTCCACGCTTATATAATTAAATATATAAATAATTATTAATGTTATTTTTTTAAAATTTTCCGGGATAAAAAACTTAACTTATTATCACCGTTATTTATATTAAAAAAAAATAAAAACATTTAATTATAAATTTTAAATTAATATAAATAAATAAAACGGGTAATAATAATTTTTTTATAATTATTAACCGATTAATTAAAAATTTATAATATATTTTTTATTTTAAAATGTTTATTATAAAAAATATAATTTAAATATTTTATTAAAACTTATACCGGTTTATTAAATAATTAAAAATTATTATTAATAATTAAAACGAATAATTTATATTTAATTTTATAAATAAATTATCGAAAATTTATAAAATAAAATTAAACTTTTTTATAATTAATTATAAATAATTAATAAATTAAATAAAAATTATAAATAAATATATTAATTAATAATTATAACCATTTATAAATTATTATTAAAAAAATTAAAATAAAATTATTTTAATTTTAAATACGGTTTAAAAATCGTTATTTTATAAATTATTAAAAAAATTTTCCCCGCACGAAATAATTATAAAAAAAAAATTAACATAATTTTATAATTAAAAAACATAAATTAAAACTTTAATTAAATTATTTATTAAAAACATTTATCGCGTTAAAAAATATAAAAAATAATAACGTAAATTAAAACTTAAAAAAACATTATAAAATAAAAAATTAAAAAATTATAAAAATATTAAATTACGTAAGAAAATTATTATAAATGTAAGCTTAATTTTAATATAAAAAATAAAATTTTTATTTTAATAAAATTAAAAATAATAATAAATTAATTAAATAATAAATTAAATTATTTTATAATACCGTTTTTATATAAAATTATTAAAAAATATTTTAAAAAAATAAACATTTATAAGCTTTATTTCTTTTACGTTTAATCCGGTTAATAATGGTTTAATATTAATTATTTAAAAAAAAATCCGAATAATTTAATTTTTAAATAAAACCTAAAAAACTTAAACGAAAAAATTATTAATTTAAATTTAAGGGAAATTAAATAAAAAATATATAAAATTTTAATTTTTTAAATATATTACGGAAAATTAAAATATTTAATATAATGAATAAATTAAAACTTTAACCCGACGTATTATTTAATATTTAATTTTAAAAATACCGTAAAAAAAATTTCCGATTTTTATAAAATAAACTTAAAAATTGCCGGCTTATTATTAAAATTATAAAAATAAATATAAATAATTAAAAAAAATTACTTTAATCCTAAGTATTTTAATAACGATAAACCGTAATTAATAAATAATATAAAAACCCGGCGTAAATTTAAATAATAAATTATTAATAAAAGTTATTTAAATTTAAATTAAATTTTTTTAAAACGAAAAAATTATTATAATTTAAATTATATTAAAACTTAAATTAATTAACTTTAAGTTTAAATTATTTTAAAGTGGCGGTAAAACGTTATTCCGATATAATAAAAAATAAAAAATATATTTTTATAATTATAAAATCGTATAATTATTTTTTTTTTTAATTTTTTTTTTAAATAAATTAATATATATAATTATCCCTTAAAAAGTTAAACCATTATATTTAATTTAATTAATTTAACCTTTAATAATTATACGTATTTTTTTATAAAAATAATTAAAAAATTTAATATTTAAAAATCGCCGTTAATATATTTAATTATATTAATTTAAATTTTATTATTAAAATTTTTAATAAATAAAAATCGTTAATAAATATTATTAATTATTATATTATTATTTTTAATTTATTTTATTATTTTTATTTTATTAATATTATAAAAATATTAAAAAAATATATTTATTATAAATAATAAATTTAATTTATTAAAAAAAATATTAATATTTTTAAATATAATATTATTAATACGTTTATAATTAATTTTTATAATTTTAATAAGTTTTAAATTTAAATTATAAATTATAAAATAAAAATATTAATTTTTATTAAATATAATATTTATAATAATTTAATTAATTATATATAATAAAATTTAATTTAAAACGTTTTAAATTAATTATTAAATTATTTAAACTTAAAAAAAAAAAATTTATAAAAAAATACGTAATATTATAAAAATTAAAATAACTTTAAATAAAACGCACGAACTATCTTTATTAATTATTAAAAATATAATTTTATAAAAATTAAATTACATTTATAAATTAAATTATATTAAAAAAATACGAACCGTTATAATATTTAAATTATATTTTCGTAATATTTTTAAAATTATTTTTTTAAACTTATATAATAATAATATATAATTTAAACGGTTTAAAAAAATAATTTAATTAATTAATTTTTTTTTATTTTTTAAAAAACTTTTAAAAAAATTCGTAATATTTTTTTTATATAATAATATTTAAAATTTAATTTTTAAAAATAATATAAATAATATAATTATTTAATAATATATTACGTAATAATTTTTTTTTTAAAATTTAATTTAATATTTACGTTATATATAATTAAATTATAAAAATAAACATTTTAAAAAATTAAAAATTTAAAAAATAAAATAATATATTTAAATTTATAATTAAAATAAAATTAAATAAATTATATAAGTTTATTATATTAAATTTTATTATAAATATATCGTATTTTAAAATTAATCCACTTAAAAATAATCCGTAATTAAAATATTTAACTTATATTAACTTTAAGAAATTATAAATTTAAGTTATCTTAAACTTTTATAAATTCGAAACAATGTTAAAAGTTTATCGATATTAATAAAAGCTTTGGATTTTATGCCGAAACAGCCTCAGAAGTATGCATATGGCCATCCCGAGTCAGAAAGCCATTTAGCATTTAGGTCATGTATGAAATATACGATGGCGGGGGAGAAGGAAGAATATCTAAAGCAACTTGTAGAAATTAAGATCAAACTTACTGAGGCAGATCAGTTGAACAGCAAAGGATCTGCGCATGCGAAGCTCAACAAATTCCCAATAAAAGCTCCGCTATGCCTCGATGAATTCATTTTCGTGGGAGAAAGATCCAACTCTAGCAAACCTCAACTCCGGGACAAATTCTTATTTAGAGATAGCACTGTTTGGGTAGAATGGACGCACATCTCAACAGTCAACTATCCGGATGGAGATATTGACAACGTTCGGATTCGCATTGGTCTACTAACCGATCTTCTGAGCCGCGTAATGCCAGCTGGGTTCAGAGCGCCTAAATGTCTTGGGTACTTAGAAAATAGGGAAGATAGCGAAGGAGCCCGGTTTGGGATGGTCTTTAAGAACCCGTCAACAAGTACCCCGGTGCTCGAGCTTATGACGCTCCATGGACTACTCGGAAAGACGCGAAATCCATCCCTCAGCAAACGCATGGATCTATGCGTAGCGTTGGCACGGTCTGTATTCGACTTTCACTCCGTTAATTGGTTGCATAAAGGCTTCCAAAGCGGAAACGTTTTATTCTTTGCCCCGTCCCCGGATACCGTTGACCTTGGCTCTCCCTATATATCTGGATTCAAACTTTCGCGGCCTAGTATTGTAGAAGAGATGACAGAGAAGCCTAGGTTCGATCCTTTACAAGACATCTACCGTCATCCTCATGCGCAGTCGAGCCATACAGACGGCAACTACCGGAAATGTTATGATATATATAGCCTAGGGGTGGTATTGATCGAAGTTGCGCTGTGGAATCGTATCGAGGATATCGTGGGGCTTGCGAATCTCTCAACAGCTAAGCCATCAACACTTCAAGGTCTGCAACACTGGCTCCTGGGGAAGTCGTTCACGAGAAAAGGATCTTCCCTACCGAAGATTCCCGGTGCGGGTCCGTGCTTGCAGCAGCTAGATTCTGCATGCGGCAAAGTGTTCCGCGACATTGTGGAATGTTGTTTGACAGTGGACGCGGTAGAGATACCAGAAGGTGTGGAACAGGGATCGACTGCCGTACTAAGGATACAAAGAATTACGGAACAAGACATCGTGCGAAGGTTGGAGAGCATCCAGGTTGCTCTAGGAGGTTGCTCTAGAGATTCAATATCCTAATACTGCTAGATAATTTGTTCATTATGACGATGACACTTTTTCATAGGACTACTACCTCGTACTTACCTAAGTACTAGGGTACTCCGCTGATATTAGACCCCAATTCTCTAATGTAACGTGATCTCGTACCTCATGTCCAGCGACGGCGGGACGGCGGATTATTTGCACTAAACTGCAAAAGCATCAGAAGATTCCTGCATTTTACTTGAAAATAACAGCTCGAATAACGTGACTTATAGCGCATTACTTTGGATACTAATTGATAGAGCTAGCTTTCAAATTACTTTCGAATGAATATAATCCAAATATGGAATAGTGAGTTTCGATTGAAAATAGAGGCTCAATAGAGGCTCAATAGAGGCTCAATAAAGGCTGAACGAAGGTCGAACGAAGGTTCAACAAAGCCTTAGCAATAATTAGCTAAGCCACAAATAAGCATATACAAGTCGTACAGCAGCAATATAAAATGGTTCATTTTTATATAGGTAAGTTACATTATTATAAATTAATTGGCCAAATCATTATATGTCAAGCAGAGGGGGCTTCACCGAAAAAACCACAGTGCTAGTACAGTGCTGGTACCTTAGTTATAGTGGATGGATTGTGGTCACCATTTAGTGCACCATCTAGAAGAGTTGACGCCTCAGCCATTAGTTATCGGTATGGGCTGACAACAGTCCGCTTGGCTCCCCTTTTCTCACGTCTAACATACTCCCCAAGTTTAATTATTCGTAATATCACCATCTAGATATATACGAACAGAGCAGTGCCATTTACGATACAGGGTTTAGCAGTACCCAGAACCAGCTACCAACTCTACGGTTAATCTATTAATCACACTGAATACCCAAGCCATTAATTGCCGAACAAAATATCCCTTTACCAATCATTTACACATGTGTCGTTTTCCTGCCATATCTACTTCTCAGTACAATGTATTCAAAGTTCTATCCTCGCGTAAAGAAAGAGAAAACTGAAGACTATCAATTGTTAGGTGAGCGTCTTTACACCGAGGAAAAGTATGCCGACGCGGAAGATGCTTTCCGGCGAGAACTCCAAGAAAGAGATGTTGAGAATAGTAACACACGCGAGAATACATTGAATTATGCTTCACATAGTGCGCAGTGGCTTGGGAGCACACTTACTCGCCTAGCCAAAAACTCTGAAGCAGAAGAACTGTTACTCCTGGTGGTAGAAAGGCTAAAGGATTCGGCGGAGAGTGAAGATATATGGATTATTACCACTTTGCGATTCCTCGGAGAAGCAACGCTTCACAATAACATGTATAGCGAAGCAGAAGCATATTTGTGGGATGCACTTCAAGGGTACAAAAGAATTCTTGGAAATGATCATATTGACACGCTTGCTGCTGAGTTATGGCTTGGACGTTGCTGTCTTGAACAAGCTAAATATACCGAAGCAAAAGGATATATCCGGGATGCTAGTAGAAGGTACGAAAGGGTTCTCGGAAAGAATCATCAGCATACATTATTAAGTGTGATTTGGCTTGCATATGTCTATGTTCAACAAGGCAAATGCATCGAAGCAGAAAGACGCCTCCAAGATATACCTTCCAAGTGCGAAATTACTTTCGGAGAAGAACACTTGAACACCCTTTGGTGTAAAGAACTACTCGCCACTTCGCATTATGAACAAGGAAATTATAAAGAAGCAGTAACGAGCTTACGGACGATAGTCCAGATACGGAAAAGGACACTGGGAGTGGAGAATCCGCACACTCTTGCAAGTGAACGGTTGCTTCAACAAGCACTTTCGAAGAAACCACCTTACACCGACAACGAAATTCTTGAGATATCAGTAGAACTGAAGCATAAAAGTCCTCAATGGAGCCGTTTCCCGCGGACTTACGTTCTACTACGAGATATCGGATGCTTGCAACACCTCGATGATATGATTAAAGCAGGGTTCTCTGATTACATGTTCCCTGTTACTGAGCAATCTCTCCCTCCGTTTCTGCAGCAGAGTCAGCGGTCAAAACTTGTTGATGCGCAATATCTAGTCATGAGTCAGTCATTAGATCTTGAAAGGGGCAAGCACTGCTATTTCAAGAAAGATGAATCCCTCCTACTCGAGACAAAACAAGTGTTGGGTAGTGGAGGCTTCGGTCAAGTGGACAAGGTCCTAAGTCTGGTCAGCTACAAAGAATACGCGAGGAAGCAAGTTCGTCGGAACCGTGTGTTCACAGGGAATAGGAAGAGGGATTGCATGGTGCAGTTCGTGGCAGAGATTGAAATCTTGAAACGAATCAATCACCAGCATGTTGTGAAGTTGGTTGGGAGTTATACTGACGATAGATATATGGGGCTTATCATGTTACCAGTCGCAGAAATGAATTTGGCCACATACCTCGAACGGGTGGATGACTCTAGACACGGCGAGTTGCGTACCTTTTTTGGTTGCTTGGGTAGGGCTCTCCAGTTTCTACATGGACAAGGAGTTCGACATAAGGATATTAAACCGGCAAATATATTGGTGCACTATGGTAGAGTCTTTCTCACCGACTTTGGCCTCTCCTTCGACTTCACGGACGCTGAAGGGAGCATGACGACCAGCATGGTAGTTGGGTGGACCCGAAAATACGGAGCACCTGAGGTGGCGTTTCAAGAACCTCGAAATACTCGGTCTGATATATGGAGTCTAGGGGTTGTCTTTCTTGAAATGGTAGTAGTTCTTAAGGGGAAATCCGTTGAGGAAATGGAAGCCTTTTTTGCGACTCACGGATCAAGGAGACAGTTTGCCTTTTCGAACCTTACTGCAGTATATGAGTATATTAGAGAACTAAAGCATACGGGAAGGAAATCAGATAACGTGACCCTAGAATGGGTCGAGCAGATGCTTCAAGAAGATCTCCTGCTGCGTCCCACCGCGACTCAATTGATGGGTTCCATAACGGGTGGTGGACAAGATGACGAAATATCAGGATTTTGTGGGATATGCTGTTCTTCACTCGACGATAGTGGTAACGAGAGTGGTGCCGATGATGAATAAGGTACCTATCTGTGCGTCGGTACAAGGGGTAGAATAAAGGGACAAGAACATTGTATTCAGCTACCTAACAATACAAAAACTCTAGGTAATACTCTTTTCCTTTTACAACCCTCTCTCCCTCAGCACTTTCCGAAGCGTCTTGGCAAAATTGACCACATACTCAGGATTTAGCATAGTATAATGCGCGCCCTCGACATGGTGGAAACGCACATCGCTCCTTACGAAGCTCTTCCAAGCCATCAGCCTATTCTGGATCCAATCCTCCCTGTTCTTCGCCACATGGCTCAGGGGGTCAGCCACGAAAACATCCATCTTGGCCACGCTGCCCTCGGGTTCGTAGTCCACAGCGAGGCCCTGCATGTTCGACGCGAGACCGACCCAGAGAAGATAGTACTCCTCGTCGAGGCCGAGCTCGTCCCAGCGCGCGGGGTCGCTGTACATCTTGAGGTAGCGGATGGCGTCGAGGCGGCGGCCCTCGCGCTCGAAGGCGCACAGCGCGGGCTTGTGCGTGTACGCGGCGGCCTCGTCCATCAGGCCGACGAAGTAGAACAGGTGGATGACGCACTCGTCCCACAGCAGCTCGCGCATGCGGAACTTGATGTGCGGCGGCAGGTTCCAGCTGCCGCAGAGCCGGACCTCGTCGCCGCTGGCCTCGAGCAGCTTGGTCACCTCGAACGCGACCATCCCGCCGAACGAGTACCCCGCGATCGCGTACGGCCCGCGCGGCTGCCGCTTCTTGATCGCCGCGCGGTACGTCTCGAACACCTCGTCGAGCGAGCTGAACGGCGTTTCGCCTTCGGCCGCGTTGAAGCCGCGCGCGCGGAAGGCGTGGATGGGCCGGTCGGTGATGTGGTGCGCGAGGTTGACGAAGACGAGGACCTCGCCGACGCCGGGGTGGACGAGCCAAAGCGGGGTCTTGGTCCCGTGTGGCTGGAGCGTCACCACGGGGTCGTACTCGTGCTTCTTCTTGCCCGTGGAGACGGCGACGCGGGACGCGATGCCCCTGGCCGTTGGGTTCTTCAAGATGTCGGTTAGACGGATGAGCTTCTCGTGGCCGGAGGCTTTTAGGAAGCCGTTCAGACGCTGCATGATGGCCACGAGGTCCATAGACGTCGCGCCCGTCGAGAAGATGGAGTCGTTGACGGAAAAGTCGTCTTCGAATCCCATTTCGAGCTGTTGCACGATGATATATAGAATTGCGGCCTCTTCGATGGTCTCGGGCTCTCCGCGAACCTTCTGGCGATATCTTGCGATAGCTTCGTCGTTGACGGCCTTTTGGTCTGCAAAATTGCCTTCTTCCAGGGCGGCCTTCAATTTGGTTCGCGATAGTTTGCCTAGCGTCGACTTGGGCATATCTTGGACGCGCAGCGGCACAACCATAGGGCGGGAGTGGGTGTGCATGCTGCAGGTACGGATAATGCTACTCTGGGCTTCGTAACGGGCCTCATCGTCGCCATCTTCGTACGAAGGCAAATAGAGTACCACCACAACTTCGGTATCTCCCTTTGAGGTGTCGCGCATGGCGAAACAGCAGAAATAACTGGGTGTTGTCCCGGGGATTTCCGCCTGTTCCAGTGCCGAGTCGAGCTCGTGAGGCAGATACTTGACCCCGTTGATATTGATCATCTCCTTAGTGCGGCCGTCTAAGTGCAGATGGCCCTGTTCGTCCATGTAGGCGTTATCTCCAGTTCTAAACCATCCGTCGGTGGTAAAAGCCTCCGCTGTGGCTGCAGGGTTGTTGTAGTACCCCTTGAAGATTGCTTCGCCAGTGATCTCTAGACTGCCACGTTCGCCTCTGGCGACTTCAGTTCCTGGACTATCCAGGCGGGCAATACGCATTCTCACGCCAGGCATGGGTTTGCCCAATGAGGTAAAACCCAGACGCTGGGAGCTGTCGTAACTAGGACACTTGTCATTGACAATGCATCCAGCACAAGTCTCCGTCATACCGAATGATGGCTTGAAAACATCGGCAGGGGCACCGTAACGGCTCAGCACCGATTGCAACCCCACACAGACTTCAGTGACGTTCGCTTCGCCCCCCGTATCTATGTATAAGGCCTCCAAGTTCAGGTCCGGATCCAGCGTAGATCCTCCTGACTTGATCAGTCTGAGTATCTTGGCCAGCAAGAAATTCGGTGCGAACATGCGTGAAACGCGATGGCGGCTGACTAGGTTCAGTAGTTGTGCCGGATTGAGAAGGATATCGGCGGCCGCAACCTGGATCTGCGAGACGCAAGACACGATGGCGAAGATGTGACAATGGACGAGGTTAGCCACGTGGTCCATGTGGGTCCACGACAGGAAGGGGCTCTCTGGATGGCGTAATTTTGCCGAATCCCTTTTACCCCTGAAGGCGGCGAGCAGTTGTTGGTGCGTTAAGGGGACTGCTTTCGCGTTACCGCTGCTTCCTGATGTGAGCATGACGGCGGCTAGGCTAGAGGGCGATAGCTCAGGGGATGGTGTCAGGGGTCTCGAATGTGTGAGAACTACACTATCCAATTCTTCAATGGTGCTAACATTGATACGCTGTTCGCCAGTTTGTTCTGAGAAGGGGCTCATCAGGGATCGTCGAGTGAGGCATAGTGGCCCATTGAAGGTACTATAGAGATGGTTGAGATGCTTCTTGCGGTCTAGGGCATTCTGGCTGAACATGCCCGGCCCCGTAACAGAAGGGATGGCCCCAGCCAAAATAACGGACCAGTACCAGATGATGCTGTCAAGGGCATTGTCGAAGTGGACAAGTACGACAGAGCCGGTCTTGCACAGGTCTTTCTGTTTGAGCTTGCTGGCATTGATTTCTGCTTGATTCAACAACTCCCTGTAAGAGAGCTTGAGCGCCGCTTGTGGGTTACTGATATTGTCTGCTGGGTACGCCAAGATGCCCTCTGTTGTGTGATTCGCAGCATATTTGAGGGCATCGACAATATTGTCGAATTGGTATTCGTTTTGCGCCATTGTGGTCGACATAGTAATAGATTCCATCACCATGCTTAGCTATGGGTTTTTGATAATTCAGCGGGTCAAACGAAGGCCGGATATTTATGTATCATTCTGTTGTCTTACATACCCCCTGAAGCTCGGTTGGGTTAGTCAAAGACAGAGAAGGACATCCATGCCCCTAGGTAAACAAGAAAACATGACGAGGCGTTGGAAGGATCGAGTTCTAAATAAGGGATAATGCAGCTCAGTGTGATTCCTTTGAGGTGTCCCAAATGCTTCTTCATCTTTGACCGCCGGCCAGAAATGTGCTCAGTCTAAGTGCCATTGGACCGTCCCAATTAACCCGCCAGTCCTTCGTCGTCATCTCGGTGAAGATCGTATGATATGAATATTCAAGCTCACCATGAGGTGTATACAGTGCAGCTGATTCAGCCAGAGTGCAGATCTTACGCATTAACGATCGTACCTGCTGGTATTGCATGTTAACAATGAGTCGGCACTCTCTAGTATGTTTTCGGGACGCGATGGGGATTCCGTATACATTGCTCGGATTGCATTAGCTACGGCAAGGGGGCGATGACGGAAGACTAACGTGGCTTAATTAAGCTCATCGACCATGTATAAGCCTCACCCAGCCAACATCCTCCCCGTGAAACAACGTTATTCCTTTTCGATATATTTACGCCACCCGTGCCATGCCTGGACCGCCTCCAGCGGGCGAGATACATCTAATAGATCAATCGGAGTTCGGATTTATGCGCCAAATTTGCCAACCCCTTACCGCTCTATCTCAATCTGGGATGAAAGTTGCTTTTCCTTACGTTTATTATTGATAGCAGGTCTCAGGAACTAGAATAACTGATTCGATCCAACAACTTACTGATGACGTTAGGCAATATTACACCTAAATTGAGTTGATGTATGTCAAAATTAGCTCTATAGGTCAGTATTTCACTTGTTCGGCTTGATAAATCCACCATCTATGGCTTGCATCTCATGCAAATGGTGATCGTACCTGCTGGATTCTAGAGCCAACGCCAAAGCTAGATACGGTTGCCACTGTCATCATGGGTTGGTCATCTCATTTTGAAGGAATAGGTGCCTGTTTATGTCAGGGGCGTAGTTTATAGATACGTCCTAGTAAAGACTGGCTAATATTCCGAATCTGTAGAAAGCCGCGATCGATCAGTAAACCTTGGCGCTTATGCAACACGGGGCCGAATTAGTATTACACTCACCGGTATGTCTCGGGTAGTACTAGAATTATTGCTTAAGCTGGTCCTATAAGCCGGCGAGATCTTACAGGAATCCTATTACGTGATAAAAACTCCCGGAAGGCGTTAACATTGGTTGTGAAAAAGCAAAATGTCATCGTGTGAGACCACACAGGACTTGCGCATAAAAATGAAAAATAAGTCTAATTATGTGATGCAGAATATCCAACTACCGGAGTTCCACGCCATCAGTAGTAGGATAATGTACGGAGTTTGAACTCCTTTTCTGTGACAAGGATGATCAGAGCTTGGAACAGTAGATACCTAGTTCTTATTCAACCAATGATTCTCTTTGGTCCTAAGGTGCCTTTCTCCTCCTCTTTTCCCGAAGAATCCATTAGGTCTATTTGCTATGCAGTCTTGTGATCTGCTCTCTCCCCAATAGGGTTCAATATAGCCCCCAACGCATACATGAGGCTTCCTATCTGCATATCCATATGGAACTTGCCGCAAAAGAGTTTTGAAATAGTAAAACTTGTTGTTACAGATGAAGTTTCTATAATTATGTTTAATGATTTTTATCAGTTGAAGCATGAACTCTAGGTTTATACTATGCCAAATATGAAGATATATTTTAGTCTATTCGAGTCTATTCTCAGTAATGAATGTCTAGGAGTTGTTTCTTGTTTTCAAAGCTTGGCGTAGTAGTTGTGATAGGTATGAGAAGCCAGTGCCAGTGATCTTGCCCTTACGCGGATACTGTCGTCGTTGGGTTAGACAACCCATTCTTTTCTATACGTCCGGGCACAAACTCTCGCACCCAATCTCCCCAAGCATCATCCACTAGTTGAGCCATCCGCCTGCAAGCTTCATAAGCCTGCTCCTCGGCTATGAGACTAAAGCTGGCCCTTAGTTGATAAGTCTTGCGGTTGTCGGGCATGAAGGCAACACCCGGGATGGCAAGCAAGCCACTTTCCATTCCTTTCTTGCTCAATAGCTCGAAGGTGTCCTCCCCAGGTGGAAGTCGTAGCGTAAACCAGAAGAATAATCCCGCACTCGGCACATCCCATGTTGCGCGGTATTTCAGGTGCACCTCTGCGGCCGCTGCAAATACATCTCGCTTTCGCCTGTAAAATTCGCTAGCCCTAGCGCAGTGCTCTAGGAATCCTGTGCGGCCCCAGTGTTGGAAGAGGGATAGAGCTAGGATTTGAGTGGTAGATGAGGGTTGAAGGCTAAAATGTGTATTAGCATGCTGTTGTATCACGGAGAAGATAGGTACGTAGGTTGAAACTCGTTTCGACAACGCACTTTATGTTTTCGGTGAGCTTGATGACATTTTTGACAATTGGTAGAGGACCGGTTAGGACACCAAGCCGCATCCCGGCACTCACGATTTTACTCAACGAATCAAACCGTATAACTCGGCCAGTTTCTCCATTGACCTCTTGCTCGAGGGCAAGGTAGCTTCGTGACTTTCCATTTGACTTTTCCTCGTAGTTGAGGAAATAGTATGCGTCGTCCTCTAAAATCATGAAGTTGAATCGCTTGGCTAAACGTAAGCTATCATATTATCAGCTATCGATGTTCAGTGGTTCTTAGTGAGACCATACTCACATTCCAATCTTACGCCATTCTGGACACGATCGGCCGGTTGGATTCGACCCAGTAGGGATAGTATATAAGAGTTTAGGACGGGGTTGGCTTTCAGGCCACCGGGATAGTGTCTTCTCTAGTTCTGACGGGTCTATACCATGCCTGTCTGTTTTGGCATCAACCAACTTGTAGTCTTCTGCTTGGAGAAAGCCTACAACGCCCCTTGTCTCGCAATCAGCCAAGCTACAACAAGAGGGCTAAAAACTAGGTACTTACGGATATGCTGGTCTAATTCCTTTAATATTAGAATATCACTTCGGTAACGTACATTGAGTTGGTAGGACTTACGTTTCAATAAGGACTGAGTCGCACGGATCCGTGAGAACTTGAAATACCCTATGCAGAAGTTCCTGACTGCCGTTTCCGATACAACAAGTCCACCCTTGGCTCCTATTGATGCCATGGAGTTCACTTTGAAATTCCTCGAACCACTGGGGATATAGATAATCAGATATTCTGGAAAAGTTCTTAACTTGGAAAGGATGTATTACTGACCTTGACTAAGCCCGGATTACCCCCTGGCAAACCATATTGTAGGCCATCTATGAGACCATTTTCTCGTGTCAAGACAATCTCTTCGTTTGCTCCCTTGAGCGATAATGTGATCTTGTCGAAGGGGAATACCTCTGGATTAGGTTTGCCTGGACTTTCGTGTTAGTGACATCGGTGAAGAACGGAGAGGGCCCGGCATACCAGCAACCAGGGAGATCATCCCCGGGAGGTTTTCGAGAGGAAGAAGTCTTCTAACTGCGGAAGTTTTAGCGCATGAACATGTAAGTGAGAATTATCACTGACTAGCTCCTGGCGCGTATCGCTGCACGCGGGCCGACAAAAGGGGCGTTGGATCGAATGTGTTTGTTTCTTTTGGGTAACCCATTGACTCCATCTTGGAAAATAGGATAGGTAAATAAAAGGTATAACAATGGAAGTTCACCTAGACAATTCTAACTACACATGTATGGGTAAATAGGTAATGTATGAGATAGAACTATGACAATGACCCGCTTTCTCTAATATCCCCGATATTTCTAGGGGGCTGTATTCTATTCGAAAACCATGTGGCATCCCCCTTGTTCCTTGCGGCTCAGTATACTCCCAAATCCTATTATATATTATCTGGATCGGTATTCATCGATTTACGTTGATCGTACAGTGCGCGATATTATCCCGGTATCTTACTGGCTTCCGAGTTAACCAACCCATTTCTGTCTTAGATATGTGTAACCATGTTATGCCGGTTTTCATTGGTTGGCAAACAAGGGATAGGAGTTGTACGACTTACGTACATCAAACGGCTGCGCCAACTCTTCCGGGCCCGAATCTTTTACCCTCCCTCCGATGCCCGATTGTTTCGGCCTGAATAACCTGTAGCCTACTTCTTATTCGAATTTCTCAGATTCCTTCCTTCCTTAATCCTTACTCATCTTCATGTTATCCGCTTGGAAACCGCTGCACACGGGCCAGAGGCTCTGCAAGTCATTCTCACGCTTTGGACAAGTTCAACAACATTATTCTTTCAGTAATTCTACGTCATTAGCCATGAATATCGCTCGCGTTACCGCCTGGGGCAAACCGCCTCAGTATATCACCGGGGGTCCCTCTCTCCCAGACCCGTCACCGTCGCAACTCCAGCTCAAAATGCTAGCCATAGGCGTTCCCCGCGCGGTGAGAGGTCGCGCGTCTGGGAAGCATTCCACCGTCGAGGGGGGGCTGCCTTTTGACCCCAGCATCGACGGCGTTGGGCTAGATGAGGCTACGGGAAACAAGTACTACATTGTGCCCTTGGTGGCACCCCTCTTTGCCGAGCGCGCTAATGTTGAGCGACACCAAATGATTCAGCTGCCTTCAGAAGCTGATCCTGTCACTGTGGCTGGACTAGTGAATCCCGTCAGCAGCAGTTGGAGTGAGTAACAGCCTCTCAATAATTCTTGTGTTCCGCTCCCGCATGTTTCGGACCTCGGATTGATTCATTTTTCTTGGCCGGAGTTTTTATTCTAGGCCGTGACGTCAAAATTCTACATCCGTTTCTTGATACAATTATGTAAGAAATAATATACTTACATCTATTGTTGCAGTGGCCCTGAGTGTCCGCGCAATTGGCGGTTGCAAGGGACGTACCGTGTTTATTGTCGGTGCCACGACGGAGAGTGGTCGGCACGCCATCCGTGTTGCCCGCGAGCTCGGCGCTGCCAAGATTGTGGGCGCCTCGCGCACTCAAGAAACCCTCAACAAAGTCGAAGGACTTGATGAGCGTGTCCTCCTCACCGAGCCCTTTGAGGTGCCGAAAACAGTTGGTCCTCTAGACATTGTATTGGACTTTGTCGGTGGTCCTACCAACGTAGCTATCATGAAAACAGCTGAGATCCATGAGGGTTTACAGTATATCAGCATTGGCGGCGTCTCAGGACACGAGAACCTAGAAATACCAGCCGCCGTACTCAGTAGGCGGCCCATTCGCATTATGGGATCTGGTATGGGTTCTTTCAGCATGCCTGAAGTGATGAAGGAGTCGCCGGGGTTGGTCAATTTCCTTGGCAAGATGAAGAGGCCCGAAAACGTCGTCACTGCTGCTTTGGCTGATGTTGAGACCGCTTGGGACTCTGCTGGGGAGAAGGAGAGACTTGTCCTAGTCCCTTAGATGGGAGCGAAGTACCTACATATCATATTCATTAGCGGAGGTCATTAGACCCCATAGACGTCACCTCTCCCTTACGGCATCCGTAGCAGGCTATACCTACAGGTGCTTGACGACTTAACTAAATTTAGTTTAAAAAAATACTCTTTCCTCCCTTCGTTAACAATAGTCGCCCCTTTGAATACCTAGATCTATCTACTTGTTTAGATAACAAAAATAAGCCTTAGGAGACGATTCTGTCTGTCCGAATTAGTTTGAACTGCTAGAAACGCCATCTTTCCTCTCTTAGCATGAAATCCCTTACGTCCAACCAAATGTCCGAAAACATTACTGTCGACCCCCCAGTAGATGCAGTAATAGCGACGTGATTCCACGGGGAACCCCAAAGCTGTCTCTTCCGAAGCTGGCTGCATACATATATTGAATATTACTTGTTTACACTTGTCCATATAGGTAGGTATCCTCTACAAACAGCAGATCATCTACGGGCTATACTTTGAATAGGACAGATGTCTCATTTCATCACGAGCGGAGCCGCCCAAAGTCAATATTTACGCCAATTTATGCGTTTATTATATGATTCAGACAGGGTGCATGCTTGTTATGGAGTTTCAAGTGCAAAGTCCAGCCATCCACATTCATAGCTAGGCCCATGTAATAGGACAGATCTTGCTAACATTTACGTTATCAGAACTGGATCCATATTATACTCTATTTAGATTTAGGAGAGAACATAAGATCTCGGCATTGTGGTGAGCTGAAAGAGGACAACACATCTAGTCCGTACCTTGATTAAGCGCTGCAGTATCATACGGTTAACTCCGGGCAAAGTGATATCCCCGGTCATCAATCTATAACGGGGTTTCTTCGTCCCAGCCGTGTCTTTTAATAGGAGTCAATATTGTATCTCGTGTGGGTGAGAATGTTGGTGAAAATGTGAATAACACAACTAACCGAACGGAGAAGAATAAGCAGAGCCAACAGCTAATGGGACTCCATGCCGCTTTTAGACGTAAAGGCTTTGAGAGAGGTACATGATTAACTGCTGTCGATCATGTGGTTTCCCTTGCTGCCAACTAGTTAGCCAATGAAAAGGAAAACGCGTATCTTGCCGGTGATCAGGTAAGAGTCTATCATATGAAAACTAGTATATTACGGGTCTTTTTATCTCAACTGAGTGCCTTAGTTTAGTTGCTCTCCCCACTAAGTAATAAATACCTTGAATTTTGAACCTCAACATATTGGTATATAAAAAATCTTTACTCATGGCTACCGAAATCGCTACTCTCTCTAGCCTGCCACTCGAAGCTGTAGATGAAAAGCTAACGATGGCAGCAACGCCAGCTGCGGAGTTCTGGTCAAAACATGCCCGCTCCACTCTAGGGCCAATGCTGAGTTCGACTGGGACGTATACGGCTTCGGATCAAGCTTCCCATCTCCAGTTTTTTGACGAGCACGTTGCGTCCTGTCTTGGATCGCAGCCGGAAGAGCCCAAGGCGGAGTACTATGCACACCCGGACTTGGCCGGAACGCGTTTCGAAGTTAGCCTCAACCTGACAACCCGAGGCAAGGCGAAGGTACGTTACAGTTTTGACCTCATACGAGATGGAACCGGACCAGACCCATTCGGCGAAGACAACGCAGGCGAAATGCTGCGCCGTCTGTGTTCGGTTACAGGTGGCGACGGTAGATTGATGGAACGGCTCATGGGAGCTTTCTTCCTGTCACCATCCGAGACAGTAGCCTTGAGCAAAAAAGTCCAGCCACATTTGCAGATCCCGCCAGCTGCCATCGCGTTCGAGCTCGAGGGATCCCAGCAGATCCTGAAGGCATACATTCCAATTATAAAGAAATCGGCCTTGGGAAAGCCGCCGGTGGATATCACTTTGAATGCGCTCCGCGGTCTGGAAACTCTAGGGTACGACATGTCGTACAACGTGGATCTGCTTGAAGAGTATGCATTATTCTAATCATCATAATATTAGAGAAATACATAGGATATAGATTGCTGACAGAGGGTATGGGATGAACCAGATATCTAAACAGCCGCCCAGGCAAAGTCAATCCTGTTATGGTGGGCATTGACTGTTTGGACCCAACGAAGAACCAGGGTAGTCGCGTTAAGGTATACGTTGTTACCGAGAGCAGCACTTTCGCCACAGCTCGAGATGTCATCACACTCGGTGGACGTCTAAACGACGAGTCTACACTGAAGGGGGTGAAGCTTTTGCGATCCGTCTGGCACTTGCTACTGAACGAGCCAAAGGGTATTCCGGACGACGAGATCGACACATGGTCAAAGCAGCAGCGTGCCCCCGGTGTCTTTTTCTCGGGCCTTCTGTTCAGCATCGACCTGGCGGCCGGCAAGAGAATGCCTCATATCAAGATATACGTGCCTGTATTCCAGTATTCCGAGCATCCTGAGACACCGATCAGGAACACGAATGCTGCCCTGAAGATGCTGGGCCACGAATGGGGGCAGACGGGAAAGTTTAGTGAAGTGATCAATGCCGTTTTGTGAGTGCTCCTTTTCTTCTCCTAGATTTTGCCAATATGATATCACATAATGTTTATCATGGAAGAAAACTAACTAGTGAAAATGCAGTGGACAACAGAAAGCCCACAGACAGAGCTACGTGACCTACTCGTATACAGAATCTAAAGGGGTGTACCTAACGTCGTACCTTGGTATGCCTCTCTTCAACCGAGAGGAGATATCTGATAAGTACAAGGCTGGTTTGGAGGCCTATAATATCTTGGACTAGATTGAGTGTGGCATTTGTTGATATGTACCTAAGGACATCCACCATGCTGAAGACTGGGTCTGTGCAAACGTGTGGAACTGAACTTAGACATGCTGGATACATACAATAGGACAATACATTCTTTACAATCAAATAGTACATAAGTATGTCGCCTGCATCGTAAAATTTGGGATCATCATAAAGATTGGAAAAAAGAAGAAGAAGAGAAAGGCAAAAGAAAAAAAGGGGTTCGTGTTTATGAATAGGTATCTAGGTATATAGCATTAGACCGGTTATATGACTATCAGTATAGCAACCTACGGATAGCGCGATATCTTATCGATAGTCACGATAAGCATCGACATCATCTAATCTACAGCTGTACTTCGTACCGTCGAGAGATTCTTCTTGTAACAACTTCTCCCCAGCTTCTGCGCCAATGCGACATAAACCTATTCTAACTCGTTACACTCCTTTATTTTATCAGCCAGACCGTTTCCTTTCTTGCTAGGCCATTGATGGGGTTGCAATGTCCGTAATTCTTTGTACCGGTAGGCCCAACTACAATCCAAGCTTCCATCTATTGGTTCTAAGCTCACTTTAATGCAGCTGGGTACGATCACACGATCAGGTATGCGACGGACACGAAACGAACCAATTTCCAGCCCGTTCTTGGTTCATCAACTAACGAGTTGTGTTGGAAAACATAAAGGTTCTGGGAGGCACTTTCGGGAATCTGTTCACGTACCATCCAGCACCCAGATTCTCAGGTCAACCGATTGTGCATCTCACCCGACAAGCGATTCCTAGCTGCCGCCGGCCACCATACTGTTAAGCTCTACGATATCAAGTCTACGAACCCGAATCCGCTGCTTACGTTTGAGGGCCATACCGGCAATGTTACAGGCGTAGCATTTCACTGCGAGGGAAAATGGATGGTCACGAGCTCTGAAGACGGAACGGTCAAGATTTGGGAGACGCGCTCGGGCACCATCCAGCGAAGCTACAGCCATGGATCTGCGGTCAACGATGTTGTTATCCATCCAAATCAGGGCGAGATCATAAGCTGTGATCGCAGCGGCAGCGTCAGGGTCTGGGATCTTGCTGAGAATAATTGTTCTCACCAGCTTATTCCCGAGGAGGACGTCTCCGTCTCAAGTGTCACTGTCGCAAGCGATGGATCGCTACTCTGCGCTGCCAATAATGCGGTATCTACACCGTTTCCTCTATACTTGCTACTTATCTGTAAATCTGCGTTGCTTTACACGTGCTAACACCAACCTTTAATTCCAGGGCAACGTCTTTGTTTGGCGATTGATCCAAGATTATGACCACACGAACCTCCTACCCGTAACCCACTTCTCGGCGCACAAAGAGTACATAACACGCATCCTGCTCTCCCCGGATGTCAAGAAGCTCGCCACCTGCTCCGCCGACCACACCGCCAAGATCTGGGAAGTAACCGCGTCGCCGCCCTCCTCCGACGAGTCCTCATCCGCATCCTTATCTAACATTCCCATGCCGGGTTCTACCATCGGTTCCTCCCCTCTCAACGGCATCAACGGCCAGCTAAACGGCGACGGGAGCAACCCCATAGTCGGAGGAATGGGAATAGGGAACATGGGCATGGGCATGGGCGGCCCGGGCGCCGGCGAGGCGAAACCGTACCCCCTCGAAGCTACGCTGACGGGCCACCAGCGCTGGGTCTGGGACTGTGCGTTCAGCGCGGATTCGGCGTACCTGGTGACGGCGTGCTCGGACCATTACGCGAGATTGTGGGAGCTGCATAGCCAGCAGGTTATTCGCCAGTATAACGGCCATCACCGCGGCGCGGTTTGCGTCGCTCTTAATGATTACTCCGAGGCGCGGTGATCGGGTCGTTGGGTTATGCTGTTTCTACATAGGTACGCGGTTACGGTTGGAGACGGGGCTGATCTGAAGTTTGACGGAGGGAGAATGCGGATGCGGGAAGAGTATCAGCCTGGCTTGAGAGCTTACCTACCCTAGGTACCTATGGAAGCTATATGCTATGGATTATGAATTTTTCTATATAGGGATTAGGGCTGGGGAGTTAGAGGAGTATTAGCCTCTTGCTTTAATGAAGTTTTCCTGCAATATCGTTGGCTTTCTTCGTCTTTTAGAGGGTTCAGAAAGTCACATCTAGGTACCTATTCATCTCGGTAGATAGCTATGTCTTACCGGTACCAGTTTTCACTGAAACAGTCGTAGCTACCTATCTACCTAGATACTAAGGTCGTATTTGCAACTCATTATGTGAAAGATTTCCGTTATTCGCATTAACTAGACCGCTTCAATATCGGTATTAGAAATAATAGTACTCTGCTCCGCAGAATCTGATTCCCATCCCTACATCTACCGTACTTAATCCTACTACTATATAGATCAGGACACCGGAAGAAAGCGATGCCTGATGCCTAATATCTACCCAAAAACCCTGGTTCTTAGCTGAATCCTATACTCCGTACGCCATGCTCTAATACCCCCTTCACTTTTCAAAGCAACACACCCGACCTCTTCACCCTAGGTTACCTAAGTACCGAGTACCGAGTACATTATAATAATGCGAAATACCTAGGTAGGTAAGCTACCACCCGTCTCCCCACCCATCATCATCGTCCGTTTCCTTAGGCTTCGTATCGATCTTCTTCGGCACCACCGTCTTCGAGACCGTCCTCGCGGGCAACGCCTTCTTCGGCGCCCCCGCCGCCGCCGCGGCTCCCTTCCCGTTCGCCTTCGCGAGGCCCTTGGGAAGCGTCTTGCTCTTGCCTGCGGCGCCGCCTCCGAGGCCGCCGCCGCTCTTCTTCTTCTGCGACTGCGCCGCCAACCACCCGGCGAAATCGGGTTCGGCGCCGTCGTCGTCGAAGGGCTGGGACGTACTGCTGGTGGTAGCTGGTGCTTTCTTGGCGGGCTCGCTGGACGCGTCGAAGAACGCGTTCCCGTCGTCGTCCATGTCGCCCATGTCGCCCCACGCGTCGCCGTCGTCTGCGTCTGCGTCGTCTACCGGTGTCGGGGCCTTGAAGTACGATTCGGCCGCCGGAGAGGGCGACTTGACGGCTTGGCGTTGGAGCGCGGAGGCCGAGGAGGTGGTGGAATGGACGCGGGGGGCGGATTCGGGGGAATTGGTTCGGGAGATGGCGCGGGGTGATTGCCGAATTGAGCCGTTGTTGTTGTTGTTGGCGTGGTTGGTGTTGTTATTATTGTTGCTGCTGGTTGCCTCGGTTTGCATTTCGCCCGAGGCGGCGGAGAGCTTGTTGGTGAAGGACGAGATGGCCCATCCAGCCCATGAGGAAGCATCGCTGGGCTGCGGGGTGCTCATGCGCGGCCCGGCACCTTCGGTGATTTGGGGCGGCGGCTGGACCGTGTCCGGCATGGCAGCAGCGGCTTTGCGGATCCGCTGGAGATAGACTTCCAGGGCCTTGTTTGCCTGGTCTCGGACCAGCTTCTCCTTGTCGACCAGGGATGGGCAAATAGAGGGCATGATTTTTGTAGCGCAATCTTCCTCAGTGAAATATTCGCCTGTCGCTGTTAAGGCCATGAGCGCGGCGTTGCGCGCGTGGACGAACGGATCCCTGAGCGAGCGAGTGAACGCGGCTATTAATACTTTGGTTCTCGATGACGCGCCTAGATTCTTGGCGATCTTTCCGAGACAGATGGTAGTATTTGTTCTGATGCCAGGCTGCTCGTCGTTTGCGGTCTTGGCTAGGTATTTTAATAATTCGCCGTTGATCGTACGGTCCGACAATTTGTTGATAATTACGAGAACTGATTTCAGTGTCTGTTCTCGTACGACAGGCGCCAGGTCTGTGAAGCCGGAGACCATGTTGGGAAATATCTTGTCATTGACCACCTTCTGGGAAAGTCTGTCGATCATTAAGGGCAGGTTATCCAAAAGGCACACCCGTATAGCTCTGTCCGGGTTTCCAAATAGTCTAATAACAACCGGTTGAACTCGGGCTTCGAAATCTTCGTTCGATAGCTTCGTAGAGATTTTCATAACGACACCGAACGCCTTTGGCCCACCACCCCCAAATTCCACCGATTTCAATAATTCAGGCAATACTTTCATTTTAAAGAAATCCTCGGGGAAATCGTCCGTTAGCTGGTCGAGATCATCCAAAAACGCTTCCTTCTCGGTTTCGGATTTGACTCCCAGGTTGTCGATTCCCTCGGTCAATTTAATTAGGGACGAGTCGAAGAATCCGCCGGACCGGCGACCCTGCTCCAAAAACGCGCCGACGGTGATCCTGGCTTTGGGGTTTGCATTCACGAGCCTTTTATAACCCGCATGCATGCTTGGTGGGATCCCTTTCGTCTGCCCAACCTGGTCCCCACCCAAAAAATCTCCGTTGAAAACCTCGAATATGGTAGTTCCAAAATTGTAAGCATCTACCGCCGAGTGCGGACTTTTCTTGATAGCATCCCAACCCGACCGCGCGAGCTCCGGCGGCGTATATCTCGCCGAATCCGGTACTAAGCTTCCGTACCTATAAATCACGGCCTCGTCATCCTTGACATTACTAAGTATCTCAAACCCGCCCAGCTTCCACTCCCCACTCTCGGACGTGTATATCGATGCGACGCGCAAGCTGCCGTGGATAGACGAGCCCTCGTCATTAATAAACTTAATCGTACTCGCGATGCTGTACAACCCCCATTTGATCGTCTCGGGACTTAAACTCTTCCTCTTGACGTGCCACCTCAGAGGCACAACCCTCTCAGTCGCGATATATATGTAGGTATCTGTCTCGACGGTGTCCAGCACCCTGATAACACCCGGATGTCTCATCGTGCGAAGTTTCTTGAGCGCATTCTTCGCGAGGGGGAGTCGCGCCCTATTCGCGGTCACGTCGAAGGAGAATATGCTGCAGTTAGACCCGTCGGCCCGTCGGGTGCCGTTGTACAAGGTCCAGATCGATGTGTCGATGTCGACTCTGTCGCCAAAGGTATAGGGGAAGGGAGGCCCCTGGGCGATGGCAGATGCCACCGCCGACTTAAGAAAATCCATGCCTAGTATTATTTTTCTATTTCATGCGATTGGGAGTAGTATTGAAACAAGCAAGTAAGGCGGACTGTGGAAGTATGTCGAATGAGTGATTATAGGGGGCAATGTTAGTATGCAGCTTGGGTTTGTAGATATTATTTGGTAAATATTTTGGCGAAGTGTCCCCTATTGATCGCTCTATGGCGTACCTTGTGGGTTGGTGGGGCCACTTCGGCCAGGCCAAAGGAGGTCGCGCCCCACAGTAATCCACGCTACGCCGAGCGTGTGCGGGTAGCTGCGCCGCGCCTTCTTTTGACAGAACGGCTAATATGTAATCAAACGGTTAAGTAAATATCATACGATACAATGATACTCCATGGCTTATTATCATAGATCCAACCGAAGATTCACTTCCGTGTTCAACATCAACTCTTCAAACTCAACCTAGATGGACGGAATTATCATTATATTATTTTCTATGTATACCTAGGCATATATCATCGCATTAACGGCCTATGTATGGGTCATTCTCTTTCCAATTCCATCATGTAGAGGGTATCTTAAATCCGCCGGTCCTGTCCTTCCAAAATCCGTCAGGGTCGACATCAGCTTGGACTGTCTGAGCCAATTGAAGCTTCTCAGGTCTCAACCTGCCGAAGTAGTCCTGGGGGTAAAATCCATCATTCATAAAAAGCGGCAGGAACACGTCCGATGGGAGGGCGCCGCTCGCCTGATTGGTCTTGACGATGTCTCCAATGCCGTCATATGTGGCCCGCATAGTCGAATCAATCTTGGCATAGTCCGACTTGAACAAGAAACTATAATCCAACTCGACGACTATTCGGTTTATGCTGTCATCTAGATCTAACATGTCACCGCCTTTGGACGTCGCTAACGATGCTATTTGCTTGGGCATAGGCTGGAAGGCGATGCTAGCGATGAGCCCTGGCACCAACTGAGCTGTGTTGCTGACGTTTACCCAGTGATCGAAGATGGAGCCCATAATTTCAGGACCCTCCTCCGCGCTGGGCAGTGGAATCGTTTCGGTCCCGATAGTATAAACGCTTCCTTTCACAACCGCCCAGTTATTGCCGCTGAGCAGAGCGGAATACCTTTGCGTCTTGCAAGTGTTAATGGTAGGTCCGATAGCAAGGAATTCGTCGAATACGCCTTGTGGTGGCTCGGGACCGTTGTAGTATAGGAACATGACCCAGATGTCGAGAAGGGTAGACAATGTTCGCTCCGCCGTCACGATAATACCAGCCTTTTCATCGGGGTAGTTCTCCGTAAAGTTGCGGACCGCGCTCAGAATTGCTGCATTGGTTTCGGCCGTAGCAGTGAACTCGAGATTGCCGCCCCATATGTCTCCTTGCGGATATGCTTGGAGCAGGTATGATGTTACGATACCAAAATTGTTACCGCCCCCTTTTAGTACCATCAATAGGTCGGGGTGACTGGTCTGGCTAACAGTAACAATCGACGAGTTTGCCAATACTACCGTGGCCTCGAGGAGGGAGTTAGCAGCCCAGCCATACTGTGCGCTCATAAAACTCAAACCACCTAAATATGCTGTTAGGAATCTTTCGTAATGAGATTCTCGACGCGCTCTCACCTCCCAGCAGATAACCACCCACGCCTACGTTTCCAATGCGCCCGCCGACGACAGTGTAGTTAGTGGCATCAAGTTGCTCCCCTACTTCGTCCCATCGATTACCGGGGCCGACTCTTACCGTCTCAGAGTCGGGGTAAAAGATGACTTCGTTGAGCTTCTTAGTCGAGATGAGCGGTCCTCCGGAAACGCTAGCGAAGTAATTATTTGGGTTGTGGCCACCCGACTTAACTGCGAAGGTCTCGTTATTGCCGCGTAGGATGGATACGATCGCAGCAACTTCTTCGGGTGTTTCTGGCTCGAGAATGCATGTCGGCTTGAGATCACCAGAATACGTAGACCAGTATTGGGTTTGCTCGGTGCTGTAGTCCAAGGTCCACGGCTTCAGCACGGTGATGTTGGTATTTTCTTCGACCGTAGCGCAAGTGTCCTGGGCAGTAGCGGACGCCGCGAGCACAACAGCAGCCCACAATATAGCTTTATTTAAGGTCGCCGGAGCCATTTCAAGCCGACCAGTTTAAGAAGACGTTACTCGAAAGTATCGGGATCCGGGTAACAGTGCCGACAAATGAATGGTGTCGACTAGAGGCCCTGCGCAATGAGGCTCCAGCCTCTAGTACAGGAACACACATGTTCTTATCTACGACGCGTTTCTGTCGCATTATGTCTGCGGGGATTTCACAGGTGAATGTCGCAAACCGAGGCGCTAGGGTAGGCCTGGGGGTGAGAGAAGCGAAATTCGATCTTGTGATAGTGCTATATTACAAGTAGCTCATGCTTCCAGGTTTAGGGACGGCTTAGCAGCCCATTTATTACTGCGCTATATGCAAGATCCGAATACGATAGCCACAATGTCGCATCCATTCGGAATGGGTAGAAGAATAGGAGGCGCCATTGGCCTATTACGTCAAAGCACCCCGTCGCATACGGGCGTGTGGAGTGTGCCGTATGTAAACACCAGATTTCGGAACGAGCCGTGCAACCCCGGGATTGGTGGATCTAGGGTTTACTCGGAGCTGTGAAGACCAAGCAAAGCATTAAAATCCGCTCGAGGTGCCAAGGACACCTAGGAGCTCGCTTACTGGCTAACCCACGAAACTAACGAGCTGACTTCCATAACAGTGAATAGGCCCGAGCTGATCACGATTCGCGATTCCGAGGCTACCAGGTCTACCAGGCCACCAGGGCTACCAGGGCCATATTCATAGAATCCTTCCTTTCCCCTGTCCTTATACGTCAGCCCTTCTCCAACACCCCGCAAATAACAGTACAACCCTCACACTTGTGTATATGCGAAGAATGCATAAAGAAAGAAATTATCTTGCCAATCTCGTCGTACCGGAAATAAGCAAGCTTGAAAGATTTGACATTGCTATACTCCATTCACATGCTTCTCTTGCATCTTCTGCGTACCGACGGGGAAGCACCGGCAATGCAACATGGTTTATATCCAACTACCGTATTTGGGTAGCATGGAGGTTTATAGGCGAGGTGATTAGAATTCGACACTACGACTAATCGGCGCAATATTCCGGAATCTTGGAACAGAGTCCCAAGTGAACGATTAACCTTGGAAAATCCGGGCAAATGGATTACTAGGCACACACACATCTTACTAAGACTGTGCGGTACAATAGAGAAGCTTCGCTAATCTGGTACATTCGAGCGAAATTCCACCGAGACCCCGCGCTCTAGGAGACAGTCGCTTCTCAAGTTTAATGTCTAAGGCAAAATTATTCTCGAGAAAAGCTATCTCATCGATTCGAAAGCTCACAACCTCTATCATCAGCAGAAGGAAGAATACACTAACAAATCCGAGATTGTTTAATCGGTTGCATTAGCGCGTATATCCATTTTGGTCTATTTTTATCTTCAGCCGCATGTGTCTATCGAGAACTCTCCTTACTCATTATCGATTTTTGGCTAAATAAGCTTGATTTGGGTCTTATTCCCATGATTCTGAAGCGAATTCTCGTTCTTTCCTGGGTGATTGCTCTAGAGGAACTTTGACGCGAAGCCGCGTGGGTATCAATTCATAGCTTACGTATTCTCTCCATCAACTCCTTCCTGATGGTCGGACAACTTTGGTGCCCTCCGCCGGCTCCAGGATGAGCCATTGACAGTCGATGTTCTCTTGCCTGAATCTGCTGATAATTCTCTCGGCGATCTCCTCGAAGTTGCTTGTTGCCAGCGCCAAGATGGTGGGACCGGCACCCGAGAGACAGACACCTAACAGTCCCTCTTGTGAACTTGGCGACATAGATTCGACAATCTCTCCTAGTCCAGGAATCAGAGTCTGCCGGTACTGCTGGTGCAGCTTGTCTTGCATAGCAAGGTAGATAAGGTCAGGATCCGGGGGAGATTGTCCTAACGCTACTGGGAGCAGCGCTATTCGTTGTAAATTGAACGTCTGGGATCAAGTCAATCTTCAGTCATATTATATACGTTACGGACGTAAAAAAAAAAAACTTCACTTACGACGTCCTGTCGCGGGTACTCCTTCGGCAACACTTCACGCGCTTTAGCCGTGGGAACTTGGAAATTAGGGATGATAGCTACAGCCTTAATCTCCTTCGCCCAGGGGAACTTGATGTGGTGGCCGATGCCGAGCGGCGGCTCGGGAGGCCGTTCACCCGTGTCGAGACCACCTGCTGGCGCAGGCAGCACTTCGCTAAGAGGGATCTCCACACGGGCCATGTCTTCCGGCGCCAATGGCTTCAGGTAAGTACCCACGAAACCGCCGAACAGAGCCGCGCCTACGTTATCCGGGTGGCGCTCTGAAACGAGACACGACGAATTAGTATACTCGAAAACTACAGAATAATATCACGGATGCGCTAAATGGAAGGTCACACACACATATGCATATGTATGTCTGAGAATGAAACGAAACGGAAGAGGGGAAAGGAGGCCCGGGGTGGAGGGAGCTTACCTATCATGAGACAGAAATCGAAAAGCCGGTCATCATCCAAGTGGTGCAAGCCGCCGACCTCCTTGCCCAACATAACACCGGCGACGACCGCGGCACCGGACGAGCCGAGACCGCGGCCGAGCGGGATGGGGTTGACGACGTGCACGTGCGTCTCGACGGGGAAGGCGCGCTGGTCATGGCACCGCAGGACGTACAACGCGACGCGGGTGATCAAGTTGGCGGCCGGGTCCAGCGGCACGTCGCCGGACCCCTCGCCCTGTCCCTCGTACGTGATGCGGCAATTCAATGGCTCTGCGGAGGTGGTCTTGGTCCGGTCGATAGTAACGTGCAGCTCGAGGTAGATGGATAGTGCGAGCCCGATCACGTCGAAGCCCGGGCCGATGTTGGCAGAAGAGCTGGGGGTGCGGATTACGAAGGACTCCATCGTGGTGAAGCGGGTATAGTTTGCGGGTTCGGAAGATGGCCCGGGGGAAATGTAGGATGGAAGGATTAGACGGGATGTGATGTGATGGGGTGCGATTTGGGTTGGGATTGGAGATGGGGGGTCCGTGAAGCGAAATTGTGCAGGATCCGCACAGGCGCGTGTCGTGTCCGAAGACGAAAATCGACTGGAATTGGACTTGGGTTATTAGGCCAATTGGAACCGGAACATCAAGCTAATCAGCTCTTAGGCACGGAAGCAAAGCAATTCCGAGAATATTCGTTATTTCCAAAGATCGATTTTTTAACTTACTCGCAGGATTCTTAAGACTCGAATCCTGGCTGACGAAAAGCTCCGAATTGGCAAATGGAAATTTTCACACTTTGTGCTAGAGCTGAGCCCCGATGACGGAGGTCAGGGCTGAAAAAGCAGGGGCACGTTAGGTACGTATGTAGGTTGGGTGGGCTGTTAGGCGGTGGGCTAGAAGGGCTAGGTTAGGGACCAGGCGGTTCCGAAAACCTGAATCCGCGGTGGGTCGTACCCGTTGCGGGGTAGCTGGCTTACCCTAACGAGACGGAGTCAAGCTTTTAATTGGTTGGCATTTAGAGGACGGACGCCGGTCTTTGTTGTGGTGTGGTGTGGATATTGGCTGGGTGCACTGGTGAGCTGATGAAAGATGCAACTTGAAGTCATTTGTTTATGAAATTCTTTTTTATTTCGCATTCGATGCTTACGCCGGAATCGTCATAGGGATACATCCCGGATATCTACCCGTCGTTTCGCATGAGATAAGCTGAAGTAAGTTTTCTAATTATATGATATCGCAATGAATCCGTAACTCTAACACGACGAACTTAGGTCCCTGCTACGTACGCCTTTTAATTACCAACCGAATGATTCTGTATGCAATGTGACGATATCAACTTCGCCGGTAAGAACTTTTTTCTGTGCAGCCGATGCCGCATTTGCGAGATCTGTTCTCAGGCTCTCCGGACCACAGCCTGGGAGTAAGTGTGTTAGCTTCGTCGACGACTTCTGAAGTACGACCTCATCAATGGCACTTACCGAGAATAAAACATCGTCGCGCAGTTAGGAGAGGAGGGAGTATGTTAGGCAAGTAGGGGCGTTCATTATGGACTTGTCCAAGTTTTGGACTAACTGTCGTTGTGCTCTTCTCGCTTGGCTTACCACCAACGACTCCGCCGTCGGAATTCTTCTCCGAGTCCGTGCTCGTAACCGTCGGCGAGCTCGAGTTCGTCACGAAGAAGTCTACTTGTATCAGATCTGGATGAGCATTGATAAGAGGCTCCAACTCTTCCGTTATCCATTGTATTTGGCTCGCGTATCGAACCATCCAAATGAGATGAATGTTCTTGGCCGCTGCTGAACCTTCGGCGACGCGCCGCGCGGTATATTGGATCCATGGGAGGCACGCTGATATTCCACTGCCACCTGCGACGAATATCAAGGATTCGTACAGAGCGGGGACATCTTCTACTATTCCTCCGTATGGGCCATCGACGTGGATAGAAACCGACCGTCCTCGATCTTCAACGATGTCGTGGTTCTCGACGGACTTCAGCAAGTCGAGAGTGAGGCCTTGGTGTGCTCGGACGTACAAAATTATTTCCTGCACGTCTGAGTCCCTTTTTATACCCGCGCTCGGAATCTTTGGCAAGTTCGCAATTGTGAAAGGGTGGTTCTGCAGGATAGATAAGTGAGGTATTCGGATCCAGCAGTGTTGCCCGGGCTTCCATCGGAAGTCCGCCGGTGCCAGAACTGTTACTTTGGTCATTCCACCTGGAAGCTCTTCCACTCTCGACGGGAGACCGTGAAACCAATCCCGGAAAATGCTGAAGGTCTGCCATTTGTAAAAGAGACGCACGAGACACGAAGCTAGCCAGATCGCGAGCGTCGCGTATAGGTACACCCACGAGTCCTTCTCCTGCTTCGAGTGCCAGAACAGAAGGCCCAAGTACACGACGTACATGGGGATGTGTAGCCGGTAGAAGAAATTGTAGAATCGATGACGAATCCATGGGATAGAGAGCACGACGATGCCTACTAAGATACCTAACGGTGGAGTTCCGGTATACTACGCATGGTTAGAATATTAGTCAATGGTATTAATCATGAGAACCCAGTACTATGGATTAACTCGGCGAAAATGGGGAGCCTTTAAGGAGGAGAAAAGACGCATACCTCCATACCACCGGGTTTATAATACTGCTTCCGAAGCGCAGCAGCCCCGCCATCCTTCAGGGGTTGGACTATGAAAGGTACCGTATGGACGATGCTCAGGAACAGACACATGTACGAGACCCAGCGGTGGAAAACATTCAGCTTCTCGTGGCTGATGCCCGTAAGCATGGTGATGAAGTTGACCTTTCCCGCAAGAGCAACGATAATAGGAGTCAGCGCCTGCGCCATCAGACCCGTCCTCACGGCAAGGGGTGGCGAGCCGTAGCCCCGGCGGCCGCGATAGTACGGGTGGACCAAGAACGTCATGAGTAGTAGGAACAGCGATGTTATGCCGAGGAAGGCCAGCGTCCCTAGCGACGGGAAGCCGAAGTAGTCGGATACGGGACCCTTGGAGTGGCGGTAGTTGACAAAACGGCACACGGCCAGGATCTTATGAGCCAGCGTCGATGTCGTTCTTCCGGACTGCTGCGGAGTAGACGTCCTGGAACGTGCTATGCGGTTCCGGTATAGACGGTAGGAATACACGACCGTGGCGACGCCGATAACAGCGAGGTAGTACCAAGTCGTGTAGTGCCCGTAATCGTATTGGTGGTCGTACGACACAGCAGCCTGGGAGGCCTGATGCGCGGCTTTGAAAGCATCGCAGGCGTCGCTATCGCAGCGTGGGTCGGATAGGGGGAGCCCGGTCACGTTCCCCATGCTGTGGTCGTCGCCCATAGACATCGACATTGTCACCGTCGCTCTCGCTGTGGTGTTATCGGTGGCAGACGCAGACGAACGCGCTTGGGATAGGAATGGTAGTGGGGAGGAAGAGAGAACGTGACGGCAGGCGGCGACTTCTGAGACAACACAGACATTTTGTACTCACTTGGATCAATGCTCGTTTTTCTCCAAGTCAAGGTTACAAATGCGCACGAGGTGATTTGAGTTGGTAACGGCGCACGGCACCCGGTTAATTGTGGATGAATTGTGAGGCCCGCAAGGATTTATACTGTATTGCTACCCGCGCTATACTTGTTTTGGAGAGGTGGAAGAAGATTCGACGGTCGTTCGCACCTATCGAGACGTGTTCTAGAAATGTCTAATATGGAGATCCTGGCGTTTTGCATGGGTAGGTACGGTACCTACTATAGTTGCCGTTCGAATACCGGAGAACTGGTAACATGTGGATGGGGGGAAGGGGGTCACGCCAAGATGTTCACTTTCTCACTGCGTTACGTGGATGCTGTCTTACTTGGAAGGATTCCAGAGACAACTGTCGGCAACGCGACTCAGATAGGTACTTGGAGACATCGAAAGAATGAGGGAAGTACACGTGAAAAATAATTACCCAACGATACATTCTCATGTAACACGGGATACGTACGATCTATAGAGAAGGTGTGGAATCACTATAAGCGGACGTGCGGCAATCGCAGCTGAAGGCCTTAGCGGTTGCGTATAATCAACTCAAATGTGCTCACTCCTATTTCCTATTATTCTTACCCCTGTTCACCGTCGTTTTTCGCCGCCGAGTGGCTGGCCAAGTATACAGTACACATCAACCAAGCCAGCCTCAGCTAAGGGTCTAAGACATACATCTATGGCTGAAAGTGCCTACTATATAAATAGGCCTGCGTCGCGTTTTAACCGAGGAATCCAGAGATTCGGAATCTCTGGTCTAGTCGTATCTCTTCATACTAACACCATTGATAGTACCAAAACTAAGCGAACCGGATCAGACACGACACATTAAGATTTCTACCCGACGCTTTGACGGAATCATAACTTTCGCATTTCCCCATCTAATTTGGATTTTGGAAAGGCATAAAAGATGGACATGTCGACAAGTACGAGCATGTCTATGTCCATGGACATGTCATCTACGGCAACAGCCACAGCGACAGGTGCGGCGTCAACGTCAACGGGATCATCTATGGATATGAGCGGGATGTCGATGGGAGGCGATAGTTGCAAGATATCCGTATGTTATTGCTCCGGATAAGATTCAACGAAAGCAACAATACTGATGTGAGGATAGATGCTTTGGAACTGGAACACCATCGACTCGTGTTTCCTAGCATCGTCATGGCACATCACCAGTTCTGGCATGTTTGCCGGCTCTTGTATCGGCGTTATACTGCTGACCATGTCGTTGGAGTTCCTCCGCCGGACCGGGAAGGAATATGATCGCTATCTCGTTCGGAAACATTCTTCTACCCCTGTTGCCGCCATGCCGACCTCTTCGAGGGACAGCGATAGCAAGGATGCTATAGCAAGCTCCGCACCTATGAACTCGGGCGTAGGACATTCAGGAGGGTTCAGACCAACGATATTTGAGCAAGCTATTCGAGCGTTGCTGCACATGGTTCAGTTCGCGGTGGCGTATTTCATCATGTTGTATGTTCTTGTCCCATATTCGTGCCGCCGCCCACGGAAAAATTCATGCGTCCTTGCGTTCAACGGAGTAACGTTTCTCAAGCAGCTAACCGCCGCGATAGATTAGCCATGTACTTCAACGGTTACATCATCATCTGCATCTTTATCGGAGCTTACATCGGGGCCTTTGTCTTCCATTGGGAATATATGGACGGAGGGTAAGTGCGACTTCACGGCCCTGTCTTAATTATTACCGTGATGCTGACAATATTTTTCTTTCTCACAGACGCAGTGCGACGAGCGCAAGTCAGGAGCCTACAGTGTGCTGTGCGTAGATTCGTTCGTTCGGGTTATTCGAGCTGTTGTCGTGGTACTGAGTATCACGGCATTGCCTTTGTTATACAAAATTTTGGAAGGAAAAAGAAATGGCTGTGCTATGTTGTGCATTTGGGCAAGTAGAAAACTACGTTGATCATACGAAAATTTAATTATGAAAGAATTAATAATGATAAGTGCGAGCACTTTGGTACAATTAAGAAAATCAGATAATGGATGTAGAAACACATCATATCAGAGCAGTTAGATCATGCTCATGCCTACTGTAGCTTCCTAAGTAGGCTGACCTGAGTTCATTGGATAGACGATGCCGAACTTACACCGGTTCAACTATGGCATATATAGATTTATTCGACAAAGTATAGATATTAATCAAATGATCACCATAATGCACATCTAGGACTAAGTTGGTTCGACAAGTAATACCTTACTAGTATTTAGTCGGTTGTTCTTGTTCAAGGGTTCGATTCCCCTGATAGTCTTTTCTTTTTTTTCTTTCTCTCCTTTCTTTGCTCATAATTTTCGGAAGCACTTGCCTGTTCCCTGATACCTATGAAATATGATTATATAAGCAGCCCCTGGGACCCTCTGAGTCATTTGCCGTTAATTCTCCAGACGTAATACCGCTCTCATATGAAGAAACTCACTCTATGAAGTACATTATTTACCTAATAGATTTTGGCATCAAATCAAACTGTTCATTTATTGCCTCCCACTCTAAATATCTATATTATCTTCTACGAACCGCGCCTAAACCTTAGGGCCATGAGGCGCCGGCCCTAGCAAGGACACTGTTAGGAGACTGCTTCGCTGCTTAAGAGGAGTTATATATAAAGATGCTTTATCCAACCTAAATTAAAAGAATAGCGCTATCACATATCCTAAAGAGACCCCATACTATCAGCAGCTTTACTATTTCCCTACATTCACTCTACGCGTAACTACCCGGGTGCCAGGTACGTAACATTAATTTTCGTCAACCAGTATTAGCCACGTCTCTAGAATTATTTGACGACTTCCTATTTGAGAATACTATTATGCTGAATAACCGAATTTATCACAATGAAGCATCATGGTTCCAAGCCATGGACTTTTCTCATGGAAACTCGACATAGCCCTTCCCCGTAACAAAAGTCTGATCCCAAGGTCTCTGTTTACCATCCTTTACCAAGTTAAGGAAGTGCTGCGCATGGCCAGGACCGTTGAGGTCGGTAAGCATGGGAGTTCCATCTTGGTGCCTCTCGTCGACATAGTAGAATCTACGCATCTATTTGTTAGTCACATGCTGAACAGCTATCTTTCCGTTGAAGTTCTCGTTCTAATGGTTGGGTATAATACTCCACTTACTTATAAGGCTTTCCGTTGTAAGCAGCTTCAGCAAGGTGCTTGATCATATTCGCGGTAGCAGACTTTTGCACTAAAACATCAAAATCAGTAACAGTTCTTTTGACAAACTAGGAAGTCTGCCACAGCTTTCGGAGACTATTTGATCAAGACAAACACTTAATATATCAAGGCGGTGCTTAGAACCACTTACTTCCGAAAGTTAACATTCCCGGCATAACGGCGACGTTCAACATATTCCCCGTAAAGATGAAGGTGCCCCCGGCGGGGCCGAGTTGAGAAGGTCCAAGCTTCTCGAAGCCTTTCACGGCCTCCCGTGCTACCATGAAAGGGGTAGTGGTGTTTACGTTCATACCGGCTTGGAAGTCTTCCAGACCTTTCTCAAACGGGCTGTCAGGGGGCGTCATGCCGCTCATGTATGCCGCTAGAATATTCATTTAGCTAGGTAGAACGCAAACGAAAAGACAGCAATGACATACCGTTATATATGACAACACTCGGTACGCCGAGGTCTGCGGAAACTTTCTCGAAGAGCGCTGGAACCTGGTCTGGTTCGGAGGCATCGAGGGTGTAGTGTCGATAATTTGGGCCAATGCTTTGTTTCCTAGATGCCACGGCAACCTGGTAACCCGCTGCTGTAAAAGCCTCAGCAGAGGCTTGGCCGACCCTAGGCCCAGCACCAATAATCAAGGCAGTTGGCATGGTGAATTTGTATAGAATATGTCGTATAGGTACCTATGCGATGGAAAAAAATGAATTTTTAAGGCGAGTAAAGTATTAAAACAATTATAATGGAGTTAATAGTTAATGTGATCGACAAAAAATGTGGCTCACCTCTATAGGTATTTAAGGAAGATAATACCCTTACGGCGATTGTTGCCGATTCAACTATAGGCGTATATATTCATTTCTAAGCAATCCCATTACAATCAATTTTGAACAATTGCAATGTTGCGCGTCATCGAATGTTCCTTTGTAGACTAGGTTTATAATATATCGTTTCTACGTTACAAATCAAATACGAAATGAGGTCCAATCAGAGGTGTCAAATCGGCCTTTAGACCGAGTCGACGGACGAAGTGTATTACTCAGCACATCATATTTCAAAGCCCCGTTTTACCACTTCTGACTGCCTTGAGTCGTGATATAGGTACGTATTGTAGTATCAAATTCAGCCACTAAATCGTAGATCAAAACATCCCACTAAGCCGCCCGTTTGTTGAAAAGATGACTGCCTCCTACCTGACTCCGACGAATGGGTCATTTTGTAGTTGCAGTGCTTTTATTTACACCTTCTTTGCGATGATGATGGATTGTCTGGCTTCCTCCTCGTAGAATATAATGTCCTCCACTTCAAAGCCTGACTCGGTCAACAATTCGTTCCAATGTGTCCTAGTTCTTGCCTCCGCATTGAGTAGGGCAAGCATCGTCAAGTCAAGCTGTGTCTCATATCGATGTGCGCCTCTGTCCGGCAGGACCATCTCATCGAGTAGAAGTAGGGAGTCTTGATCCATGGCATCTCGCACATGGCCGAGGATTTTTCGGGTGTATTGGTCGGGCCAGTCTCCAAAGGAGAATGAATCTGTCAGCAGGGCACTGATGTTGAAGGGGTAGACGATAAAGGGGGGAGTCACTCACTGTGCAGGACACTCCTGAAATAGTAGGATGCAGCACCTAGAAACTTGTTAGCCTGAAGGATTCAATGTTGGCAAGTAATGGATTATACGGGGCTAACCTTGGATGGGTTGGCTTGCAAGGAAATCTACTGGTACTTTCTCGATCCCGTCCTCAAGTTCAGCATTTGCTACCACTTCTTCTAGGTCCTCCAAAACAATTGTGCCACCCAAGTTTGGCACTTGCTTCTTGAAGGCCTAGTATTCTTCATATTAGCCTAATTTCCGTTTCTAAGTAACGGATAACTCACCTTGCATTGGTGACCAATACCACCGCCAATATCCACCAAAGATACCCCTTTCGCTTTTCCTCCCTCCCTCCTAGCAGTCACCTTTTCAAAGGCATCCGTGATTTTCTTGATGACCTCTGGGTTATCGAACGGTGTTTTAGCCCCGGGCCGATGAGACGTCATAAAGATGTTGAAAGTTTTAGCATTTTCAGGGCGGTTCTTCAACCACTGGAAGAACGTCACCTCATCTGGAGTCACTCTGTTTCCCTGCGCGAACGCTGTATCACTCTTGTCTTCGGGAGGGTTATAATTATGCCGACGAAGGAAAGCAGGAAGAGTTAGCATTGCTAAGCCACTGTTATCAACCCTGTTAACACACTGGTTAGCGCTGTCATGCATAGATACCTGCCTAATGACACCGAGCGATGTCTAAGTGGTGTTCAGTCTGGAGTTGCATTGCATTGAGGCTTACATATTTACTACACCTGCGCTCTGCCCCTTTCCTGATAGGTTGTTCCCAAGGTGGCTCGCAGTCCAGACGCCAGTATCGACTTCACGGATGAAGCTCAAGGAAGCTAGGTACCTTAGGACTCGCGCCAACAATTTCGTGTTTGGGCTTTTGCCGGTCTGTTTTGCGAGTTCTTCGGTCGATAGAGGGGTTGCGCTGTCCTTAAGCAGGTTGAATATATTGAGGTCTACGGCGATCTTGGCCATGGAGAGCTCGAGTGTCTAAAACTAGGTAAGCAAGGTGCGTCATTGAGAATATGTCATTGGTGTGTGATGACGCTATAGGGCTGAACTTGTGTATGAGATATCGCCTTTGTTCAGAGAATAAGCTCACATTGAATAGGAATCGTTGGCATGCTTCAGCCGGTGTCTCTAGCTCCGGCACAAGTGTCTGGATCGCCGAGAGGAGTCTCTTTCGAAGTTCATCATCCGTTCCAAGAGTTGTGCGCGTAGCTGTAGGGTCGGCAGCTAGTTTCTCAAGAACTGCAACAGTAGGCTCGAGTGTTCTGATTTGGGCCGCCATTTTGAAGAGCTCTCATACAATTCGACTAGATCAAAGCCTGATCTTTGAGCCACGTGTATAGGTATTATTGAAGGCAACGATGCTATATGTTTGAGTCAGGTAAAATGTCTAATGCCGAAGAGAAATACTAACGTTGCTTCCAGGTAACTGGCAATACTTATATCCAACATCTAAGTCGTCAGCGTTCCATTATGTTCGGCCTCAACGTCGTAGACTCGCTCCGACCGGGACCCCGCGCACATGGCACCGATATGAACTGGGGCTATTTGCCATGCAATAGCTATCAGGTTTACATTTGAATCACATAAGAAATCGACCTATAACGTCGGCATTGGGTAACGGTAGAAACCTAGTTCTTGGTAGCGGGGGCGGTGGGGGTCGAAGGAGTCGGCGGGCTGGTGATCGCGAGGAGCCGGTGCCGCCGTCGCGAGGCCCATAATACACTGGGCGAGCCTAGGTACCTACCTAGGTAACATGCTAGCCATGTCACTTCGTGTCTTTGCACCTCCACAGAAGAACCAAAATGCATTGTGTCAACCCTGGTTTAGCTCCTTCGACGTAACATGACGATGCGACAATGCTACCGCGGAGCCCTATGCCATCCATTGTTCCTCATAACGTACTACTTAAAGAAGAATTCGTAGATTGTATCTTCATAAGCAACCTAAAAGCCACTAGCCGAACCATCTTATTAATGCGTACTGCCGGTAATAGTCGAAGATAAACAATTATTCAGCTCTTTTTAGATGCTAATGTATCATGTTTAACTTCACTCGCATCCGCGCTATGACCGCTAAATCGCGCTGGCTCTTGTATACCTGTAATGGAAAGGTTGATGTGTAATAGGTCCCTATGTACCTAAATGATGTTCGATTAGAAATCATTTTATTTGCTGAACCATTCTTAGGTGAGAGGTTCATTCTGGCATGGCCTATAGCTCTAGGTACTGGATTTGTAAGAGGCTTGGGCGTACGTTTTTCCGCAATTACTTATACGACGCGGAATAATGATGTAAATCTATAGATCACTTGGCGATTTATAGTCGGTGGTGTTTTCTTATAGAACGATCCTAGGAATAAATATATCTTCGATTATTTAATACGCATTATTTCATAATTAAGTTGAGTCTTTAATGCTGTGAATTGATACTTGTCCTTACATAATACCCACTCCCCTTTTTTCTGGTGGACCCACCTTTCCCCGGACGGAAGTCTCGGAGGGTCAACCTTTATCTCTATCGTAACTTCAGTGTAACTCTGCTTACTTCTTTAGGTAATCAAGGAACTTATTAACTACTACTAGGTAGTACTTTGTATTTACTAGGTGCCGGGTAGTAGCCCGCGCGTGCCGTCCCCCGCAACGAAGTGGATACGGCAGATTTCGGAAACATCCCGACATGACAAGCTGCGCGGGGTCGAACGTAGTCTTTCTTTAAACCTGTTTGGCTTCTGAAGGAAGATATAAACCTAACTGCCGGAACTAATGCTGCACGGCATTTTGCGCGAATTACAATCCGTACCTAGGTAGTAAGTCTAGGAATATACTAAGAGTGAAGGGCATGGACATATATGCGCGACTCTAAAACCGAGTGCGGTGCTTATAAAATGGCAAGATAATAAAGATTTATGAGTATGACATAATAACCATTAATCCTATTCAAACATAAGGCATGGTTAAGTATCGGTCATATTATTTCTAAAGGCAGTGTCGTCCTTTAAAAGGACGGCGATCCATACTGGATACTAGTCAAGCTGTTTTGAGGTTCCTACGTAAATAATACTTGTGATTGGGCTATCTCGACGTCTTGTTTAACCCCAGCAAAGACCTACTATTGACTGAGCTAGTGCTGGTATTTATAAGTCGGTGCTCTATCAGAAAATCTCACTGACTCTGCACTTCCCCCTTCGCGAGCCTCATTCTTGAGTGACTCACGGCTACAATAGACATACCTAATCACCCACCAAGTGGAAAACGCGATACTTATCGCCCCGAGACTCCACGCATGGCCTAGAGTGTACGCCGGAGCCATCTTCTGAGGATAAATCTGCCCCGAGATGATTCCACCGAGGTTTCCTATTGCTAGAGCCAAACCAAGGGACGCGGCACGCTTGCCATCAGGGGCAGTATTAGTTGAGAGCCAAGCTATATTCGCGCCGCCCATAACCCATACGCAGGTCGCAATGATGAAGCAAGCGAAGTATTTAACTCCAGCCGAAAGGTGTTCGCCGCCCAGAAGAATCGCATAGCCGATTACACCAAATGGCGCCAAGGAGACGCAAGGAACGAATCTTCGCGCGTATCGGTCGGATAAGTATCCGACCATGGCGTAGACGAGAGAACCCCAAAAGAATACCGGAATGCTGAGGTACTGAGACTGCTCAACGCTGAAGTCGAAACCGAAGCGAAGGATAATGGGCAGGAAGACGCTGAAGCCATACATGACGGTCAAGCACATGACTTGGACGAACGCGTGCAGCCAGGTCTTCACGTCTTTGACAGCCATCATGAATTCGGCGCGGGTATAGTGTCCTTTTCCACCGCTATACGCTTCCGTGAGTTCCGCGCGCTTCCGCATCACGGCTCGATCATCCTCGTTTAGGAAGTAAGCCGTGGTGTAAGATGACGGGATGATGAAGTAGCAGATACTAGCGATAATAACGGTTACGGAGCCCTCAACGATATATAGCCTGATGGCAGATGGTATCTCTATCAGCACCAGGAAGAAAAGTCTGTTCGGGTCGTGACTCACCACCTCCACCCCGGATATCCCGCTTTTCCATCCATGAACAAGATGGCGTACGCGATCAAGCCGCTAAACGCACTTGAAACCGAGGAAGCAACTGCACCGACGCGTCAGTCACGGTGGACACAGAACTCCACAGATTTCTTCGTGGTATGTATGCCATACTGAACAGGTAGCTTATCCTCAACCCAATCTCCTCCCTCTTATACCAATTCGCCAGCATAAGCGTAAGGCTCGGCATCAAGAACCCCTCAAACAAGCCCATCAAAAGCCGACACGCCGCAAGATCGCCAAAACCCCTCGCGAAGCCGTTCCCCAGGCACGCGCAGCCCCAGCACGCCGCCGCCGCGGGAATCAAGCGGCGGAAGCCGACCCGCTTGGCGACCAGCGCGGCCGGGAAACTCGGCCAGGATGTACAGCGGGTAGAAGAGCGAGACGGCGGTGTTGAGCTGGGTGCCGACGAGCCGCAGGTCCGCCGTCATGCCCTGCGAAGCCGCGAACCCGATGTTGCCCCGGTCCAGGAACGAGACGAGCTGCAGCGCGACGAGGATCGGGCACACGTACAAGTCGAGCTTCGCGACGACGCGGGCCTCGCGGCGCGCGAAGTCCAAGTCCCCGTCTGAAGCAGTTGGCCCAGTATTATCGACTTGCTGGAACTGGGAATCGGGTTCCGGCTTGGAGGGGAGGTCGTCGGAGCCCCGGTGGATGATCATGGTAGGTGTTTAAAGAATAGATGGGTAGATAGGGGCGAAGTTGCCATTCGGCGACTGAATACATGAAGAGCGGCGCAGCCAAACATTCGCCGAATTGTTCCAGTCTTCTTTTATAAATAAGGTGCCTTGAGTTACCCCAATGTTCCATTCGGTATGGTCAGGTATGAAGTAATTGTTCTAGTCCGTCGGCATTGTTGTTATCCAATCTTCTCGATACGCCAAGATAAACATATACACCTCTGAATCGCGACAGGGGGCTTTGCTGGACTAGTGAGGAAACTAGCCTTCTGTATAAGACATTACTCATCTCGTCTCGTTCTATAACAACTCAAATGTCGTAGCTACGACCCCACAGGAAAGCCAAGATATTTCGCGAGTGACTCCAATAGAAATTATTTCCAGTTAGCTGACGATTTCTCTATGTTCGGTATTCTATAGGCTGGGTAGGTACCTAGGAGGTAGGCAGCTGAAAGTCGGCATCTCATAAGATTGGTATACATTCATTCTAAAGAGAGTATCCTTTAATAATAACATTATATGGGAGTCATTTAGTTAGTTTCATCTTCATTCCATATAATATATAAGTATTCTCCAAGAATTTTCAATTTTTTACTCATGGTAGAAATACGTTTCCTTATTAAGTTCTAGTGCTTTCCTCAACCAAAAATTTTGTTCATACTGTAACCTCAGTAACAAGAGCAGGGACAACTCCCATGCTTGGAGTGACAAGGGCAAAATTGTCTTGAGTGACGTAGAAATCCTCCGCCTTTGTTGTGGGAAACTTGAATTCGAAGCGGTGCACAATGTAGCCAAGCAGTAGGTAGATCTCAGCCCAGGCAAGACTGAATCAAGATATTAGTCGGCGTAACTCGTAGTAGATCGTGGGTCATGGACCATGGATCGTAGGTGGCACTTACTACATTCCAATACAACTACGCTTTCCTTTTCCGAAAGGCACGAAGGTCTTGTTGCCCAGCTGCCATGGGTTGGGATCCATGAATCGATCTGGGTTGAAGCGCTGGGGTTCCGGATATTCTTCCTCATTCTGATGAAGCAAGTGTAGGGTCATCCCGACGGGCGTGCCGGCTGGTATCCGCCAGTCTGCGTAAACGAGGTCCTTGTCCTGGGCGATACGAGCACTGCGAGTGGCTATGGCGGGAGCCAGACGCATGGCTTCCATAATGATGGCAGTCAAGTAAGGAAGCTGCTCGAGCGTCTTCAACTCACGGTCGGGGGCAGCAGTGAGCTCAGCCCGTAGCTTCTGGAGGATCTTAGAGTTATTGTAGATGTGGAAGGTTGCGATTCGTATAACAGCAGCCGTCGTCTCGAATCCAGCGCCTGTTGTGGTGGACATATCATCAAATACTCTTTCAAATGATTTCTCTGGGGGTGGAAGTTTGGATTGCATGATTTCATGGACCAACGTGCGTGGGCCGTCATCATCTGGGGATACTGCCGCCTTCATGAGGTTCTTGGTATCATTCATAGACATCTATACACAATCACACACACAAACACGATACGCGTTAGCTGTTGAACAATACATTTTTCTAGTTGGAACTTACCATATGGAAGCGGAAGAAGTCTTTCATGATAGGATCGGAGACTGCCATGATCCACTGCGTCGGGATGGACCGCATTAAGGGACCGAAGAAGCGTATAAACTTAGTAGTACGCCACAAAAGACCGCCAGCCTGGGCGGCGACCACCATACCGGCATCGAAGTCTTCCTTCCCAAGATCATTATAATGCTTCCCCAATATATACTCGTTGGAAACATCGCGCACGAATGCAGTAAATGCGGCGCCGAGGTCTACGGTCTTCTGAGACGCAGCAAAGCCCGATAGTCTGTGAAAAAGCGCTTGGACATGCCTCATGATCATATCCTGCCGATTCGACACCTTGACCTTGGAGAAGAAGGGACTCAGTGGCAGACGACGGTTCTTGTGGAGGGTGTGATCGGCCGTCCAGAGAGTGGCGCCTTTGGTCGCAAAGGCATCGACGGACCAATCGTACTTGTGCCATACTCCTTCCTGGCGGTTGTAGAGAGTGTCAAAGAAAGCTGGATCATTCACGTGAAGCTCATAGGGGCTGATGCGAATAATTGGGCCTGTTCCAGATGTAAGTAATGACGGTGCAGCAGCCGGTGCGGCACCCGAGGGCCAGTTGCTTCTCACCGTACTGTTTATGCAGTTCTGCTATCTTGAAGGTATACTGGCCGCTCTGGTAAAGATCGTAGTAGCCTTCGTACAATCGCGTCACAGCCGCGAGCTTGGGGCCGGGGAATCGTGCTAGAGGATGCAGATAAAGCCGGTACAGCGCAAGTGTTGCATAGTAGAGGACGACGGTAGCGGCAATACTCTGCCACGATAGCAAGCTGGAGAGAGCTTCCATGACGACGACGGTAGAATGTTGAGTCTACGCGATGAAACTCAGTTGGAAATTTTGGGTTGGGAGGGGACGGAGGGGGAGGGCTTGTGAGTTTATACCTAGTACCTAAATTCACTTGGCATTAATCAATGATCTACTACCAGCTGTTGGTTGGAATAGGGTACATCCTGCAGGCCGTTAGTCCCACATGGCATAAGGCTATCCTGTAACGACTCGGTATAAGGATGTAAGGGGCCGATTCACCAACCAACCGTCAGCAAGGATCCGGGACAAAGGGCCATAGAGAGCCATAGAGCATGCATAGCAAACATAGTCCACTTCCATATCATTCATTACTATACAGTTGGAAGTGCCTCTTCCACACTCTACGTACAATCCCCCCCTTGCTCTGCCTCCCTTCGGGGAGGTACCCCAGGCGTCCCATACGTCAAACATACGTGCCGACGGCCCTGGCCTTAGTATTTAGATACTTGAGTTAGAGGTCGTCCCTTGGACGAAAACAATTTCATCCTCATTATCATCACGTACAACCCCCCCCCCCCCCCCCCAAAGGCAGACATACAACTGCACGAAGCAGGTTACGAGCATGTCGAATTTAGGACCTGCTTCTCAGCCCTCCTCTGTTGAGCGGAGCCCTGAGGTGCTGCTACCAAAGGAGGCGCCAGTGATGAGTTCCAAGGAGGAGGTAGGCGAGACGGATAATCACCACGACAATTCAGACGAATATGTGACAGGCGTCAAACTGGTGTTGATTGTCGCGAGCGTGGCGCTTGCTTGTTTCTTGATGCTTTTGGACACGATGGTCGTCAGCACGGTCAGTAATCTCTTCGTCGAGCCTTTTCGCGGGGCTTTTTTTTTCACTTGCTCACTGACCTAAAGGCAATCCCGAGTATCACCGACACTTTCAATTCGCTTCCAGATGTCGGGTGGTATGCCAGTGCATACCAGTTTGGCAGGTTCGTGGGTTCCATCATTCGGTCAGAAGATGTCGTTCTAAGAGGCGCTACAGTGCTGCTCCACAGCCACTCACAGGAAAGGTGTATACGCACTTCAACACCAAGGTCCGTATTACCGATACATGCTCTGACAAGATCCATAGCCAGTCTCTTTGCTAATGGGGCTATAAAGTGGTCGTTCTTGTCGTTCTTCGCGATATTCGAGATCGGTTCCATTTTGTGTGGTGCTGCTGCCTCGTCCGATATGTTGATCGTCGGGCGCGCCGTCGCTGGATTCGGCGCTGCTGGTATCACCAATGGCGCCATAACCATCATTTCGAGTTGTGCACCTCTTGAGAAGCGTCCTGGTATGTGGAGCCTCCTAGGGGCTTGTGACTGGATCTTGGAACCTCTGGAAATTTGATAATTACTAACGTGTAGAATTAATAGCACTCATCGGTCTGACTATGGGTTGTGAGTTTTCTTCTATGCCATGCCAAGTGCCTCTATGCTCACCCACTCGTTACCACAGTGATGCAGTTCGGTCTTGTAGCAGGACCTCTCATAGGAGGTGCTTTTACCACATATACTACATGGAGGTGGTGTAAGTGCTCTCCAAGTCCATCTGCTCTCCAGGACGAGCAGTTCGCTGATATAGACACCAGGCTTCTATGTCAATTTACCGGTTGGAGCATTTACTGCACTGGTCATCCTTCTAGTGCCAGTTCCTGAACAAATGCCAAAACAAAAGGCTTTCGTAATTTTCTCGAGATTGCACCACTACTTAGATCTTCTTGGATTTGCTCTCTTTGCACCTGCCGTCCTTCAACTCCTACTTGCTCTGCAATATGGAGGCAATCAGTACGCATGGAGGTCTTCCACTGTCATAGGACTATTCTGTGGATCCGGTGCAACTTTTGTCGTGTGGCTCCTCTGGAATCGACACAAAGGAGATGATGCACTTCTCCCACACTCAATGATAAAACAGACAGTTGTGTGGGCATCGGGGCTTTTCCAGGCTTTCATGATTTCGGCTGTTTACGGTGCAACATTCTTTCTTCCCATTTATTTCCAGGCTATCAACAATGTGACAGCGATGTTAAGTGGTGTATATCTTTTGCCCACGATTCTGCCGCAGCTCTTGATGGCTGGTCTCTCTGGAGTTTTGTGTAAGTTCCGAGTATTCTCGTATGTCAATCCCGGATGACAGAGGTCGCTTACTAGATTCTAGTACAGAAAATGGGCTATATAATTCCAATAGCTGTAGTTGGCACTATTTTTCTTGCCCTGGGAAGCGGACTCTATTCGCTGCTGCAGCCCGATAGTTCGACTGGGGATTGGGTCGGCTTCCAAATTCTGGCAGGTGTTGGGTCAGGGCTCAGCATGCAACTAGTATGTTAACGAACACACCGTTTGGACCATACGGATAAGCTAACCTTGATCACCGCACGAAGTCGATCATCTCAATCCAAGCCGCCGTCGGAGAAGCGCAGCTTGCCACCGGTATGGCCCTCGTTATCTTCGCTCAATCACTAGGTCCAGCTCTCGTTTTGGTTGTGTGTAATGTGATTTTCAACTCCAGCTTGAAGTCTCAGCTACTAGACAAGGCACCGCGCACCGATGCGGCGGCAGTGATTCAGGCAGGGGCTACAGGATTTCGTGCCATTGTGAAGAGTGATGATCTCCCTGGGGTCCTTGCTGCCTACGCCACCAGTGTTGACCGAGTTTTTTATTTCGTTACCGCAATAGCTGCTGCATGCATTGTCGTGTTGTGGGGTATGGGTTGGCATGATCTAAGAACAAAAGGCAATAAAGTGGAAGACGGGGCTGTTCACTCTGATAAGCATGGGGAGTCGGCGTGATCCATATTCTATTTCATCAGTGTCTGGTGCTCTGTGTTATGGTGTCTTGAGCTGAAAGCTCAAAGGGCAATTATGAAGTGGGTATGCATAGTGGATGGACTTAACTGAGGAAATGCTCGTACCCAGTACGGCGGCCTGTTCGTTCAACTATGCCAAAAAAATATTTTTCTAAGAATATTGCCCAAAGGGGTAAAGAATACACTTTAGCCCCTGATTTCCCTTATTTAGCGTCGATAGGTCAGTACTTCGGACGTTAGATTTTAGAATTTTGGCTCAGCATGTAAGGTACAAGCTTGCTCATATAAAATTAAGTGCCAGGGCATGTTACTTTGATGATTTGATTTTGAAGTAAGCTATTGAATGATTGAATGATTGAATAAGTGGTAGAATGTTATATAAGCGGTTGACTGCGCGGAACATACTATCTATGTATGAAGCTATTCCCAACCTTACTACTTGCAATCTTCCAAGGTTAGCATTCGAGCCATATGGGCTTTATATGTTGAGTAGCTGCTGGAGGTTTTGAACTATTTTGATTACTTATATAATCTAAAACCCAAGCTCACCTACCTTGATTTTCTAGCTGCCAGTAGATACTGGATGGAGGGATAAAAGGTAGTTTAGGTTCAATTCCTATTAGGCCTGTTAGTGCCTTACTTTTATCCCTTTTATCTCCAGTGACAGCAGGTACTTACTTATACAAGTAAATCTACATATAAACTTATGTATTACCTGTCGAATTTGCTAATCCCCAACGTATTGCTCTACTTTTTATGTGTATTCATCTAACAATTACTAGTAGTGGCTGCATATCCACTACTCGATTCGGAATGGCCAAACCTATTTTCCAGCGCTCTGAATTTTTTTTGGCATAGATGTACGAACAGGCCACCACACCCAGCCTGATACTCCTCGAGTGTTACTATAATCGAGCGATCAGTCTCATTTTTAACTATATTCTTAGGGGACAAATGGTTTTTTAATCTTGGTCAATACAGGGAATTAGTTATTGGTACAGTTTTTAGCTAAATTAACCGAGATATCCTTACCGCCAAAGGTGTGTGTACGACGACGTATGTTTAGCAGAAACAAAGGGCCTGGGACTCATATCTGTCCATGGTGTTAAGTAATATAAAATAGCTCAGTGTCAGGGGCATAAGTGGAGTAGGCCTAGAAGGAGGTCCTGCGGACCTCCTGCTAGGCAAACGCGAGTTAGCAAGGTATAAGAAGGGGGCGAAGCCCCCTTCAACCTTAGAAGAAGTAGCGTTATTAGTTCATCTCATACTTGCTATATACTAGCAGCGGCTACGCCGCTTCTCTGCACTCACTTTACGCTTGACTTAGGGACCTATTACTGACAATCAGTCCTTATCCTTTTGATATCGCTTTTTAATATAGCGCCTGAGATCTCAAGAGTTATTATGTCGTACATAAGTATGGTTATTTACCCCTTTTTCGTTCTATGGTTCTTGTAAAAAGCACGGGTGGAAATATCCATCACCATTCTACGTCTTTCAATCCTCTGCATTCGGTATGAGAGAGGTACGTACACTACTATAAGGAAAGCGTTTTCTAGACCTTTTGCGACTGAATAAATTGACTTCTACGTGCCTGTAAAATAAACAGGCTGCCAACGTCTCCTAAATAACGACACAGACATCCAGTATCTAAGCAACAACTCCTCTCCTAAAAGTCCCATCATAGAAAAACATACGAAAATAAATATCCTCTCGTTGAGTTAGAAATCTTTCAACTCTTCAGATTAGTCGCAGCGAAATCCTCTACTTCCTCCGCGTCAACTTGCACATCATCAAATTCCGATCTCAAGCGACGAATAGTGCCCGCTAGCTCACTGCCTCCTTCCATCTGCGGCAGATCATCAAACGCGATTTCGACTTCGTCGAGTGCGGACTCTGCGCGTTTTAATAAAGACACAAGGCGCCCGATGGACCGTTTAGCTCTGCTGCGTTTAGCTGAGCTTAGATCGTCCGCTTCGTTAGGATGGACACTGGATGGTGTCGATTTCTCGGAAGCTACCGGGTCGACGAACTCGAACGATGGAGAGGAGTAGTCGGAGTACTCGGATTTAATACTCCTCTGAGGCGTAGATCGGCCGCTGGATGGACTTTGTAAGCCTTGAAATGAGAATGTCGGGACTGGTTTCCCGCAATTGATATCGCGCCCAAAGGTAGATGAACTACTCGAAGTAGCATTTGAAGTGCTTGAGCTACTGAGCGAGTTAAGAGTGATGGGGGCCTTGGGCATCTTAAGGAATGGATGGCTCTGCTGCGGAGGTAGTGTACCCTGAGCGGTCGTGTCGCATCGCGCACTTTCCCCCTTTTCCGAGGTTTTATCAGTCGATTTATGGTCTTCGCCTCGGATCTCAAATGACGATCTAGCGACTCTCGCTGGTGCTTTGGTTTTGGGTTTAAGAGTTTCTGGTTTACTAGAAGCCATGTCCTTGGAAACAGCCACAGGTTCCTGTATCTGAGTCGGCTCAACTATTTTCGGTCTAGGAAAATTAGATCAGTTCTCAATATTCCCATAAGTAAAAAAGTATGTGCCAACTTACCCGAAGCTTGCTTTCTTCAACCTCTCCGTGCCTAGTTCATCAGCTGTATTCTTTATTTTGCGTCGGACTTTCTCTTCGATTAAGTCGTGAACGTTCTCTCCATAGTCGTTGTCGATGTCTTCGTACCCATCAAGGTTGAGTTGGACAAGTAAAGGGGTGATGTCCGCATTCTTAAAGCCGAGACCGACTGTTTCTAGAAATTCGACGAAGTACAGCTTTTGGTACTTGTCCCAAGAGAATCTGACACTGGATACCAAATCCCGAGCCTTCGTGCTTCTCCACACAGTTGAATCAGGGGTTCGGATACGAGCATGAGATGAAGTCCCAACGGGAGTCACATTGGTGGACTTCTGGACCATGGTGGCCTGTTGCGTTTCTGCTGCTTCTCGATAGAAGGATATAGCAATGGATAATGATGATAAAAGTATTTCGAAGATTTTAAACCCTTGGACGAAGGAAGAAGATTCTTCAAGAATAGTGTGATAAGACATCATCGTCAATGCGGACAAAGTTCAAGCTATCTTGAACTAAACTCAAACAACTTACATTTCATGTTGGTCTTATGCAGCCTCCCTCATCTACATTGCCATGGTACAACCCCTTTTTCAATTCGGCGTGGAAATAATGCTTGAGACGTCATTTGGGTAGAAATTTGCGAGGCTTATATCTCAATCGCCCGTCGAGCCGGGTTACATCCAGAGATGTGAAGATGCGCGCAAGACTTCCTAATCATTGTTGGCAATAATCTATTTTACTAGAATCTTTAAGTTATGTATTCCATACAACAGCCTTCATCTTACGTCGAAGCTACGGAAGGTAAAGGAGTGAGGGGGGTATTTGATTAAGTACATATTGCTGTTTAAATTGATTTTCCACCAGACCCTCTTTGATAAAAGAGGCTTACCAGGTGTCGGGTCTATTAGTCAGCGAGTCTCTGTTGAGATTATATAATACCAGGGGTCTCGACTAGGATAGTATATCAACCAATCAAAATGCCAGATTCGCAGGATGAATAATCCTGTGACACATTCGTAATCTCTTCATAACTTCATCCTTTTCCTTCATTCCCGTCAACTCTGGTCGGTTCATGTCGACGATAACGTTACAATATGCAAGTTGTAGTCGACTACTATGGCACCCGGTTCAGGCAAGACTAAGGTAAAAACTGGGTGTCGCACGTGCAAGTAAGTACAGAAACAAATACAGCCTATTCGCCAGATCACGTGGCTAACCCCGTGAAAGGGCGCGGAAAGTCAAGTGTGATGAAGGCTGGCCTTCATGTAGGAGATGTCTCTCTACAGGCCGCATCTGCGAAGGGTATGGAATATGGGGCGGAGGGGAAAAGCATCGTCACCCCACTTCCGCCGTCCACAGCACCAAGCATTCCGAAATCGTCATATTTGCGCCGACACCCATCGAAACGGCAAACAAAGATGAGAGCCGATGTCTCGAATGGTTTACGCATCGAAGCGCCTTCAAGCTTCCTGGTGTTTTTCGCTTTGAATTCTGGGATAAGCTCGTCTTTCAGGCTGCCTCAACTGAACCGGCTGTTCGGCACGCAATCCTCGCGCTAGGCTCAGCTCATAAGAGAGAAGGTCGTGTCAGCCTCATTCCAGCATTGGACATCACCCCGGACAAAGAAGAACAGTTTACGCTGCAGCAGTATAGCAAAGCGATCACCTATCTTCAGCCGCATTTTTCATCCAGGGAAAATTCTTCAGTTCGCGTTGGCCTTCTTACATGTTTAATTTTCGTAATCTTGGAATTCATCCGAGGCCGCTACAAAACAGCCATCACCCATCTTCAGAGTGGCTTGAAACTCCTGGACGAATCTCAAGCTCGGTCAGATGACGTGGAGAGTTATAGCTTATTCTCGGAGCCGTGTCGTGATTCGGTAGATGCTTGGATTATTCAAGCTTTTATCAGGCTTGATGTTCAGACGAAACTGATGGGCCAAGGGTCGCACTATCTGAACTTCATTCGAGAGGATCGTACCCCCGAAATCCCAACCCACGGGTTCGCCTTCCAGTCCATACATCAAGCAAGACAACATTTAGATCGTTTGCTTGGTCAGATCTTATACTTAAGTCACGAATATCGTTCTCAAGCCAGACGTCGAGCCAAAATCTATCTCAATAGTTATTTACTTAGACAACGACGTATCGAGGCCAAGCTTGGCGTATTATTCCCAGCATTTAAGATCTTGAGGGAAAACCAAATAGTCGAAAGAGTCAGCACGAGTAATGTAGCCTTTACACTACTACACATATACTACCTCCTGGCGGGAATAATGCTTGATACATGTCTCCGGCCAACAGACCAATTAAGATACGACGCCCATACGAAATCCTTCCTGGCAATAATGGATCAGATGAGATTATTAGCGTACATCACTTCATCTACCGTCTTGTATAAGGTTTTGCATCTGCCAAACATGTCCAGCACTATCTCCGACCTCGGTGCATTCCCGCCTCTCTTTTATCTAGTTACTAAATGTCGGGTAAGCTGGATCAGGCACGCTGCTCTTGATTTCTTGAAACGATTACCCCACAATGAAGGGATTTGGACTGGGCGAATGATATCAAGCATAGCGGAGGAAGTGGTCAAAATCGAGGAAGGTGACTTTTACGAGGGTGTTGCTGCGACCGACGAAGCTTCCTTCTGCAGCGCCTCCGACAAACTCGAGGTCCTGCAACCCGTGCTGCCTGAGTCATATAGGATACATGATGTTAAAATAGAGCTACCGGAAGATTATGCAGGGACGGTTACACTAAGGTGCACACGCGGATTGGAGGATTCCAACGAGGAGGTGATTACTAGAGATTTCGTATATAATGAATCAGCTCAGCGTTGGGTAATTAAGGGTAGAAAGGTGTAGACGGTGTAGAGTATTACGAATGATGAACAAGCTCCCATTTTAATATAACGACTTGCATGGCACAGAATACAACTCGTCCCGCGATTGGTTCCCCTATTCTGATGTCGTCTTTTTCATTTAAGGTTAAGAAGCTCTCTTATGCGCCTCGTTGAAATGAGAAATATTCATTTTACCTACCTAGTCATCATAGATCTATCTAGCATGTTGAGTGCTCTGCAGGCGTGAGCCTTGCTCTAGACTCCTTCTGGGATGCATTTCATAACTCGGCCGAGGGCATCGGCGTTTAAAAGCTTCATTTAGCGACCCGCATTCGATCCGTTTCTAGCTTTCACATGATGATGACCCATTAGAAATCAAAGTTGGAAATCTCACCAACATTATAATCGCTCAATTAGTTTAGCACATCGTGGGCGGTCTAATCAAGTTGGCAATGACGGTCTTCCAAGAATTGGCAGCTGTGCCAAGACAGCCTAGATGCAAACCATGATCTACTCCCGCACGAACAAGCCAAATTGATCATAGATTAGATCGACTTGCATGAATAGATAAAAGATGGTCGGGGCTGTGGCGGTTCGGGAAGACCCGCCAGATTGTTGGCAGGAAACACCATGTAACCCCCATCATACGAGATGCGAGACTCCGATTCTTGTGACTTTCCCGTTAGCACGACCGCGCTCTTATATCGCCCTTATATAGCTCTTATGTGTCGCTATTAACGAGCATGGAATATCGGGATCACGAGAGCAGACGAGAGCAGACGATAGCAACAACTCTGCCCAACTGCCAAATTCATTACTTAATGCCTTTACCAGAAGAGAGTGCCGGCATTAGTTTCTCCACGCTGTCCACTCCGCTAACTCATCCCACATAAACAAAAAAACAAAGCTAGAATATTCTGTCGACCAATTGTGAAAAGACGCCTGCCTCAAAGAGAAATAGTCTATAATAGGCAATATCTTATATGAAATAAGCTCTAGCCGCTGTCGCTCTACCCTCTGCTCGGCGGCGGAGTAATTACGGGATCGCTTAACCCTCTTCGGGAGGTTCTTCACATTAGGGAGTTGTTGGTAAGCACTTGAGTAGAGCCGAAACCGCATGACTTAATCGAGATCAAGGTCGAGAAAACAACTTCCCGTTTCTCGAAACAGTCCGGTCCCCATAGATGGAGATCGTGGGAACAAGAAAACCAAGGAAAATGTTGTCAGGTCGTTAGGTCGTCTCCCAACCCGCCGAGACATCGCAGCATGTGTAGCATGTGTAGGCATGTGTAGGCATGTGTAGGGCGGCAGCGCCCCCTCCAATCGAATAGGGCAAAAGCGGAATTATGGTTTCCGAACCAGCATATAGCATCATCCCACATAGTCAGCTCCCGCTAGATCTGAGATCGGGAAGCCCAACTTGCATTGCTACGCATCCACTCTTGTGATTATCAATTGCTTACGAGCTTTCGGAGTGCTGCAGCATGTCGTCAAATCTGGAAGGAAAGACACCGAACGACTGAGCCCTCTGTGAGGCTCCGCCGCATCGTGTGATCCTTCGGTCTAGATCACTGCGCCCCCGGGTGAATCTTCTGTCGGTGTATAGGTATATATATGGCCCTTGAAGATCTTCGCTTGATCGTCCTTCAGCCCGCTTACCTACCTACATTGTACATACATACATACATACATACATACAACCACGCGACATTAACCAGACCCATATATTCCCATTACAGTACAGTAATCGCAGCAGCACCCAGCAGCGCGTCTACATCAACCAACCAACCAACCAACCAGATAGCAGCCATGAAGTGCACATCCTACGCAGCCCTCGGCGCGATCTTCGCCGCCACCGCCGCCGTAGCGCAGGACTTCTCCGGGTCGGGGCAGATCTGGATCATCAACAGCACGAGCCTCGGGGGCGCGACGCCGGCCGAGAGCATCGGGTGCCTGGACGCCACGGGAGCCCTCTCGCTCGACGACTGCGCGACCTTCACCAAACTCAGCACGTATCCCCTAACCGTCTCGAGCGAGGCCGGCAACTGCACCTTCGACGACTCCAGCCAGCCCGCCAACACGGACAGCGTGTACGGCGCCCACTCGTACGCCTGGCACTGTCTCGACGGCTACGTCGCCACCACGTCTGATCAACTGTACACCATCAATGTTCGTCGCCCTCTTTCCTTTTTTCCCCCCTTCACCTTCGCCCCCCCCTGCCCCCCAATCTGTCATCTCGTACTAAGCAAGAGATGAAATGAAATGAGATGCGCTCGAATGAACGAGACCAGAAACCCCAAAAGCTAACCTCTTTGAACAGGGAATGAATTACCCGTTCTTATGCCACGCAGACACCGACTGCTACTACGACATCAAGCTCCTCCCCAGCAGCGATACCACCGCGCCGGTATGGAGTTACCTCTGGGGATCGCAGCAGACGTCGGTTCCGGCTGGTCACACGAAAGTGATGTGGTACTGGAACAAGACATCCTAGGATAGGTACCTAGCCAAGGATACCAAGCAGCTTGGGAGAAGGGGGGCAGGGTTAATTTTTCCCGCCCCACCGCCGTCAAGTTCTGGTGGGGGGGGGGGGGGGGGGGTTTCGCGATGGGAGGATATTTGTGTCTCTTTTGGGTATAACCGGTGCATGGGAGGGGGTTTAATGAATTTCAAGTTTATTCGGGTAGTATTTTTACCTTTAATCAAATGAATTAACAAAAAATCATACCTACATACATACATACTACCTAGGTACTGTATGCACCATCGCAGGGTAGCATTGGCCCCGTGTCTTGGGTACCGCGTCTATGCCGGATGGGAATGGGATGGCTGGATGGGACGGTTTGGACTGACATCACCCCTCCATCCCATCAAAAATTCTTAAACGCCGTCGTCGTCGTCGTCGCGCGCGGCCGTACTCGGCAAATTTTTGTTCGCTACCGTTGTTTTTGCTACGTCCCCGGCATTGGATCTGGATACGGATATTGATATTTCAATAGAGAAGGTGACATATGCGCCGGCGACAAAAGGGAAGGACGATACCAGCCAAGAAGAGACAAGACTTTCCAGAACCGTCATTAGCCGCTAACGCAGCCCCGGCATTTGACACGTGAAAAAGGGGGCGCAGCAGCAGCCAGATAACAATACGATACGTACATAGTGTACCGCTGGCATGGGCGGAATGGGGCGATGTGGGATGAGAGATTGAGTGGATTCAGGCCTCAAGCGGGTTAGTCATATGGGGGACAGCGGATGGGTACAGTATACGCGTCTAGATGATTCTCACAACCAATGCTGGTTGATATAAAGTCTTGTATACGTAAGCTTGCAATCGAGAAACTTCGAAGAGCGGTCAAATCTAATTATCCCACCACTTAAATAAAGCATCAATACATTGTTTGTGATTTTCTGGTTGAGCGGCCTGCAGGTTGAAGGCTCGTAAAATGAGACACCGAAACTATTTCCTTTCTACCTTGACCAGCTGAAAACAATAAATGAGCGGCATGTTATAGGCGTACTCATATAGGTATTTAACCTCATATGCCGACGCGCAATAAGGGGAAGTTCCCCCTATATTAGCTGATGACTAAGCATTTCCGACTCCCTTTGCCTTCATGCAGGAAGATGGATAGCTGTCTATCTACTGGAACGTTGTTTGAATCTCTTCATCTTCCACTTGTAATCGATCGGCCTTCATCAGTTATAAGCGTGGTAAATCTGCCTGGCCATCCCGCAAAATGATCGTATATTCGAATCACCCGTCTTCAATACCCATAGGTACCTGTCACCGCAAATACGACAACGTCATCTGAAACATCCATATTCTACTCGGTATATACCTACCTGGGTATCCACTCAATGCTAGCCCTAGTATTAAGGTCGAAGATGCCGCGGTAATCTATCAGCTCATCTGTACGTTCGTAGCAAACCGAGAAGGATACGACGGGGCCTCTAAGTGCAAGGCCGAATCGAATGAAGCTTAAACGCAATCCCGGCATGATTATATAGCCACACTACATATTACCTTCCGGCAATGAGATGCCGTCGAGCGGCAGATCCACCTGCAGGCGAGAAGCTGCGTAAGCCTGGACCCAAACGGCTCCACCGATAGGGCTTCACTTGTCAACGATGTTGTGGTCAATCGAGTTAAGATGTCTCATCTGGATCCAATATCCACCTGCAGGTCTGACAGCCGGCCTTGAAAGCATCAATTAACCCGCTGTCAAAAGCCTCGTTATTACCCAGTTCAACCCGGGAGTTGCCGCCCTCCGCCTACCTGGTCCCCAGGACCTAACTCGAGCAACTTGAATATGTTAATACCCTAGGAGCATACGTAATCCCCAAGTTAAAATATTCAGCCCGTACTTGATACCGAATTCGAACCCGCAAATTTAGCTTCTACAGCTGCGCAAGGTGGCGACATGCCCAGCAGTAGGAAGATATGTTTCTGTTCCCTCCAAAGAGCACAGTTATCAAGTAACCTCCTACGAAATGTTTCGATGAGGTTGAAGCTTGGCTAATGAAAAGGGGCAAGATAAGTGCTACAAGCTCAGAACTCCACACATATTAATAACCCTTGAGACGTAGTCACGCGAGGAAACGCGGTAAAACGGCAACCGCTGATTCTTCCATCACACTCACCTCAGACCGAAATTTTCCCTCTGTCTGCAGGTGTGGGAAAGCACTTCACTTTCGCATTCATGTAGCATTCCAATGTTTTAGATGTTTAATGACCAAGTCACACGTCAATACAACCAATGTCTCCAAAAGGTGGTATTCACATTATCGCAGTCACAGCCACGATATAGTACACACAAGCACACCGCATACACAAGGCTCAGGCATAGCAGCAGGCGATGGTCGTGAAGTAAATGGCTCACCTGCTGCTTTCATATCCGTTATGCTGGAGTTTCCCCTTCGCCCAGTTCCTCATTGCCCCTTTCCATACAAATGGCCATTTCCCCTGGTCCATTGAACTGAACCTGTGCAGATGCATGTCCTTCCAAAAAATCCCCTTCCAAAATGCAAAGTGCCATGTCTTCCTTTCGCCGAGGTTTTGGTGGTCGTATACAACATCAGGGTGATATCGTCCTCATTTCCATGTGACTCTTCATGTCATGTGACCCCATGTCTCCATCGATGCAATCCTCATTCATAATAATACTTCGTTTCGAACCTCTTCATACGAGGTTCCTTTAATTCATCATAGGGGATAGGTAATAGGGTATGGCTAGGTACCCCACTTCTGCTTGCCCTCACTAGGGGCGCGGCTTCGTCTCTGCTTCCCGGATGTAGATCGTGTTGATGAACTAGCGCCGGTAGTGGCAATATTGCCAGACTCCGATACAGATAATCGGCTTCCGTGTCGTCGAGGTCCCTCCGCGGCGCTTTCGATGTTTTCCTTATTGGACATCAAGCTTTCGCTTCGGGGCATGCCTGTAGGGACGCCTAAGCTAGGTCGCGAGACATAGATTCCTGGGGTTCTAGGTGCTCTGCTCTTGCTAGAAGTCAAGCTGCTACCCGCCTGAATGTCGCTACTAGCTCGGCGGGGGCTACTGACCTGTGCGCTAGAATTGCTAGTGAGATCATCTCTGCTTTTAGGACGATATGCGACATGCTCACGCTCTGGGGCAAGAGAAGCAGCCGATCGTCTAGCGCTCGATGCCACTTCGATAAAGGCGGCAGACTGAGAGTGAGCGTGAGGACCACGCGGGGCTTGCGTAGGAGTAATGGGGACTGAGGTAGAGGAATGAAGGGAAGGGGGTGTATATATTCGTCTTCCTCCAGATCGCGCACGATTAGACGCTGCGGCCTGTGGCGCCGATGTAGGTACGGCAAACTGGTCGGGACCTCCATCTATAAGGGAGACCAGATCAGATGCTAGGTTTCGAACCAGCACAGCAGAATCCTTCTCAGCCAGGATTCTGATGGCATCCACCAGAGATCCAAGCTGCTTGTTTCGCAGATCTGCAAAGTAATCCGATTCTCGTGCCTCGAGTATGTTTCGGACGAGACGGAGTAGGTTCAAACGAACAACAGCCTTCTTGTGGGAAAGCTTCTGCGCTATTCCCGAATACATAGCTGATTTAGCCAGTGATGCGGCCAACGATGGGGAGATTCGAAGAACCTTGAGCAGAGGTTCCAAAAGATTAGGATCGAACGCGTTGATCTTGTGCGTGTTAAAACAAGAAACAATGGCGTCCGTGAACTGGCAGTTGATAAGATGACCTTCTACCTTGGCCGTCTCCTCTTGCAACCTAGTCTAATTGTCAGCGAATTTGTGCTGCTTTGAAAGTATGAGAGTGACCTACCAAACGAAAATAGCGTCCAGCGCAGTAACCTGCCAGTACTGATCTGCCAAGAGAGAGATGTAGAAGTCGAGGCCCTTATTCTGCCACAAGAATCGGCGTCCCTTGCTTCCCGAGTGGGCCATGTCGCACAAGATAGGTAGGGCGAATTCCTTCGGAGGACGGTCCGTCTTCATAATCTCCAATAACAATGGAATAATTCCATTGACAGCCGCATACTCTTGGCGGTCCTTGCTCAAACGGCAGAGGTTGAACATTGTGTTCAATACCTGGTTCGAAATCTCGCGGAAATGAGGATGGCCATTCTTCATGCTATTGCTGAGTAATTCGATAAGGAGATCAATAGCGTCTGCAGCGTGGAGAGCTTCAAGCGTCGTAGAGAGCATCGAGAGATTCTTGATGAATTTCAGCATCGTGATCTGATGGGCTGGTGTCATACGACGTAGATCCTTTAGGATGCCTAACCATCCATTAGCTTGAACCACAACGGTTATCTAGGTAAGCAAGAGCCACTTACTCTTTAACACTTGTCGGTCAGCCACCATCTCTTTAACATAGTTCTCAGCTTGCGAGAACAGATAGAAGATGTTCACTATACGACCTTCAATCAATTCCGTAAGCTCATTCTCAGAATCCTCGTCAAGGACACGATGGAGAACCAGAGCAAGAGGATCAAGGATCTTGCTTCGCGAGAAGATGCGACAGAAGTCATTCTTCGGGGTAGGTCCCTAAGTGCTGGTGTCAGTAGAGATATATGCGAAAAGATGGTGATAACAAACCTGAAGCTCAAACACACTCCAAATACCATTGACACCGATGAGCACAAGGTCTCTTGCACTGTCATAATCTTCATCTAAGAACTCCACCAGGACATTGAGACCGCCAGCACTAACAAACATCTGCAGTGTCAGGGTGGAAGTTTGATACATCTGTCTTACAAAGGCTGCAGCCTCTAAGCGGATTTCATTAGAGTATTGCCGGGCCGCAAACTTCGTGATGATCGGGATACCGCCAACGAAGCAAAGATTCTCTTGCAGCTCGATGTCATCTAAAATAATCTAACTTAAGGTCAGCTACCAGGTATTAACGAAAGCGAACACTTGATCTTCATACCGTGTTGACAACTTGCAGCAGTTGCAAGATCATTCGTTGCTTGCTCTTAGCGGTACATGGTTCAAGGATCTCGAGAATAGGAAGTAGTCCATGGGCGCTAATGATTAGATTCTTGACCTCTCTGTGCTCGTAAAGTAAACCTAGCTAAATTTGGGTATCAATATGTGAAATGCACATAGCTATCGAATGAAGAGGGTGATTAATACTGACCAAATCTCCCGACAATTCAAGAAGAGTCTCTTCACCCTCGGTGGTCTTAAGCGAACCGACGAGTTCTTCGATCTTCTCCGCAAGCCGCGCGGATCGGTCGCGGGCGATGTTTGCTTCTAGATCCATTTCGTCCCAATCTGGGTCCATAGATGCGAAAGGATCGTCTTCGTCCTCGTCATCGCCGAGCCAAGAGTTACTAGATAATCGCGATAGTACTAGATTACCGTCTTCAGATCCTCGATCGCTCTCTTCCTTTTCGGCCAAGTTGCCACCTGGTCCAAAGATGTCTGAGAAATCTTCGTCTTCTTCGTCCTCGGCAAACTTCTGGATCTCAATAGACGAATTTGACCTTTGCATAGGACGATCGGGAAGTACTGATGGTCGCGCCGAAGATTGCCTTCTTGAGGTTCCCGAGACGGGAGATTGCATAGAACGCGGCAAACTAGTGAGATCTGAAGGGTGAAAGAGTTGAGGCGTATCAGGCTGTAAATCAGATGAGCGACGCGATGTTTAGGGGAGGATCATATATATGAGCCGAGCCGTTTTAATTAAAGACGTACCTTTTTCGCTAAGTTCAATCGTTGGTTAAAAACACTGTCGTTATCATCGAAAAGATCTGAATAATCCTCCACCGATTGTTCCCTAAATGCCAGATCAGGGCGCGAAGGTAGCTCAAATTTGGTACCACCAAGTTGGCTTTTGGGTTGAGATTTCTCTCTCTGGTGACCATTTGTTGATCTTTTCCGGGGAGAGGACTTCGGCGGTTGCTGCTTAGAATCGGTCTTTTCAGGCTTGGGTGTCATCTTCCAGTTGGGTCGGATCGTCTTCTCCTGTGGATCTTCCTCTTGAATGGGCGGTACTTTTTTCATTGTCATAAGCTCGCCATCATAGTCATTGTCCCAGTTAACAGAAATCTCACGCGAGTTATCCATAGATGCGAAAGCTTTCAGACGATCAGCCGAAAGCAAGCCACCAAAGTGGTCCTGGGGCTTCATAGGAAGCCTCAAGGCATTGGGTGAGAACGTCGTTGCAAAATCATCGTCCCAATTGTCGTCATCTAAGAAAGCAATGTAAGTAAAGTGCTAGATAATAAATATGCATAAGCATGTATGAGTACGTACCTGCAAGTTCGGGAGATCGAAAGTCTTCGGCGGTGAGCTTTGGCTTTCCGAGAGGAAAGGGCGCTTTCGAAGGCGTCGGCATGTTAGACCTAGGCTGGTCTTGTGACGTGAATCGAGATGTAGGGTGACCATGATGCAAAGGCATTGAAGAGTCGGATCCTCCAGAAGCTCTAAGGTTGGTTTCAGAGGAGGTGAGAGCTTTATTCCATTGTTTAACCTCCTCGACCGCCTGACTGAAGTTGCCAGGTGCTTTGGCCACCGGAGCGTCACTCCGACGGCAGCCCACAATCCAATTATGCTTCAAAAGCTTTCTTGCGGAGACACGTAAATTGGGGTCCTTCTGAAAGCACTGTATAAGAAAATCTCGCGCCGCCTAAACCACAGTTAGTCTCGACTCTAGCAGCTATGAAGCGAACGGTGTGACAATTACGAACCGAAGATACCCCTTCAGGAAGAGGTGGATGGTCATCGTTAACGATAGCAAATAATGCGGGCATCGCCTGAAGATGGTAGTACGGAGGTTTGCCAGATAATAGCTCGATGACGGTACATCCCAAACTCCAGATATCAGAAGCCGGCGTGGCACCGGAAAGCTCAATTATCTCCGGGGCCATCCAGTACGGGGTTCCTACTACTTGAGCTTCCTTGTCGGGTCCGGCGAGGGTACTAGTCGATACGCCGAAGTCTGCAAGCTTAACTTTGCCGTCTTTAGTCGTTAATATGTTGGCGCCTTTGATGTCTCTGTGAATAACACCCTGGTCGTGCAGATACTGAAGACCTTGGAGAACCTGGGTCATGTATACTCCAACCAAGTTCTCCGGGAACTTGCCATAAGCCTTGCATATCGAGTGTAGAGAACCATTTTCGCAGTACCTAACTTCCGTCAGTACCATAGGCATGCTGGTGGGCGACAAGCATAAAACGTAGATATAACGTACTCTAGGATAATATTGAGGCAGTCCGTTGATTTGACAAACCCAATGTATTTAACGATGTTATCGTGCTAGACAACATCAGTGATCAAGACAATGCCAGTAGCGACGATCTCGTCAACAGAGAGGAAGGGTTCCCTTACATTCAAATTCTTCAAGAGGTCGATCTCAGCCTAATGTATATCACATCAGCCTCCCATGTCCCTATATATGGGTGTATTATAGCAGCAGTATACCTCAATCATTCGAAGTTCACTCTTTGGTAGGTTCACCAACTTGATCTGTTTTACCGCCACGGCCTCGCCGGTGCCCCAATGGATGGCCTTGTAGACGGAGCCAAAAGCTCCTTTGCCTAGACATTCTCCTAGACGCTATAGCGAACCCAGTCAGCCCAGCGCCAAACACACACAACACTTATGCCGATGAGGTAGTAAGGTAGTAAGGTAGTCAGGTAGGCATGGATTAAACGTACATAATCTCTTAGACCTGGATCTTGTAAGGCCTTCTCTCGTCCGCCGCTTTCCTTTCTTGGGGTATTAGGTGTTCTGTCGTGTCTGGCCGCGACGGCAGCTTGGGGTTTTCCGTTTACTGCGCTGTAACGTCTATCGCCCGAGGCCGAACCGTTGGATGGATGGGGGCCATGCCCCGAGCTAGGCGCCATGGCCACGTTGTGTACAATGTCGTCTCCCCCTCCCTAGGCCCTGGATGCGGTCGTCTATCGAGATTCGTCGAAGCGGAAGCGTGAAGGAGGGGCGGTGCACGCGTCGTGGGCGGCCGTAAGGTCAGGAGTTTCTTTTCACATTCCACCTATACCAAATGTCTTCTCTTCCCACCAATGCTAGGATAATGCAGCTCTATGTCGAGTAAACGGGTCGTTGATCGTTAAATTGTTAATCGTTCTCGGTGGGGGCGTGTCTGTCGAGATTGGCAGACGGAGACGGGTGGGTTGGTAAACTGGTAGATTGGTAGACGGCAGCTTAACCAATTTCTATTTTTAAAAAGAGGGACTCAAAGGTCAGGTCAAGATCAGGTAAAGGTCGTTGTGAAACGAAAAAGAAAAAAGAAAAAAAACCAGCCTAAGCCTAAGCCTCAAAAAAGCTTCGTTGCCATGAATTCCCCAAATCTTGATTCCCGATGTGGGGAGAGGAAGGTTGCAAGGTAGCAGGGTCGCATGTATGGATTATTTGTGCGTGGGAAAGAATTCGGGCGTCCAATGACAACTTCCCCTTGCTGGTTGCTTGTTCCTGGAATGTTTCAAGATGCTGCAGCATAATTGGGTAGCTTACCTAGGTACGTACTGATAATGCTATTGTTGCCATAGGGCGAATTTCAGGCACGCCTCAAGTTTATAGCGGGGTATCGGGGACTACCTAAGTAAAGCAGCTACTGCAGCCTGCCTTGAGTTAAACATTTGAGACCCTGTACTTACCGTGATAGGTAATGTTATGTACTTAAAGATGTTTAGTAGTTACATGGGTGTCTAGCGTGACAGCGCCTACTGGTAGATATAGGGGCATAGTATGAAGACAACAACATTGGAACTTATAAACAAATACCTAGCAGATAGCACATGGGCACATAATAAACCTGAATTTCCCCGGTAATTCAGTGAACATGTTTATATTAAGTATAGGCCTCCTCAACGGAAAGGTGCCTGTACTGAGTATAGAGGACATAGTCTGTCCTTGCCCTGACATTAGGGCTTCGTAACTCAAACATAGAACTCAGCACTCATACTATATGTATGATAGTACACGACACAAGGCCAACCGTACGGTTCCTTTCCCTTTCTTTCCTTTTCTTCCCGATCCGGTTTAGTATCCCTTAACTCAGTGGAACGCATCATCGTGTTCACAGTGCAGCATTTTCCAGAACGCCATTATTAACCCACAAAACCACCAAGCGCCCTCCCCACCGAAGACTCCGTTTTGCCCTTCGCAATGTAATCATAGAATGCAATCATGACTGGCTGTTCCGATTCCTAAAAACGCCTGCATAGTTCCTAGTTATCTCCCTCCCACGACATGGAGCGACTGAGGCCAGCTCGCTCCCACCATTCGTCCGGGATATCTTCTCGAGAAGCAAGACGGCGGATGATAGCATGCATACTTGAGATGAATGCCAAGTCGTCGGGAGAACTGGTAGGATTAGCTCCCAGGGCTTCAATGTCTGGTCCTATGCCGTTCCGCCAATCATCAGATGATCCTTCCAGTTCGCTAACAGGATCACAAGGGGGTTCAGCCGCCTCTCCAGGACTAGTGATAGATGTGCGAGATGAGGGAATGGTAGGATTCTGAGATGCTGAAGTTGAAGCAGTAGTTGAAGCGAACGAGGAGCCGACGCTGGGAGGCTGAGGATCTGGGGTTAATGTGGTGAGTAGGTTATCCCACAATCCATCACCCTCAGGGCTCAAGCTACGATCACGATCGCCTAGGCCGTCGACACTTACACCTGGTCTGCGTCTACCCCGACCAGGCCGACCACGAGAGGGATTGATACGGGAACGACGATAATGACGCAAGGTTTGCTCAGATCGCCGGGTCGGAACCCGGATAACGTCAGTCAGAGGGAAAGATACTGGAGCGTAGTGCATCTGCACACGGTCCCCAACCCCCTCATACGGTGGGGTGTCGCGACTTCGATCAGGTGCATGGGGGATAGCGAACCTTGCTGACGTTGTCGACTCAGGGTTAGTGCTCTCAGCCGATTGCTCACGATCAAGCGCTTCAGATAAGTCCTGAATCACGAGTGGTTCCCGGGCTGACAGGTACGACACAACCTGATCGAGGGCACGTGCGTCTTGAGTAGGTGGAGTGTAGGTACGGGTATGAAGCGCATCACGAAGCGCGTCAGGCTCATAGCTCTCTTCTGGGCTGTCGAAAATGGTACGAAGGTTGGGAGCTCTCTGAGTTTCGCCATCGTCATTGTCGAATAGTTCGCTCATCTGACGTAGGCGGCGTTCACGAGCCTCACGGAGTTGACGACGTCGAGGAGATAAGGTGGTGCGGCGCGGTGAAGGTACATGAGCAATTGGCGATCGAGCGATTACGGGATGGGCAGGGGATCTTGTCGTAGATCGACGAGGGGCGCTGTCTTCAGGTTCACGCCAGAGTCTGGTTTTAAGATGTGTTAGCAAGAAAATAGTCAATGATAGTATCAATATGTGCAAATGGTGGATGAATTGCATTTCAAAGCAACGGGAAATTGGCAAATTGATGCAGATTGACGTCAGAATCATTTGCGGTGCTATCCGTGATAACGCGGGTGCAAAGAGACGCGTCATGATGATAATACTTACGGTAGACCCATTTTGGCGTGCGCGTGTGGTAACGGTTAACGGTCAGCCAGGCAACGTGCGACTTCGCTAGGATGGAAATCGCGCGCAACGTGAAGCTAAATAGCCGTAGCGAATGAGATAATCGGGACTGCGGCGACAATGATATCGATTGTCGCGTTGTCGCAGAAGTGTGGGTTGTTAATTGCCAGAAATGTAGAGGGAGAATCGACAGGGACTAATTTCAGCGACCAAGAATTAGGAGAAAAAGAAGGAGATAGGTATTAACGGCGTGCGGCAATCCACGATAGTATCTATCATCAATTGCGACGACCGTGCAGATTGGATCCTGGGTACTGTTGTGGAATAACAACAATGAAAGAATCAAAAATGGGAGAAAAAGACCGAATTGATCTGGTAGGTTAACCTTGAAGGTAAAAGGTTGTAAGTGGGAAGTGGGAGAGTTGCGATGGGATAGAAAGCCGGGTTTAAGTGGACTGTGCGTTCGCGCAGTTGAAAGATCTAATCATCCAATTGAAGGTACGTATCTACGTTACCTATACAAGATACGTTAGTACTCACTTGTAACCTGAAACTGGATGATAGCGCTAGTTAAATCTCACCAAAGTCGGTATCTTTCTAGGTACATATATGTACACGACCGACATGCACCACAGCCTTACCATTGACATCCAAATTAGGTATAGCTAGGACTTTAAACAGGTACGTCCCCACAATAATACATCGATCCCTGATTGAGTTTATTTTATTCCCAGCCAAATCAATAGGCTGAGAATTATTTATCATCTTACAACTTACAAGCAGTATATATCCTACTGTCATATTTCATACGATACTTCCACATCTACCAGTATATGACTCATATTGTGAACACATTACCCCCATAACAGAAATTGTAGGCGCCTGCCAAGTAACAATCAACTCAATTCACCTCAGACCGTACTCCTGAGTTTGCTACGTGCCAAGCTATCTATCTACGCACGTACGGCTTTCAGAAGTATTCAGCATCACCATGATGGTGAACCTCGGGCTAGCACGAATCACGGCCTTGCTCAAGCAGACACCACAAACATGGAAAGCCATCCATGTCGCTGGAACAAATGGCAAGGGCTCCATATGTGCGTATCTGACCGCCATGCTACGTGCCAATCAAATATCGTGCGGCAGGTTCACCTCGCCTCATCTCATCGATCCTCGAGATTGCATCACCATCAACGATAGTGTCGTGTCTGAGAGCAAATTCAAGCACTTCGAAGACTTGGTCAAGAGGAGAAATGAGGAGCAATGTCTTGGCGCGAGCGAATTTGAGCTGCTCACGGCCACGGCTTTTGAGATATTTGAGTCGGAGAAAGTCGAGGTTGGTATAATCGAAGTAGGGTTAGGCGGAAGACTGGATGCGACAAATGCACTAAAACATAAGCGTGTCACTGTCATTTCCAAAATTGGTATCGACCATCAATCTTTTCTAGGAAATACTATCGAGGAGATCGCTCTTCAAAAGGCCGGCATTATGCGGCAAGGGGTGACCTGTGTCGTGGATGGCAGCAACCCTGGTTCTGTATTGGGTGTTCTAAAGAAGCATGCCGAAGAAACAGGTAGCCACGTTCAATTTACAGATCCGGAGTCGGATACGCTTGTCAAGAAGTTGAGGGATAACCTTGAGCCACATCAACGCCAGAATCTTGCATGTGCCCATGAAGCATTCCGACTCGCGTATCCTCAACTTGCCAGCTCTACAGATATCCTTGCATCCGCTGCCCGAGATATGGTATGGCCTGGACGGCTTCAGCAATTGAGTATCGAGAAGTTAACTGGCAGGAAAGAAAATGTTCTCCTGGATGGGGCACACAACCCTCAATCAGCAGAAGTGCTCTCGACCTTCGTTGAGAAACATCTACGATCTCAAGGCAAACCCATTACTTGGGTGCTTGCCGCCACACAAGGAAAAGATGTATCAGAAATGTTCAAATTATTGTTACGTGATGGGGATTCTATAGTTACAGTCGAATTCGGGCCTGTGGATCAGATGCCTTGGGTTCGACCAACAGATTCGGCAGCATTACTCAACGCGGCGAGCAAATGCGTTACAATTGCTTCGCAGTCCGATGCGTCCACGAATGTGCGCTCGGCCCTCAACTGGGCAAGCCAAGCTGCGAACGAAGGCCCGCTTGTTATTGCCGGAAGTCTTTACCTGGTGTCTGATATCTTTAAATTGCTTAGGACTAATTAAGGGCAAACATGAAGCAACGGCTTCTAACTCCTAAGGCCAATTCGCATAGCGGTCCACGACATAACTACCTTACGCGGTTTAGAGTCAAATTAACCCGGGTATGAAACTAGGAGATTCTAACAGATTATGGCATATTGGAGGCGATATATGCTTCGGAAATTGTCAAAGATCGGATTGTTTCGTAAGTTTAATGAACGAGAAACGGGCAAACTCTAGGAATAACGTCAGTCAGGGAATCTTCAACGAATATTTCGCTCAGATATTTGGCAAAGTACAGTTGGGCCATTAAAGAGGCCGCGACTCAACTTAAAATAAGAGGATCAACTCCTCTTAGTGTTATTGAAATATAGCAGGCATAATAAAAGTCTGTCATACCCAGTAGTTCTAACACTTGAAGCTTGTCCACGTTAGAATATGCTTAATTCATGAACGGGGTTGAATATCCCACTTAGGTAGGTATAATTGATAATCGTATACTACGTACGTAAATATACACTTAACCGGTCGATTTCGTTTACTGCGGCTAGAATGCTTCCACCAGAACCCCGTATTTCATACCATCGTCAACCCTACTACGCAGTAAAAGCAAGATGCACAGTCCCAATATACATAATGACCTCCGAACCCCCTAAAAACTTAATCATCGTATGCTGTCACGGCATATGGCTTGGCGGCCCTTCACTTGGCCGTGGCGAGGATGAATGGCTGATCGCGGGATTCCAAAAAGGCGAAACGCCAACCTTCGTCGAGCATATCAAGACTGGATTGCGCATCTTGAAAGAAGATAAGGGTTCTGTATTGATGTTTTCCGGGTGGGTTCTTGGTTCTTATACAGACTATTCGAAACTGCCACAACTGTTGAGATGTCGATTAATCCAAGGTCGCCATCACACCAATCTTTTTGAGGCAAACATTCGAATTGACTTATCCTTCATTACTTTCTTATGTCAAAATATGAAGTATTGACGATGTATCCATAGTGGCCCCACGAGGAAAGAGACCCGTCTATCTGAAGCGCAGAGTTATGCCGATCTCGCCAGCGCCAACTTATATTTTGGAATCTTATCTGAAGCCGAAGCGGCGGGGCGGATATCCTGCGAAGAGCGGGCTTTAGACTCGTACTACAACGTGCTATTTTCGCTCATCAAATTTTGGGAAGATCACGGAAGGTGGCCGGAGAAATTGACGTTAGTGAGCCACGCCTTCAAACGCGAGCGTCTCGTCGATTGTCACTGCGGCGCTATCGGTTTTCCTTTAGACCGCGTCGACTTCGTCGGCGTGGACCCGCCAGGCATGGTCGACGGGTCAAACCAGGCCGCCATCAAAGGTATCGTTGAGGCAATTACGCAGTGGAATGAAGACCCCCACGGCAAAGGCGAGCTCCTAGCTGGTAAGCGCAGGAAACGAAACCCGTGGGGAATTCCGCAGACGCTCTTTGCCAACGAAGAAGATCGAGCTCGCAGCGGTGTGAAGTCGATGTTTGCAGAGGGAGAAGAATGTCTTATAGAAGGGGTTTCCCAACCATGGTCAAACCAATGATATCTCTTGATTATCACATCTTTTTGATTTTATTTGTAAGTAACTAAGCTAAATTTTAGGAGCTGCGGCCTCATCCTTGCTATCCTTGCTATCCGCCAGCGCCACCGTGTCAAGGACAAACCGCACAGCGTCTTTCTTCATCTCCGTACTGAATTCGTGGCCCACACCCGGGTAAACGTTGTCTTCGACGTAAATACCTCCATCGGAGTACCAGCTGTTTGTGGCAATCTTGAAGAATTGCATGAATGGCTCGCTGATTCTGTACGGGACGAGCTTGTCTGCTCCGCCGGAGAGGACTTGAAACCTCTTTTTGGAGACCCTCGAGTCAAGTATGGGGCGGAAGGTTGCGGAATCCTTAGCTGATAGGGCCTTGTCTCGACTGTTGAACAAGATGCTCCTTGGATCATACTTGTTGCACGCCTTGATCAATGACTCCGGGAAGTCTTTGCTGCCAAAGAAAGATTGACCGTCTTTCTCCATGAAAGTTTGCAGTTTTGATAGTCGTGCGCGATCTTTCATGAGATCTGCGATTGTCAGCACCTATCTTACGATATTCATCATGTTCTGCGTGATCACTTGCTCCATTTTCATGGCGAACCGGGTATTAGACTTACATGAATAATCAGGACACCCAATCACCATGACACCAGCCGTGACTCTAGGATCCGCGAACAAGAGTTGCCAAGCCGAATGCCCACCTAGGCTGACGCCTAGGACTAGGTTGTGATCGATATGCCTCTTCCCGCCATTGGATGCGGCACCGGGACCATCCCCAGCGCCGAAAAGATGGCCCTCTATTAAATCGAGCAAGTGAATCGTGTCCACAACTGTGCCCGTGATGATCCCAAACATGTCCTGAGCACTATCCAGAAACAGGGGTTAGCGAGCCAATGTCTGGCTTTTAGGGTCAATTGCAGCGTGCTCAGTTCCCAAGGCGCGTCGAGACTTACTGCGTCGGATTTCCTCTCCGCCAGTCATCGTTTGCCCGTGCGTCCACGAGCCGCGTGCCGTGGTTTCGCTGGTCGAAAGCGACAGCGATCAAGCCGCGCTCAGAGGACGACTTCTGGTGATATGCGGATAGAATTTGGTCGGCGACATTCGTCATGTCATCTTTAGATCGTAGCCTCGGGTGATGCAGCCATAGACACGATATTTTACTCGCGCCCTCTGGCAACTCGGACAATCCGTATACGTTCACTTTCAGGCCAGCGATTGTGAGTATTACGCATGACACACTCGGGACAGAGCTTAAAGACCCCGCCAGAGGGTTATTTGTTTCCGCCATTCCTGTTCGGTCTTCGTATTGCGGATGGTTTCTAGAACGAGATGCGGGCGAGCCGCCAGAAAGAAGCCGGAACATCCCTCGTAGGTGAATGTAATCGAGTCGTGTATTTATGATATGAAGGCTGAGACACTTGAAATGTTGTAGCTACCTGGCAGTTGACTTATGTTCAGTTTACTGGCTGCACATTCCGGAATATCCACTGCGGGGTCGAAAATTATGTTAGATCGGCAAGCACCGACATGGTTAAGACACCGATATTTCGAACAAACGAGGTAGGTACGGTGGTATATGATCTAGATATCGCGAAGAGGGTGGTCGACTTGTTCTCGGAATTTTTGTAAACCTTACCTAGGTACAAGTATCCACACTGCTTGCTCCCTAACTTATTGACCCCGTTCCTTCCTATATGGTATACCCTCTCGCGTCGGTATAGCTGCATTTTGATTGTCTGAGACCCCCTGTTAGGTAGCATTCCCTCTTATGCCTAGGTACCTACCTACATATGTACATATCAACCTCTGGCTACTTCCTCTAATTCAAAGACTAATTTTAATGCACTAACTCCAATAGGTGCTTAGAATTATCACCCGGGATCCTGCCGGACAATGTCAACCGATTGCGGTCGCAATTGCCCGAGTCGTGCGACCGCAGACGGCACCTACGGCGCTGATGGTTAGAGTGGGGAGTAGCTAGGACCGGGTCGTAGTTGACCGCCTTCTCAGTATGAACAACTGGACGTACAATCGATTGGAGTACAGCCCTAACCAGCTAGCCAGCCTCAACATTGGCGTCAGGGTCCAATTGGACACAGCCACATTCAGCCCTATCCCGCCCCGTAATAATCCTAACCCATGGATGTCTGCCTATTGGATGTATTCTCAACTCATCATGATATGACTCCTTGCCGTTAAGAACACCTAAACAAGTTTATTATCTCACAGTTTGCTTGGATATTGAAATCTGTTCATTGACTTCCCGCTTTGTATTTGCCGTTTTCAGTACTTCAATACCTAGCAATGTGGCCATTCCCATTAGACCTAAGAGATCAAAGATCGCAGATCTCATACTGTGCCGCAGTCCAAGCCGCTGGCTCACCGTTGTCCCCGCCATAATGGCGTGGGTGGCATGATTTAGGCATCTTCTATTATCTTGTTTTATATAAAGCAACCATATGCGCCCCTTGCAAATCATCAGCCATCACTCTGGTTTGATTGTCTTATCTCATTAATACAATCAACATCAGATTCCTACTCAGTCTATCCCTGTATTCCGCATCACGAAAGCGGGATAAACCAGAAATGGCAGACTCTCTCGTAAAGACGAATTACGTCTCCAAAGACGTCGCCGTCCCCTCCGACTTCCTCCGCGCCGACCCCCCGGACGCGGAGCCCATAACCTTCACGCAGATTGACTTCGCCCGCACGCCCGTCCCGGAGTTCAAGGGTCTGTACGCGGTAGTCCTCGACCACGTGCTCAGCCCGTCGGAGTGCGCGCAGCTGCTCGAGTACGCGGAATCCAGCGTCTCGGACGAGAACCGGAACAAGGCGACGGGGTCGGCGTGGTCGCCGGCCCTCGTCAGCGCCGGCGGCGGCTACGAGGTCAGCAGCCCGTCGTACCGCAACAGCGACCGCATCATCTGGGACAACCAGGACATGGTGGACCGGCTGTGGGCGCGGCTCGAGCGCGTGCCCGAGATCAGGGAGGGTCTGCTCTCCTTCACGCAGGAGCCGAACCGCGTCGTCCTTAGGGCGCGGGGCGAGAAGGACGCGCGCGCCGAGCCGCTGGTGTGGGATTTCCACAAGGTGAATAAGCGCATGCGCTTCCTGAAGTACGGGAAAGACCAGTTCTTCCGCGCGCACTGCGACTCCCCGTACGGCGAGGTCACGGCGGACAAGCACTCCGTGATGACGCATTTCACGCTGCACCTGTACCTGAACGATTCGAGGCAAGAGGTTGGGGAGAAGTCCGAGTTGGTCGGGGGCGCGACGTCGTTCTTGTCGTCGAATCTGGAGCGCAGGGTTGACGTCGATCCCAAGGCTGGGAGGGTTCTGATTTTCCAGCATAGGCGGCTGTATCACTCCGGCGATGAGGTGAAGGCTGGGACTAAGTATACGATGAGGACGGATCTCATGTATCGGCAACGGCTCCCGCAACCTAAACCTAACGAGGCGACTAATTAGGTAGACTGAAGGATTTCATGGTGCGATTCTTTGTTTTTCTAGCGTTACTAGCATATTACCTAGGAATGTTCATGATATGTTCATGAGTTTGATATTATGTATTCCAGTGTCTATACCAGAATGTTAGCATTAAAAGCTATATGAGATTCATGTCGTCGCAACTCACCCTCAAACCTGACTCCAAGCCTCTTTACCACAGTATCAACCCTCCGTAATACCCAACATCTCGTAACACTCAACACCGAGCTCATATCAAGGCCATATCTCCCTAATACCCTTAAGCACCTTACAATCCGCCTTATGCCCCATCTCATTCCACCCGCGTACCTGGCACTCCTTACTACAATACGCAACAACACCACACCCCGTACACCGCATCAACTTCCGCTCTCCCTCGCCCTCAACCTCCCCCTCCTTCCCACACGCCGCACACCCCTTCTTCTTCTCCCCACCCCCCTCCTCCTCCTCATCCACCAACGCCCCCAACCCAACCACCCTCTCCAAACTCGCCGGCAAAACCCTCACCTCCCTCCCCCGTCCCTCCGACACGCGCACAAGCGCCTTTTTGCCCTCTCCCCGATCCGTCCGCGCCGCCCGCGGCACGACCAGCGTGTGCCCCTTGCGGAAGCGCAGCTTGGTCCCGTCGCTGCCGTCCAAGCCGTGGTGGTCGCCGTCGTCGAACGTCACGGCGAAGTCGGTGCCCGACCTGTCGCGGACGACTAGCGTGGGTTTGGTGATCGTCATGTTTTCCTTGATCTGGGCTAGGAGGAACCATGATGGTGTTGGGGGAGAGGGGGTGGAAGAGGGGGGGAGCTCGGCGAATGTGGGGAATGTTTGGGGGTTGGTGAAGTTTGGCATTTTTGAGATGAGATTGGGTGTCTCGGGTTTCTTTTTTTTTTTTTTTTTTTGCTTTTTATGTTCGTCTTGGTCCTTTTCAGGCAGATGTTGTGATGACTTTTGGTGGCTTGTAGTGGTTTAGTGCTTGGCAACGCGAAGATCCACTTTCTAGAAGCCTATTATGATCATTCGCCTGGAGAGAGAAACAAATGTCGATTGAGAAAATGAGTTAACTTCTATTCTATGATATGTCGTTTAATTAATTTCTCATTTGAATCCAGGCCTTTTGAAAGTAGAGGAAGATTACTATGATTTCTTGTCATTTACGAAACGAGTCTGATATATCGTGAGCTGAAACACGGGGTGCTCGGTGTGGGGCGGTTAAGGGGCTCCACGAGTTCTCAAATGGATTTATTTCCTAGGTACCTTTTTATTTTATTTTTAAACTACAGTTTCTATCTCCCTTCAAATTAGGTTGGTGTAAAATACATATATCTTTCAATAAAACCTTTCCCGGCGTACCAGTATGCAAACGAGTCTCTACAGTCCAAGTAACGGGAGAGCAGGTGATGGGTGTTCGTTATAAATTTGATGGGGGGTTTTTGGAGTAAGAAAAATCTCCAGTTGCAGTTGGTCAACGTGTTTTCGCATCGCCTACCAATTACTCAGAAGCTACAACGAATAAGGCGGCTTTTTTGATATCGTAGTATTCACATTTCAGGTTAATCTCCTCTATTCGACGGCGTACCTGTAGGCTTACAAGTGATGACACTGAGGTTGCCCAACTCCAGAGCAGAGTGCTGCCTTACTGATATGTCCTTCAAATTCTCAATCCGCCATTTCAATACGTGATCTATAATAGCAGACTTGATATGTGAATTCGTCTTACAGTTTAATATGTCAGGAAATGCTGTCGGCTTTGGTTTTCAGGCCGATGTCGCCAATACGGGGTCCCTTCTCCATACCCTTACAGGCAGGGCCCTGAAAGCTATGAGCGACGGTGGAGTCGATTTCTACTCAGTTATTTCCGCAATCACTCTAGGCAAGGGAATCATTGTACGGGAATCCCTAGGAAACACGGTGCGCTCACACATCTTGTCGAAAGGTGGTTTCCACTCCGTCCTATCGAAAGCTCTAAGCATCGGTTGGGGCCATAAGGGGCTCGCAGTTGAGATGACAAATACGAAAGCGGGAACAAATGCTCTTCTCCTAGTTGGAGCACTCGCTACCGGTTCGAGTTACTATCGAGCTGCCCAGTGCTTCTCGGAACTTCTTTCTTTGCGTGGCTGCGAGCCTGATACATTGCCTAATGTCGATGTGTTGAAGCACATGATCGAGTACTTCGCCCCGTTTGTTTACGACCTTGGGTTTTCAAAGGTTTTTGAGAATGTCACAACGACTGCAATGCGCATGATAAATATACAGGCCCGCGACTATACCCAAGCGTTTGATCGTCTTACAATCCACGGCGATGTTGCGGGTGTTACTGGTGGCATCAATCAACTCCTTCTTACCTCTCAGAAAGGGGAGAGTCAATACTTCATTACAAGAATGAGAGGCGCTTGGTTCGCTGCATTTGCAGCTCATATTCTCGGGATGGCAGTCGAGCTACGGCTTAATGATACCGTACTTTGGGCATCCGCAGGGAACAATGGGACCGCCATCTTTGAGTTGGGCGAGCATCAAATCAGCCAATTGTCAGTCCAGTCAATTTCCAATCATCGAATTGAGTTGCTGGACCCCTCAGACCGTGGAAGCGATGACAAAATGGTGGTGGAACATCTGGTCGGGGAAATGTTTGAGTCCTTCGTTGCTCGAGAGCCAAAGATCGATCCCGCCATCTGGGAAGGTGTACGCCGCGGTATATGTCAAATTTCATCTAACAAACTCGCAAGATACTTTTCCGATAACTTGCCCAGAGATACCTTCAAACACGAAGATGCGCTTAGGGAAACCCTCGAGGCATTTGGATTCGACGCTACAATCGCCGACTCGGCGGTGTCTTGCCCGAAACCTGGAGACGATCGCTTCCATTTAGATATTTTAGATGACGATTTACGGAAAGCGTTATCTATAACTTGCGGCTGGCATGGGGGTCATCATGGCCTTTTGCGCTGTTCGCTACGGGATGGCTGCTTATGCAAATATGTCGGCGAAGTCATATATTTCTTTGTGGAATTCGTAATGAATTTGTAAGCAACTCCTTTACTGAAGGTATCCTTACTCATCGACCGGGGGTCAGGTCTTCTTGATGTCTTTTCCTAATTTATCTAGTGCCTGTGGGTTGAGTACTGATCTCCGCTGTTGTGATAGTATGTGGTGCCGTTTTGATGCGAAATCTGTTAGAATCCGTGATGACTTGTTTGAAAGTGACACTCACGAAGGCATATTTGCTAGTTGGACCATGCATACGCCTGACATAAAGAAGATCATGGCCAATATAATGATGATCACCTGCGGAGAGAATACCGATCAACTGAACAGATGGGCCCAAGACCCGGTCGAAGAATGCTATACTAGTATGCTTGGGTTTTCAGGCGGGAGATACACCGTCGGCTATACCTTTTTGCTACAAAACGACTGTTACGATAACCAGGGGCGCTTCATATCGTTATGGCCCGGCCGAGCTTCTGTTAATAATGCAATGAGGCCGGTTATAACGGAAGAATCCGATTATTGTTCGCCAACATTACAACTATCTCCCCTTTCAACAGTCGCTCCGGGTTCTTTTCTTGAACCTCATTATCGCCCTTCAGATGTAAGTGTTTGTATGAGCGTGTCCATGAACGAACATTCGATTTTGGTAGAGTTTCGGCTTCGGTATGAGAAGCGCATTTCGGACCCTCTTCCTTTAGCAAGCTCTGTCGGGTCCCTAGTGGGCTCACATATTCTGTGGTGTCCACATGATCCCAAGGCCAGATTCAGAGTAGAGAAGGGTCAGATTTTGGCAGTTGATGGATTCTACTCCTCCAACCCCAACAGGCGTACCACTGATGGCAATAATCGCACCGTTACACAATTGTTTGCTCTGCATGGCAATAAGCTTGAACAGGCTGTCATGGCAGGATATCTTGGGAGACATCACTGTATAATTCAAACGCTGGGATGTTTAAAGTGCTGTGTTTCGGCAGCTGAGAACTCCGACTGTGGCACATATGTGATTATGGGAGGATAGACCTGCATTGATCAGAAATGTTGAAATGTTCTGTACAATATTATTCTCCTGTCGACTATACTTCGCATGACCACATCGAGTACCGTTTACTGATTGAAAATTAACAACTTCGGCGCCAAGCGTGAGAAGTATAGCCATAAGTAAAGGCAACAAACGGGATTTAAAAGATTGGGAAAACCCATACTCTCCTATCATTATGACTTTTCTAGAGTACTAACATAACTTTCGGTGTCCAAAACCACCTCCAAACAATTCATCCTGGTATTAAACCTGATCAGGACCTAGAAAACCCCTATCTGCGGGGTGTCGCGTGTCGAAAATTAAGCCGCGAAACAAAAAACAATATTTCCTTATTCCGCAACAGGAAAACACTCGCCAAGGCCAATACCAAACGCCTCATGCCTCCAGAGTCCTACACTCTATCCTATCTTCTTTCCATCCTAGACGCCGCCGCAGATGTCCTGCTGGAGTGAGATCCCTAAAGTACGATGTCGCAACGCATTTTCCACCGACAAGTATACATGTTATTAGACGAAAATTTAGCTCGTACTTGCGAGCATTGATGATGTCGTAAGTCGGTTTACGCCCCGATACTCATCCAAGCGAATGTGCCGGCGGCGGAAGCAAGAACAAGCGCGGTTAGGATTCCAGCGCCTGCCCGGTCTCCCGTAGTTATCGGCGCCGGAGCGTTGGTGAAAGAGTCGCTCCCAGATCCAGCATTTGGGTCACCTTCGCTAGTACCGCCGGTAGCATTAGTGACCGGCGCTTTCGCTTTCGCAACCAACAGAGAAGAGACTGCTCCTAGCACATTCATCGTCTGGCCAGCACCGACGCTGTTGTCGAATGTACCGCTAGCCCACCCAAATCCGCAAGTTTTTCCGTCAGGTGGTCCGGTACATTGGTTCACGGCAGCCTGGGCTGACTTCTGTAGGACAGGCAGGATCTTCGAGGACGTAATCGGCGCAATCTGCGTCACAGTAGTCATCCATCGGTGTAAGTAGCCTTTGAAACTCAACATGTCCGTCGTACAAGTCATGTGTTCCTCGCATGCGATTTCATAAGCCACATCATTTTTGAAGAAGTCACGGATTGTTGCGTCGATAAGGCTGTTGAGTCGTGATTCCCATTTCGAGTCGCCATCAGTCTATGAGAAGTGTCAGTACAAGTAGCAGGAGAATGGTCTGGCAACACCTACAAAATTGTACATGTAAGCAGCTCCTAAGAGGTAGACTGCATTGTTGTACGAAAATTGGGCCTTGTTGATATCGGTACAGTTGGTCTCGACGTGAGCGCCATCGTAGATCTTGTATTCCGAATCCATGAATCCGACACCCTGGACCCAATCCCATGTCTTCTCGGCCCAGTCGGCATACGTTTGGTTGTTTAGATACCGTGCCAAGCGTGCGCCAAGGTTGAAGAAGCATCCGTTGGCGATACCTAGATCTTATAAGTCTTACGTGCATTAGGAATAAGTGGGGTGCCACCTACTGTTCTTGTAATCGTATCCATTGTTAGAAAAGGGAATCTGCCATCTCAAACCACCGTTGCAGGTGTTATCATGACGACCGGGATCGGCTTGAGTGTTGAAGACTGCTTGAGCTAGGGCTAGCCATCCGGGTTGACCAGCGGGAGGGTTCGGAAAGTTGGCCTCGGCTGCGAGCATAGCAGACATCCCCCAAAATCCCTGATCATCATTACCCAGCGAAGCTGTGACATTGGGAGGCATATAGTCCTTGTTCGGGCCAACCTGCCAAAGCATGGCTTGGGTTACCACGTCGTTGTAGGTGGTGTCGCCGGTATAATGCCAGTAGTCGATCATAGCTCCCCAAAGTGCGCCACCTTCCCACCAGTAGTAATCACCCGCGGGAGGAGGACCTGGAAGGATACCAGGCGTCTGTCCTGATTCATTTCCGTGATAGTAACTCATGACATTTTGAGCGAGGATTTTCGACGTCGAAATAATGTCATCTAGAACAGAACTGGAAGTTAGCTTGGAGACTAAGAAGACCCCCTAAGTTTACGGTAGAGTTTAAATGATATATAGACGACAGATCATACCATCCGAATCTATTTTGAGAGTTTGCGCGGCAATCAGATCGCCCGTTAATAAGAGCGCGACGGGGAGGGCGCGCGAAAGACGGGAAGCCATTGTGCTGGTGATCAGAAAAGATGGCGTAAATCAAATGCAAACGAGTGACGGAGTTGGAATCAAGGGAAAACGAAGGTCGCGACCGAATCTATCGCCCTCAGCGGTTGTCGATAACGTCAATCGGAATTATGGAGTCGAATGATATGTCGAATGGTGTAATATGAATGTGGAATCTTTTCCGGCACAATTGAGGTTTGGGTTTGGTCTAAGATTTGGATTCAGGAAAAGAATGAATGGAGTTGAGAAGGCAGTAGTTTCCCGAATTGCTTTCCTGCTCATTCACAACGGCAGGTTTTGGTGTAATGTAACATGTACGAAGTACGTACTCAGGTACTATCAATAGTAAGACATCGTAATGGGCAGGTGATGTAGCCACTGTATGTAAGCACTGTAACAAGGTTGACCGTCCATACTAAATTCTGCTAAATCCCCATGATCTGTATCGACTAACTGATCTTTGACACTGTGGGGTTAAGAGGGGAACAGGAGGGAAACGACGGGAAACAGCAGCACCGAATGACGATTGGTAGACCCACAGCCAAGCGAAACTCGCACTACAACCCGCAAGATCGCCCTTTCCTAGCGCCTACCGTAACGATTTCTTAGCCTGGGACTCCCTGCTCCATCGTCTTCCAAGGAAATACAAGCTTTTCGTTTGCATCTACTTCCATCTCTTAACTGATCCAATCTTGGCGGATCTGAGCGTGGAGACGAGCCCATGTCATACCATTTGGGTGTATTATTTCACAAAGAAAAATTGAATCTTTTTCATCAATTCTCGAACGTTCAATCAATGTAAATGGAGACATTCAAGGATGTGCCTGGCGAGGCAGCCATTCCGTATTCCGATCCTAATTTCAGAGTCGCGATACACGTTGCCGGACATTCATGGATTGCAGACGCGCATGGATCAGCGCGACGATCCCTTAATTCTTAACGGCCTGACATCAACATAGTTCGGCAAATGCCTATGAAGTTTGATGGTAAGGAAAATTAAATTTTCCGTCTTAATTGACACTTGACAGTTGGCAATCGAATTTTCGTCGTTTCTAGCCATTCCAATCCCTTTTTTCTATCCCCTTTTTAAGACGTTTAAGCACAGCCTTAATGAAATACAACGTTTGCGTTACAACAACTAAGCGGTAAAGCGTTTTAGTGGCTGACAAGCACTTAACGTGCGGCTACCTGAGCGTCATAGTGGAGCTTTATTTTTAGGAAGTTGCTTAAAACGTCCGATTAGAAACTCTCCATTATTGAAGTTACCTAAGTCGCAGAAAGTTATCCTATCATACTACTATGGTTTATTAATATTATTGCACTTAAGTGGAAGTGAACTAGACGGTAACATATGATCTCTGCCTTAGCAATAGAAACCGATCTTACCCATCGAAATATCGTATAGATACAAATCTTTGCAATTCTAGGTTTAGGTTTTCGTGTACTAAAGGAGATGAGGGGATTACCAACGGCGCTAAGCTGGATAGGACTCGAACCTAAACCTTCCTAGTCAAATATATTTAGAGTAGCTGTGGGGCTAGCTAGTAGGCTAGTCAGGGGTTTAACTCATCAACTCGAGACTTTCTTAATACAGCATCAACTACATCCCTTCAATATTTAAGATCAACATCGAAATGGATTAGATACAAGGCTCGTTGAATTTCATTAACTTTCTCTTGAAGAGCATTCCATTTATCTACTAATGAGGGGCAGGTGAAACCTGCAAATGAACACACTTCTCAACTACCAAGTTAGAGGTTGAAATATACAGGTCCTCTTCGAATCTAATGGATAATACCTACCTCCTAATGGAATCCCTACTCCGCTCTAAGAATCAAGAAGTTCGTACTGCGGCAACGACTCAGTGCTCGTGCTAGCACTCACCACCCTATCTAAATCATCCCTAAGACATGTGGTATAAATATCGATCCTCATCCTCCGCACCCAGTTCTCCCAGCCGGGATATCTCGCATGCGGGAGGACCACGACCCTGTCCCCCGGCATCAATCCCTTAATCCAGGTCCCGCGCTCGGCATCCGCGACTTTCGGGTCAGCCAGGCTCCACACCAATTTGTGCGTGTGCCAGGCGCGGTTTGCGCCCCGGTTGTGCGCTAGGTAGATCTCGTGATTTGTCGTGCCTTGATCCTGCGGCCCGGACATCTCCTGTGCGAACACCGAGTTCTCACGTCGGTGCACGTCTGCAGTAAACCACGTCCAGCTCTCGCCCCGCGCCGGATTCGAGCAGTATCCTTGGTCGTGGCCCGTGATTTCGAATTCCACGCGCCTAACGGGCTTGGATGAGAGGCTTGTGATGGCCCTGCTGGTCAGGTACGGCGTTACGGGGTCGCCCCATCGCCGAACTTCGCCCACTTTATCAATACTAACCCGGGTGCTGCTTGATCGGATCCAGTATTCTGCTAGATCTAGAATATAGGAGGTCAGGTACGCTGACGTACGACTTTGATGGGATGATCTTAATAGGGGCGCGTTCTGCCGTCTCAGCCTCCGCTTAAGACATAACGCTGCTGTCACGATATCTTCCTCTTGCTTTGGCCAATATTCGACATCGGTATTTGAACTAGGGATGGTCGCAGATCTGCGAAGTATGCTCTCCCCCCAAGGTTGTTGTTGCAGCCATGCGATATCGTCAGCGTTTAGGTCACCAGGGTCTGGTGCAGAGTGGTAGTTGACCATGATACCCATGATATCTGAAAACCGTCTTCGGATAGCTAATGCAAGTGGTGTGAAACCCCCATTGTCCTTAATATTGATATTTGCGCCCGCTTTCAGTAACCTCGAACATATATCGACTAGGTTGTCGTCGGTTGCTAGGTGTAGCGCAGTTTGTCCGTTTTTATTCCGCGAGTCGACTTGAATTCCATCTTGCTTTAGCAAAGCTATCGCAGCATCTAAATTACCGCTCTTCGCTGCATAATGAAGGGGTAAGTTTCCTTCGGAGTCGGGGATATTATAAAGCTGAAGATTCGTAAACTTCTGCATTAAGAATTCCGTATTTTCGGGTTTATACCCGCCAGCAGCATGGTGTAATACACCGTTTTCTCCGGGTCTGTTAAGCAGGTCAGGGGTAATGTATTCTAACAACAAATTGATCATCGTAGGACCGCAGGTCCTTGCAGCTAAGTGTAAACCGGACTGTACTTGCGCTGGATAAAAGTCAACAAAGCTGTGCTGACTATTCTTCGCCAGGATTGTATCGACAGCTTGAATATGGTTGCGGCGAATAGCCGCCTCAAATGGTGTATCGCCTTTTCTATCACGCCTTTGCAATAGACCGTTAGCGTGTGGGCTGTCCAATAGCGCATCTAGAATCCGTTGGGGACCAGAGACTGCGGTCTTATCAGGATTCTTGACGCTAAAAGAGGAATCGCCAACAGCTAAATGGAGCGCCGTCTTCCATTCAAAATTTCCGGTGAGGATTACTTGCTCCTTACGTCCTGGTGGCCATTGTGTTTTTTCATAATATCCCATAATGCATTCATACACGCTGAAATCGGTTGTGCTGACAGCCTCCATAAGCGCGGTGCTCCAATATACGTCACGTTCGACAAGCAGTCTGCTAACAGTGTCTTTTTGCATGATCGCATCCATCAACTCGGTCTTGGATCCCTTCGCAGCATGGGCCCATCTTATGGCTTCTTCGAGAAGAGTTGTGGTCCACTCGTGTTGGCAGTGCGCATATATATCGATGCCGTAATCCAAGAGAACCTGAAGAGCGCCCAAAGACCCATAGCCAACCGCAAAAACTGCTGGCTGCCAACCTACTGGATGTTGGATCGCTAGGTTAGCATCTAATTTGATGCTTGGGCTGCTTAGAAGCGCCTTGATTGACTCAACAGAATCATTGAGGCAAGCCCAATGAAGCGAATTTCCAAACCATTTTTCATCGGGGTCACCAGCCTGTTCTGTATTCTCTATTAACCAGTCGAGGCTCACCGTGAATGGACGATCCGCGTCACTTCGAATCAAGCCGAAGAATGCGGCTACATCCATCGCCACTGCTTTCGTGAAAAGGGCATTACGGAGTTCAGTTTCCTGCATCATCGGCGAAACCCTTCCTCCGAGATGTAGGAGAATCGTTATAGCAGCGCGTTGAACATGCTCTGGGCATTTTAGGAATTCGAGTAACAGTTCCGTGGTCTCCATTGAGACATCAGACTCTTCTGAACCCAGAACTTCGGCCTCGTGGCTACAATGGAATCCAAAATTCAGAGCAGCATACGCCAGAAATGGCGTTTCTTCTTGAGAGGGCCACATCTGGGCCACATGTCCGCCTTTCGAAAGGGTGAGGTCATTAAGCCCGAGAAAAGTTATACAGGTTCGGGCTATGTCTCCGTGACTATGAACGAATTCTTCACCTTCTCTAAGGGAATTGAAATATTCCTGCGTAGTATAGTGGACGAATCTGACGGTCTTGCTATCGCCCTCCACGACGACAAGACCCGCGCAATAGTTCGTGATGTCGCTCTCATCGCCGACAGCGTCTTCGTCAAGCTCTTCATCGTCAGGACTAATAGCAAGTGCGCACAAGAGCTCCGCAAGTTTCAACGGCCGCCTGGCGAAGCAGACCCAGCGAATAACCCGCAAAGCGAATTCTTCAATGTTGATACCTTGGTCTCGGATGCGCGCCATGGCTTGGTCGTACGTATCCTTCACGACATTTTCACCCTTGGGGATACGACTAAGCTCCCTCTTTAAATCCTTGAGTGTGATTGATCGACTTAAGGAGTCAAGATGCATCCTGCAAAGTAGGAACCTACGAGATAGTCAGCACTTATTGAATGGGGGAAAAGGGGCTGCCAAGTATAATACTACATACATTCCGTTAGCCCTATCGATCACGATACGACGTATTTCGTCTGCCAATTCTGGTTTCCGCCCGACATAACCAGATATCTTCTTTGACTCCCGTATTCGCGCATTGATATAAATACTCATGTCCTCGTTTGTGGGTATGAACCGGACGGATCGTACGTCGTTGAATCCCCCATTATCAGAATGAAGAGTCCGAGATGTGACCAACACATTTACCAAAGGCTGCAAACTGTGGAGACCGTCTATGAACCCATTTCGTTCATTCTCATCGCCGCATTCATCAAGCGCATCAACAACGACATAAACCCGCTTCCAATCTCCGTTGGTCAGCTCTTCTCTTATGAGATTGATCATATGAGTCCTCGTGGGTGTGAAATCGAAGCGTGCGAAAATCTCTCCAAACATTTGCTCCACCTCGGTCGCAGAGGGTCCCCGTCGACGGAATAGCTGAGCCCAGATATTGCCGAGCAGTATCGAGGCTTTCTGGTCTTGGCGCTGGCGATAGTCGCAGTAGACGTATGCTAAGCTGCTGGTATCGCTTCCTTTGACTTTCTCATATATATACTCGATGGCTGTTGATGCCATAACTGTCTTGCCAGCACCGGGTGCCCCTGAACACCACAAAGTCGCTCCGGTCGACTGCATCCAATCTTGGAATTCAGAAGACTCAATAAACCACTGGCTAGTTCCATCTTGCCTTTGCTGGAGAACGTTTCCGTGCTTCTCTGAAAAACTAACTGGGGCGTAGTGCTTCACAATCCTATCCATTTTACCTCGGATATTCTCTTCCTCTACGCTGCTGTTGAGCGCTTTGACACCTTCGTCAATATCCTTGGCCTTTTGATTGGTGTCCAATGAGAGCCATGAGCCAATAAAGCCATTCATACGCGTTGCCTTGTCGATGGTCTTCTCAATGTCCTTCTCCATATGGACGAACCGTACTTTCTGCAAAAATCCCTTAGGACTTAGCTTCTCGAATTGCCGGGACAGAGTGATCATGCATGCTTCCAGGTCTTTAATGAGATCCTCAAGCCCCAGGGGACTACGAGTTGCAGAATCGGTAATAACCTGTCGCTTCACTTCGTATAGAAATTGAAGCATCGTACTGGCCGTATGGCCGAGATCGTCGATCAATTTGGAGGCGCCGATTACTGCAGCGCAATAGTTGATGACTTTGCCAGTCACCTCTATCAGCTGTACAATAGAGGCGACTGAGCCTACGACGTCCATGGCGGAGGAACTTTGGCCCGCAACTGCACAAGCAGTCGCAAGGCTCCGAACTTGATGGTATTCTCAGTGTGGCGGAAAGGGCGCAACGGGTTTCCAATCAATACCTAAGGGTTTGAATAAAATGGCGAAATAAACAAATTGAGATTGGATGAATGAGCCATGCTGCCGGGGCGATATTGTGGGAATTAAGTAAACATAAAGAGGAGCAGAACATGTTTCATGAACTTCAGCCCCAAGCTGATATCTATGAATAGGATCTATCAGGTGACTCTTTTCGAGGGATTTCGTCTGCTCGATTTGGCTGATTAGCCCCCTATTGTCCCTAGTAGCTATGGATATGAATAGGTAAGCACCCTAGCCAGCTTCAGCAGAATGTGTCGAACCAGAAGCAGCCCCGGATTTGATACATATATGTAAGCGACACCCAGCTTGTGTTACCACATGTTACAAGTTACAGGTATTCAAGAGGTGCTGAAATCTGCAGCTTCCTGGTCATCGGGATTGGGGTTTCAACGCTAAGACCTCACATGCAGCATCAGAAGAGTCAGCCATTTCAGCCTATCAGATGATACCCTCTTTCGGCCGAAACCACAACGATCAGCCCTACGCATGCTCCGAACAGGACGATATTCTTGTGAATATCGCAACATCTTTCATGATTCCTGACTAGAACGATATAATTTCAGCTTCATGTACTTATATAGGTACCTAGGTGATATTGGCTATAATTTAAGGTAATATTGCCTCATCTGTAATGATTTTTGGCCCCCAATCTGCAGCACTATCCTCTTTTCATCCTTGCAACCAGTGCAAGGGTTTTCCACATCAGCTTTTCTATTAATGCTTATCACACGCTAATCTTGCTAGGCTGCTATTTGTAGCTATATTTCGCTCGTCCTGTGGGTGTACACATCCAACGCTACGAATCCCATACTAGTTCTTTTAAAAGCGGTATCTTCTCAAGAAGTAAAGGAATGTCGTTCCAATGAATCAACCCAACATCGAGCCATTGAAGGCGCCACATATCCAATGTCCATTTACGACGTTCTTCGGCCAATTTCGTAGCATCAGATGTGCGGTAGTCGCCGATATCGAAGTCACACCGGACGATAGAGGTTCTCTTGTTAGCGATATCTTCAAGGGCCTGTGGGAAACCCTTGAATATATCGAATGGAAAAGTACAGCATGGTCGGCGGAAGAAGTCAAATGGCTGTAAAAGACCAAGCTTTATGTTTTCTTCTATGGCGACCTGCCATGTAGCATCTCGCTTGATGACGTTCTTGAAGATTTCCGAACACTTTTCGGGCATTATGTCGCCATCTTGAAGATATCAAGTCAGCACTCATCGATTCTATCAATGGGTCATCTCTACATGAGTAGGCCGACGCAATTGGGATGATATAACTCCATTCCGTGGATAAGAATCGTGCGATGTGGAGGTAAGTTCGTAACGAACGAAATTAATTTACTTACGAAAGACTAGAGAAAACGACTCGGTAGGCATGCCAGCAGGTATCAGTGACAAAGCCTCCATAGTCCACAGGGCAACAGACCGGGTCATCGATTCCGAAAGATGGGCATCCAAGACCTCTATGCTCCTCATAGGGAGACATAGAGGAATATATTTACAGACCCTTGGAAAGACGCCTTCTAGAAAGATATTCTTCCACAAGTGAACACGGCGCTCGACTCGTAGGAGGCTATTACATCGGCAGAATGGAATAAGGCCTCTTGCATGAGACGCAGACAAGGCAACGGCTGGATGGTTCTCCTCCAAGATGATATCTCTGATCTCGTTGAAGGCTTGCATTCGAATAGAATCTAAGAACCTGACAGCTAATGCGGCAGCCGAAAAGCCGTACTTGGTAATATCCATCGACTTAGGTGGATCACTATTGAACTCGCGGAATATGTCGGGATGGCCTGTATCATTTGCTAAGATGACCTCCCAAGGCCCGAGGCACAATTTCCCGAAAATATTCGCGTCTTCTTTGGTGTCGTCGCCCCATTTGTATTCGAGGTGGGCTAGGTCTTTCGCGAAGTCGGGGTGCGAGGACGCAAGCTTCAGCGCATACTCCATGGCTTCGCAGACTTCCGAGGGCGGATAGCCTATGCTTTCAAGTCTCAAGTCCGTACGGAGGTCGTCGAAAAGAGATATGAACTGTGGATAGACCTCGCTGAACTTGGACTTCACTTCCTCGGTATAGCACCTCTCTGCACTTCGGAACATTTGCCAGATTAGATGATGAGTCCTTAGGAGCGTTATTCCATTGCGGTATGCAAAGGGGAGCGCCTCTTCCGTGTAGTAGGGATAGAAGGTGATCGTATTAGTCTGAAGGGGGAGACCCTTCATTTCGGAGGCTACTAGTTCGCAGGTATACATAAGGGATAGGTCGATGGCGCCATCGTGGGCGGTTCTTAACTTGCCTGTCTCGGGATTATAGACGTAGCCACCGTCAACGGAGATATAATAGTGGTAGATTAGTTTTCGGACCTGGTAAGGCAAGTCCAAGAATTGCGACTTCATATCCATGGTTCTAATAGATTATAATAACGAATGAAACGAGGAAGAGTATGATGTGCTTAATGAGGGAATGGTTGTGAACAGAGATGCAGGAGATAATAGTAGGTGAAAGATCTTGATATATCGAAAGACGGCGTCTAAGTACGACATGTACATTTAAGTCTAGAAATAGCGACTGCTACTACAACATATAAAATCATTTGAGGAACTGGCGATCGCATCTTACTCGTGTCTCTCTTTCAAAAATTATACCTTATCATGAACCTGCTCAGGGGCTACCAGGAGTAAACCATACCAAGGTACCGACTTACCCCCTACATACAGTGGTAGATACCTAGGTAAGTAAGGAAGCGGCAGCTACGTGTATGACGAGTCGTGATTATATCCATTATTATATCCATTAAAATTATAGGATATGACAGGCACGATATATCCGGATATATCTTCGAACAGGATAAAACCTGCTGACGCGTATGGGCGTGCAGTAGCGATGACGGTTAGGTACCTACGGACGTAGGGCTGGTAGGGTACAAATCCGCGACCCTCCCGCCCTAATAGCACCAATAGATCCGGCATATCCCCCTAACTAATGCACGCTATATAAGCACATATGCCTCGTATCACATAGATACCTAACTAATACAATTTCGATCCGCTTATTTAGATCTCATCCCTCTCCCAAGATTTAAGCTTTGGGGTTCAACTTCTACTCTTACCTACTCATTCTTCCCTATTTCCTTACCTAATAGACATCGGTTTAAGAAGGAAAGGGTGAAGTAAAAGTCCGCAGAATTCCTCCAAGTAGACGATGGCGTCAGATCTCAGACTACTTAATGCGGCTATCGATAGCACGCCCCTCATCGACAACCACGCTCACCCGTTGCTGAAGCCCGGAGCTGTGACTAAGCACCCCTTACTTTCTATCGCCAGTGAAGCACACGGCGCTGCTCTCGAAGATTCGAAATGCAGTCTTCCTCATATTCGGGCTGTGAAGCAACTAGCTCGCGCTCTCGACTGTCAGGCGACATGGGAAGCTGTGGAAGTAGCCATTCAGCGAAAACGGAATGAATCGCCTGACGAATGGACGAAATTCTGCCTGGAGGATATTGAGACCATCCTCATCGATGACGGCCTCGATAGGCCTGGCCTGTCTGAGACGTATTCGTGGCATGACAAGTTCACGAAAAGCAAATGCAAGCGGATTGTCAGAATTGAAACCGTCGTTGCCGATGTCGTTGCCCATTTCCTGCAACTTGGGAGTGATATCATTTTTAAGGACTCCTTTTTGGGTCATGTCCTGGATAAATACTCACTCGAAATCCAAAAGGCTCTCGAGGACCCTGACGTTGTCGGTTTCAAGTCCATCATTTGTTACCGACGTGGACTGGATATTCCCCCAGAGAACCTAATACAAACGGAGGATGCGAAGAGAGCCCTTCGAGGTATTATCAGCGGCGGGTTACGGGATGCATATGGTGATGGATTTTCTCTCGTGAAAAGACTAGAGCACTCGCCCCTGAATGACCTGGTCGTTCATACTGCTGCGAAGCTGATTCGCGATGCTCCCGGTCATAAGAAACCGCTTCAATTTCATACCGGCCTGGGCGATAACGACATTACACTAACCAAATCATCTCCGTCTCACTTACAGGACTTCATTCGAGAATATCCCACTGTCCCTATCGTATTGCTTCACGCCGGTTATCCCTGGACCAGAGAGACTGCATACCTAGCAGCGATGTACCCCAACGTCTTTGCTGATATCGGGGAGGTGTTCCCATGCATCAGTCGTCAGGGGCAAGAAAGTATCGTGAAGCAGATGCTGGAAATTTGCCCCTGTTCCAAGATTCTCTGCAGCACAGACGGTCATGGATTCCCGGAGATGTATTTCATAGCCGTGAATCAGATTCGGTCTGTCCTTGAAGCAGTAAGTAGCTATCTCCTTTCAGAATCGCACCTGTTATGTCTAACCGGATCTCCCTAGGTATTAGGAGGGCTCGTACGAAATAACCAGCTGGAAGAGATACAAGCAGTTCAGATCGTCCAAGCCGTCCTATTTTCCAATTCGAAAAAGCTCTACAATCTCCAGGCCGTATCCACCCTACCGACTATGGCGCAGCTCGAAACTATCTCGCGCACCATGCAATCGAGCAACCAGTCCATCGTGCAAAGACTGCAGAGTCTAAACGCCAAATATTTACGCATTTACTGGCATGACTACACTTCTAGCGCCAAGTGCCGACCCCTCCCGATCAAACAAGTGTACAAGACTCTGGCGAGCGGCAAACCCGTCACCCTATCCATCACCAAAGCCGGCCTCGGTTTACTTCAAACAGACGCCATGATCCCCCAGGTAAACGCATCCGGCGCATTCACAGTGCAGGTGGACTGGTCGAGCCTGAAGCCCGGCCCCGTCGCGGGCCACGTTAGCGTGTACGGGGACTTCACCGAGCAAGACGGGTCCCCGGCGTCCGTCTGCCCGCGCACGACCCTGCGCACGACGCTCTCTAAGGCCGGCGAGCTGGGCCTGACCTTCCTGCTCGGCTTCGAAGTCGAATTCGTCGTGCTGGAGCGCAACCCCGACGCCGCCGACCCAAATAGCATAGACAAGTACCGCGCGCTGCGCACGGACGGGCACTCGTGGTCGATGGCGCGCGTGCTGTCGGACTGGGGCCGCGAGGGCAGCTTCAACACGGTCTCGGAAGAAATCATGGACGCGCTCGACGCGGCCGGCATCGCGTTCGAGCAGTTCCACCCCGAGAGCGCGCCGGGCCAGTACGAGCTCGTGCTGGCGCCGCTGCCGCCGCTCGAGGCGTGCGACGCCCTGCTGCACGCGCGGCAGATCCTCGAGTCGGCCGCCGCGCGCCGCGGGTTCCGCGTCACCCTGCACCCGAAGCCGTTCGCGGCCTCGTGCGGGTCCGGGTCGCACGCGCACGTCTCCGTCTCGTCGCCCGGCGGCGACAAGCCCGCCGTCTACGAGGCCTTCTACGCGGGCGTCCTGAGCCACTTCCGCGCCGTCGCCGCGTTCGCGAACCCGAGCCCGGCCAGCTACGAGAGGATGGTGGATAGCTTTTGGGCGGGCGGCAGATGGATCACGTGGGGCACGCAGAACAAGGAGGCGCCGCTGCGGAAGGTCAGGGATAGTCACTGGGAGCTTAAGATCCTCGATGGCATGGCGAATCCGTACTTGGCTGTTGCGGCGCTGTTAAGTGCGGGCGCGGACGGTGTGAGGAGGAAGACGCCGCTTACGTGGGGCGATTGCCTTGGCGATCCGGCGAAGATGGGGGAGAAGGAGAAGAAGCAGCTCGGGATTACTACGCTGTTCCCTGGAAACTTGCGCGAGGCGCTGGAGGCGCTGAAGCAGGACGGGTTGGGTCTGCATCCTGATGTGGTGCAGAGGTATATCGATATCAAGAATGCGGAGCTGGAGCTTTTGGAGAAGATGAAGCCGGATCGGAGGAGGGTTTGGCTGATGGAGAGGTATTAGATGGGGCTGAGGGGTTAGGTAGGAAGGCGGTTTATATTTAAAGCATCTAGACGCGAGATATGGTACCTAAATTTATGAGATCTTAATTTAATTTCCTAGCAGACACGCGCAAATAAGAGACATTGTGACTTATTTCATTTCCGTCAATGTTGGGTATCATAGAGCCGTCTATGAGTAGGTATGTATGTACAAATCCTGGGAATCAATTCGTGTCCCCTAATCGAACGTGATCTTCTTGCCCTGGGGTTTGACGACGGCGCCTGTAAGATACGACGCCGTAGCCGCGTCTCCGTATCCCGTCTTCGCCGCACCTTCGGTCTTCTCACCAAACGCCGGTCTGTTTCCATTCTCCGTCTTATTCGTTCGCGAATCCCGCTTAAAATCCCTCTTCCCCTGCGTCTTTCCCGCCGGCGCATCCTTGCCGAATCTCTTCTTATACCGGACTTGATCATCCTCCGCCGATTCGATCTTCAGCTCACGGCCCTTGAGCCGGTTGACCCACCACTTCCTCATTTTGAACTTCCTTTCCTTCTCTCCCGCGACATCCTCATCATCATCGCGGAAATCGTCTTCGGTCTCAATCTCTTCCTTGATCTTGACAAACCCTTTGACGGCCCATGAGGCGGACTCGGCTTCCTTGAACTTAACCCATCCGAAGCCTTTGCACTTGCCGCTGTCCTCGAACGTAGCGACCTTGATCCACTCAATTTCGCCGCATTTGTCAAAGTGTGCGCGTAGGTCATCTTCAGTGGTTTGGAACGAGAGGTTACCAACGTAAATCTTTCTGCTGGTTGGATTGTTCTTCTCTATCTTTGTCGCTCCATTAGGAGTAGAGGATGCATCTCCATTCTCCCCAGAGGCTTCCTTCTTCGGGCGTCCCTCATATGACTTGGAATCCTTGATCAATAGCTTGCGTCCGTTGATTTCAGTCTCTGTAAGTGCCAGCGCCGCAACTGATGCAGATTCTGCGTCAAAGTCTACATACGCAAACCCCTTATTCTGGCGCTTCGCTGGCTCGTCAGAGTTGCTGTTTCTTCTATCCCTACCGGTATCTTTGCTCGTGGGCATATTGACTCTTGTGATGTTCTCCTCCTTGATAGCACCCCCCGAGCTCTCCACCAGCCACTTGAACAACTCCACCCTTGTCAGGGTAAAGGGAAGGTTGCCAATCCATACGCCATGCTCAGTGCGTTGCGACTTCTTATCTCCCTTCGCACCTTTGACATCGCCCTTGGTCTTGGGAATTGGGAGCCCATCTTCGGATTCTGCTTCGTCGTCACTGTTGGGCTTGACGGGTAACGGCTTGCCCTTCTTAAGCAGACGCTTTGCCTTCTTGGACGGCGGCTCGGGGAGCGAGAGGTCTACTTCGATCTCGTCGATTTGCGACTTGCGTTTCTTAGATAAATCATGGGTCTCGTTAGCCACGGAAGGACTTTCCGGCTCCATTTCTGTCGCGACAGCCGTAGCCATTGTGAATTGAGAATTAAACTTGCGTCGTCCTTACGAGTTTGCGCGGAATTGACGGATGTCCTCGTTCAATTTGTGTGCGTTGGAAAGGTTGAAGGATGCAACTTTCACGAAATTTTTATGGAGCTGTAGGCGTTGATAAGATAAAAAAGTGTTTTGGTGGATGAATGCATACTATGCCTAAATGAATAGGGGTATGCGACTATAGCAACAATCCATATAGTGATGGATCGCTCTACGAGACAGGCGAGATTGAAAAGGGGTAAAACCTAGATGGTATACATTTCAATGATATTTCATCGAGCATAATAATCATTGACTGTTCTGTAGGTAGATCTTTCGTACTTAGCTAGCCTTTTAACAGGTCACCAAAGCAATGTTCGTGGCTAAACCCCTTGCCCCTTTTCAGCTTACCCATCATGGTCCGTTGATTTGACGGGATTGTAGATACGTTCTAATAGTCGGTGGCCCGACCATTGTGCTTACCAAGGGGCTACATACATTGGTTGAATATACCTAACCGACCAGTTGACTTCAAATCCTTGTGGCAAATGGGCCTTGGGCATGTGCAAGCATAATTATGCTATCTCTAACAGATGCCTACAGTCATATAGATGAGAATGCTTCCTAGGGTACGGCGTTTACGGCAAATGTGTGTTAACTAATCTTGAGCCTTGGTTGCTTTTCGCCAACTCTCTTTAGCAGAATGCTCCAATAGTCGCGGTTCATAAAACAGCGCAATAACCTACGTGGTCTCGGAACCAACTGGAGATCAAAGATCGTCATATATACTAACATTACCTTTCCCTTACAGTATACTCCTTCTCATCGCCTCTGCCATGGCTCACTGGCTTATTTCTCAAGGTTTGTTTTTCATGGAAACGTTCGAATTTATATATCAACCAAACGACAACATCAATAATGGCTTTGTGTGCATCCCATATCTTGACGGCTCTGTTCTGGGGCTTTCCGTCATATGCATGATCTTTACTACAATTACACTTGGGGTATCCTTATAGGTTGGCAGAAATATCAGCGAGTAGACTCCAATGCTGGAGTTGATGTCGATGAGAGGCCATACACATGCCTGTAACGGCAGCTTGCAGTGCCCCAATTAGTTCGGCATGTCTTCTCGGTGCGGGTAAGGACGATGCCGAATCACTTCTCGTCCAACGGAGAAAGATTGAGGCAGATTTACAGGGCTTTATAAGTCGAATCCGCTAGAGTATTCGCTTCGTAGATAAATTCGTCTAGAGAATATAGATGTTTGATTATGAAGAAGACAGAAGGCTGTTGTGTTAACCTTGAAGGTTGACGTATATGTAGAGCTGGGATTATGTAATTTATTTATACCAAAATTGGCATAGCTGATGTTCATGTAAGAAATACATCCCACTTAGGCTAATAGCGGGGCACTACCTGCCCCGCGCCCTACGCAGTACTTCCAGTTGTAGCTCCTCACGCCCTGCACGCCTTCCGTCTGACGTGCTGTGTAACAGCGAAGAAAAGTTGGTGGGGTTCAAAAGTCTCAAGTATAAACTTCGCCCAATTTTATTCTGACTTTTAACAATCTATCCCGTCAGCAGTCCTGTCTCGACTACCTACAAGATGGCTGCTAAAGCTCCCTCAGACGAGCTGAACAAGCTCAGCAGTAAGGAATATTAACAGTTTCAAACGTCAGGTCAAAGTTCTAACATCAGATTAGTTAGTCAGGGTGGTGGCGCCAATGGTAAGGCTGCAAAGGCAGCTAACGGTGCCAAGGACGGCGAACTGGCAGAACATTCTGGAGAAGATTCTGACGACGATGCTGATGACCAAAATGTCGAGGCTGCTCCCGGAGCAGCAAAGAAAAAGAAGAACAAGAAGAGGAAGCCGAAGAAGAAGAAGAAGGCCCCCACTGCCCAGACAGACCCGCCGAGCGTGCTGATGTCCCAGCTGTTCCCCAACAATACCTACCCCAAGGGTGAAGAAGTCGAGTATAAGAACGAAAACAGCTATCGCACTACAAACGAAGAGAAACGACATTTGGACAATTTGAACACTGAGTTCTTGACAGACTACCGTCACGCTGCCGAAACCCATCGTCAAGTCCGCCAGTGGGCACAGAAGAACATTAAGCCCGGCCAGAGTTTGACCGAGATCGCCGAAGGCATCGAAGATAGTATTAGACGGCTGGTTGGTCACGATGGGTTGGCAGAAGGTGACGCCAAGATTGCTGGAGTAGGGTTTCCCACAGGCTTGAACTTGGATCACATTGCTGCCCATTTCACGCCCAATGCTGGCAACAAGACAATTCTGCAACAGAGCAATGTTATGAAGGTGGATATTGGTGTTCATGTCAACGGCAAAATCGTGGATAGCGCCTTTACCATGGCATTTGACCCCATGTACGATAACCTGTTGGCAGCTGTGAAGGATGCCACGAACACAGGAGTTAAGGAGGCTGGTATCGATGTTCGTCTAGGCGAACTTGGTGGATTGATCCAAGAGGCTATGGAGAGCTACGAATGCGAAATCAATGGCACTACATACCCTATCAAGTCGATCCGCAATCTCACTGGTCACACCATTTTGCCATACAGCATTCACGGGACCAAGAGTGTCCCTATTGTCAAGTCAGCAGACACCACGAAGATGGAAGAAGGCGATGTTTTCGCCATCGAGACTTTCGGAAGTACCGGAAACGGTTACGTTCACGATGAAGGAGAAGTCTCGCACTATGCTTTGCGCAGTGATGCTCCGAAAGTGGATCTACGCTTGTCTTCTGCTAAGTCGCTTCTGAACGTTATCAAGAAGAACTTTGGTACTCTCCCGTTTGCGCGCAGATACATTGACAGACTTGGCCAGGAGAAATACCTACTAGGTGTAAGTATCCTCATATGACCCTAGTTTCTTTTTCAGTTTTGCAGTTTCTAACACCACACTAGTTAAACAATCTTGTGCAGAATGGCATCGTTGAGGACTACCCACCTCTACTAGACAAGAAGGGGTCATACACGGCCCAATTCGAACACGTGAGTTTGGAGAGCATTTCGCAAGCATCGGGAACGAGAGCTAATATGTTATCATAGACCATCCTGCTCCGACCTACCGTGAAGGAGGTCATCAGCCGTGGTGAAGATTATTAAGTGGATAATGGAAGTGACCCGCAGATGGCTGGGGTTATTTACCATTGTTTGCAACTGGTTGGATTTCTTTCCTCCCTAACTCTAAATCTAAGGTTCAGCTCTCGGAATCCACGATCTCCCAAGGATAATATACAACTAGTAGAAATAGGGGTTTGCATCAAAGGCTGGTATGGCCGAATGGAGGCTTTAGCATTGACCAAGTTATGTATTTTAGGTCAAAGTCTAACCCCCTATCCTATTAAGTTGTTGAGATTACTCATCTAAATAGTTATGAAAATGAATAAAACACACATCGCTTTCACAACTTGTCTTGCGGATGCAGTAGGCATCTGCATGCATCTTCCCATTATTATCGAGTCGTTACTTTATTTGGGCATTTGCAGCTTGTGATGTAAGAAAGCGGATCTGATTTAGGTTATTCAGAAGAGCTTAAGTGGTAACAATGATTATTCAAGACTGGTTGATGTAAGAGGCTCAGGTAGATCATCCAGATCATTTAATGACTGGCGTTGCGTTCCGGTGTTGTGAATAGTGACTTAGACAAATGAGAGAGTAGCGATTTCATAGATTTGTGGGCATTATCATATGTAAAATGTGTGTAACTGGAGTCTAGATGTTCGTTGACTCCGCATACCGCTCCAGAATTTCGGGCATATGGTCAAAGCTCGGTTCCATCAAAGGCACTGTTTGGCCAATCAAAGACTTTAACATTGTCAAGGCTTTAAACCCGTTTCCGAACCATTCTCTAAATTTTACACGCTAGACCTGATATGGTCATTTAAGCGAGTTTTTAGGACATACCGAGCATTGCCGGGAGGGCAAAAAGGAAACCGCGATAAGAGTCGCCTCTCGTCAGTGCCGATTGAAGGAAATTTTCTTAGAGCTTTGTCATTTGACTGGAAGAGTGGATTTTTTCTTTTAAGGGACCAAACGCCCTCATCTTTAACTTTTACTCACCATTCACCGCTGTCAGTTTGGGCTATTTCTTTTTCAGCCACAACACCATCGTTTTAATACCGTTGCGACAAGAAAATTTAATTGCCTCGTCAATTTCGCAACGGTACGGGTTAAAATCCCACGCGTCATTTTTCGGTGCTTGCGCTATTCTTATTTCCTTGGTGGGTTGCCTTTCTACGGGATTTGGCATCTAGATCCGGATCTCCGACCGGCGTCAAAAAATCTGCGCAAGGAATCATTCTTTTTTTTTGCGAATCGCGCCCGACCAACCCCTCTCGGCATCCCGATTTAATATCTCATCTATAGAAGTCGTCGCCATCCTCACGGAGGATTCTTACACCTTCTTTTATAAACCCTACTCCTGTTAGGATCGTCTTTCGATCAGACATGAAGGTCTTTTCCAACTCGCACACATTCGACTACTCGTGGGAAGAAGTATCAACCGCCAACTGGCGGAAGTACTGCCCCTGGAACGACAAGTCTACCCACGTCATAGCCGTCGATACCCTCAACCGAGAAGTCGATCCAGCCACCGGTATCCTACGAACAGAGCGTCTTATCACATGCAGACAGTCGGCACCAGAATGGCTCAAGTCAATCATCGGCTGCATGGAGACAAGCCAAGTCTTTGAAACATCCTACGTCGACCCGGCAGCAAAGACCGTCACCATGGTGTCTCAGAATGTCACATGGGCAAATCTCGTCAACGTTCAAGAGACGGTTGTCTATCGTCCCCTTGACGCGCACAAGACACAATTCGAGCAAGACGCGAGGATAACGGCACTATGCGGAGGTTGGCAGAAGATAAAGAACAGCATCGAGGACTCCTTGGTTACACGATTCAAAGAAAACGCGACAAAAGGCAAGGAGGGTTTCGAGTGCGTCTTGGCCATGAGCCGACGGGTCTTTGCGGAGGAACGAGAAAGAGAGAAGATGCTAAGCGAAGGCAAGATGATGGCATAGATGTCACCGTGGCCCGGCCAATTATATATGCATTTCCCATCCGCCACGAACCAATACCAACGTTCCGCGAAGACTACGACGAATCGGATAGACGACACACAACCAATAGCATTTTCAGGAGTCTTCTAGAGGGTGGTGGACCCCTTTTGTTTTAACCACAATAAAAAAGCACGGCGTTTTCGGCATACCCAGTGAGATTGTGTTGCATAGAAAAAGGAGAATAGAATTGCTAGTGTTTCTAGCAACGGTTTTGCGTCTCGACTCCGTGTGTTAGGGCAGTTGCTAGATTTAGAAGTAGATCTGATTCTGTTTCTGTTTAGAGGAAAGGACAGGGTGAAGCTAATCAATCACTCCTCCCATTGAGACCATCTATCAATGTCTTCTAGTTACGTGCTAGGTTATTTTTCCAGCAAAATGTTTAATGTTCGTGTAAGCATCTGTATCATTGAAGCCTTTCATATGTGCCCAGCCTTTTCATCACACTTTCTCTCGTAATATCGAAGTAAGTTTCTAGTGTCATCATCAAGTCCCAACCCTATACTTCCGTTGCTGTCATCTCTATTCTCGCCTAATGCTGCCTTAACGAATTGAGCGCCTTCAGTGTACCGTCTAAAGAAGTATAGTTCCTCTACTGCGTGTAACAACGCTTGAGCCTCGGGCTTAGGGATCCGTTCTGGGCCTAGAGGGAGTCTGATGGTTTTCCATATCTAGAAGTCTCAGCTAATTCAACATAGCTATTTTGTTCTATAACACCCTGTAGCGGATACATACCTCTCCATCCTCGATTTTGACTTTGTACTCTTTCCTCACAGCTTGAAATTCTTCTTCCGATTGGGCAGTCCTGTCCGTAGTTGTGTTTGCCTCTTGTTTCTTCGATGGATTACCCTCCGCGGGCCCCGTGTCGTTGTTGCTGTCTTCGGAATCGGATAGCTGGATACCAAAGAGGCCGGAATCGAGATCTGGGTCCATTGTGGATAGTTTCTAATTGCCCAGCTCTGCCTGGATACGTAGTGTAATTCAATCGGTTTAACCCGGGGCTGTCGAGTTCCCATAATTTCCAGAGAGGAATTCGGGATTGTCAGGCCGTTTTCGGGGCCGGGTCGGAAGCTGTTGGTGGCCAGATCTGAGAGGTGATTGGAAGGGGAGACCGAGAGAAAGTTTGCTTCGGCTTGACATCAGCGTGCATATAGGCCTTCCGTAAGTGGGGCGATGCTTCCGTACCCGGATGAGGGGACGGCCACTGGAATTACCCCCTTAAACAGCTACCTAGCTACCTATACGAAAACTCAATCAACACATTCGAACGTCACAATTCGTATAATTGCTGAAGATTTTCGTAATTTACAGCGTTGTCTCTTCCATTTGTTTATTTTTTGAACTTACCTGATTAGGTACTTTTCAAGTTACCTTTCGCCGAAAAGCCACGGGATCAACATGGATGACCAAGTATCTCGCCTCGTGGACAAAGCATGGGGGAAGTTCCAACAACTAGGCGAAGGCCAACGACTGTGTACGTCCCGCGGAACCCGGCACCCGGCAGTACACCCTTGCACCGCCCCTTCCCCTACCTAAATCCGGTATTCGGTTTAATATCGTACCTATCTCTGATCTAACCCCCCGTCCAGTGATCGCCGTAGCCGGCATCCCCGGCTCAGGTACGTCCTCCTTTCCCGACCACCCGGCCCCGTACCCCGGACGTCAATTCATAAAGTGGAAGAAAACTAACCACCACCCCCAGGCAAAACAACGCTCTCCCAAATCGTCACCAAGGCCTTGAACGCCCGCCACTCGGCCCTGCACCCGCACGCCCCCGCCCCCGCGGCCTTCGTCCCCATGGACGGGTTCCACCTGACGCGGGCGCAGCTCTCCGCGATGCCGGACCCGGAGCGCGCGCACGCGCGCCGCGGCGCCGAGTTCACCTTCGACGGGGCGGCGTTCCTGGCCCTGGTGCAAGCCGTGCGGACCGCGTCCTCGGCACAACAGCGCCCCGCTTCCTCCTCAGAGACGCCTTCAACCGTGGTGTTGGAGAAGACCGTGTACGCGCCGAGTTTCGACCACGCGGTCAAAGATCCCGTTGAGAATGATATTGCGATCCTGCCGTGCCATAGGATTGTTGTGTTCGAGGGGAACTACGTGTGCCTGGACAAGGAGCCGTGGAGGAGCGCGGCGGCGCTGATGGATGAGCGGTGGTTCGTCGATGTGGATTTCGGGACGGCGAGGGGAAGGTTGGTGAGGCGCCATGTCAAGGCTGGGATTGCGAGGGATGAGGAGGAGGCGCGGAGGCGGGCGGATGAGAATGATTTGGTTAATGGGGAGCAGATTGTTAGGGAGAGGGTGGGTGTTGATGAGGTTGTTGTTAGTAGGGAGGATAGGGGGTGGGTGCATGAGTGATGGGGGTGGGCTTGGAACGGGTACCTCTGTGGTCTTCTTGCTCTTTTAGTGCTGCTGTTAATCTGGAGGTCGCGGTTGTATGGGATCTGTTGCTGGTTGAGATGGAAGGAAATGCTAGAAGTTCCTATCGACTAGACGAAAATCAGGTCTAACCACGAGGGTATTCTAATATGGCAGATACTGATCAGACGTTGGAGCCATTTAATGTTATTAATTGCATTAGCATGGAAACAAGTCCTTGGAAAGATCAATCGATGCCTGGTTTTTTTTTTTTTTTTCAAACTATTCGAATCTACTTGTTTGTAGCTCAACTAAAATTCGTCACCTTCATACATTGAGAAAGGGGTGAGTGGACTATTTCATCAACATGTAAAGATGGATTCGTGCTACAGAGAAACTGACTCATCCATTATGCGTTGCCGATCGCCATACCCATTCCACCAAGCGCGACGGTGTCCCTTGATCGAAAAATTGAGATCGCGACGACATCTGTTCTCAAGATCTTCAACAAAGGATACATCCAAGATATGTAGATCAGAGGTGATTGAATTAAGCTCGCCTCTAATCATCGGCAGTTGGACGTCGCAAAGGGTCAAACTCAGTCGCTTCGTAATGAATCTGGGAAGGTGTGGAGAAATACTGCTCCTGAACCCTCGTATAGTATATCAAGGCTCTTGACCAGCGCTTAGCAGAGAACAAGGGGTTGTGGTGTATCGGAATAGCGTCGGCAGCGGGGTCCTGAGGCATGTTCTCGTAGCGGAACTCTTCGAGGTTCGGTAGGCGGGAAACCAAGTTGTCGAGTGTCGCAGGTTTCCAGGCTCGGTCATGTCGTACTTTGAGGAGGAGGCTCGTGACCGCGGGGGCTTCCGGCAAGGTTTGCCACCAATACTTCTCGTAAGCTTCGTTGAAATATACACCCGCGTCATTACCTAGAATTACTTGGTCAGCAGGGGCCAAAGCTGTCTCGGAAGAGCCAGGAGATTTTTGACTGGCAGAGTAGATCTCGATCTCTAAGTTGAGTTGTCCTTGGGGCTCCCATGAGCTGAGCATCCAAAATAGGTCGTGTATTGCTGTGGTAACAATGCAGTTATCTGTTGTGCGCGGAGATCGCTTGTTGTACGGTGAAGCTTCCCACAGGTGATGACTGTCCCCTTCAAGTTGTAGTGAAAGCGAGATGCATCTGACGTGAGCTCGGTTGTCGTGAGTCATAAGGTGAAACTCGGGCAAGTTCCATAGTGTGAGTTTGATGTGTTGGAAGTTAGAATGCTCGATGTCGTTTTGCTGTTGACGTGTCAAGGTTGCCGGTTGAGCGGAAGAATGACCATGGTGGGTTGAGCGAATCGGGAGGGAGAGCTGGGTTTCTCTAGACAAAACTGCCTCGGATGGGTTAGTGGCCGTAGATCGAGACATTTTGGTCCGTTGGTGACGTTATAAGGTAGAGGGGAGTGTAGCTGAGATTGATGAGATTAAGGGGTGGGAAATAATACTTAGTAGTAGATCGAAGACTTTGGCGTGAAATGTTTGAGGAAATGGATAGAGAAAAAGAGAAGATAGGCTGGGGAGCTCTCAACTTATTTATACCCTATTTAATTTTTTTAAGCTTTGGTACATAATGTAGCGTTTAGGGTAATAAAGGTGTAAGTAATTTAAAGCTTAAATATAAATATTTATTATAATTTGAAAGGGTTATAAAAAAGTCGATTATGCGGCAGCAAGCTTTCGAAGTTAAGGTTGCTTTTTGCAGCCGTCAGTATGACCATTTCGGAGAGTGGATAGTGAACTTTATTACGTATGTGCCCTTTATTGCCATATCCTAAGATTAAGAGGTTGGAGGTATAGTCGATTATCACTACGCCGCATCACTACTAAGATCCATGGATGTACTAACCCCATCACTCAAGTGCCTACTGCCATATTAACGATACTTCGCCTGTGAGCTACGGGGACATAAAGCTTCGCATCACTGACAGATCATACAGTCAAGCACCTCCCGACATAGAGTAAAGCATTACCACACATGAGTAAGGGCGAGTTCATCAAGTAACTAACTGTCCATCTAGGTACGTTGACGTTGATTCAATTACTTCCCACCTCTTGTAGCCAAGTCTTGGTTTCGGCGTCTTGTTCTCGTTAACAGGCCTACTTATCCGGAACACCGCGTAAAGGTGCTTGGCAGTGGTTCTGGGGCCTCCCCAATCCTCACTCGAGGCTGGGTCATTGGCGTGCTATGTGCTGTGTGCTGTGTGCTGTTCAAAGAAATCTTTACTTACGAGCAAGCTAGCACGACGCCACGAAGGCGTCGACAAACTCGTCGAGGGCGAGGCGGCGATTGACTCGCCCTAACGAGCCAATCTGAGGTCGAGGTCGTCTCCCCGACGGCGAGCGGCCTCTAGTGCCGCATCGAAAAACGCCATGCGGGCCCGAGCTCGGTGGTACTCAGCCTCAGCCACCGGGAGGGAGGTGTCAGAAGCCTCCTCCGCGAGAGCTGGGTAGTCAGAGGTCTCGCCAGGGTTAGCTAGTAGCCCAGAAGGATCGAGAGTCGGCATGTACGAGGCCGCCCTGTTGGCAGTTGGCCCTTGGCTGTAGACAAAGGAAGGTTCATCTGTGACGAAGGAAGTTCGTCGCTACGCCGAGGAGAGTGTGCGCAGTTTTCAGGTCGACGCTAATACGCAAACCTTCGATCCCCTGAAAGGGATTAGTTAGAGCCCTTCGCGCAACAACGTCGTTCTTCCCTAGCCAGGAGGTGATGATGGTGTCGGTGCTGGCAGGGCTCTTACTGTCCAAGCTTCGTTAGTAAGTCATTCACTGGGGTGTAAGCCTGGAATATCGGAGACGTAGGAAAAACATAGCGCCCACTTGGTGCTACTGCTGCTGTTGCTCATGTTGTTGTTGTTATTGTTGTTGATAATGATGGTTGTCAGACATCTTGTATTGTGATAATGGTGATTGATGAGTGAGAGAGGGAGAAAAGAGAATGGCAGACGGGGGATTTTCAGAACTTAGATTTAATTTTAATTGATAAACATAGTACCTTCTCACTCGTAGTTATTTGAAGCCTGTCATTTCTGGATTAAATCTATAAAAATGCCATTTTTAGGCCTACACTTGCCTCTCGACTTCATACATTTCTTCTTTCCGCACCAGTTAGTCTCTTCAGCGAACTCAAATATGTTACTCTCGAGGTAAGAAGTGAGCAAATTATCGAACTATACTATGGTCGTAGCTGCCGCATTCGCGGTGCTCTGGTGGGTCAATATACCGATAACAAAACGGAAATGGGACCACCCACACCACCATAATGAGTCAGCACAGGCTCTCGTACCGAGTGTTTACCTAATATTGCGTTCTATTGTCACTAACGAATAGGCAAACGATCCAAACGGGAGGGGAAGGGGGTTAGGTACGGTGCATTGGCAAAAGATTATGAAGACAGTGAAGAACATCAGCAGGAGGTCAAATAATTCATGTATAGCAAACTGATTTAACGACATTCATGCAATATTTGAGAGATTTCAATCTAGAAGTACCCAACTTCACTTTATTCTCGTTCTCTGACTCAACTAGAATATTCCTTACATTCTAGACGTGCTGTTGGAATTCTGTGGCGAGTGGGGTGAAGTATGACCCTGTTCAGATATCCCAGCATTGATAACATTTAGGCATATGGATGGAATTCAGAACCCTCTGGTAGTTGCCTATCCCTATCGTGCTTTAAAATGTTTGTGCCGACCTCGCCCGAGATAATCTTTCCCAGAGATTAACAAAGTGAACTTCGAACTTCAAGATGAAAGGACACACGGTAAGGACATTGACACTTTGTAATGGGTTATATAATCAGTAACGGGCTATATAGTCAGTTATCTTATATCTAAGTAGTCTTCTGCATGAGTTTCTGGATATGATTAGGTAGACATCTTACTCATACGGGGCCATCTCTACACGGCGTGTGTTAGACCAGTGGTGAAGAGCAGCTTTGCTTGCGTTGTAAGATGCTTGGTACCTAGGTATCAATATGAAGGCTCAACATATCGGATGCGATCTCAGCCGTTGACTTACAGCCATAGATGTATGGAAGGATGCCCCCTACAGAGGCGATGTTCACAATAGTGCCATGAGCTTTACTAAGCATATCACGAAAATGGTGAACGATCCGCATCGGTCCAAAGACGTTGACGTCGAACATCCGCTTCACAGAATCAATATCCGTGTCAATGGCCGTCATTGTATAACCTCAGAAAATGTATAGGTAATCCCTAATTAAAGCGCAGTGCCGAAGGCACGGGGAGGCGTCACAAGCCAGTGCTAGTATTACAGGCTGCTTCGTACGAATGTATATAGGTAATTCAGAAAAGTGCTATAAGAAAATATTGAAACTTCCCTTAAGTTTCCTCTTAATTCTGAAGATTGTTCTTTAGGTAAACTTGTGAGGTACGAGAGAAAAGGGGTAAAAGTGGACCTCACCCAGTTACTCTATCTTCTATGTTTTATACATCCAATTTTTAACAACTGGGTAGGGAATTGACTACAATCTTAACAAAATGGCCTATAGGCATCCTGCTAACTTATGCATCTAGGAAACAGGAGCAGTAAGGTATCATTTTCACCTTCGCTTACCCCACTCAAACATTCCAAGTTGATTCTAATTGTTTCATTTCTGCGGCATAGCCTTTTAGCTTAGGGAAGTAAGTTCCCCGTTGCTATCCTATGACCATCTAACCACCACCACCACCACCACCACCACCTGACCACCCAGTCAACTACCACTCTCAACAACTATCAAAAAACTTCCACGCCTTCCTCCTTCCCGGCTAAGCCCGGCACGCGCGCATTACGTAACTTAAGAAACCTAGTTACAAATCGACCAAAGCGAAGATGTCCGTCCCGGTTTCGACTGCGCAGCCCCGCCGAGGGCTGCAGCTCCCGCCCGGCAAGAAGATGTCATGATAGTGTCCCCGTCCGCGTCCACGCGGTTCTCCTCCTTAACCCCCCGACCGGCGCCACGGCTGTTCTATCGCTTCTTGACGCTGGGCCTGGGCTTGCACTCGTCGCCCTGGATGGGGTGGAGCATGACCTTGTTGGGGTAGCCCTGATTATTGGCCATGTAGCCCTTGCTCCAGTCATAGCCGACGGCGTACGCGAAGATAGTACCCCCGGAGTTGAACGTCGTCGCTGTGATGCTCCCGCCTACCGTCGGGTACCCCTTCAGCCGGTGCTTCGCGTCCTTGTCCCAGAAGTGGAACGTGCCATCGCTGCCGGCGGTAGAGAAGGTGCCGTGCTGCGGGTGGAACGAGATGTCGTTCACGGAGTACACTTGTGTTGTGTTACCTTGAGGAGGATCGCGGTGACATTTGAAGGAGAAATTGGATCTGTAATACGTTAGCATTTATTCCTTGAAAAAGAAGATAATCAGATCGATGAATGTAATGGCTCGCAAACTTACCCTGAATCCTTGTCTTCCACGTACTGAATAGCGCAACGGCCCTCGATACTGCCAATAGCAAAACCGGTGGCGTCGGTGAAACAGCTAACGACTCGAGTCTGCCACTTCAGTGGGCTTTGCAGAGTCTTGTAGAACTTAAGGGGATCCTGGAGGTTGATGACATTGATGTATCGGTCCGCGGTGCCGATGACCAGCAGCGAGTTGCGTACGTCCATGGAGTATACACGCTCCTGGCACGTCACGGAGCCGACCGGCGTACTCTGCCGTAGATCCCAGTACTTGACGGTCTTGTCCCACGAGCCCGTCACCAGCATCGGGCCGCTGGAGTTCGGCAACTCGAAGAAGCGCGCGCAGCGGACTGTCTGGTCGTGCGCGGCTACTTGCGCCGTCTGTAGCGTCTGTAGGTCGCATACCTTTGCCTGCTTGTCTGCGCCGGCAGAAGCGATTTTGTTGCCATCCTGGATATAACCATTAGCATCTCGTTTTAAACTAGGGTACCCTGAGCACGTAAACCTACCTTGGAGAAATCCACGCTGAGGACAGGAGCGTCGTGCTCATACATGTGCTTCCCTTCACTAGAGCCATTAGAAGCGATCTGGTATATGCGGACTTTCTTGTCCCAACTGGAAACTGCGAGGATGTCTTGACTAGGAGAAAAGGCGAGGTCGGAGACTGTGTCTTCGGGTGGGTTCGATACTGGGACGTCATTCTTCAGGTCACCGATCGTGTTGGAAGTAGTTGATGTTGAAGCGCTGCTCCCGAAGAGGCCCGACATCTTGCTAGGGGGTGGCTGTCACAGCCAGTAATACGTCTACGAGAGTTTCGGGGTTGTTTCGAGGCGTATCGAGGATGTTTGGTAAGTAAACGGCGGCCGTTTGTGGCAATTGAATAACTAGAAGACTCCGCCGCTTAAGGTTAAAGAAAGTATTCTCAAGCTTGCAAGGCTATCGTTTGCTCCCGTCCACGTCTTATTGAGAAACTTGATCACCGGGTATATGTAAGGCTGTGTTGGTACAGATAATGGTGCGGATGGTGGCACGTTTCTGGAATGTTGAAGTTAACGAATTGGCGTCAACGTGAGACTTGAACGCGTGAAGCAGCTGAGCAGCTACTAAAAAAGTTATGTCCGAAGTACCAACCAACCACTGACCAATGCAAAGCTAGGGCCTCCTAGGTACTTCCCAAATCTGCCTAGTCGAAGATTTGGGTTGAAAAAAATCCAAGCTTAAGTAAATGGGGAATCTCTATTGGCTAGTTGCTACTGACAATCTAGGAGCTTGGACCATCCGCCCTAGCGTTCCCTGCATTACCATAAAACTTTTTTTCGTCAAGCTCTCTCAATTAAAATTTCTTTCCCTTCTTCAACCCCCTCGCCCAACAAATCGCTATCGAAGCTACATACAGAGACTTCTCGATCTCTCGATCGGGTCGTCTCCCCTTATCCTAGGGAAGCTTTGGGAGAAAGTCCCCGGACGTTCCTTTTTCTTAAAGGAAAAAATGCGGAAACGCGCCGCCATAGAAGCACAGCGGCTTATGTCTCCCCGCCTGTCCTCTCGTTCCGCCGCGATCTGCCCCGCCTGTCGCTACATCGCTTGCCTTCCCAGGTGCGCAGGCCTGGATTTCCCAGCCTTGAGACCCCATGGACGAAGATATGAGTCCGCGCTCTTCGGTTGGGGGGTTCGGCTTCTGCAATCTTGGGGGGTGGGTTGATGACAGTTGGCCGTGGATTGGGCGGACGGAGGGCGCGAAGGGCGGGCGTAGGCTCCCTGTTGTCGAGATCGAAAGTTATGCGATTGCCTTGCTTCTTCCCTCGGAAGATGGCTTGGTTACTCGATGGGGCTCATTCTTGGTGCGAGGGGGTTCCCTTCATGATGGATAACCAGACGACCAAACTCTGGGCTTCGTTGGAAGTCTTTCTCCCTCTAGGTTATCCGGACTGGAGGTAATGTGAGGATCTGGGGGTCATTTTACTTGGCTTTTGATGGTATTTGGATAAGTTCAGGTGATGATAACCAATAATTAGAGTCAAGCACTGAGGCGAGTCACTTTGTGATTAGCTCGTTGAAGATTCAAAATGCGTTATGGTATCTGATGAACATTGCTTTTATGTCCTTTTCCCCACATCTCAATTATCCTAGGCACATAGTATATGCATAGTTTCAATACTGAACCGCCTTTCGTCTTTGGTTCTTTCAGTGATGCCCAATTATATTTATAATACCCATTTTGGTCGATCCTAATGGTGTAATCTCGTATCATATATGCATTCAAGCCCTCATGAAAGTAGTCAAACGCCGTCGTGCCCATATAGCCCCAATGCAACCTGGTATCCTCAACCCAAAGCGATCCTAAACACCGGGACAACAAATCAAGCTAATAAATATACATCGTTATGGATTTATATATAGATCTTTCATCAAATCAGCCCCCCAAGAACCACTTTGCCTACGTTAGCAACTTCCTGTTTCAAGCCTACCCGGCTTGAATCTTCGAATTCTTTAACCACGCCCTGAATGATGATCTTGCGGACTTTCGAATCTGCCTTGTGGAATAGCTCCGCGATAATGGGAGTACAATCCTTAGCCGTGGGAAGAAGAGTCATAAGTCTTGCGTAACAATCTATTAGCACGTCGCATAACGTAGCAAATGTCTCGAAGAAGTCCGGATCAAAAGGTAGGTTCGGTGTTAACAGATGCGTATACTCCTCGCCGGGAACAAGGTCGTTGCCCTCACCACCCAGCCCGAAGTTGATGACACTAGTGGGTACCGAATTGACGGCCGATCCACTTGCCAGGCTGTTGCTCGCGTCCGCATATATGTCCCCCGCCCCTGATTGCCTCCGGCCCTTCCCACCAGCTCCTCGGCGAAACATATTCGGTATGCGGGCACGTGAGAGTGAGCTAGTGTTGACACCATTTTCGGTATGTATCTGTTGGTAAGAGTCGAATTCGGCGAGAAGAGTGTTGAGGGAACGAAGAAACTCGAGCGGCGTAGACGAATTGAGATCGATTACGGCGGGCAGTGATAGGCCAAGTAAGAGGTAGTTGGTAGCCCGGTAAGCGATTTTACGGCTGTCAAAGTACGGCATGCGTGCCAGATCAGGTTTATCAAAAAGTAAAGTATTAAACCAGTAAACTCGGCCTTCGTGACTGATACAAATTGTTAGTCTTACCATATACAATACATAGTAGACTGGGGAGAGGTAGTAGAGTTCGTAACATACGCTTTACGTAGGTAATCTAATGTCGAGATCCTCTTGTTGGAGACTTCATGTATATGCTGATGAAGCGAGGGTATTTCGGTTTGGAGTAAAGGAGGGGAGGTCGTGGTAGTGGGGAATTGCCCATTACTAGCCGCCGTTGTAGTTCGACTTAGCATCTTGGAAAAAGAATCTGCTGACGCGGGTGAAGGTACTGCCTCGTTTTCTTTCGAGAATTTGGCTGCAGCCGCAAGAACGAAATCAGGAGGTATCGCAGGTGGTGCGGTGGCGTCGGTCTTGATCTGATCCCCAGATACTGATCCCGCATTGGACGAACTCGCGCGACGTTTTCCCTTGGACGGGGAGGAGAAAGACGGTCTGCGCCCAAAAGAAGGTTTGCGGTCGCGGTCTTTAGTCAGGACGTTATATTCCTTCTCTTTGTCCTTCTCTCGATCGCCAGAACTGGTACCGGGACGTGACCTACTAGAGGTTTGCGACTGAGAATTCGAAGTGACGTTGGGATTAGCACTGGTATTTCCCCAGATATTGGTGGAAAAGAAAGGAGTCGCATTTTGCGTCGGCGTAGTGGCAGAAGGTCTCTGCATGGCCGGCCGAGCGTGTGGCTCCCACCCTTCGAAAGTTCAGCCGTGGTAAGTCTAATATTAGCGCGTTGCTGGACAAGGCCTGGTCGACCTGGTCGAGTTTCCTCGATTCGTGTAGACTGGCTGACTGCCTCCCCTATCCGGATAGAAAAGTTGCTTGGTTTAATTGGATGTGGGGTGGAGGGAACGTAAATGCGTTAATTCAACGAATTAGAATACGGCAAGGGGTACCAGATAGATGGATTATGGATTCGACATGATGTACATTAGATAACGTTTAATCAGAATAATCGGAAATTTGGATACTAGTAGTAATGATCGGAGGAAGAAGAGAAGAGAGTATGGAAATTGAAAAAGAAGAGACGAAAAAGTGATTGTGTAGGTGGAAGTTGGAAAGATGACCAAGAAAACTTTATGGACAGTATGGACATATGCAGTTCAATGTTGGCAGGTCAATTCGTTATGTACCTAGGTGGTCCTCCAGTCGTTTATTTAGCCTTTAGGCGAACAGACAGGTACTTGCGTGTCTCTTGTGGCTGCATTGGCGGCAAGAGGAACCAGCAGGTCGGGGCAGAAGGTATCACACGCATATCGCATTGCTTGTAATACCACGCCAGGATCCACAACTTTCATTGGGTAAAGCATTGAAACTTCCCCCGAGTCAAATGTACTTGATACTGTACTTCGTGCACCTCAAAACCTCAGAATTCAAGTGAACATGGAGGTCTAACTGTGTCATTTGTTATAGATGTTGTGCCTTGGTTGTAAGATGCCGGAAGGGAACCGAATTCAGCTCTTGAAACAGCCAGCGATTAGGCGATGGTGTACATCCAATCTGGGGATGATGTTCAAACATTAGTAATAGAGGCACCTAGTCTATAGCAAATTCTATTAAGACATAGGTTGCCAATCCAAGGTGACAAGGTCAAGGAATCCATCGAAGTCGAGTTTTATTTGTTTGAAGATCGATTCTAGAATGTTTCAGCTGTCTCGTACGATGAAATATCCAGACATTTATTCTCCGAGCCGTGTAGCTGCCGTAGTGGAGCTTGAGCAGTCACCTTTTGAGATACTTAGCAGATAGGTACGGTCAACAATAATATCGTCAAGTATCAGAGGACAACATTCATTTGAATTACTCGGTTACTTGAAAGCAAACAAACAAAGCGGGCATGACTTCTAAGTCTTAGCTTTGATCCATTTTGGTACATGAACATGTTTGTTAAGAGTTAAGACTCGAAAATATGTAGTTGCCGAGTCAAATTTGCGGTCATATCGATATGAGCAGACGGGTAAATGTATTGATTTAAGCAGCTTATGAGATAATCGCAGCTGCCCCGCCAATTAAACGCTAGTTGATGTGACGCGCTACGCGTTGACGTCTCCAATGGATAACGTCAAAACGTCAAAACTACATGGAATAAATTTGATCAAGGCATTTGCAAGGTATTGGTCAAAACAAAAACCTATAGGTACTAAATCAATGTCGTGATCATGCCTAGGTTAGTCAATATCATTCGATCGCACTGTTATACGGGCTACATATTTTAACATTATGCATCAGAGAAATCATCACGATCCAAACAGGCCAGTGCGGCAACAGCAGTGAGTTACATCTAAACATCACGAGCTTCTAGTTCTCGAATAAACATGCTTACGTATCCAAGTCGGCAGTCAATTCTGGCAACAGCTCTGTCAAGAGCACGGGATCAACCAAGATGGCAACCTCGAGGACTTCGCAACGGAGGGCGGCGATCGTAAGGATGTCTTCTATTATCAGAGTGACGACACGCGATATATCCCCCGAGCGATTCTGATAGATCTTGAACCTCGAGTCATTAATGGTATACAAAATGGCCCTTACAAGAATATCTATAACCCAGAGAACTTTTACGTCGGCAAAAGTGGCGTGGGGGCGGGGAACAACTGGGGTGACGGATACCAGACGGGAGAGGCTGTCCACGAGGAAATCATGGAAATGATAGAGCGAGAAGCAGATGGAAGCGATTCTCTCGAGGGATTTATGCTACTGCATTCTATCGCCGGTGGTACGGGTTCCGGTCTTGGCTCCTTTCTTCTGGAACGAATGAACGACAGGTTTCCCAAGAAGATTATTCAAACATACTCAGTCTTTCCTGACACTACAAACGCGGGCGATGTCGTGGTTCACCCATACAACAGTCTTCTCTCTATGAGGCGTCTAACGCAGAACGCCGATTCCGTTGTAGTTCTCGATAATGGAGCATTGTCTCATATCGCGGCAGACAGGCTACACGTTCAAGAACCATCATTCCAACAAACAAACCAGCTGGTTTCGACAGTCATGTCTGCTAGCACGACTACATTGCGATATCCCGGATACATGCACAATGACTTAGTCAGCATCTTGGCCTCCTTGATACCCACTCCACGCTGTCATTTCTTAATGACTGCGTACACCCCCTTCACAGGAGATCAGGTTGAGCAAGCCAAGACCGTCCGAAAAACCACGGTATTAGACGTTATGAGACGATTATTGCAACCTAAGAATCGTATGGTCTCTACCGTCCCGAGCAAGAAGAGCTGTTACATTTCTATCCTAAATGTCATCCAAGGCGAGGTTGATCCGACGGACGTCCATAAGAGTCTTCTGCGTATTCGCGAGCGAAGATTAGCCACGTTCATACCATGGGGTCCAGCAAGTATCCAAGTTGCTCTCACAAAGCGCAGCCCGTACATCCCGATGAGCCATCGTGTTAGCGGCCTCATGCTAGCTAACCACACCAGCATATCTACCGTGAGTTTCTCTAGGCTCCTGATCAGAATATAAACTAACGAGCGCCAATAGCTGTTTAAGCGAATTGTTCGCCAATACGACGGTATGCGGAAGCGGAATGCCTTCATCGATAGTTACAAGAAGACAGCTCCCTTCTCTGAAAATTTCCACGAATTTGACGAGGCCAGAGAAGTAGTGACAGACCTGATCGAGGAATATGAGGCTGCTGAAGATGCCAATTATCTAAATCCCGACGACGGTGACAAGGTCACATCTGCAGAGACGGATAAGAGAGTCGCATAGTCAGCTTCCCACCTCTCTTGATGAAATAGGACTCATGAAGTTATGTCGCATTGAAAAGCATCGTGAATTGGGTTTTCTACAGCGATGAATGACTGAAAAAGGTTGATATCGATACGGAGTTTGGGTGTTTCGGCTCATTGCGATTTAATCGTTGGCGCGATGCGCGCAGTAGTGGTCTATTGTACCTGCATAATATCTGTAAATTTACATAGATACTAACATTACAAGACCCTGTCTTACGGTAACATCTATTAGCTATTGAATTCGCTTAAGACAAACCGTATTAGGCGTCAAAAGGGGAAGTGTGGTTCAATAATAGCCTCTTACATGCTCAGTTATGTTCGATTACGTCTTAGTCAGGGGATTGTTACACTGAATCGTAACCGTTTCCCGCAATGGATCCAGTTTGTCAGGGCAGTTGCAGGGATAATTGCGGCTCATTTAGGGCTTAATAGGCGGGTCCTAAATCGGTGATGCTACGCGTGCCTGGAGCTTAATCTGATTGCTTCCCTGGATGACATCAATTATAGACTCTCCATGACGTCAAGATTACCGGACTAAAAGCTCCCATCAATTATGTCATGTCACACATAGACACAATGTACATATTAAAGCCTCGACATCCAAATCCTACACTTACATTTCTTCCTTTTGATACTACAGAAAAATCTCACTTGAACGAAGAACACAAGTCACAATTTGCCAACGACGCCCACAAACCATACATACCACACACATACCAATAATCATGTAAGTTTCCCTCCTACCGAACTCATCTATCTGTATCTGCAATCTACACACAGCGAAGTAGCTTTAGAATGTACCTTGAACATCCTACTAACATCCTAAAAGTAGAAATGTCTCAGTCAAAAGCAGACCACGCAGAGGAGGTGAGATCCAACCTGCCTCTTCCCGAGCAACCCCCCGTCGCCTCAGACTGGAACTCGGCCGACGCTCGAACTGTCAACGTCGGCTCTGGTGCCGTCCAGAGCGACATTTCCACCGGCGCTGGTTCTACTTCGGGGCTACGCGAGCCCGCTAGCAAGAAGGATGTCGACTTGAGTAGTGTAGGTCGTCAAGGCAAAGACAATCTCGACGGTCCGCCTAAGGATGCTAAGTCCAATTAAGGGGCTTTCATGAGGGTATATTAAGGGTAGCTTCCTGCGACATGTAGGAATTCTGAAGGGTTCTACAATAGCAGATTTACACCAGGGCCGGTTTAGTTACTATCCCAGGGACGCACAGCTTACGCCCTACAAATAAATTACGTATTACGATGATTGTGACGGATCAGCCTTATCACCTGTAATATCGCAAGGCTGTCCGCCTTGCGATTCTCGTCTTTTGGTGGTTGTCTGGCTCAATTGGCAGGTGATAGCTTCCACCCGGAGGTCTTTGTCCTTGTCGTGACAATGATCAACATGAAAACTTGGCGTCTGTAAACTTTGCATATATCTAGAGCCAGCCACCAATATATTGCCACTAAAGAGTTCCCGTGTATGTTTTATCCATTCAATTTAGCAATTTGGCGTGTTTAAGCTTATTTCGATATTTCTTAGGTAGTTGCAAAAGCACTTGCAGCTATCAGCTACCTACAAACTAGAAGCCACTATCCCATAATTTTAATCTGAGATATGATCCAGAATATAAATATTCACGGTATATTATCCCACATTTTTATATATTATGTCTACGTTGTAATAATAATATTTTGATTTGTAAATATCATTTTTGGTAGATTAAAACTATCTTGCTGTTGATTATTAGGTATCCTTTTGGTTAGTAGTAGTCCCCAGTCACCAGGCTAGAAGGCAAAATGGACCTAAGCACCACGAAAGCTCGGTTCAAGGCACTGCCGGTGCAAATAATAATTAGACGGAAAATAATGATGAAACCGTATACTGTTCATATTTTATATTCTAGGTGAAGTCCACCAGGCCTTATAAATATTTCGCCTCCTAATCCTTAGTTAGGTGATGTAAATTGCTCACCCAGAGCGATTTAACCAATTTTAATATGGTACAATAACCACTTAGATCCATTAATCAACCTATATGAGAACCCTTGATATCTACTAGGTACTCCAAAAGATATCTGGCCAAGTGATATTAACTATGCGCCTTGTATAATTGATTTTAGTTCTTCGTTATCATATATCGTGCCATGCCAATTGTTACGTACCTATTACTTTTCAATACCAATTATAGTATCACGTTGCTTTTGTTGGTTAGTCTACTAACTTTTATTGGCTTTCTGTAAGGTACCTAGTAGATGTTTATAGAGAACACCTATGCACTCATCTTTATCCTTTAACACCATGACAATGCCTAGAGGATCGGTGTTACATATTTATAGATTTTTCCAGATGGTGTTCCAATCTCTGATGCCTGCTTGACCTTTCACGCAACCAATTTCCATTGCCGTTGTGAAGCTAACCTCTTTGTGAGAGAAACTATTCACATGGACACCCACAGTAGATAAATCTCAAAGTACAGCATTGAAAAACCCAAGAGATTGGTAGAAAGAAGACTTTGATGTGTAGTAGGGACTCTCCAGCATGACATCCTACATGAGATTTTCGTAAGAGATATCTAAATGAAGAAACTTATTATCATAATTTGTGGCTTCAATATTTTCACAAATTAGTTTGAACTTTTCCGTGCCCTATTAGGTATGTAGCACCTGATAACTAATTTTCAGGGTCCATTATACTAACTTCATTCTTACAACCACCGACACCTGTTTGAATGATACCTAGGGCGCTACTGGGTACTAACCTAGGTGGGTGACAAGTTAAATTTCACTCTAGCGGACAGTGGTATTAAATTAATTACTTCTATGTAACTCCTTACACACTCGAGCTATTTTCTCGGAAACCACGACGGTCAGGTACCTAAGCAGCGCCGTAATATGTGTAGATATCCAAGTACTAAGCTAGCGGTGAGGTCACTGGCGGTACGGTAGGTGGGTAGGTCGCAACTTCTATTTTCCATGCTGAATTATGTAGGTAGATTAAATCACTCTTCTTAGGTATCCATTGCTTTTCTACCTACTAGGTATTTTCTATTCTCTACACAAAACTCTCGTCACCGTCCTCCTTCAACTTTTCATCCTCCTTCATCCTTGGTCCTTCTTACACTCTCAAAACATCACGGCCTCATCCCGGTCATTCTACTCCCTGTCAATAAGTGTTCCTTTTCTTGATCACCTACTACTGACCACTGATTATCATACGTTCACGTCTGTACGACATCAAGTCTGCTCACTTACCCACGTCTACAATCCAACAATTTCCTTCTCTATTTTCTACCCTTACATGAACCTCAAGAGCCATCTCCGTCTCAGGACTTTATGGTAAGTAAATAACATTCCTATCACCGCTTAACTTTCATCCGTGGGGGTACTCATCCCTATCTTACTACATCATCACACCTCGTATTCTGTCATCGTCCACCTGATTTGTCTATCACTACACATCTATTTCCATGTTCACCTCTACATTTTGCCTCACCTTGTCCCGGTACCGTCGACTTCATTCACTAACTTGCCTTATCTCAAGCAAACGTACACTGCGTCTATCTGTACACACTCTAAAACCGACGAGGATCATAAGACACGTCTCTGGCCAATATTCGGTTGAAAGCTATCCTCAGAGAGCCTTTATATTGCTCTTGGACATATCGTGCCATTGCCACTTCATCATTCACAATCTCGTGATAATTCGAGACTTAACTAGGAATATTAGCATATTGTCAATGTGCTACCTTAACTAAGTCATATTCAACTATTTCAACCCATACCTATCATAACATTTCTTCAAGCAAGGATCACATTTAGGATGTCTTCTGCCAAACGGGCGGACCTAGAAGCCATGATGGTAAGTTGTTCTCCCACTCGATATTTTACCAACCCACCACTCGCATTATACGCGGAGCTGTCGTGGCCAAATATTGATTGACCATTCCCTTCATAACTTATAAAATGCTTATAAGATTGAATAATTCCAAGAGATCAATTCGCTAACATCAACCTCTAATAGGCTGATCTAGGAAACAGCCGACTTGAGCAGTTGGCCACAGACGGTGCATCGCGAGGTCGCCAAGGCCTCGCCGTCAATAGGCAGCCGCATTCTACCCAACCTGCTGGACATCCTTCTATGAAATCAACTAGCAATCTAGCTGAGAATGCAGGAGCAGCTAGATGGACAAGTAAGTCAGATATGAAAACACTAGATATACTACTTTATGTACTAACACATGGAAAAAGAAGCTGTGAACGAAGGATTATTCAATGATGATGACTACCGAGGAGTGAAGAACCTTGACTCAATCGACGATGGCAATGCTCATCGCCGTCACAGAGAGCCCAGACATGGTTCAACCTATGATCCGGCGTATGCTACCCTTTGACTCCAAATCACTTTACCTTGCTAACTGAATTATAGTAATCCTCTTGGCCCTCGAGGTAACCCTAGCAGGAGTTATTCATCAGCTGGGCAAACAAGCCGATTTTCTGGGTTGCCAACCCCTGGAATTACACATGGAGTAGGACGTGGTGCACCAGCCCCAGCCCGAGGAGTAACACGACAGCCCCTGTCACTGGCGGGACGAGGATATGGTGCTTCGCCAAGCATACAGAACCCACCTCTTGCAGCAGCAGGGCATGGGCGTGGCCGTGGACGCGCTTCTACTCCTGTTCTTAGTACACCACAGGGCCTCACAGGTACGAGACCAGTAATTGCGACCGCAACGGCGCCCAGAGTGCCTTCTGCCGTAGCGTCACAGCATGGAGGTGGAGCAGGAGCTACGTCGGAATTGAACATCGTTCCTCCTAGCAGTGTGGAAAAGGAATCGCCGATCAGCAAAGTTCATGCACATGAGAATGGTGTCGCAAAGAAAGCCGATCAGCCGGTTGATGCCACCTCCATTCCACCCCACCTACGACATCGACATACCTCTCCGAGGCAGAAGGTGGAACCCGCACCTCTCACTCCCGAGGAAAAGAATCAGGGGCAAGCTGTCAGCAAGGGTGTGGTTGAGGCCATAGCTGCCCCGTCAGATCACAGCCAAATTGTCTACCGTGATGATAAAACCGACACTTCGCTAATTGTTGGAAAGGAGCGAGCCGGTGTACGCAGTACAGTCACTCTTTATGTGCAGCCCAAGATTGACACAGTTTTCTGGGAAGTTAGCACAAAGAGCCTAGTACTCAGGGGTGATATCCGAGCTTGCATTGCACCCTTAGTAGTTGGGGATCTCTTATATCTCCGAAGGCAGGAAAAAAATACGGCTGGGGTACAGAATTGCTATATCACATTCTCTAGTAGTTCTGCTGCAGAGAAGTTCAAGACGGCTCTCAATTTCCATCGAGACAAGTATGCAAATTCTACGGGTGAGATCTTCAAGGAGACTTCTGAGAACCCAGATAAGGTTGAAGAACGATCAGTTAAGAAGACTCCTCTTGCCTTAGAGTCGCCCAAGACGGAGATGAGCGGACAGACCGCGGTTGAGGATTTGATTGACCTTAACAATGTCGCATCGCCCGAGAAACTTTCCTCGCGCCCAGATGATCTTCAAGAACCACGCGAGCATTCACGGGAAGCCCCTGTTCACCCCATAGGTAACCATTGTGAACCATCCGGTCCTCGAAGTACACCTACGACTACATATCTGTCTGGTGGTTCTGCATTGCCGGTCATCGCAAACATCGCTAAGCATGACAATAAAGATGCTAAATGTGAGGGCAATTACGAGGAATGCTATATTGAAGATTCACGTTATGATATCCTCGGTCATTCTGTGGAAACCGTTGCGAAAATCCCTGCTGGAACGCACTTGTCACGAGAGTCCCTTCGCGTCCTTGCTAACATTACGAACAAGGACTACCATTCTATGAACAGGGACTATCTGTCTAAGGTTCGCGATTTCCGAACTATGCTTCCATCAAACTCTACGATGCCGTCTCACTTGATAATCACGAGATTGAAGCGAATGGCTTTGAATGTTGCAGCGAGATGGCTGTGGATGGATCCTAGCTTTTCAAGTCTACGCTTTAACGAACAGAAACAGGTATGCGCGGTAGTTTACACCAACGTCAATCATGGAAGGAAGAGAATCATCCGCCCAATTGCACAGCTAACTGAGCTGCGACCATCTCTAACCCTTTGTCCTCGGGAAGTGGTCGAATTCAACGAGTTCTTGCGAATGGATGGGCTGGACAAGAAGTACAACCCTGGTCCGTCTTCGATTAACTGGGACCGCGATGCTGAAGATGTCGCGGGATATCTCTCAGGGAACGAAGAGGTGGAGAAGAACCGTAAAGAAGAAGAAACTCGACGTGCAGAAGCAGAGAAGAAACGCGTAGAGCAGAAACGCGTCGAGGAGAAGAAGAAAGAGAAGCAAGAGGAACAGAGGAAGCAAGAGGAGCTGAAGAAACAAGAGGCAGCAATGAAAAGTGCTTCCAGTCTTACGCACAATCGAACACTCAATTTCTTGTTAGACAACGAACTCTCTTCCGATGATGACACGACCTCGAGCCGGACTAATTCCCAGAGAGTACCCGTGCCGCCTGCATCTTCGGGAAACCCTGAACCATCGACTCGCAGAACGGCAAACTCACCCGCATCTACTCAGCTGACCGGTACACTACCAGAACCGAATAAGAGTAGTACTGATCACCCTCATGACAACGGACTGAATCGGGCGTCATCAAGTTCCCATGTGAGTTGCGGTAGTTCTCATGTCGCGTCCGGTCGATCAATTCGCAACAACTATTAGCAATCCACGGTGCAGGACTGCAACTCTGATGGGTGAGATTTTATCCTCATCTCGGATATCAGAATACCCTCACGCACCTTAAGGCCAAGAAGACACATCATTTAGTATAGTGTCTTTCGGAATCTGATTAGATCTCCTAAAGAACATAGGGGTTTTATTCTAGTACCAAGAAGCCGAGACTCTAATCATAACGACTACCTTACTCATTTGTCTTAAATGCGTCTCTCTCACGCATGGCCCAAGCCATAGGTGCAACTATGGCACAGATTTTACCACCTTCTCAACTACGATGCCGTTTTCCCCCTTTTGTCCCGAACCATATTTCATTTCCTCATCGACGACGCCACCTGACAATTGTCTGTATCATCCCAGAGCAGGAATTGATATAATGCTTCTGGTAATACTGAGACTAATAATTTCCATGAGAGTATCCTACAAACTTGTACCTCTCAAGACACATCACGTTGGCAGTTTGGATCCACAAATCATTTTTTGACGGCGAATGGAGACAATTAATTCCTCGTCAGAATATGACGATAAAAACAATCAACGATCTGAGAGGGCTATGGGCTACGGTTCCATCAGTCGGCCATTAATGTGGTGGGGCCTTTTCGTTTGCTTTTCCTATGAGCCTCATATTGCCGGCCATAGAACCAGAGGCTCATGTAGCTTTCGCGACTTCCTTTAAAGGTATCCGAGAGACTATTTGGCGAGGTTATTTTCATTTCACTGTTGTTGTAAACCCTACACACGAACAACGAGTGCTTGGCTCTTGACCTACACTTTTCTTCTTGTGCTAAGGTATTGCGATGGATACACAATGTTACCCAATGTCCTGCCACTAAATCAATGAGAAACTGAATTGCTTTTAAACAAAGACCGTTTTTCTGATGTGCTGTGACTGTTCATCACTTTAAGCGATTAAGCAGACCCAATTAGAAAGTGTGGAACACGTAGCATCCATTATGATCTGACTTCTTGACTGGTAGTAAACTACAGCATCCCTGTATTTTGGCACGGTATGTGAAATCTACTGCCACCTATTATTATCATGACCGGAATCTGACACTGGATTTCTACGTAAGGATAACAATGATTGGTCGATTTTGCATCATATAAGTCATCTGATTTCCTGTATTCAGATCTAGATGTCGGACAGTCTGGGGTGAGGTGGGATACAGCCCTCCAGCCGCACGATTCCGATGCCAGGATTCTGTATGAAGAGAATAAGCCGATCCATCTGCTAACATACAGAGCTAGTCAGATTGGGTGGCTTGGCGATTTAGAGGTAGGTTATGATTTGTGCCCTAGGTTAATCGAAAATGTGTCGTAGCAAGAGGCGGTCACGTCGTGGCTATCATAGCGACTTTCCTAGGAGAGCTCAATCCTAGCAGATAGCCAATTAGAAGAGCGGATGGGGACGCTTGGATGGTTGCTGCGTTGGTGACTTGTGACTTGTTTTTTTGCTGCATCCCCACCTGGATGTGTAAAGACGAGGGGCCGTGGATTAATGAGACGCAACGTCTCGTTGTTTAAAATAAACAGTAAGGACTTTGTACGTGGTTGTTGTCTCGGAGTGTGTACATGTAAGTGTTATATTATATGCCTATCTGAATAGAATGTTATGAATGAAGAATTGAATAGTCTGCTAAAGAGTAGTTGCAGCTACTCGCATTCAAGTGATGAATGAATGAACAAACAGTTACATGAGGTATCCCTGTGCCTTATGATTGGATTGTATTACATAAGGACCTGGGTATGACAAAAGCGATTGAAAGGTAGCTACGGGTACGTACCCAGGCTACATACTTAAGTGCAAGGTATTACTATGTGCAGTAGCAGCCACAGGAACCAGGTACCCGCTTTTTAGGTCGAGGTAACCAACGGTATCGAGGGATAGACTGGGGCAGCTGGCAGCTGGTTGTCGATTAGGCCATTAGGATTTGCCTAAGCCATCAAAACACCGAACAACGTTTTTAGTACTACTGGCTGTACTGGACAGAAACACCCAGCGCATATCCACACACACAACCTAAACCCTCTTGAATCCACTCCAACCAAACCCAAACCTAAACCGAATAATCACCTTTTCATTCTCCTCCTTTCTACTTACTATTACACCTACCTACATAATTAATCCCTTACTCTTCTAACAACTTGCGCTGCCCCCGTCAAGTCAATGCGCAACCAATATTAGGCGGCCGTTTTATGCCTGAAACCTGACGAAATAAGTAACGACAAGTCAATAACATTCTTTTTATTCTCCATCCTCCATTCTCCCCTCAATTTATTTACCTCCCCTTCTCTCTCCCGACCATCATCATTCTTGCATCTCACATCGGAATACTCCCAGCGTCAATAACGATCAAGCCGACCGGCGATTCCATAGTCTCTCATCAGCGGTTTATCATCAAAGAGAAGGGATACTAGGCAGCGCATCACATTCGGATAAATAGTCGCCAGCAATAATGAACGTGCTGCTGTCACCGCAGCCACCGTCCTTCTTCTCGCACCAACACGATCTAAGTCGACGTTCTCCCACACGCCCAAGTATGTATTCAGGTGGACAGTTTGTTTTCGTTTAGAATTATTGGGTGCATTGTTTTCGTCCATCGAAATCGAAACACAGACTCGGCTTTGCCGCAGATCATTAGATTACGCAAGCTAGACTAAGCTAACAATCATTTCTTCAATAGTGTCTTCCCCGTTCTACACCACTTTCGGTTCAAGCCGAAAGCGAAAGGCCGAAGACGATGGCGATGAAATGTCCGTTTCGCCTACTAGCTCTCCAGCTATTCAATCCCGACAGCTAGCCCCAAGAGCTACCAAGAAAATCCGATCGAACGAATTAGCAGGGAGGCCTCTATCCCTTCCTCGACTTCTCGAGACCCTCGACGCCACACAACTTCGAACTGTCCTGCAGACGATCTGCGAGCGACAACCTGAGATTGGTGAGGAGGTTGTGAAGAGTGCTCCCAGGCCGACCGTCGAGTGTGCGTTGCAAGTCCTAAAGGAATATCAGGACAAGCTGCGAGATGCGTTCCCTTACGGCGATTCAAGTTCCGACTACACGTACTTCCGAGTGAAACAACCGCTCGTAGCACTCATTGAGGCCCTTGCCGATTTTACCCCCCAATATCTCCCGCCTCACGAGACTAGCGCCAACGTCTCCTTGCAATATCTCGACGGTGCTACTAAGGTAGTCCATGACTTGCCTGAGTGGGAAAGCCATCGGCATCACAAGGAAAACGCATACGATGAGATATCGAAGGCATGGGCTCTGGTAATCAACGAAGCATCGAAGAGAGGAGCCGGCTTTACCCTGCATTCGGCTGGGTGGGATCAAGTTCTTGCTAAGCATAATCAGCAATCAGGCGGCAGGCTCGGAGCCGCGATTGCGTCTATGAGCGCAAATCTCGGGTGGGTCGGTGGACCAAGTGGCGGAATCCCAAATGCGTCTGGCGGCCAAAGCTCAATTCTAGATGAGTTGATGTCAGGCAATTACGGGTCGCCCGTCTCGGTTGGTCCTTGGTAGGAACCAAAGCCTCTCGGGAAATAAGATGGGAAAAGAGAAGCCCAATAGGATGGGTTTCAAGGTAATTCGTATACATGGACAGAGTCACCAAAACCCCCGCGAATCATCTTGAAGGCAACCTGGCCTAAAAAGCACGAAAAGTAACGAGCAAACGACATTAAATTAGCATCAATGCGGCATCAAGCATATAGCAGATTAAAACATCATTAGTTGAGTGCGGAGGATGGATGCATCTGCACATATCACAGCACCAACTCGCAACGAGATTACGATGAACTTTGATTTCAGTTCCTTTCGTTCAGGGGCATGGCACGGATTCATAGATTTGATAGCCGAGGTTCTTTTTTTCCCCACGGCTACCGCACCGGCGTTCCATTATCATTGTTCTTTGATTTACGTTGTTTTCCAACCTCGACTGATATCCCAACCCTCCCTCACTATCACCATCATCTCCTTTTCTTCAACATAAATCCCGGACTACCACTATCACACTTGCTCGTTGGATGGAATAAAGGAAGGGGTGTTGCTCGTTGGGTATAAAGGGTTGTACCTTTCGACTGCCGTCTTTCCCAGTCAAAGGGAGAGGGCGAAGGGACGGGTATACTTGCTGCTTTGCTGGCTTAAATAAACGCGGTAATGTACATAGACGCGATGGAGTTGGCTGCGTAGGGCTGTAGCATAGGGTGTTAATTTGGCGGCTACCAGGCTGCTCCATTCTAAGAGAAGGCGGTTCATATGGGGATTGCTCATAGATCATTTGTGAGTGGTATCGGTGATTACGTGTAGTATGGCTTGGTGGCTGCTCTTCATCGCCGACGTGAGGTCCTTTTGTCTTTGGTGACTTGTCCGATGGTGTGAATAGAGGCTTGATGTATGCTGATCCCTATTGGCTTTATACCTACTAAGCAGGCACACCATATTGCGTCACTTACAGCCTCGCTCTCTGGATATTTCTAAAGATCTTCCAAGTGAATATAGCGATCGACCTTACAGGGTATGACGGCCCAATCGTCACCCTTATAGGTCTCGGTTTTATTTTTCGAGGCGATATTCATAGGCTCGTAAAAGGTCTATGGAGGAGAGAATGAGTAGGTACCTAGGTATGCGACCAATGTGAGAAGCCACCTGGCGTCGCAGATCATGCGAAGAATTTGCAAAAGCTGAACTTGAGAGAGCCGCAATTGTGGCTCAATTACCCGTTTTGTGCAATCATGCTGATTTTTATTGATTTGTTGCTTCAGCGTTTTACTCAAAATTGATTCTTAAGGTCACCGAAGGAAGGTTGATCACCACTTAACGGGTATGTTATTAGCTGAAAGAACCCTCCACCTGCTTATATGTAACGATAAAACTGCCTTATTTAGTAAAAATACCAAGTTGAAATGCATACAGCCTATTTATGTATTGTAACTAATAGTCGGCGACTCTCATTTTACGCAGCTGGGGTATACAGGTAGTTAGTAGCGTTGATAACCTGGGATATATCTTAGATGGTAACATGCTTCCCTTTTATTCTTCCGCCTTATCCTATGTTGATGATTCTCCTCAAATTTGGATTTCAATCATAGCATACCCCTATTTTCATTTTCATTAGGTACTGCGGCTACTATAGTTACTATTGTTACTACAGCGCCATTTGTCCAAGAATATCCCTCGATTTTGGTCAATCATGGCTGAAAATGACGACACCCATGAACATACATCCGATCCCAACACGGAAATCCCACGACTAAATCCGGATGAACCACTTGAACCAGAATCTTCGGATCCGCCTGATGAGGCCGTTGACGATACAACCAGCGATTATTCTGATGTTAACTCAACTGAGTCCATTGATGATTGCACACCCTTGTACGAATTTCTCGAAAAGCAAACGGATGACAGTTACGACGCCGACAAACTCTCTAAGCTATTAGCCAACAAAAAGGACATAAATACTCCCTCTGAGAACGACTACAAACGGACCCCACTACATATAGCCATTTTCAATAAGTTGACAGATGCGGTCAAACAACTAATTCTTGCCGGGGCATCAGTCTCAGTGCCAGATGAGGATGGACGACACCCATTACACTACGCATGCCAAGCCGAGAGCCCAGAAATTGTCGAGCTGCTATTAAAGCAGGACGGAATACAGCTTGAGGCCACAGACTGTGAAAGAAGTACTCCTCTCATAACTGCGTCTCTCGGGTACAGCGCGGAGATCATTCAGTTGCTAGTAAATGCCGGAGCGAATACTCAAGCTACCAATGAATATGGCTCGTCCCCCCTCTACTACGCAAGTCGATACAGGGAGATAGATTTCGCCAAAATCATCCTCAAAAAAGATAAAGATAGCGTGGATATTACAAACGGCGACGGTTTAACCCCACTACATGCAGCAGTGGTGGGTGGATATGAAGATATGGTTCGCTATCTGCTGGATGAAAGAGCTGACTTTAACATACCCGATAAAAATAAAAGAACCCCTGTGTGGACAGCAGTCGATAGAGACCTTCCCAATATTGTAGGTATATTGGCTGATCATACAGCGGAAATCAACGTGCCCTGCAATGATGGTCTTACTCCCCTCATGGTAGCGGCTAAAAATGGCCTCGAGGATAGCGTTGGTATTTTGCTAGATCACGGTGCTGATCCCAATGTCAAATCAGGCGTCAAGTGGACTGCGTTGATGTACGCTTGCGACAAACATCCAGGCAACGTGTTGGAAAAGCTCCTTGGACTTGATAACCTTACATGCATTAACGATCAAGACGAAGATGGGAAAACATCTCTACATATAGCAAGCTCGCAAGGTCATGCTAAAGCTGTCGCCTCTCTCCTAAAGGCGAATGCTCACATCAACACAACCGACAACGAGGGTAGAACAGCACTACATTACGCAAGCGAGACTCATGAGTGGTACTTGCTTGACCTATATGATACGGAATACGAACAAATCGGCCAAGACACGTCTCTAGATATAGAGAATATACCATCAGCGTCTGGTCAATATTGCATGACGTTAGACATTCTTCTCCGACAAGGGGCCAATTTCAGGGCGCAGACTATCCACGGGGACACGGCACTACACCTTGCAGTAAAACAAGGAGATCCCAGAAGAGTTCAGGTTATCTCGAATACGAATATGCAGAACTTCCAGGAATACACCACTATCCAGAACAAGAAGGGCAGAACGGCACTATATGTGGCATTTGAATCATACACGGAATCCGAAAAATACAGATTAGATACAATGAGGCTTTTGCTCCACAAGATGAGGTGTGCTGATTTTGGCGAGCATAGCGAACACGATGAGCAAGAGGTCATTATATGGGCGGCCGAGAGCGAACATACACATGACATTGCGAAGAGCTTATTTGCAAAGAGTAAAGCCACAGTTGATAGGGATAAGCCTCATCGTTCGGAATCCTGGAGTGTTATTGAGTGGGCAACCTATAGAGAAATGCCAAAGGCTGTCTGGGTACTTTTGTCTAGCTCGCCCTTGACGCCTCAGACGAACGAAAATCGCCTTAAAGCACTGGATTATGCCAACAGTCAAGTTTCCAAAATGGCGGGAAGGAAGAGCGAGCCACGCCAAACTAGGGATGGAGGCAAAAACAAGGGTAAAAAAGCTGATGACCAGAAACAGGAAGATACCCGACCTGATGACATAACCCTCATCAGAGACATCTTACTCGACTCTCTATTTACACAGACTTCAAGACCTGAAGAACCCTTCATGAAGCCCATTATTGAGGGTACCTTGGCAGCAACAGTACAAGGTTTCGAGGCAGCAATCATTGATTTCTATGAAAGTGAATCAAAATCAGGGTTTCTTAGACGGTTCCGCAATGTGAAAGAAGTTATCTACGATAAAGGGCCCCGGCATATACTTAAAGATGCAAAGACCAATTTAGGCAAGGCTCTTGGCTTCCAGTCATCGGGGTATTCTAAGCCGTCGAACGATGCATTGGCTTTACATGAGATGTACATCAAAGATAATCCGAAGTTCACCTGGGTTCACTTGCCAGCGACGAATGTAAGCACCAAGACCAATCCTCTCTGAACATGAAAACATTTTCTAACCAGAATCAGATGGTATGGATGAATGTGAGGACCCTTGATGTTAAATGATATGTATAAACTTCGACAGTAATTTACATATTGACTCATCTTATAGGACCTTCTAAGGAGAATCATGTGGGATGCAGCCGGAGATAACCATGAAGAAGAGAAGAAAAAGGAGTTCAATGAAATGAACTCGTTCTTCCGGGACAGTTGGCTGCAAGTGCCAAATACAACATCTCCATCACGGTTCATGAAGCCTCAGTGTGTCGTATGTTATTCTTACCTAACTTCATCCCTTCCAATGTCTCAGTGGGGGTGGCCTTAACTAACAGCACGCCAGTCAGATAAAAACAACATTCATAGGGCAATCTATGTATGTATAGCCAACTTACAATCTCACAATTCTTATTGAGTACTGATTTGTGGCTTAGATACCATATCTCACTCTTTCGAGGAATTTTTCTCGAGTTCCAGAGAAAGCGAAGAAAAAGCACAAGACTTTGTTTGATGCCTATAAAGACAAAGTCATCCATGGATTTCCGACACTTGACGAGTCATACTATCACTTTACAAAGGATGAGAGTGCTCAAGAGGATCGAACGCATCGTAACGAAACTCAAGTTATTACCAAGGCATTACGGCGACATAAAGGTAACCCCTCGGAGTGGCCACTTCTCCGAGTGAACCAATTGTGGATTTGGGTTATTAATGATAATAGTGGGTTCAGAAGCCATCCGCCTTGTCGTTATTTTCTGATACTAATGCACTAAGAAGATCTCATTACTTCTACTACATATCCAGTGCACAAAGAAGATCACTCCCTATTGACAGACATTTTTGGCTATCTGAGCAAGAAAACTGAAGTTGGAGGGAGTCTTTCTCAGCCTAGTACTGCAGCTGAAATGAGCAAGATGCTTGTTGATTTCTGCGTTGATTTCTATGAGCAGATAGAAACGGATCTGAATGGCCAATCCACGCGTCAAATATATTTCAATGCGATCAATGAAATTGTTCGTCTTTATCTACCCATGCACCTTGATTCTCCCTCTGCTCGCACTTAAAAGCAATATTGAAATAGTGATCTAACATTCTGGGTAATTTATAGGCAATGAAGGAGACGATCCTATACGAAAAGTTCAACCGGGAAAAGAACAAGATCAATGGAGATACAAGTGACAATCCGGACAGTGAAACTCGAGGAAAGGGGAAAGCTAAGCCAGAAGATAAGGAGGATAAAAGGGAGCTCGCTTCTGTCGAGATTGTATCGAAGGCCCTCAGTGAAGCGGCAAGGCTCTCCTGCGAAATCAAAGATATTCGTGATGAACTCAACATTCTCAAGACTATCGCCCAATACCAACACACTGTCCAAGTTCAACTTGACAATGTGCCAGCAAAGAGTGATAGCTCCAAAGCTACCACTTCACTGTATTCCGACTATTCAGCAGCCCGTATCGTCCATGACATCCTAGCAATGGACAAAGCTGCGGATCGGATTCATTCAGCCGTAAGATCAACATGGTTTATCATAAATATTGACAAACCAAAGCTAATTACCAAATATTATTAGGTGGACACAATTCTCGCGCTGGAGCAAAATGAGACTGCGAATAAACTAGCCGATGAGAGTGTAAAGCAGGGCCAAACGCTTATGACTTTTACTATCATCACCGTCCTTTTTGTGGGTCACTACTCCCCGGAATTCCTTCTTCATACGTATCATGTCGAACGAATATTGACGTTGAACTAACTCTTCACAGTTGCCTCTCTCATTCCTTTCATCTATTTTCGCCCTTGACTACGAAAACTCTCGTCAAACTCCAGGAAAAGTATATGCTATCATAGGTAAGCTCTGCCACAAGTATGCCTTAGTAAGACGGTATATTAACATTGATTGTCAGTCCTCGTTGCTTTTGGGGTTTTTCTTTTGATTGTCGCGTTTGGCTTAAAGCAAGATCAATCAAAACGGGCCGGGCAATGGTTACTTGGTTGGCTACCGAAACCGAACTCCAACCTGCTGTCTTTCAAGTGGGACGTGAATCTAACTTGGAAGCTGTTGTTTTGGTTTGGGGAAACAAAAGCCGGCCAGCGAATATTTAAGTCCGATGAGGGCGGTCACAGGCAAGGCGGTGAACCCAGGAGCAACACTGGCGAAGTCCCATTGAGATCGGTAACGTCGGAATAGGAAGGGAAGATCACTCTATTTTTGTGTAGAGGTACAGTTCTAGTGATGAGGGCAGTGAACGTGATAGGGGTCATCTTATGGATATTATGAGTTTGGAAGTTAGTGTCCCTCGCCGTTCCTGCTTTCATTTCAAGTTAGGTATCTAGGGAGTAATCTGAATCTATGCACTCATGTTCTTAACCGCTTAGAGCGTCATATGCTGTCTAGCTTTACTAAATGACTCTCCACGGACATGAAATTCAAATCTAATAAGGTAGTTTAGGTATCTGAGCTGTATAATGTAGAAAAGAACCTAATCTATCTCGATCACTTAGCAAATTTTATCTTTAGAGTTTTTGCTTTCATTAAGTTTAAGTCCCATGGTTACTGACCATGTACGAAATGATACCTACCGACTCGCCCCTTACACCCTTGCTGAAATCTGTAACAGAATAGGTATTGTAAGGTTTGGGGGGGTGGCCAGGTAAGTAGGTACTTATATTTAGGAGTCCATTGGTGAGCAACTCAATAATTTTACCTTACCCCTGAATTACGATAGAAAGCCATCTCTTTGCTATAGTCCTGGGAGTCCTTTTTTTGTTGAGCTCGCGGATGGGTCCGATAGGATTTTAGAAGATCTCATCTTTGGGATGGCAGTTTTGTTACTAATTGAATCTCATGACGCAAAGTTTAGAGTAAATCCAAAGAGGTTAAATATCACGCTTGTAGCATCTAACGTTCGAAAATGAAGTTAAAATAAAAACGTAATATAACCTACTTTTACTTGAAAAGATAGTCTCGGTACCTATTATGATTCACCGATTGATCTCCGGAGCCTCAAATTTTAGGTATACTTCCGGAATAGACCGGCATACTGTCCTGCAGGGCCATTGAACATGTTCGGGGACCTGTATGACCAACAGTTCTTCCTATAAAGCTCCCAAAGCGTATCACTATACACCTAGGTAGAGAGGTAATATGTTTCCCCAGAATACTGTCGATTCTGATTAATCAACAGTGATAATCTCGTCAACTCCTGGGCGCATAACATACGCACCCATTCGCGCATAGAACTATATCAATAATTCATCACAATATCAACAATGGTTACTTCTGGCTCTCAATCTGACTCTTCTCCTCACCCAATGCCCGCCAACAACATTGACGCATATGCTCTTTTTGAGGCTCTCACCGGTCACAAGATGGATAGGCGGACAATACCTTCTCGAACCATGTCTGAAGATTACGAGGATCTTGGCAACGAAAATGACGACAGTCCTCTCCTGGGCCAGGAGCCTTCCCCTGATGAACCGCCCAAAGATGTAAATATCGGCGCCATTAACCCCTACGCTCTTGTCGAAGCCATGGTTGGCCATAGGCTAGACCGCCACGCACTCTCTACTTCGCGTATCATTTCAGACGTCTTGCAGACTGACTACGAAGAGCTTTTCGATTTGAAGCACAATTCAATCCTTTTTGCTGGCCTAAAGCTGAATGAGCAGGAACGCCGAGCTGAGGAGTTGTCCGAGAAAGAGATCCAGATCCTTGAGGAACGGGACCTCGTCACGCCGGACCTGTCACGCGTCAAGACCCTCAATGATCTCGAGAAGATCGGCCTTAAAGAGGTGGGCGACACCCGAATCAAGATGGCTCGCATGCAGAACGGGAAGCTCCGTCTCATACTCGATGGCCAGTCCCTCGGTAGGACCGTTGGTAACAATGATGTCACGGAGACCATCAACGACCTTGTCCTTCCCTTCCGGCGTAACAAGGAGGAGCGCGAATGGAACCCCCCTAACAGCTCCTGGCGCGACATGAACGAAGCATTCTTCCGTAGCATCCCTCGCCGATTTATGATGGACGGATCTCCTTTCGGATTTTCCCACAATTTCCACGAGCAGTACCAGCACCGCTTTGATGACCCAACCCAGGGCGCAGCTAGCAACAGCTGGCTGATCGCCGCCATCTTCTCCGTGTTCTGGGCCAACCCAGCCATGATCAACCGATCGACTCGCACACTCTCAGGGCCGATGGAACGCAGCCGGCGCACGCTCTCGGTGAAATTCCACGACAAGGGCGGGCGCAACAACGCCAAGACCGAGACCGTCGAGGTGGACTACCAGATCCCCGTCAACAACTCGACGGACATGCCGATCTACGCACGCTCGAGCGACGGCTACGAGACCTGGCCGGCGCTGTACGAGAAGGCGTTCGTGAAGTGGATGACGGGCTCGCAGGACCGCGGCCGCGTCGACCTGACGCAGGCGCACAACGGCGACCCCGTGAAAGCCATGGCCCAGCTCAACGGCCGCGAGCCGCGCTACTACCTCACGGACCGGCACTCGGCGGCCGAGCTCGCGGGGCTCGTGCGCGCCTGCAGCGTCAACAAGCGCACTATTAGTCCCATGGCCGCCTGGACCCATGCTACGGGCGACATGTTCCGCGGCTGCAACCTCGTCGCGAATCATGCTTACTCGGTCCTGGGCTGGGTCAGCGAGGGCCAGGACGAGAACCAGTATATCATCGTGAGGAACCCGTGGGGCGTCACCGAGCCCCGCGGCTTGACGTCCTACCCGGGCCTCTTGGACCGCGTCGAGCCTGAGTACTGGCCCCCTGCTGCGCTGCTGGACCGCGATGGCGTGTTGAGCATTGAGGTGCAGGCTTTTAAGAAGTACTTTGCTTGTATCGGTGTGGCGAAATAAGGGAAATGGGAAATAGGTTGTTGGCTTGTGCTAGTTTAGTCGGGGGTCTCTCGAATTTGGAAGGCTTGATTTCTTGGATTTGGAGTTGTTACTGCTTTAACTGGGTTTAAATGGTTGGCGTTGATGAACAGAATAAGAATAAAGCCTGGGGCGCACTCCTACTTCATATAGGTAGGGGGCGGATGAGCTTCGGGGATAATCTGAGCTCGGAATGTCTGTGCTTCTCAGGAGTTAAAAAAAAGGGGGGAGGCGTACAAATTTTCTGTATGAAAGATTTAGTTTAACGGTGTTACGAATATAGAATAATTTAAAGAGGCTCTTTTGAATTGATTTGGCTGCTATGCGGTCGTATCTATCGTGTAGATTTGTAGCGGTCTATTGGAAAAGGGGCTGGTAAAAAAGAGGCATGGTTACACAAATATTACATGGACCCTCACCATGTCACAAGAATGATTCTCTGGTGGCTCCGGTAGCCTGTTCTGTCTAATCTGAGTACGGAATAAACCTGAGTTACCAGTGACCAGAGTGCGTGTTACTATATTCGAGGAGATATCTAAATTACTTGGTAATGGCCAGAATGATTTGCGAGTCCAAATAATAATTATTGTATGAGTCCATTGATACAATTAATCACGTAGGGGGGAGTCATTTAGAGGCCATACATTCCAGGGTTTATTCATGTCTTCCAGCGCATCTTAACCAAGCGTGGTAGTAGAGCTTGTAGTACAACATACTCACACCTCAGAGACAAGTGCCAGTTCATTTCTTTATATATATTCGTAACTTTTAATTCTCTCATGGCCTATTTATATGTAGCTTCGATACGAACACCAGTACATTGAATACAACCTCCTTTTTCATAATGGCGGGACACGGACACTATAGTCTTGAGGGCAAATTTCTCAAGCTTGATGGCTTACGAGGTCTCTTAGTCGAGAATGCGGAACGCAGACGCAAGGTTGTTAGAAGATGCAATTGGTACATGTTCAGCAATCCCGAAATCAGGGGGCGTATTGGAAGTATAAACGAGTTTTTCAGGCTCTGTCAAACTGCCGTATCTAATCCACCCCCTGAGCAGGAGAAACCAAACGAGGAAATTGCGAAAAATCCTCCTTCGCAGTCGTATGCCTATATTATTTCATACTAGTATCAACGAGAGAGAGTTACTTATACTGACTGACATCAAATAGTTTCTATCTCAAGTACTTCGAACCGCAGCCTGAGGGTAGTCCATACTGGTTCATGCGACAAGATCTCATTTCTGCCAAGTCCATTCACAACATTCTTTCGAAAGCCTGGGGAAGATGGAAGAATGTGAGTACTCGAGCAGCTCAGGTCTCCGAAGCCATAGACAGTATTTCAAGACCAAATCGCATTAAGAGGGTGGTCTGTTTAGGGCTCGGCCCTATCCTAACAGCGCTTCCTCATAGCCTCGGAGAGGATGTTCCAGATAAACTCTCTCCACGAAATGTTGCCCAGCACTGCTTAGCAATCGCCATTGTCAACCAACTAGAAAGAAAGACGGGCCGACGAATCAGTCTTTATACAGCGGATCTTGGATACACACCTCAACACAAGGTTGCCCTTGAGAGTTCAACTATTGCTCATTTCGTTGTACTCGACCCGAGTTACGGGAAGCATGAACAATTTACATTTATTGATGACAATACCATGGTTATCGATTTTACCGGGCCACCAGACTGTCCGGCAATGTCCATAATTGAAGAGTACGCACGACCGATCGTAATCATAACATCGAAGATTCCCCAAGCAGGGCAATATCAGGATAGGCAATGGTTCGAGGTTACAGAGAAGGATGGTAATAAGGTTAAGGTACCTGGATGCGCGTAAGTCAATCCCAAATCTTTGAACGCAGTGGATTGAGTTTGAAATGCATGCTGATCATAAGTCTAGTAACCTCCCACTTCCAGATGGGATAAATATTGGCACATTATGTCCCAAGCGCGTCCGGGATATGATGGTTCATGAATACAGAATAGAAAGCAAATTCCCAGCAGAGGATCCAAACCTTGAGTGGACTTGGGGTCAAAACGATCTGGTGGATTATGGATCTCGAGATAGGTCCAGCGCCGATGGTGGTTACTACTGGTTTTCGGACACACGCATGTATGTCCGCAAGCATTAAGAAAATAGGGATAATTCCTAAGATGCAATAGGACCAAGACATAACTATATAATACTTAGGTACCTAGGTGGCCAGGATGATTGGAAGAAAGGCATAGAATTGAGTTAATACATGATGAAATTTAAGGATACGAAAAACCCCCTACTAGTTTCACTTATCCTTTTGAACAAGTTAAGAGTACCTTGATACTTATTCAAATACTTATCAAAGGCTGTCTGAAGAATTTAGGTATACCACTTGATATGCAAGGCGGCAGGGCCGCATAGAATCTAGACCGCTGGTGCTGCTGATGGCATAGGTATTAGAGCCGCATGGTTGGCAATAAGGGCGATGCGATAAAAGTTCAGGGGTTATCAGGGGTAAATCTCCACTTTTATTACTACTCATACAGATCAAGTAAGGGGAATACGGTGAAGTACGTGAATAATCTCTGGTATGGCTTCATGCAAATTAAAATTAATGGTATCCAGAGTAGTAAATTTAGCTGCATGTTTTGTATTCAGGCTTGTTAACATCATTGAGAGGGAAAAAAAGAAACAAAAAACAAGTCCCAAGAACTCGTTTCGAACCATCTTAGATCAGTTTGATGTTTGGACCCCGGCATTACACTCACGGTTTACGCATTACTAACTGAGCTAAGTGACTCGTTTCAAACAAGTACTTGAAGAATTGTTGAAAGAGTCACCATTGTTTTGATATATAACTCTACTGTGTGCCCTTGTACATTTTGGCGGGTCCACTTCTCTGGACGATACAAGCACTGGCGCCCGGTCCAGCACAGGGCAACGCCAGGAGGGAGTTGGATAGATGACTCATACATACGTGGTTTATCTAGATATCTAGTACCTAGCAGTATCATGAACAATGAATAGTTCGGAGATTCAGATTGTTACAGCATTGACGATAAGTCCTGTTCAACTATATTGCCAAATAAGGTACCGGTACGTATGTTAAACAAATCAACCCCCTAAGACTGACAAGGCCTCCTTGAATGAACCTTGGTATATTTGTTATACAATTATCCTTAGAGCTCTGAAAGACTTTACATGGTATATTCTCCTTAGACTTGAAAGCCGAACAGATAAAGCTACGAAGCTGAATCATTCTAGGGAACCAACTCCTTTAACAAAATAGTCCCACTCCGTATCTCTACTCAAGCCATGTAGATCTTCCCTCGTAAGGCATAAAACGAGCTGCATTTCTCTCTCATTATCCGACGGAAAGAAATACATACATCCAGGGATCCTCGGCCCATCCGGCTTCCGAAACATCCTCGACTCTCCCAGCGCACCCATCCTGAACGGCCTACTTCCCCACGTAAGCAGCGACGAGCCACCGATATCCGTTGCCGGGTTATACAGCCCGCCGTACAGCAGCTTAGACTTATCCGGCACGCCCGCCATGAACGTCGCGCAGCTCCGAACGCTCCACTCCGTTCTCGCGTCCTCGAGATCGCGCCTAAGCATGCCGGCTAGCTCTGCTACTGATTTTGCGACTACGTCCCCGAGGGGCAGCCGCGTCGTCGCGTGGACGACCATCTGCCCGAGATACGTGTCGGGCAGGCCGACGGCGCGGCGGGCATTTACAGCCCGCCCGAACTTGGAGAGCTGAGTCGCGTGACAGCGGCCGGATGATAGACGGACGGCGCAGATTCGCTGCCAGCAGAATGCGGATAGGGCGTCGTCGGTTGACACAAAAGCGCCTTCTGTCTGGGGGGACGCACGGTCCTTGATCTCGGCAAGTGCTGAGCGCGATACTGTGAAACCGCGCCATATGGTTTCCGGTGGAGGACCTAATGGCCAGGGATTCGGGCGGAGGAGATGGCTGTAGTCTTTTACTAGCTCGTTGGGACGTAGTAATGGCACGACCCGCGTGCGGTCCGCATTGGCCCATTGTAAAGCTTTAGGGGAAAGACTATCGCCGTTCATGAGAGTTGCCATGTGGTCCCATAGCTGCATGAGACCGGTGCCGTCGACCATGTTATGGTGCGCAGACAGGACCACTAGGACTCCGCCCGTGATGAAGACGGCTCGGATTATTAGAATTGGGATTGGTGAAAGGCCATGGGGGTGCGGAAGGCCGGGACAAGGAACTAGATTCGCGGGTCCGAAAGTGGACATGGGACCTCCGGATGCTAGGATTGAGGAAAGAGGAGGAAAGTCGGCGTCATGGTCCGCTCGGACAACATTGTTGGGCGGTGCGGACGCCGGCCACGGTGCGGATGTTATGAAATTCGAGGTCCCGGGACCGGCGTCGACTGTGACAACTTGGTTAGCTAACCAAGGGATCTTAGAGCGAAGTTCGTCAAGCGCCGTTTGGAGATCCGCCACGATAGCTTCCCGAGACGTGGCCTGAGAAGTCTCGAAGGCGCGGAGAGTATGTGTGTACCCATTCAGAAAAGGGAACTGCGAAAGAACATCTTGGTAGATATCGTACTCCTCCTTCCTGGGCTTTTCTTCCTGAATCTCGCACGCGAGACTTCCCATGACTTTTTGCAAAAACCGACTAAGGAATTCGGGTAGGAGGCTCGAGTTGACGATCATATTGAAAAAGAGAGCTTGACCCACAGACCAAGTGACTACGGCCTGTGGGTGAACACTTACCATACCGTTCCAACCATGATGTATGCTCTCATCGCATGAGGACAGATTCGGCCTAACGACGGGACAGAAGCCAAGTTGGTGACTTCACAAGCGAGCGTCTAGGACTAGTCTGCCTCATGGATAATAATAGTAAATGGCACAGTGGAGTAAATACGCAGGTCCGGTCCCAATGTAACATTGCAACGTCGTACTCCGCCGGCGATCCGCTTTGATCGTCTCTACACTATCTCGGTTAGCCGTGGGGGCCAGAACCGGAGTAAAATGACCCCTAACTGAGGCTAGGATCGCAAACCCCAGCAACTACCGACTAACTACCGGTAGGATGTTCCCCATAGGAGAGTCCCTAGAAACGTGGTATGTGAATACGCGATAAGGCACTTTCACTACAATTTTCCTCGATCTTTTTGTGAGTTGTCTAAGACTATACCAGCCGATACTCAAGCCCACCGCTCCCTAGCACCCAGTATGACTGACCCGCCGTCTCAACCCGAGAGTGTGGATTCGGAGAAGAACGAAGTTATCGTAAGGGTATCGGCCGAGAAACATGAATATGTCAAAGGCTCTAAGCTAGTGTCCATACTAGTAGCTGTCACGCTAGCCTACTTTCTAGCTATGCTAGACACCTCTATTGTAGCTACTGTAAGCCAATGCCCTCTTTTCTTACTCAACGAGAACCTTAGGGTGACGACTCTTAAGTAACCAAGTTAGTAACATCCTGATAGGCCATACCGAGAATAACAACAGAATTTCACTCCCTCGCTGATGTCGGGTGGTATGGCAGTGCCTATCAGCTCGCCAGCTGCTCGCTGCAGCCCCTGAGCGGGAGGATATACACGAATTTCAGCACCAAGGCAAGTCTGCACAATGTTCACGGCTTCATCATCAATCCATCTTCTCAGAAGCCATCTAACACGCGACTAACATAGTCAACTCATCATAGTGGACATTTCTCGGATTCTTCCTAGTCTTCGAAATAGGCTCCGTCATCTGCGGCGCCGCTAAGTCTTCGGCCATGTTCACCATCGGCCGAGCTTTCGCTGGAATGGGCGCCTCCGGGATCTTGAACGGTTCTTTGACGATATGGACGGCTTCTGTCTCGCCAGAAAGGCTTCCCGTCCTGCAGAGCACACTCGTTGCTATCGGACAGCTTGGTGTCGCTCTCGGGCCACTGTTAGGTGGTGCGCTGACGCAGTATACCACATGGCGATGGTGTATGTGTGACTCTCCTTTTATTCTCCTATTTGATATTTTGAGTATGCGACTAATACTCTTTTAGGCTTCTACATCAACCTCCCCGTCGGCGCCGTCGTCGGCGCTCTCCTCTCGCTCATCCGCATCCCCGAGATGACACAAAAGCAGGGATTCAGTATCCTCCGCAACGGCGGCCTAATCCACACCCTCGACCTCGTCGGCTTCTCCATCTTCGCCCCTGCCGCCGTGATGTTTTTCATAGCGCTTGAATTCGGCGGAAACCGCTACGCGTGGGACAGCGGCACGGTCATCGGACTACTCTGCGGGGCCGTCGCCGCGTTCGCCGTATTCCTCGTCTGGGAATGGAAGAAGGGGCCCGAGGCTATGATCCCGTTCGCGCTGCTGAGAGCCAGGATCCAGTGGTGCGCGTCGCTGCTCATGTTCGCGTTTCTGGGCATGATGTTCGTGGTCGCGTATTATCTGCCGATTTATCTGCAGGCTGTGAAGGGGGACTCGCCGTTTATGAGTGGGGTGCATAATCTGCCGACAATATTGAGTCAGGTTGTTATGGTTCTGGTTGGCGGGTTTGTGGGTGAGTCATGGATATTGCGAACAGATATGATGGTAGAAATTAGCGTTGCTGATATGTTCTTTAGTGCAAAGGATAGGATATTATCTTCCATCCGTCGTATTGGGGACCACCTTGGCCTCTGTTGGCTCTGGTCTGCTTTCGACCTTGACAGTGTCAACACCAGTAGGCCGTTGGGTGGGATATCAGGTCATATATGGTGTTGGCGTGGGAATGGTTGTGCAAATGGTGAGATCCCCCTAATACGTACCTATGAAACGGTGTTTACTAATGCTCGACCACGACAGCCCTTCATAGCAATCCAAACACTGATTCCACGCCCAAATATCCCCTCCGCATTGGCAATTCTTATCTTCACGCAATACTTCGGTGCGGCATTATTTGTAACGACTGCACAGAGTATCTTCAACAATAGCATGAGAACAACGCTGTCCGAGAGTGCACCGGGGGTCGACATCGAAAAGATCATGGCTGGTGGTGCCACCGCTGTGCGATCATTGGTCTCCGGTCAGCAGCTAGATGAGGTGCTGACGGCTTACGCCGTAAGCGTGGATCGTGTCATGTATATTGCGGCTGCGCTTGGGGCTGTGGCATTTGGGTTTGGGTGTGGACTTGGATGGAAGGATATAAGAAAGGGGCGGCGTCAGGTTACTCAAGCGGACGAGGCAGAAAAGGGGAGTAGGGAGCACACACCTGAGTGAATGACGGTAAAATCAACATCATCTGATCGATTCACCGTAAAATTAGCATAAGGGAGATTTGAGGAATTTTACCAATTACATTCAATCTACTTCATCTCTAGACCATTGCATTACGAGGTTGATAACTTGCGTCTGCCATACGCTCCCAATTGAAACCAACGACATTCTTTCAAGGTATAGAGGTTCTACTACTTACCTTCAGATAAACATGAACTGTGCAAACGCTTAAGATTATGAATACGTACCAGTGCCATAGAAAAAGGCAGTATTTAGATTGAGTCAATCTAGGGATATCCAACCCGAATATCACCAAACCTAAAAGCCGAGACCAGCTTATGTCACCCAGGCTAAACAACAATTTTCCGAATCATATACCCATCCAATCCACCAAGATTAACCGTGAGCTTATTTATAGAGTTACAACAATCTTTTGGGCGGACACACCCTTAAGGCGCAGATCGTACGCTTCCTGAATTTTCTCAAGCCCGCTACCCACGACCCACGGCTCAGGCTCAGGCACAAACTGGCCCGAAGCGAGAGCCTGGGGCAAGAAATCGCGAAAGATCTTACCGACAACAGCTTCGGGATCAGGAAGATCGCCCAAGTCGATAAACTTCGACGTGATACCCTCGGGGTAGCCCTCAGGGGGCGGTGGCCCCGCGTCAGCGATGTTTTTCACGCTATCGGTGCCGTTGAGCACCTTAGCGCTAAGCGCAACACCGCCAGGGTTGATAGTCAGAGCTCCGGCCACCTTCTTACCCTTCAGCGCGGCAAGCATGCTGTCGGCGGCGCCGTCCTCGTGGTAGTCGTAGACGCCGGTAGCGCCTAGTCTTTTCAAAAGATCCAAGTTCTTAGGCGACGCCGTGGTGTGGACCTCGTACCCTGCCGCGGCGGCAAGTTGCACGGCGCTAGCGCCTACGCTGGACGCGCCGGATGTGATGATTACCGCCTCGCCTTTAGGACTAGCTGCCGGGGCGGTAGGCAGATCGAGGCCGAGGAAGTCCTTGTGGAAGAGGCCGTACGCGGCCGTGGTTAGGCATAGCGGCAAGACGCTTCCGCGCTCGTAGGTCACGGAGGCGGGGATCGGAATCGTTATGTGCTCGCGCACGACGGTATAATTCTGGAAGCCCCCTTCGGCCGGCCGGTTGCCGAAAGGAAGGGTTCCGGCTGCGTAGGCGATCACACGGTCGCCGACTTTGAAGCGTGTCACGGCGCTGCCGACCTCGACGACCTCGCCGGCTAGATCTTCACCCTGGACACAGGGCCACTTGATATAGCCGAGAAGTGCGTCACCTAGAAGCTGCTTGTAAGGGTCGACGACGTTGACGGCTACGGCGTGGTTCTTGACGACCAGCTCGCTGGGACCGGGTGGGGTGTAGGGCGCCTCCTTAACCTCGAGGGGTGCTTTGGCAGCGACCAGGAATGCGGCTTGGTTGCTGGGAGCCATGTTTCGCAATTGCCAAGAGACGGAATGTGGAATGTGGTAAGAGGGTATTGGCGTAAAATGATAGGTATGTATGAGTTGTTCGTGTAAGCGTGTGTAAGGATGATGGGTTCGGTATCCAGGTGGGTATAAGCCGTGAATTAATCACCAATAGTTTATAGTTTACCGAACAATAGACTAGGTAGTCTAGTTAGATTCAGACCCTGAAAACATGTGAACGATAAGATCTTGAAGTGAGTGCCGGATCCTTTGAAACAGCCTTCTAGGGTTCCTTCCTTATATTAGGTCATGTTGGGTGTCAACCCCTGCTACCCCCAAGTACCCCACTCAGGGATCTATTTAAGGTTAACTTTATTCCCATGTAGTGAGAAGGTTGTAGTCCTGGATGTAACGGTAAGGCGTAAATTACAATGAATCCCTACCATTGGTACCTTTGGCATATTTGGTGTATTACACAACAGAATCCCGGCTTAGGCCCGGTCCGACTTTTTAACGTTGAGGAGCTGGGGATTAGGCAGCTGCTAGGGCGGACTATTTCACACCATCTAGCGTGATGATCGGTGGTTCCTGCTCTAGGGAAGGGAGTGGACCGCGTTTCTTACACTAACGATTACTACCTTAATCTAATCCCTACAACCGCAGCCGTTAATTGCTAGTTAATCCCTTGCACCTAGCCTCCTACTTAGATCGTCACCGTTAAATTCTAATTCAACTAGCAACGTTCCCCTTTTGTGATGGTCGAATCCTTCCCGTCATCACAAATCCTTCGACCCTTTTCTTTTCGGCTCCCAAGGACGATACCGCATCTCTGCGGCGCAGTCCTTCAAAGCGATGGCCGATAATGTCCAAATCGGTAGTAGTATGCGACGGGTGGCAGGAGCTCGGGCGAATGCTCTTGTTAGGTGAAGGGATGGTTAGGTGCAAAAGTCCTATGGAGGAAATGAAGGCAAAGAGTCCAATGCTCGGATTCTGAGTCGCAGCCATTCTTGTCTTTCTGCGTACTTGCTTGTTCCTTTAACTACGGCTCTTCTGAAGATGACTTCAGCTCTTCGACAACAGCCAGGGCTTGCTTGCGAGAACTGCCGCAGGAAGAAAAGCCGCTGTGACCGTGCGCGACCGGAGTGCGGTAGCTGTAAGTTACTCCGGACCTATTTACTAGGGTCTTGACTGAACCTGTGTGCTTAACAGTTCGGTATTACTAACCTCCTTGGATTCAGGTGCTGCGACGGGCGCCGTGTGCATTTTCACTAGCAAGCGCCCGCAGCGAGGTCCCAGGAAAGGTCAGCTACAGGCGTTGCGGGCCCGGATCGGTGAGTGAACATGCCTCTTCTCCGGACCTCGGCTAATAGAGTAATGAAGCGACTCTGGAGCGCTGTCTGGGCGATCAAAACGAATATGTAGATTTAGACCACGATGTCTTCTTCGGGCCTCTAACGCCCCTAGAAGGGAGTACAGACACGTCTAGTATGACCACTAGCCCCGAAACTACGAGAAAACCCAGCATAGTCCAGTCGTCAGACGGAGAATACGATCATTCAAGTCATGCTATTTTCCCCAATCTTCATAGTAATGTTGTTTCTGGTACGGCTGAATGCGCAAAGTCGAACAGGAGGCTAGACGATCTAGATCATGACATTTTCTCCGATCTTATGCTACCGATAAACGATGCAGCTACACTCGGCGCGACGAACCAACTGTCAGATGAAGAGTCACCCAACGGTTCGGACGCGACTTTTATCTCTGGTTCAACCATAGTGAATAACTCAACAGGACCAACAGCAAACTCGTGGAGTAATCCTTGGATTCCAGAAACGGGGTTTACTAGCAAAGGAACCGATGCTGTGGATGAGATCGGAGATTTGATCCAAGCTGACTTGTGAGAACCCCTGGACAACCACGATAGGATGATCACTAACCCCCCCTGCTATACTGGTAGAGACCAGCTATACTTCGATCGGATCCATCCTGTTATTCCATTGGTTCGCCGGACTAGATATTTTTCATGGACCCGTAAGACGGACAAGGAGGAAGTTCAAATAGCCCTCCAATCGGTCATGCGTACCCTAGCCGCATCGGCCTCCGCTGCGTATCAAGTGCTCACCAACTCGCTCTACACGGAAACGTGTCGGAAGCTTGCGAAGCTAGATGAATCTACTGAGCACGACTTCAATGAAAAGTTTCCATTAGAACATATTCAAGCATGGCTATTACTTGCGCACTACGAATTCACACGCAAGTCGCATCGCCGGGCTATGATGACGGCGGGGCGCGCTTTCCGGATGGTCCAGGTGTCTTTGTTACATGAGATTCATGAGCCGGATATTTCGTTGGGCGAGTTTAGTGCAGATCTAAGTAGTTGTTGGGTTGAAGCAGAGGAAAAGAGAAGGACATTTTGGGTAGCCTACTGCCTTGACCGGTGTGCAGGACTCTATGATAGGTGTCCACTCACTTTCCATGAAGATGGGGTAAGGAAGCCGTCCAGTCGTGTGTTTTGGTGTAACAAACATGGCTGATGAAACCAATTCTTAGATGCGAACCCGACTTCCAGCTGCTGAGGACGACTTTGAGAGCGGTCGGCCTACTCGCACGGACTTTTTACACGATGCTATCGCCTTCAGTGGCCAGAATGTGCTACCCCCTTTTGCTGAGTGTGTGGTATTATTAACACTTGGAGGACGATGTATGATGCATCGACCACGCGCACTAGCAGAGAATCTGTACGGCAACGATCCGCTTGAATTCTGGGCTCGGTATGAATGGGTCGACACTACCTTGGACAAGAGGAGACGTCGCTTCACGCAAAGCTCACCCGCCGCTACCACGCTTACTGACCCAATGCTCATCTTCAATCACATGATTTCCGCTACAATTGTGATTCACTTGATGGAGACGCTAAGGAGTAGGGCCTTACCGACTGCTCAACACCGCATGGCTGCGGACGTTTATAATGATCGATCAGTCCAGGCAGCGCGTGAGCTTGTACTGCTAGCTAGGTCTGTGACCCAACTTAGCTGCTTTAAGGTATTATTTTTATTTTTATATGTGTTTCTTGATTCCAGGCGACCAAAATACTCAACCTTTTCATAGGCACACCCATTTGTTCCCAGCCCGCTCTTCCACGGTGCCCGGATTCTACTAGATGGTGGGGTCAGAAACTCGGTTTCGACTGATGCGGCCGGTGCAAGCGAATTATTAGAGACGCTTCAAAACCTTAAAGGCGTTAATAACCTAGCACAAGACTCCCTACAGAGGTTAGATCTGAACGGTCTATCGAAGTTGCGCTTCAACTTCGAGGGGGTGGCTCCTCACGAAGCAAGCTGAGACGAGAGCGATCAAGTCTAAGGCTGTACACTAGGTATATCATATTTGCTATATATATAAATGTACATATATCTGGACATACCTACTTATATGTATACACATTGGAACCATAAGGCTTATTTGAAAAAGCCTTGCATTAATTATGCACATTGAGGTTGTGCATTTATGAAATACGAAGTTATTCTATAGCACTTACCGTTGAGGCAGGTTTCGTGTAGTCATACGTACAATTCTCAGGGGTTATTGAACAAACGTTCCATTTGAAACCTCGAATTCTCAAACTCTTCATTCATACACGCACTTATTCTTCTTATCTTATAAAACTTCTGCTATCCGGAGCCTGCTCGGCTCCAGAACGAAAAGAGCTCACAAATCCAAGCTTTCATTTTCATGGTAGGAGGATCTGTAACAGTTACATTATAATACTCAATGTGCCTGTAATGTCGAGCCTAACTAAAGTTAGCTCAGTCTCGCGAGGCTCAATGTTACGGTGCGCTGCTGAGGTTAGAACTTTAATGGCTATGAAGAATTGGGTAGCACTCCGTTTGCGTGAGCAGGGTTGTTGATGCACGTCAATCCTATGCGAATCACCGAACACGGCGCTATTGGCTTCGTCCGGCAAGGATTAACGGCTCCTTCAGCTCTTCCTCCGCCCTCTCGCTCCCCTGCCCACCCACCAGTCTAACCGCCCAACCCACGTTTCCTGTACGATTCGGATGCAACCATGCGGCGCAGTAACCACCAGATCTCGCGACTAATGCCCTCTCGCGCCATCGTATGGCCCGAGTCAAATTCCCACCAGGCCCCCGGATTCTCCGCCTTAAATATTAGAATCTGGGAAGTTTTTCGTGGAGGTTTCTATCTGAGTGGCCAATATGGCTTTGAATGTCTTCTACGATTCGCAAGAGGCCGCCGGCTGGATCCTGAGCGTCATACTCGCTCCCATATGCATTCTCGCGACGGCACTTCGGTTTCTGGCGACTAAGCGCGGCGGTCGCAAGCTTGGGTGGGAGGATTGGTATGCTCTGGCTGCGCTGGTGTTCTTCTTGCCTTACGTTGGATATTTGATATGGAGTAAGTTGATAATATTACCTAGATTCGTTCTGTAACTTCACTTGCTAACACTTATTTCTTCTTCTAGTATTGACGCTCGCCAACGGCCGTCCCTTAACGGTTTTCATCAAGGAGGAGCCCGCAAAATGGACTGAAGCGGCGAAGGTCGGCCTTAATATGAACGGCCTATATGGCATTCAGCAAAGCTTCGCTAAGTTCAGCCTTTTGGCGCTCTACTACCGACTGTTCTGGGTCGAGCGTACTTTTGCGATCATTGTCTGGGCCGTGGCAATCTTACAGGGAGCGTGGGGCATAGTTGTACTGCTCGTGCACATATTCGCTTGCATCCCCGTGGCTAAGAGCTGGCAGCCGGAAATCCCTGGGTATTGTGTGGATATCAACACGTTCTTTAGCATCTACGAGCCCATCAACGCGGCTATCGACTTCGCTATGGCGGGCATGGCTATTTGGATGTTGCACGCGCTGCAGATGAAGAAAAAGACCCAATGGTATCTGAGCGGGCTGTTCATATTAGGTGGCTTGTGAGCACGAACACCCGTCATCTTGCGAAAACGAAGCTAATCAAAGATATAGTTCAGGAGTTATCGGCATAATCAAAGTGGTCGAAGCCCAAAACAGCGCTCGTAAGTTTCGCGCAACACCCATCTATTTTTTCCAATGTTAGGCGCATTCTTTACTAACACAGCGATGATGCAGAACGCAATTTCCTCTCCGTGATCTGGAACCTGATACAGATGGCGACGAGCATAATCTGCTGCTGCGCGCCCATCTACAACTCGATCCTGCCCAAGGTCGGGCTCTACACGGCCTTCCGATCGTGGGCCTCGCAGACCTTCACGCGCCGGCCCTCCTCCTCCTCGGCGGGGCTCAGCGAGCGCAAGGAGAGCGGCGCCGGCATCTCGACGACGAAGACGAGCAAGGCCTCGTCCGCCAAGTCCGCGAAGTCGTACCAGAGCCAGCCGAAGAATCTGGATAGGCACGCGCACTGGGTGCACTTGGACGGATCCAGCGAACGAGGCTTGGCGTGGGCTGAGATCGAGGCGGAGAGGAAGGGTAGTAAGGGAGGGGGAGATGAGGGGGGTGGGGACGGGATTGCGATGGGGGCTATTACGGTGAAGCGGTCTATTGATGTTGTTTAACTGGGACAAATCATTATGTAAGGGATATCTTATGTCGTTATGATGAAATGGAAATTGCTGGGTTATGGGATCACTGGCTGTTGGGCAGGCGTTCATGTCGTTGGTGTGTATGAGTAAAATGCCTGAGATTTATACCCGACGATACCGTTCTCGCCAATCATTTACGAGAATATGGTGAATTTAACAACGTTTCTAGGGCTATGTGCGCGCTTTGGCGGACGCGGTAAAATCAAGGCTGTGTTCGAAATTTGAGAATGAAATCAACCACTCCTCCCTATTATTCCGTACCTACAATTGAACATGTAATTTAATAGGAAAATTTTGATAACGGTGCTCGGATCGTATTTTCATTTGATGATTCCTTTTATAAAAGCGTAAAGTTCCTACCTGTAAGGGATGAAAAACATCAAAGACTTTCCGGTGAATGGTTGGAAGAGGGGTTTATCGCTCTCTTGACAGCCCCTGGCCCCGAGAGAAGGGTTCAACCACGAGTTATGTAAGAGGTAGACTGATTAAAAGGATGCGAATGGAATGCTTCCGACATTGAGGCTTTGCGAGTTTTTATTGTGCTATTGAGCTCATTATTGAATCTCATAACAAATATCTAACCGTAAGAGCAGGAGCATCGTAGGAAAATAAGTAGGTACTTTTTCCCACTTCAATAGCCCCTAAGAAGGTAACTCCGTTCGGAACGGACCGTAACGGTTGCCTAAATAGGTAATAGTCGGGACATACACGTGGTGGCGGGCATAGCGATGAAACTAGTTCTCTTATTAGCCCTTACTGAACACTCAAACTTGTATTAACCAACAACATATGCAATATCTTTGTTGGCATAACTCACCAACGTCAGATCATCGTTGGTCCAAAGTTCCAACAACGATCGGTTTCCCCGCCATCCCGCCTCGTCCGCTTTCGCCTAACTCAAGTCATGTCCGTAAACGACAACTCATTTCCGACTCGGGAAAGTGGGAAAGGAAAAGACTGGGGTCTCCAAGCAGCGCCGCGGCGCAGAGCTGCCAATGGCCGAGCAGATAGCCAATCAGAGAAGGCCGCACGGATTTCGAGCTGTGCGGCGATTGGCCGCTTACGTACCATCCCTAGCCTGCATTTCCATCTATTTCTAAGCTAGGCCCGGTCGATTCCTTCTCCCTAGCTATTTCACTTTTTGCGAAGGAATGCATCGATAGCTATTTTAGCTATACCCACGCTCAACTCCTACGGCCGCCGATGTCTGCTTAGAACAGTCTTCCATTTTTCCTTCTAGAAGACAAGACATGCGCGCGTTGAGCTGGCTGAGCGGCCTAGGCGCCGCCTCCGCCCTACAGCAGTTGCTACCCGGTCCCGCGTCGCAGCCCGTAGCACCGAGCCAAGACCCGTGGTATTCGGCGCCGCTCGGCTTCGAAGCCGCCACGCCCGGCTCTATCCTTCGGGTCCGCCAAGCGCCAGGCAACTTGACAACCGTCATTAGCAGCGCCACCGCCGCCTACAACATCCTCTACCGTACTACGGATTCGCGCTACAAGCCCTCCTGGGCCGTCACCACGCTCTTCGTCCCGCCTACCTTCTACACCTCTCCGTCCGGAAACAAGGCGCTGATATCCTACCAATTCGCCTACGACTCCGCCGCCCTCGACTCGAGCCCCTCCTATGGCCTCTACTACGACCTCTCGCAACCGGTCCCCAGCCTCGGCGTCCCCGCGGGCTCAGACCTCCTCGACTCTCTGCTCGCGGAAGGCTGGCTAGTCAATACGCCGGACTACGAAGGCCCGACGGCCGCCTTCGGCGCCAGCGTGCAAGCCGGCCACGCGACGCTCGACTCGCTGCGCGCCGTGCTCAACCTGGCGCGGCTCAGCGGCCTCGGCGAGATCGCCGTCGGCATGTGGGGCTACAGCGGCGGCAGCATCGCCACCGAGGCCGCCGCCGAGCTGCAGGTGCAGTACGCGCCGGAGCTGAACATCAGCGGCGCCGCGCTGGGCGGTCTCGTCGCCGATTTCGCTGCTGATTTCGACCTGTTCAACGGCAGCGCGATCGCGGGCGACCTGGTCTCCGTCGTGCTGGGCGTCACGGCGCAGTACCCCGAGGCCGGGGCTTATGTCAAGAGCCGGCTGGTGCAAGCGACTGCGGCCGAGTTCCTGGGCGCGAGGAGCATGACGCTGGGACAGGCGACGAAGTTCTTTAGTATGAAGGACATCTACGCGTATTTCGTTGGAGGCGCGGCAGACCTGCAGGCCGCGGTGCTGAGGAAGGTGTATAATGTCGAGATGAAACTCGGATACCATGGGGTGCCTGCTATGCCGATGTTCGTGTACAAGGCTATCGGCGACGAGTACTGTCCCGTTGAGGAGACGGACGCGCTGGTGACGAAGTTCTGCGGCGTCGGCGCTGATATCACGTATCAGAGGAACACGGTGGGAGGACATGTGGCGGAGATTATAAATGGGCAGCCGAGGGCGATAGATTGGTTAAGGGGAATCTTCAACGAGACGTACACGCCCAATGCGTTCGGATGCTCGGTTCGTAATGTGACGGTGAATATAACAAATTTGGCCACCTAGGTAGAGATTTAGAGTGTTGGGTAATAAAACATCTGAGAACGATTGATCTTAGTCGTCGTTGAATTACCCCTGAGTGGGAACATGAATCGAAAAAGTACCTCCTAAGAAACGCTTTCCCCTCAAATACTAAAGGTATGTTTTCTATACATCTTTGATACTATATTTCTTGTGACTAAGGCCTATGGCTTCCTAAGAACGAGGGATCTCTTCCCGCCGCAACCTCCAAACGAAAGTTACCATTGCAAGATTTTATTTTAGCAACAGTCTAGAAGACACTCAACTGATACATTGAAGTCATTGTTATGGATAGCTTTGGCTTCCCCAATGAGCACTTGCTTGAGGGTTTGATTCTGTCAACGGACCTCATCAACTTTTTGAATTCTTCCACTACCAGGTACCTAGGTACCTAGCCTACCCCTTTTCTCGGGTCCCACTTCTATTTCACCCTCGCACTTATTTCCTAGGTATCTACAACTGGATTATGAAGCTACTTATATACGACTACGTACCTCCCTACCTATGTATCTGTATCTGTATCTTTACATATGTCGAGATAATCACCTACCAGAATCCTATTTTTAGCAAGAATACCTGATACGCGTTGCATACGTATCTCCATTCATCCATTGATCATCAGGACCATTACCCAGCGCGGAATAGTGTTCCAGGGCGAACTAATGTAACGTCTAGGAGTATAATCACTCCGGGTGGATCTTGGCCTACTCTAACTGCTACCTGCGCCGCTCGTCTGCTCCCGGTCACGAAAAGAGCATCTATCCCAAAAAATACATCTCGACCGAATACGACCCGGGACAACGGCACAGATCATGAATTCGATCTTATCTTTCGGGGGGTTCGTGCGCGCACGAGGTTAGGTGAGCCAGTTCCCATGCCAGATCTTTCCCAAGATGCCGAGCAGAACCGAAGAAGCTAACCTGGCCAGCCCTCTCGATGGTCAGTATGGTAGTGAGCAACCTCTAATGGAGGCTCAGGCTAGCAATGCCAATCGTCCTGTCCAAGGAGAGGACAGCCTCTCCGTGGCCATTGTAGGAGGCGGCATCGTGGGCATAATCCTTGCCCTAGGCCTCATTGACCGTGGAGTGCGCGTGGCTGTCTACGAGCGAGCTTCCGACTTCAATGAGATCGGTGCTGGCATCGCCTTCACGGGTGTTACTCGCGAGTGTATGACGAAGTTAAGCTCGTCCGTCATTGCGTCCCTGAAACGAGTCGCCAATGAGAACCAGCTCGCGTACGACAATTACTGGGATGGGTATCACAACGATGTCACCAATAGTGACGACGAGACTCCAGAGCGCACGTTACTATTCCAGCTTCCCAATGCCAAAATGGCATGGTGGAGCTGTCTGCGCTCCCACTTCCTCGACAATCTGGCCCGAGCCTTGCCTTCAGATATCGTCCGCTTCGGCAAAGAGCTAATGAGCTACGAGGATTCCGATTCAGACACGCCTGCTCCTGTGACACTGCGCTTCGCAGACGGCACAACAGAAACCTGCGATGTCCTCGTCGGATGTGACGGAATCCGCTCTCGAGTCCGCCAGCAACTTTTCGCAAACACGCATCCGCAAGCCTGTCAGCCACGGTACACACACAAAACATGCTACAGGGCCGTAATCCCCATGGCGGCCGCCGAATCCGCGCTCGGAGAGTCTAAGGCGCATAACCACTGCATGCACACCGGCCCCGGGGCCCACGTCCTCAGCTACCCCATCGCACGGCACACGCTCCTGAACGTGGTAATCTTCCTATCCGACTCAGACTCAGACTCAGACTTCAAATCCGCCGACCAAGACAACCCCCACATCCGCGCCCGCAGCCGCGACGACATCCTCGCCCGTCTGGCATCCTGGCGTCCCGAAGTCCGGACCTTGATTACGCAGATCCCGGAGACGCCGCTCGTATGGCGCATCGACGACACGGCGGAGCACCCAGCGCCTTGGTACGCGCTCGGCCGCGTCTGTCTCGCCGGCGACGCCGCGCACGCGAGTTCTCCGCACCACGGCGCGGGCGCCGGGTTCGGGGTGGAGGACGCGCTAGCGTTGGCAACTGCTCTCGGGCTCGTCATGGAAGAAACGCCAATACCAACACGTGCTGGAAAAAGACAAGAAGCTATAGCAGCGGCCTTGGCAGCGTACAACGACGTACGGTACGCGCGCACGCAGTGGCTCGTGCGCAGCTCGCGCGAGACGGGGGATATCTACGAGTGGATGTACGCCGGCAGCGGGAGCGACCCCGCCAAGATGCGGGCGGAGATCGCGGCGCGGCAGAAGGTGATATGGGACTTTGATGTTGCGGAGATGGTGGAGCAGACGCGGTGGAGGTATCGCGCGAGGATAGGGGGTGAGGGAGGCGGTCCGGCTTACTGAGAAGAAAACCATACATTGTATTTTCTACGTGTAAATCTACCAGATTCCTCTTATTGTAAACATGCCTCGTTATGATGGTATATATGTCTGCCTGCCTACCCACCTACCTAGGTACCTTCTAAGTGCGTGATATGCTATCAAGAGATATTCTATCCAGGAGAGTAATAGAGCTTTCCTTTTTCTTCGAAAAGCGTACATTTACTGTATACCGATACGGCATTTGCTGTCTCGGGATAGGTACTATACCTACTTAAAACATAGTCAAATACACAATCACTAGTAGTAGCAATAGTATCACTCTCGCCTTATCATGAACCGTGCCGCGAGCGGGAATAAACAGAACACACTCGACCCACGGAGCTTTACCCTAATGTATTAAAACAACAACTTATGGATCCATCAAGGGTCCGATAGCTAGACCCCTGGCTCCAGGGGTCTCTAGAACCGGAGTTTAAATACGTTTCAAGGATCAGATCTGCCAGCTAGCACGCTTACGCGATAGTCCTAGAGCCTCACCCCTGACCGGCCCCATTACGCTCCCGCACGTACCCAGATCCTACCCATAGTAAAATAGTTCGGTGTCAAATCGGCAGTCGGTTAGCCTCCGCCCAGGGTAGCTATCTAGGACTAGCTAGGACTTAGACATTAGACGACGATGGTAACCATCCCATTGGAACCCGTTTAGTAAAGGTGCTAAATATATACACGTCCAATTATATGGATCCGTATATAATCAAATATTAGTGCCTAACGCATGATGCGTTGATCGACAATGATATTTATCAGCAAGACTTATCACGATCATACAAGCAACCCTCGAAACCAATACATACCTACATCCAATTATCCTATGCTAGTCTTGAGAACGACGTGGCTTTCTACTTACCTTGCTTAGAGCCTTTATACACCTACCTACATACAATACGTCATATAGCATTAGGTCTTACTTTGGATCTCAGATCTGATTTGGAACCCTTGCCTGAAAGAATAGGAGAGGAATCCCTACAGAGAGCGAGGCATGGGGAGCTTGGGGAGCCAGCCCCATGGGCAGGGGCCCAACATTCTCTTTTTCGGACCTGTAATCCCTTCTTTCAGCAACCAGTCGCTGCTAGAGCTCAGATCAGCACTGCGAAACCAGCAATGGGCCACTGACGTCGTATCCGCGTTGCTTCCTGCTTGGGATATAATCTCGACGAAGATACCCTCCCTCTCCTCTGTGCCTGGGAAGCAGCTGCTCACAGATCTTGAGACATGGCTGCGAGAGGGGCCGCCAGAGAAGGGCGTTGGCGACTTACCCAACGTTGTGCTCGCACCCTTGACAGTCATGACACAACTTGCGCAGTTCCAGCAATATACTGAAAGGCATCCTAACTTCCAAGACATGCTAGAGCCTGTAAGGGGAGAAGGGAGAGTTCTGCTAGTCGGATTTTGCATGGGACTGTTGTCAACCGCGGTTGTCGCTAATTATGTAGACCCGGATAGTTGGAACCGCCACGCCATTGCAGCAATCCGTTTAGCGATTCTTGTTGGTGCCGTGGTAGACGCTGCAGATGTAGCCCATCCTAATGGCGCCTCGGAGTCAATTGCGATCTCATGGCAAGACCCGGAGCAAAGCGAGAGGGTAAAATATATCCTCGAACAATTTCCAGACGATGCCTGCATGTCGGTGCGATACGATGAGCGACGTGTTACCGTTACCATATCAAAACGTGCTGCTCCGGAGCTGTTACGGGAACTGCGTGAAGAGGGAATCACGGCTGCATCCACGGGGTTGCGGGGGCGGTTCCACTCGAAACACCACAGCCAGATAACAGACGAGCTATTTCGACTATGTGATTCAGAACCAGGCTGGAATTTTGTCGATTCATATACTATCCTGAGGGCGATGTTGGTTGATGAGTGTAACTGGTATACGACTGTGTCGACGCTTGTAAACAGCCAGACTAACAACATAGGACGACTGACTTCCATTTCGTTTGGCCAAGGTCGATGTATACCGCCTTCTCTACAGTCGAAATTTGAAAACCGGGTTGAGCAGTTGATGCCTTTAGAGACCGAAGCATCGCATCGGCCTGCTGCTAACCTCTCAGAATCTAACGACGGCAGAATTCCTTCAATTAAAAACGCCTCTCACACACTCAATTGTAATATCACGGCAAATGATGATGTAGATTCCGGTGGTATAGCTATAGTGGGAATGTCGATAAAAGTCGCCGGCGCCGACGACCTCCCCGAATTCTCGGCCATTCTCCGCGCGGGGGAATCGCAACATCAAGAAGTCCCAGCTGAGCGCGTACCCTTTGGTAACTCGCCATGGCGGCGCCCCCAAGATAACAACGGTCGTAAGTGGTACGGAAACTTCATCCGGGACGTCGACGCTTTCGACCATAGGTTTTTCCGCAAGAGTCCGCGTGAAAGCGCCGCTATGGACCCCCAGCAGAGACTAGTTCTGCAAGCCGCTTACCAGGCAGTCGAGCAGTCTGGGTATTTTGATCCTGCTGCTTCTAGTAGCAGAGATAAGCACATTGGTGTATATCTAGGAACTTGTGCGACTGAATACGAGCATAACGCGGCGTGTCATGGGGCCGGGGCCTTTACGGTGATGGGGCTGCTGCGGGGTTCCATCGCGGGCCGCATATCGCATTACTTCGGCTGGACTGGACCATCGATGACGTTCGACACAGCGTGCTCAGGATCTGCCGTGGCAATTCACTCGGCGGTGCAGGCTTTACGCTCTGGTGAATGTAGTGCTGCGTTATGTGGAGGGGTTAATGTTATTACGAACGAAGTCTGGTTCCATAATCTGGCCGGTGCTTCATTTCTGAGCCCCACCGGACAATGTAAGCCGTTTGATGAAGCGGCTGACGGATATTGTCGTGGAGAGGGTATCGGGTGTGTTTTCTTGAAGCCTGTGGCGGCTGCGCTTGCAGACGGGGATCAGATATTCGGACGAATTGCAGGGTTCGTGACATTTTCTCGCCCCGCCTACCCCCTTTCTTCCTCCCCAGAGACTTCATTGATTAACCATTTTCGAGCAGTACCGCGGTATATCAAAACTCGAATGAAACGCCGCTGTTTGTCCCTCATGCGCCTTCTATGTCTCGACTCTTTTGCGATGTTATTCGCCGAAGTCGACTCGAACCTCAAGACATTTCTCTCGTGGAAGCTCATGTGCGTCAATAAATCTTCTTTGCAAGGAATCTCACGTCTGACATCGTGTCATCATAGGGAACAGGTACACCTGTCGGTGACCCTGCAGAATACGAAAGCGTTCGAACTGCCTTGGGCGGAATTATTCGGCGCAAACCACTGCCTATGGGGTCTGTTAAAGGACTCGTGGGACACACTGAAAGCACCTCAGGGGTGGTTTCTCTGATTAAGGTTATCCTTATGATGAATGAAGGCTTCATCCCGCCGCAGGCAAGCTACTCCAAGATGAGCCATCGCTTTAACATCTCCGGTTCCGATATGATCCATGTGCCCACAAGCTTACTTCCTTGGGAACAAAATAACAAGGCAGCATTAATTAATAACTACGGTGCTGGTGGGTCGATCGCCGCAATGGTTGTGAAGCAAGCTCCATTTCGATCTTATGAAAGCTCGAGCTGTTTCCCCGACAGCATGGCATTTCCCTTCTGGGTCGCTGGGTTCGATGGTCGCAGCATCGAAGAGTATTGTGCCAAGCTCGCAGCTTTTGTCAAGAGAAACACCGATAATATCTCTTTAGCTGACCTCTCCTTTAACGTGAACCGTCAGTCGAACACTACTCTGCCCCGTGCTCTGCAATTTCGATGTAGTAGTGTCGCTGGTCTCCTCGAGCAACTCTCTCCGGCCGTATCATCGAAACATGTCCAGGTTAAAGCTTCTAGGCCTGTGATATTGTGCTTCGGCGGGCAAATATCGACATGGGTTGGACTAGATCGTGTTGTGTATGAAAATGTACCCCTGATCCGTTACCACGTAAATGAATGCAACGCCATAATACAGTCTCTTGGTCAAAAAGGCATTTTCCCCGATATTCTCTCTAAGCAGCCGATTCCAGATCCGATTCATCTGCAAACAATGCTTTTTGCTTTGCAATATGCGAGCGCGAAGTGCTGGATAGAATGTGGAGTACGAGTCGAAGCAGTTGTAGGCCACAGTTTTGGGGAAATTACGGCGCTGTGCGTGTCAGGCGTCTTGAAGCTCAGGGACGCTATCAAATTGGTTATTGGCCGAGCCGAAGTTATAAAAAGAATATGGGGTCGAGACCGTGGTGTGATGATAGCAGTGGATGGTGAGTTGGAGCTTGTGGAAAGAATCTTAGTAGAGGCGAATCGAAATCGACAAGGGGGCAGTCCGGCTAGCATTGCCTGCTACAACGGCCCACAGAGTTTTACGCTTGCCGGATCGACATCGGCGATGGACAGTACTCTAAAAGTACTTTCTAGTCGTCCTGAGTACGCGTTAATGATGATGAAGAAGCTGAACGTTACCAATGCCTTTCACTCTGCTCTCGTCGAGCCTCTCATCCCGAGCCTGGAGCAAGTCGGTAGAGACCTGGAATTCCACAGCCCTACCATCAGATTCGAAAGAGCGACAGAACTGCCGTCGAGTAGCGAACCTTTGGCCCCGAAATACGTAGCTAATCATATGCGCAACCCCGTATTTTTCCACCATGCCGTACAACGGCTAGCCAAGGACTATCCCTCCGCAATATGGCTTGAAGCAGGATCCGCTTCTAAGATCACCTCCATGGCCCGGCGCACGGCGAGGCCCAGTCCGAGCTCGCATTTCCAAGCCGTGAGTATCACTGAAGACCGGGGAATGGATAGTCTTACAGATGCAACCCTTTCACTTTGGAAAGAAGGGCTACGGGTAAATTTCTGGCCTCAGCATGGCACAGAAGCAGCCTGTAGTCACGTACCGTTACTCTTGCCACAGTACCAATTCGAAAAGACGCGGCACTGGCTCGATCTCAAGGAACTAGCCCCACCAGCGCCCCGGGAGGACGTGCCACAGCGCGAAGATCCATCGCTTGGCCTATGGACCTTTGTTGACTATCAAGATCCGAAGAAGCGGCGGGCTCTCTTTAGAATAAATACCGAGTCCGAGAGATACAAGGCTTTAGTCGCAGGACATGTCGCTGTTCAGACTGCTCCTATCTGCCCCGCCACGTTGGAATACAGTATGGTAATCGAAGCGCTTCTTACTCTTCGAGATAGTAGCACCGTGGCGGAAGAGCAACACCTGCACCCCGTAATCCGCGATATGCATAACGACGCGCCATTATGCTTCAACGCTTCTCAGACAGCGTGGATGGAGTTACAAGAAGACGATACTCTATCGCGTCGGCATTGGTCGTGGAGGATTGTGACTACCCCTGTCGGTCATCAACCAGACAACGGCAATGATAACAACTCCACCATATGCGTACAGGGACGACTAGAGTTGCGACCACCCGAAGAATGCGCCGAGTTCGCGCGATATGAGCGATTGGTAACGCATGAGCAGTGTATTGCACTACTTCATAATAGTGCGCAAGCGGACGATGTCATTCAGGGGCGCAATGTATACCGCTCTTTATCTGATGTGGTTGAATACGGAGATATATACCGAGGGGTAAATCGAGTTGTGGGCCGAGAAAATGAATGCGCGGGCATCGTGCATGACCCAACTGCTCATACTGATGAAGCGGAGAAGAATTGGCTGGATGATATACCTGTTACTGATTCATTCAGCCAGGTAGCAGGCGTATGGGTCAACTGCATGACAGACCGGGAACCGAATGGCAGCGATGTCTTCTTGGCTACGGGGTGCGAGACACTCATGCGCAGGCCTGGACTTACGCGAAGCGATAGACGATGTCAGCCCGGAAAGATATGGCACGTCTGGGCGAGGCACCATCGTGAGTCAGATAGAACTTATCTGACAGACGTTTTCGTGTTCGACGCGACAGACGGTCGGTTAAGTGAAGTAATACTAGGGATTAGATATACTCGTATCCCTAGATTATCCATGAGTAGGTTGCTGACAAGACTCACGGATAACTCTGCTATTCAGACCAGGACGAATAATAATAACAGCAACACGGCATCTGCGGGATCAGACGCTATTCCTGCTCCACAATCTTCGGCAACGTCGTACCTAGTGGCCAACCACCAACAAAAGCCCATGGGTAAAACGTCTGAATTCTCTCGCTTCGAGTTAAGCCAGAAAGTTAGAGATATTATAACAACCGTGTCAGGAATAGAGGCTAGTGAGATCCAAGATGATTCAGAACTAGCCGACCTAGGGATCGACTCGTTGGCAGGTACCGAGTTGGCTCGCGAGGTCGAGAGCGCATTCAGTTGCAAAATTAATACGCTCGAGCTTCTTTTTGAAGCTACAAGTTTTCGCGAGTTCGTAGCATGTATTTCGAGAATAGTACATGGTTCGGACAACCACGTCGATCTCGAAGCATACGATGGCGAAAGTAGTTCAGTCTCCCCTTCAAACGGCGGCGGTCTACTCTCAGACGAATCCGGCGATACTAGTGCGATCTTAACTCCAACTGTAGATGACTCATCTTCCAATGACGAGCGGAACAGCGATGCAATTATCGAGTCATCCATAGCGAAAGCAAGGAGCCTGGGAGACGATTACTCTTCATCCATATTCCAGCTCGATGTTTTGACTGCTTTTTCCCAAGTCAAGGCATCCACTGACCGGCGCATCCGGGATAACAAAGTTGACAACACAGATGCCACTATCGTCGCTCGTTCAAGCCGACTTTGTGTGGCCCTCGTCGTCGAAGCATTTGAGAAACTCGGCTGTACGCTCAGAACTGCGACTGCGGGCCAAATACTGCCGTCGGTAAAGCATACTCGCCAAACCACCCGACTGGTCGATTGGCTCTACAACTTTCTCGAAAAAGACGCACGGTTAATCGACCGAGATGGCGCACGTATCACACGTACCAGTATTTCCGCCCCGCGCAAAACAAGCGAAGCCATCTTTCAAGACCTTTTACAAATCAATGACCAATGGATCGTGGCACATAAGCTGGCGTATTACGCAGGGAAGAACTTGGCCGATGTACTTAGTGGCCGGAAAATCGGTATTCAAGCCTTGTTCGGCTCGCCCGAGGGACGGGATCTCGTGAGAGGCCTCTACTGCGATCTTCCATTTAATCGCTTGTCCTACGAGCTGATGCGGGACACTATCCAACTCGTAGTAGAGACGCTCTCTCCGAACTTCCGCGGGCCCTTGCGCATCCTTGAGATGGGTGCCGGCACCGGAGGTACAACACACATACTGGCTCCTTTCCTCGATAGCCTTAACATTCCTGTCGAATATACGGTGACTGACTTGGCGCCGTCGATGGTAACACAAGCACGCCGTACGTTCGGGACGCGTTACCCCTTCATGCGATTCGCCGTACACGATATCGAACAACCACCTGCTAAGTTCCTACGCGGCACCCAGCACTTTGTAATTGCCAGCAATGCTGTACATGCTACTGTTGATCTGAAAGAGTCGGCCTCTAATATCCGCATGGCGCTGCGCCCAGATGGTACGCTTCTACTTACCGAGATGACCGAGAGTTTGCCGTTTGTTGACTTGGTGTTTGGCCTACTCGATGACTGGTGGCGCTTTGCGGATGATAGAGTACATGCTATCGTACCGGCTGAACATTGGGAGACGCGACTGCGGGATTCTGGGTTTGGGTACGTGGATTGGACGGATGGAAACTTGCCGGAGAATCGCATACAGAAAGTCATAATTGCTTTGGCATCTGAATTAGGCGCGATATCAGTACCTTCGGCGACGATACCGCAGTTAACTGAAGCTCACAGCAACGATCTTGTAGCAGCTCGAGGCCAGGAGGCTGAGAAGTACGTGACACAGTACTCGGCTGGCTTTACGGCATTTATGGATAAACCGTGGGATGACGCTAACGGCGTAGTGGAGGATGAGAAAGATAGCGGCGCGGTCGTCATAATTACAGGGGCTACTGGAAGCCTAGGTTCGCATCTTGTCGCCCGCTTTGCCAAGGACCCCAACGTAAGCACAGTGGTCTGCATTAATCGGCGATCTAATTCGGGCAACTCGGCTTCGTCCCGCCAGCAAGAAGCATTGGCGTCCCGCGGCATAACCTTGTCTCTAGAAGCCTCTTCAAAGTTGCACGTTCTCGAAACAGATACAACACAGCCACGATTAGGCCTACCGTCGACCACATATGCATGGCTGGTTGCATGCGGTACACACATCTTGCACAATGCATGGCCCATGAGCGCGAATAGACCGTTGCGTGCCTTTGAGCCGCAATTCCAAGCTCTTCAACAATTGCTCCGGCTTGCTGCTGACATCTCCACCTATGGTAGTAGGCAGCGGACGGCGGACGGCAAGATCGTATGTTTCCAACTTGTATCATCAATCGGGGTGGTCGGCCTACATTCGACTTGTTTGGTATCCGAAGAACGCGTTCGCATGGACTCCGTCTTGCCGGTCGGATACTGTGAGGCCAAGTGGACATGCGAGCGCCTACTGGACGAGACTCTACATCGATATCCTAGCAAGTTTCGGGCCATGACGATCAGACCCGGTCAGATCGCAGGATCGACCACGACAGGTGTTTGGAACTCCGTCGAACACTTTGCTTTTCTAGTGCGATCTGCGCAGACGCTTCGCGCATTTCCGGCACTCAAAGGCAGATTGCAATGGGTGCCAGTAGACGGCGTGGCTGCAACCGTTGCTGACTTGGCGTTAAGCGAAAAGGCAAATAGTCCCATCTATCATATCGACAACCCTGTAGGTCAGCCATGGGAAGAGATGGTGCCTGTTTTGGCGGAGGAACTCGGCATTCCTGGGGAGAACATCCTGCCGTTTACGGAATGGATTCGGAAAGTCAAACGGTCGCCATTGGCGATGGAAACGGAGAATCCGGCGTTGAGATTGGTAGACTTTCTGGAAAAGCATCTTACGCGCATGTCGTGCGGTGGTATCGTCTTAGATACGGCCAAGACCGTGAAGCATTCGCCGACGCTTGCGGCTCAAGGACCGGTCGCTGCCGATACAGCACGTCGATACTTGCGGGCGTGGAAGACAGCAGGGTTTTTGACTTGCCCATGATAGATTCAAACCCGTTGAATCACGGCCTTTTATTAGTTATTACCAATTTACCAATGTACCAATGTACCGATATCACGAATGTTATAAACATTGTTTTCTATGCCTTACCATTCGGTCAATTGAATTTAATGTTTTGATGTGGAAAGATTTACGCTCAGCATCAAAGACGCAATTTTAACTTAAGATTCCATAATTTTGATTACTCATAACATGCATTACCTAATCCAAGTTACTTCATACATACAGTCCTACAGTGCGGCTTAGACGGACCTCCCCCCTATTTTTAACGCATTAAGGACCAAGGTTACCGAACACCATCACCCTTACCATGTAAGCTTTATAATAATTATATATATTTCTCCATTCTTTATTATAAGAGATGTTATCATATACGGTTAACGCCCTATATATAGTACTGGAGTGTGCTTAGCTCAGGTTTCCTAGGGCAAATATCTCACTTGCAGGCTGAAGAACAAGCCTTGGATAACTGGAGCTGCGTAAAATATGAGGTATGTCAATACAGAGCAGAATAATTGATTGATATAGTGTCACAGGGCAATTAGGTAATCCATCCCTATAGGGATTAGCCCTTGATTACCTCAGCTGAGCGTGGGTATATCTAGCACTCCATTCTATAGGAGCAAAGCTCTCTTTTACTTAATAGAATATTCCGCTCACTATGCTAGAGATCCGGCACCCATAGACTGTGTGACAGATGCCTTAGTAAATAATATGTCAATTAAAACATCCCTATCATGGCGGGTTTAGGACAATTTTCTCGCAAATCTCTCTTATAACAGCGTCGCTTTCATTGAAGTCGTGATAGAACGCTGTGGTTCTCTCAAGTACAGCGATCGATACCCAAGTGCTCAACTGTTCCAAGGACGGTATCTGATGGATATTGACTTCCGTTGCCAAACATAGACCGATGATGGTCGCCAACCATGGGTCAAGCCACGGGAATGGACGCGGCATGTCATCTTCGCGTGGAAGGATTGAAGCGGCGTAAGTCTCTATATCCTCGTTGTCATGAGTCATCCAAACAGGGTCCATCTCCATTCGAAAGTGATATTCCAAGGTAATCAACATAATCATCAGCTGGTAAACCTATGAGTACGTGATATGAAAGTTGATCCAGTTTTTCTGGGTAGAGAACTTACCATTCCCAATTCGAAGAGGTTTGTGTTTTTAGCCGCTTCCCTTTCTCCAGGTTCGTACTCTGACGTTAAGCCAAAGTCAATGATCTTAAGAATTGGTGAAATATTGTGTTCTCCGTAACCAAAATCCCCAAGAAGGACTTAGTCAAGGTTAGATGAGTAATCGTTTGATGTTATTATTTTGTCCACATACCATTCTCTGAATGAAGGTCATTATGTGCCAATCCTCCTGGTTCAACACCTTCAATGGGGAGTTCGATTTCTACTAAGTTGTCTTGTCGATTCCTGGGCCACTACATCAAATTTAGTCAGCACCATGGTGAAACTATAGGGTCGATATGTGTTCCACAAGAAAAACATCGCTTGGATCGTCGGCAAAAGGCTGTTTTGGGGGATAAGATTCTAATCATGGATCAATGGTGTTACTTACGGCCAATCCACAGCAGCTTCTAATCACTATACGTTTATTAGCTCGATCGAGAACTTTGGGGTTCTTGTAGTAAGGCAGCTCAGGAAATAAGGCTACTACACGAGCATCTATACCATTACTTACTGCATAAGAAAAATCTCCAGAGTAAACGGTTTGGTAGCCGCTGAAGTCCATGAAGCTTTGCCCTCGCAACAAAAGTGCCGATCGTGCCATTCGGGAGCCATTCTAACGCCGTCCACTCCCATCGAAAACGATCTGGTGCTAGAGGATGGTCTTGCAAATCGATGACTTGTACCATATGCATTCCACCACGCACTTGCTATATGGGGTTAGCTGAAATAAACTCCATCTTGATTCTTCATTGCAGCTTCTTCGGAGAGCATATACCTGAAGGTATTCCTTTTCATCCCGTAAGAAACCGCGGGCATCCAGCGATCCGAAAGAGACTTTAATTAAGAAATCGGCCCTAGTACCCCTCTCATGGTTTATATACTGTATGCGATGCGCACTGCCATAAGATCCAGAGGCGACGTAGCCGTGGTAGACAAATCGGTTATCCAGGGAGAAGTTGTGTTTGAGATCTTGGGTAACCTGTACAATTTCAGCGTCGTTCATTTTCGTGTTTGAGGTTGGTGAGTAGTAGCTGCGATGTTATCGATGAGTATTCTACATACCGATGTTCTGCGTGCATAATAAATTGATACCTATAAAAGTGACTCGCTTCTTAGTCGTTTTCGTGCTGGGATTGGCAGTTCCGATTGCGGCTATATTGATCAAAGAGGTTTATGTTTCATTGAACCGGAATTTTCATCGACAGACAATGAACTACCTACGTCAGTTGAATTACCCAACTGCGGCGCTTAGTCAGCCATTGTAATGTTCATATTAACTAATATTTCCCATGTGTATGGTTTGTTATGTGTTGTAACATAACAAATCAGCAGACATTTCTATGTTACATATTAGATCGTTTCGACGCTTAATAGGTAACTCATCTGCTCAAATGCCTTTGTGGAGTGGAAATTATCCTTGCGCTTAGCGCGGAAGAGATTCTGGTGCCTCACAAGGTGAAAAAAGCCATTGTGTACTTTTTATAGAAAGTCATGTCTACAAGTGCCTCGAGAGGCCCAAGGGAGTGAGCGTGTTCCTTGACTGTTATTCCTAAAAATGTAGGTGGTCCGTGAGCCACAGATATATGTGGAGTCAAGCGTCCCTCTACTGCCCCTGAACCCCTGAATTGAATCGGCTATGCAAAACTCCATCTCAATCATCTGGTTTGTTATCGTTAAAATAACTCGCCCAGCGCGTACATCCATAGATGTTAAGGTTACTACAAATTAATATTATATTACTCCCTGGCTACTTAGTTGTCCAGGTGAAAATAAATGATTAATATGCTATAGCTTTACCTGACAAAGCACGCACGTACGGTTAGGACTTCAATACCACCTATAAAGTAATTACTAAAGTGTAGACCTCGAAATCTAGCCAATTATTCCCCTTACATCAAATCATTACATTTATGACATTATCAAGAATAGTCATTAGTGGTTGAATAATACCTACGTGTCAATAGTAGAGTATCAATCTGGAGTAGGGAACTTTTGATAGTGTTTATGTGAATGATGGTTAAATAGTTTAATCTTAAGTAGGATAATAATGAAATGGTATTTGAAGGTGGATCTGTATTGAACATAAGTATCCTATGTCCTCTTGCTACCACCAAGTCGTAGGGACTGAGCCTTATGCTTGGTGATCCCACCTGCCCATGAAGCTAAACCACCAAAAGACGAGAATTTACAAGTCGCACGACTTGTGATTTATTGCAGGTGATATGGCCGGTCCGTACAGTTACTAAAACTTTAGCTACTTATGTATGCATCGTAGATAGAAGTAAGGTAGGCGTTCGTAATTGCGGTGCATGCTGCTTGCAACACAGATGCGCTCATCGGAGATCGACTATGTTGTTTCATGGTTATTCGGTATACTGACAAAGAACTCGCAGATCGATGAGTAGAATGTGTCCCCAATCGTTTCAACGCATTGTTCTCTCTCGGAAATAGGTAGTTTTCTTTGTCGGAAATACGTACGTTCTTCAGATTATTATAAGGGTTAATACCGTGCGAAAGAAAATTTATGCCGATGTATTTTATCGACCGGTCCTCTGCGCGCAAATTGGTTCCTTTTGAACTTCTCGTTCTCCCTGTTTTCCACTTATATTACCACTCCGTAGGTGCTTTGACACTTTCCATATAGCTTTCTAGGGAAACGGTGCCAAGCTCGCTTTCTGGCGAGATCTCTATTGCCGGAAGTTTATTGATTAAATCTTTTATTTTTATGCCAACGGCTTCGTCCATGCCGAAAATCTGTGTTGCGTTCATGAGTTCATTCATGATTTCTCTGTCATGGTATTCTTGAACTCGTATACTGTGGCCCGTCGTAAGGACTGCGTACTCAACTTCCCTTCTTTGGCTTCTAAGTATCATAGTGCGCTCCCAGTGGCCGAGACACAAGTCATTTGGGAAGAACCACTTCGAGTGTAAAATTCGTCCACAAATAGCCAACGAGAGGTATCGATGTGCGGTTGCTAAATATTTGTGCTGGCGCTCACGATATTTCTGTGAGCGTTGTAGTGCTTCGAACTCGTGCTCGTTTTCTTTATAAAAATGGTATAACGCCCGTTCTTGCATATAATGTAGTGGGCAATAGGAATTGCTTTCCGCCGAGTTATGGCAAGGAATTCTGTTAAGATTGGCCTAGAAATGTATTAGCGATGAACTTTATAAAAAATGACTGATGAAGTAGCTTACTTTGCACTGCATCGTGCTGTTTTCCTCGTGTAAATGGGTTTCTTTTATTATGTAGGTATTCTTGGTAAGGACATAGGTCCTAAGACCTAGGGGTACGTAGTCTCAAAGTTCGATATATAGGATGTTGAACAAAAACCTTCCAAAACTATAGTAGTGACCAAAAAGATTGTTTTGGGGAGTTTTGAAATATGTAGAATGTAAATGGTTAGCTAGAATTCATGGGGAGAAAGTTTCGAATGTTATTATGATGTGGATAGCACCGTCTGTTGCCCCACCTGCCAACAGCTGCACATGTCCGCTGCCCATCAGCCCGCAACCGTGCATTTTCCATGCTGCCGAGTAATAAAACGTCATCATTGTTGAAAACTATTACCTACTTAGCAAGCTAAGAGAAAACATATGGCTGTTTTACATTGTTTTCACTTACTTAGTACTTCCAAATAGCATATTTCAATCATTAATATCAAAGAAATATCAATGGAGGAGAATCATCACGTGAAAGAAATAACATTAGTCACGTGCACCCCTGAACACACCCTCAAGCCAACATAAGAACACCGGCACTAAGCGCCCTACGTCGCTGTAAGCGCTAGGGACTTATATAACTTCACACCACGAAGGTTGGAGCCCCTCAGTATATGTTTATAAAGTCTCTATCGGATATGGAAATTAACTAGTAGCTCCTTTAGATAGTTCGGCAGCTGTTAATTCAAGTTTATATCCTACACTCGATATAAGAGGGTCCTAATTTATAACGAGTTATCGTTTTATAGTATTTAATTACATCAACCTTTGAGTTTTGAACCAAAACTTGAAGCGATTTCTTCGCCAGGGGGGTGAGAGGCAATGGAGTATTACGTGACTTGTGAAACGCAATATCAGAAGTAGAGTAATGCTAAATTATAATTCTTATATATACTAAGACTTGTAAGGAAGTGCCGATAATGAAAATAGATTCTTAGATCATTTTATCTAGTGAGTCGCTCACTAGTGGTAGTCACGTCCCTTCCAATTGAAGTCCATGCTAAATGCGTCATTGTATCTTTTTAGGTATCTATCACCGGGAGGCTGCTAAAAGCTCCTTCTATCGTTAATCAAGCGCCGCGACTTCCTCCTTCTATACTGGCAACCATAATCCACTAGGTGCCTACCTGGCTTTTAAAATATCCTTCCATTTTTCCAGTCAAGCAAGAGAATTATTGAGTCAATCTTCAATACTGAGTAATCAGAATAAAACTTGAATCGCGGCCTAAGTAACTGCACAGTCTAATTATCATCATACATGCTTGCGCTGGTAGTGGCTGCTAGTTAACTTTGTCGCCTATGAAGGTAATCATCAATGGTATATTTTTCATCTGATGTGCAATTGCCATTGAACCGCTTGCTCCTGCCTCCACATTGATACAGCTAGTAAGTTGCCAGATCTAATCGCTGTCTTCCGCTCTTTCCTTTAACCCAAATGGACCTCAGATGGTTGGGAAGTCGCGAAGTCGCGTCATCCCAATGGAGGGTACAAAACTGCGTGGCGCATCGTCAATTCTTTTTCCTCAACACCAACTCTCTACATCTTATCCTCCACATACATTCATATCCATCCAGCATTTCTTCTCCAACATCAACAACAACAACATTACATATCTCCATCATCCTCAGCTCCACTTTCAACACTATCTTTTATTCCTGGCCTGACTGTATTTCCTACTTACATACATTATCGACTCATATCCTATCTGAACATCGGTTTGTCGCCGATACCTATTTATCATGGATAGACTCCCGCAGACGATCCTGGAGAAGATCATCATTTTCATCGCCGATGATGCCGACCCGATGTCCAGGAATGCATATAAGAGGGCTGTCGCACCATACGCGACTGTGTCTTCCAAGTTCCGGTTGGCCGTCGAGCGGATCACATTCAGCAACCTTCTACTAACTATCGATAACGTCCCGACTGCTTCTGTTATCCTCGGTCAATTTTCCAGATGGCTGTACGTTAGGACGGTGTTATTTAACATTGCTCTACCCCGGTATGAAGGAGAAGCTGCTACTCGGTTAGAAAGTCCTGAAGAAAAGACAGAGAACTCGCTTACGTTCACCACAAACATCACGACATTATTCCAACTTCTTTCAGAATACCCTGTCCACGGTGCATCCGCATGTGGTAGCCTGGCATCCTTCTCATTACACATCCACGTATTTTCAGTCACAGACAAGAGTCTCAAAGGCTATAGTGACCAGATATTCGAACAAGGAACCCTGAACACTGATGTTGGTGTAGAGATCTGGAGATATCACCGTTCCTTATTACATCTTGACGACTCTATCATACTTCCCTCACTCCAACATGTTCCTATCGACAAGATCGAGTTTCCCACCATATTCTACCGAAGACACATTGACTCTAATAGCCTAGCTCGAATGATATCAATCATGAACTTGAAACGACTAAAGAGTGTCTGGTGGGCATTTGGGGACCTCGAGAAAAGGGACCTTCTTCTTAGGCGTGCACAACGTCAAGGTCAGTATTTCATACCACCATTAATCCTGGTATTCACGCTTCTTCCGTATTAACACATAATAATCTAGCTTTTGCCGATGCAATCGACTCCCTTCCCAACTTAGATTATTTTGAGTTAATCAACGAGTACTTCACTCCCCATAACCACGACTATCAACCGCCGATTCTCTATCATCCAAGGAAAGAGGTCGACCCAGTTTCCTGTGCAATCCGGAGGCTTTGTCAAAGAACCAAGAAATTAATTATCTTTGGTGTACTGGGATCGACGGAGCTTTTCTGGCCCAAAATACGTCCAAATTATGCACCAGAACCGTACTGGGAATCGCTTGAGGAATTACGCCTTACCTTCCATCCTCTCACTCCTGACGGAAAGTGGCTATTTAAACGGGATGAAGATGAAACTCCTCAAGAGATCCGATACATAGACTTGTGTCCTGAGCCGGATGAAATACGCGGAGAAGAAGACGATTCATGGAATCTTTGGCGATACGCACCAAGTCAGGATCGCATGAATGAATTCTACCGGGTCCTTGGAAGAGCTCTGGTTAACATGCCAAAGCTGCGGTACATGATTCTACAATCAATCAATTATCTGTCTTCGCCACCAGGGGAAGAACGTACCCAACATCAATTTATCTTCGAAGTCTACGAAGATAGGAAAGCCAAAGCTTTGTGGTACAGCAAACCGGAGTACGAGCCGAGTGACCTAGTTAAGAAGATTTGGATCAAATCAGCCTATGAGCTTGCACTAGATCTAGAGATATTTGTCATAAGCATCCCAACCGAAGAAGAAGACGATGGGGACTATGAAAATGGTGATAGCTCTGGGGATGGACATGAGGAACAGACTGGTGACAATGATGGTAACGTCATTACAATCATTGAAATCTCCTGAGATTTAGATGGGAGATCGATTGAGCTAGAGTCGTGTGGAGAGGTTTCTAGCCGCATTGGGATCTCTAAAGTTACTGGTACAATATCTAACATATCTTTTACGAGCCTTAGGTATGTGCTAGATGATAACATCAAGCTCCATAGTCCCAACGAAGCAGTTTAGGAAGATAATTCAAACGGCATCTTTCATTGTTCATTTTCCGATCTGATCATTAATTCCTCTAACATTTGCCTGGAGATCCATTGCCTTTGCCACACCTATCAGCATACCTCAACCCATGCCCGTACTTGAACACGGGGTTTCTAGTATCAAACGGCACATCCTCCATTCCGGCTGCGACAGCCTCGTTAGACCGCGGTAAATCGTAAGGTAACTTCCCTTCAGGCTCGGCTAACCCAAGAACCACGTCGAGGAATGCATCAGGGCTGCTCCCGAAACTAGCCAGCATCGCCGTCGCCCCCTCCGCTACTTCAGGCACCGCAGCCGGCCTATCAAGCATCATATCGACGATCGTCGGAACCCCCGCCGCGTAGATAGCAGCCTGCCTCTCCTTCTCTTCGTCCGAGAACTCCAGCGAGCCCGCGTGGAACATCGACTCGAAGCCCCCCGGGCGCGGCTCATACGGCGCCGCCAGCCGCAGGAGAGCGTAGTCGGCCTCCCCGACGCTAGTGACCACGCTGTAGTTGCGGGACGTGATATACGTCGCATTGAACCCCTCGACGTAGAACTTGGTCCCCGGCCCCAGGTTGCGCAGAGGCAGGACGTCGTCCGCGTTCTTGAGGAGCACGTATGCGCGCCGCTGGGCCTCGGCGCCCAGACGCACGAAGTACTCGTTGCCGACCACGCCGGAGGCCGCGTCCGCGTCCACGAACGGGTTGTCGAAGAGGCCGAGCACGAACTTCTCCCGCAGCAGCTTGCGCACGGAGACGTCGATGCGCGACTCGGATACGACGCCCGTCCGCACGAGCTCGGCGATCAGCTCGGGACGCGTCTCCCCGCCGAATTGGTCGCATCCCGCGTCGAGGATGCGCGCGGCGCGCTCGAGTTCGGATAGCGATTCTACGCCCCACGCGCGTGCTGGCATGTATTGGCCCGAGATCCAGGTATCCGTGATCAGGCCCCAGTCGGTGACCACGATGCCGTCGAAGCCGAGCTCGCCCATGAGTAGGTCCGTGACGATCTGCCTGTTGAAGGAGAAGCCGACGGGCTCGAACGGCGTGTCGATCGGGCGGCTGTAGTAGGGCATGATCTGGCGCGCGCCGGCGGCGACGGCGGCGCGGAACGGGATCAGGTGGTACTCGAGGTTGTTGCCGGGGTACGTCTGGTTCTTGCCGTAGACGAAGTGCGAGTCCTCGCCGTTCTCCATCGGCCCGCCGCCGGGGAAGTGCTTCGTTATCGTGGAGACGGAGGACGGGCCCATCTTCTCGCCCTGGAAGCCTCTTATGTACGCGGCCAGCAGCGAGGCCGTCAGCTCCGCGTTCTCGCCGAAGGTCCCCGAGATCCGCGCCCATCGCGGCTCCGTCGACACGTCGACTTGCGGGTGCAGCGCCGTGCGCAGGCCGACGGCGAGATACTCTTCGCGCGCGACCTCGGCGAACTTTTGGACCAAGTCCGCGTCTCGCAGCGCCGCTAACCCAAGGGTCTCGGGCCATTGAGAGAAGCGGCCCGCGTTGAACCCTGTCCCGGCGTTTTCAGTGAACGCGTGTCGCGGATCTGAAGACAGGGTCACGGGAATGCCGAGCCGGGTCTCTAAGGCGCGCTTCTGAACGAGGTTGTGGAACTCGGCGGTCTCTTTCGCGTCGACGATGTCGGCGACGAGGTTGAAGTGCGTCAGCAGCTGCTCGCCGATCATGAAGTCCGTGCTGTTCCGGAACTCCGTCTCGTTGCCTGGGTCCAGCGTGCCGTTGGGGCCGGGGAACAGCATCGCGTGGAACATCTGGCCGACCTTCTCCTCTAGCGTCATGCGCTGGATGAGGTCTTCGACCCTGTCGTCGATGCATAGCGAGGAATTTCGGTAGCCTGGGAGTGCTTCACTGTCGTTCAAGACGCGGCTGAGGAGGGGTTTTTGGGATACGTGTGATGTCCCAAGACAGAAGCTACTTAGCGGCCATGCTGATAGGGCTAAGAGGACGAGTATAGCCCGAGACGGTTTATTCTGGGAACCCATGGTAGTTTGGAGCAACGGGCTGGTGGCTGAATAATATTCGTGGCCGTCTTTTCCATAGCGTGAAGAAACTTGGGATGTTCGCCATTGGGAATTCCCGTCCTATTTATGATACCACGATACCGGAGGAGAAAAAAGGATGTAAAGACAGGGAATCTGTCAAGAAACCATCTCGTCCAGGTCATAAGGTCACGATGACGGTCAGTCGATACTGCATCAAGCCTGTCGGCCCTTCCATCGGCGTATACTTATGTAGCGTCCCGGGTCGTTGTCTCGGCACACGTGCTTAGTCTGCGGCTTGCCTTCTACTCCACGATATTTGACCCAGAGAAAAGGTCAAGTCGGTGTGGATATGCGGAGATTGTGGGGTGTTTAATATTTGATGCGCTTGGCGATAACGAGCGGCTCGCCCAACAACGGCTTGGCATACCTAGCAAGGATAAAGAGGAGGCATCTTGGATTGCGGGAACACGCTCGGTAAAACCGATGAAGGCCGGCCGTACCTGACCCGAATTTTGGCTTCACGATATAAGAGATAGACTAGGCCCATTATTGATTATGTCATCAACTACTTAGATTTGAGGCCATCGTCTCGTAAAATTTATTTGATCGATTCAATAAATGCGGAGTTGCCACCAAGAGAATAGATAGTATGTACCTAGGTACTTAGATACATCTTGCAGTCCTAACGCTTATTGATATATTGAGATTGCTCCGATTTAAAACTTTCAATGTCTTGATTCCTCACGCTCAATTATTAGAAAGTATAGGTGAACTGCTTATGTCTTCTAGCTTAGTAATCCATATGTACAAATAGGGGTAAAAATAGGGGGAGCGATTAAGGGAAACTCCAACAACCACAAAAATAGTCACACGACACGAGATTCGTCCGCGGGTAAGAAAACTGAACTAATCTTTGCATAACAATTAATTATGCTATGCCGTAGTAGTTGGTGTGTTGGAAAGCATGTATTACGTGACTTGGACAATTGGTAGTTCCCTTAACCTTATGATGTTTCGAAGTATCAGGTGTCATCCAATGAGGAAATTGGAAGGCTGGGTTATGCTTGATTAAAAGGTCCGACTCAAGCGGATAGTGATCAAGTGGAGGATTTGCGAAAAAACCTTGGAAATCCAGGTTGACAGGAGGAGGGAGTATGGAGGAGGGGTAAAATGGGAAAGATGTTGCCCGTACCTGAAAAGCAGCTGGAGGGTGGCGGCGGCTTTGTTAACGGGCTCTATGCCGGAGACCTGGTACCGGCACTCACCCAGTGCTAGTGGCACTTTGCGGATGTTGTACCCGTCTTCTCTACCTCGATACGGGGATGTTAGAGAAGCGTCGGCAGCAAGGCTGGACTAACGCAAATTAACGGCAGACCTCCTCGGTGTCCGTACTACATCTTAAATGCAGTTAAGTACTTATTCTTCTCTATTGCATTGATTACCGCAGCCGGTTATCTTAGTGCTACGGCACTAGGTAGTTCTAGATCATCAGACTCCTTCATTCGCTCTTAAATAAGTTCAAAGCAAACTGCTCACGAGGTGGAGGTGGCTAAGCTGAAAACAAGCACATTATATGAAATTAAATGAAATTATGCCACATGACGATATCTGGCTTCTATAGCGGTCGGATGGCTTAATCGACTTTTACGTGGAGAGGGCTATTTTGGACCCAATGGCGATTTTAACTGATCAAGCGCCATAAACTGTTGTATGATCTTAATGTCATCACATGAAGTGCACAAGGAGGGTCGTACGCGTAAAGAAAATCAATATCTCCGGCTTACCAGGCACCTAATAGTGATAATGCGAGTAAGCAGCCACCACCATTCCGCAATTTCTAACTGATACAGTGATTCCATCGATGTAAAGATGTCTCTGTAAGGAACTTATTATCTCTACAAATAACATGACGAGTCGTAAATATGTACCTATGCATTTGCCCAATCACAATGCTATTGTAAACAACGTAGAATCTAGATCCATGGTGCTGAACAAGAGTGATGTGACGTTAAAGTGCAGCATTGAAATCATATTAGCTATTTGCCTGGTTATTCGAATCTTTCATGCTTCCCTGTCTACCTAGATTTTCACGCTCCTTCTGAAACGGAATGGGGATTCACAAGCTGGAGGTAAAGCGCCAAAAGGTGCAAATTTCATATCCAGCGGTACATCCCTCATGTTCGGTATTGTTAATTCGATGTCGAACTTTGTAAGCAGAACCGCGAAGGCCAGTAATATTTCATGTTTTGCAAAGTATCTTCCGGGACAGATATGGTCGTCTCCACCGTAGGGGATCCACACGCCTAACAGACCATCCATCGAGAATCGACGCTCTGACGAATTAGCAGTTGATTCTTTGCCATGCGCTTTCTCAGCATTAGTTTCGTTTGCGAATCCAGGACGCCTCCAGTCGGGATCAACGAGGAATCTCTCGGCATCGAATTCTCTTAAAGGCTTCCTTATTGCTCTACCAGCCTGAACCCATGACTGCTCATCGAAAGCCAAGGATCGACTGAACATGACCAGGTAACTGTCCTTCGGGATGGAGTAGCCCGCAACTTTAATATCTTCGTATTCAGCTATGCGACTAACTGCTCTAGCAATGTAAAGGCGTAAAAGTTCGGCATACATTGATTGCAAGAGGGGCTGAGCTGTCAGCTTAGCCATGTCCACCTTAGTGCCGTCTCTATTGATGCATTCGGAGGCTTCGGTCCTCAGCTGTTCAAGGAGAGCAGGATCCCTCAACGACTGTAATATGATCCAAAAGGTGGCAATCACGACATTTGTGGTTGCTCTAGGTTCAATATTAGATAAGTTATACAGTAAATGAACAGGAATCGTGAGTGACCCTTACGTAAATATTAAGCCTAGGTCCTCGGACGCTCGAGCGTCAGCGTTGAATTCTTTTAACTTGAGTGTGTGATTCAGCCTCGTTCTAATGAGTTTTGTGCCGAAGTACAGTTCCCATTCAGGATCCTCGGGTCCAATCTTCGAGCAGTCAGAGTGTTCGTTGGCATATTTATGCCATCGTTTAATACCGTCGATGATTCGCGCGCGCACGCGATACGCCTTAGGATAAAACCATGAAGGAAAGGGGCTGAAAAAGTCTGGGACGTGAGACTGGAACACTAAGAGGTCCTCAACCATTTCTGGGTATGTATTATTCTATCAACGCTCAATCTGGAATCGAGCCTTATGAGACAGACTATTTAACGCGTATGAGACGCTTCCTGGTCACATCTCCCCTTGCCTACCTGTTCTTCTATCCCTTTAGTTGGCATAAGACTACAGCTCCGCTACTATTAGTAACTGTACTTCAAGCAGCCCCTGAGCTCCACTGGCACCCACAAAACCTTACTCCTAGATGGTTGAACGCCTCTGAAGATCACTGAGAGCCGCAACGCTTACAGGCTTAAAGGGCCTGCGCTGTTGCCAATGTACAGTTACCGGTTTTGTGGAGACTGTAGTCTTATGCCAACTAAAGGGATACATCTCTGTTATCTATCAAGCTTTCATTCCTATTCTTCTTTTGGCGTCTCGGAAGTCACGCACGGTATTTCAAATACCTTTGGTGGCCAGTGACGCTTTTAGCTATCAGTAGCTACTTCATATCCATTGGTATAATCAATTACACATGCCTTACCGGATCAATCGATACCTTGATCGAAGAATGCACTTCCAGTCGAATGATCAATATTGGCGACATCTCTCTTCGGGTTAGCTGTGCTCTGGATGTTTTTACAGGTCTTCTTAGTAAGGCCCCTTCTACTGGACTCCTCCCACACCTATTAAGTAGTACCTTCGCATTGCAATATAATCCACAATAGTCATGGTACTTCCCACCACTTTGTTATGGAATGTACATATCCGACCAGTGAGGAAAATCGCAATACTAGGCCTCTTCTCGCTGTCCATTGTAACAATCCCCACTGCTATAGCACGGGTTGCGACTATTACATTGACTAAAATGCCTAATGGAAACGGAGATGTCTCATATCTTGGACTCTGGAGCGCCACCGAACCGGCAGTTGGTGAGTGATTAAACATACAATATAATTCTAGCATTTTCTGAATGCCTACTTATCTATCGTCACATGTCAAACAGCCTTGGTTGTATCTTGTATATCCGTCTTCCCACAATTATTCGTACAGTCATCTCGAAACAAAAAGCGGCCTTTCACGCCTTCAACATATCTTCGGAATATACCACACATCCATTCGAGGAAAAGGGACCGGAATCACCCATGGGATGGCCTTACTGATATTTCACAAACTCAGGACTTTGACGGCACCCGCCTCGCCCCCGATACCGATACTTGATCGCGAAGGTCCCAAGAGAGTCGGGAGCTTGACTTAATCCCTCAAAATCCGCGGCCTGTTGCTTATGTCTATACGGGGCAACCCAATGACTCTATTCTTGTCCCGAAAAATCGGATAATGCAGCAGTTCGAATTCCGTGTTACTGAGCAATGATGACTACTGCCCACCTCTCTAGGTAGCCTGTCTGTCTGTCACAAGGCGGGAACTAAAGAGAAAGGAAGCAATGACATTGTTGTGCGAGGAGCTCTAAACACTCTAGCCCAGGGGTTACGGTGTACATATACGAAAAGCCCTTCGTTTACTTTGGTAGGGTTTCTTAATCCTGTACCCGAATAAGTACCTACTCAGATATACAAGTGGGATTCTCTCTTCTGTAGAACTCGTTCGACTAGAAAGAAAAAAGAAAAGAGAGAAAATTATATTCATTTGTTTCAACACAGGCTTCTTGGTTGTCCGCTAAATGAGCAGACAAAATTCAGGAGCATTTAACAACGGACCTACATCTAGAAAAAATGTTAAGTAAGTTTCGTTACATGCCTAATATATATCATACGTGTCTGTGTTATATTCCGTCTCTATTAGGTAGGTACATAGGTATGGTAATGGCTATTTGAGCGATACGATCTAAGAGCGAGCTCCACCCGTAGACTATTAATATATTTACTAAAGAGGAGTTTTGAAACAGAGGTAATTTTTTAGCGCCTTTGCCAAACTAGAGGGGCTCGCTCGGGGTGAAGCATTTGGAGCAGTAGTACCGCAAACGAGTCAGTCTTGATGAGGTTCATAACTCTTCTTCTTGCATCTTCGAGGCTTTCATCCTGAAATGTGACTGGAGACACCCGCCAATCTTTAAAAAGCACTGCGATCGTCGCCACAAACTCAACCTGAGAGAACTTCCTTCCTGGACAGTCCCGCGTGCCTTCAGACCAGCCAATGAAAGCGCCGCGTTCAGGCATGTTGGAATCCTCATATCCTGGCCTCCCTGCCTTGACCCAACGCAAGGGACTCCATTCAAGCGAATCCGGGCCCCAGTACCTAGGATCTGTCTGAACAGCCCCATAGCTCGGGGCGATCATACTATCCGGAGGAAGGACCAGCATTCTCTTACCAACGGTAAGGGTTTGCGAACGATCGTTGGTCCACTTGATAACGGGGACAGGGGTGTAAAGACGTATCGTCTCGAGCAGAACGGACAAACAACGCTTAAGACGCGGGAAATTCGAGCGATAATCCCATTCACTTACGTCGCTGTCCCCTAGAACGCTCCTTACTTCTTCCGATATCCAATCTTGGACGTCTGGATTTGCCGCAAGGAAGTATAGGGCAAATGTAAGGGTATTGGCAGTTGTATCGTGGCCGGCAAAGTTGAACGCAAACATGTTGCCGTAGATCTCGCTCTCAGTTAGACCACCATCAGTCTTTGCTTCGTCTTGCGACGCACGAATTAACAATGTCATGAGGTTCTGATCGGTCATCCTTCCCTCATCACTAGAGTATACAGTCGTCAATAATTGGTCCTTAAGAATTGCTTCTCGTGGGAACATCACTTACAATGCGCGCTTCTCCTCTTCATACATATTAGTCATGTAAGCTCGAAACGAGACCCATGCCTTATGAACCACCCGAAACTTGTGCGGAAGCCAAGGTTTTGCGATAAATTCGGTACCAAACCCAAGAATCAAGACACAATTCTCCAGTATTGTTTGCAGTGATTCCTTGTAGTTATTAGACACACTGGCAGACTGATCTCTCTCATCGTGTCCAACGAACTTAAAAGACTTTCCGAAGGCGGCACGAGAAAGGATATGGAGAGACAGAGTGCGCACGTCGTCGGCAGTAGTCTTGACGGAGCTTTTCGATGACCAATAACGCAACATATCTCCTGCTAGTGTGATAGACTCGCCCCACACAATCTCGTTGTTCTGCTCATTGAAACAATGAGTCGCTACCCTCCGTTGTGTCTTCCATGACTGGCCTTCCGCCTGTGAGGTTTGATATTAGTCAGCAAATGATGAAGTTCTGGTCAACTAAAAAAGCCTTACAGTAGCTATATTAGGTCCGAAAACATTAAGAATCTCTAGAAGTGATCGGTATTAGTTTCATTGCGATCAAAGAGGTAGGCATTTTAGGTAGTCTAGGCGGTTGACGGATACACGAACCGTTGACAAAGCAAGGCCTCGGAAAGTCGACTCCTCTCCGGAAAACCGACATTAGAGCTTCCGGGTCATTGATGTAGATCCAATTCTTTAAGGGAGTCACCAAAACCCAAATATCACCCATCTCATGGTGCGATCGGTACCTGTCCTCGACTTCCCACCCGCGCCAATTGTACCTAGTAAAGCTGTTGTCGCCATACGGCAGGTGGCGGATAAAACTAAGAACCTTCCTATCGAGAAGTACCCAAAACGGGTTTAGAGGAGAAAAGGGGATGATGCGTATTGGAACGCCGATCGTGCGAGCTGCCGAATAATTTCGCCAGAGGCGTCTGCAGGTGTCGGCTACCCACACAGCCCCGAGAAGGACCGGGACGGCCAGCAATAGCGTAGTATAAGCCATTGTTTAGGAATGTCACAAGAGATATGTTGTGTAATCAAGGTGGTGGTGTCCTAAATGATGACAGTTGCATTGGAAGATGAGATGGTTAAACAGAACAATTCTCGAATCTCAGCCTTTGAAAGGGCTTAAGTCCTTGTGGAACGGAGGTAAGGGATACTATAGAAACCAATTAATTTGATGCAGTCATGATTCGTCAATCTATTTTTAGACGGGTGATATTGGGGAATCACAGAACTCAAGCAGGGCTGCCGCAAAGGTTGGTCCGTCCTGAAGATCCAATCCCTCTTCGAGCGTGAGATCACAATGCTGCACTTCCAACATCACATCAATACCCAACTCCGCATTCACTCCACCCCCATTTAGATACATATCTTGATCTAGGCGTTGTGCTGGTACCTACAACTACAGAGTCACATATTCGCGGCTCAACGAGGCGCTCCATTTGGTAGGTACTTAGGCGCACAGCTTCACAAATTACAGCCTGAAGCAAATAATCCTATCAAGTCCAATCAATCGGGCTCGGCCGAGGGAGAGGATTCATGAAAGGGTTGCGTCGGTCGAAAACTGAGGATGCATGATCATTCGGCCATTCACCTTTCCTTCTATCAGAAATGTTCAGGCCATGGCTCAGGGACAATATTATGTAACTACCTGCTGTCGAGTATATACCGTGAGACCATTCAATACCCGCAACTAAATGCAAAATCAACCGCATCTTGTTCCCCTGTCAACTTCACAGCCTACCTAATAATCATCGTTGTTATGCAATACACTTAGGTAACTATGGTCTTACAAAGTTGAAATGCTGCAGGAACTCTTCAGAGACCTGCCGTCCCCCGTGACTAGCATCCTTCTGCTATCATGCTTTCTTCTATCATGGCACATGTGGACATTCACTGTGAAACCCTGACTATGACCTTCCAGACCGAAGGAATTGCCTTACTGGACACCGTGTAAGTATATCTTAGGGTGTGAGAGGTTCGCCGAGCTAATAACCTCATAATCCTTGGTGCGTTGGAACTACCTATATTTCATAGCCATTAATATGCTACAGAAGTAAAATTCTGACTGCTTTAAGGCCACACTCTCAGCTTCTTCCGGAATTATGTTGAGCTCATGGAAGCAGGCCTGTACGTAGCTGGTGAAAGGTTCTCAGGGGTAACCTAAGCACTGACTGCAGAGACAGCAACTCTATAGGCCGCACACGGGAGCCATTCTCCATACAGCTTTTAGGGAAAAAGCTCTACATCTGCACGCCTCCCACGGACGTCTCGAATATCTTCGATGACACTGTGAGCTTCAACTTTGACAGCCACTTAACTAGTCTCCTGACAAGCTTCGGCATATCGGCCGACGCGCTCAAGCGTGCATGGCATGAGCCGAAGCTGGGAGACTGGTGCTATATCCCGAATAACCCCTTTAACCCAAAGCAAAAGAATCTGATTCATTGCGTCGAGGATATCTACAAATTGCAGCTTCTCCCAGGAGCTCATATGGATGAATGGTGCCGCACCTTTCTAGATTCGGTGCAGGCGTCTCTATGTGGCATAGAAAGCCTAGAATTTTGCACTGCGCAATGTGAGGGCTGCGTCTGGTATGGTGAATGCGCACCTCGTCACGTCTCCCTCTACAAGCTTGTGTCGTTCTTCAACATCCAGGCCACAACTCAAGCCATGTTTGGCCCACATCTTTATGATATTGACTGAGGCTCAATAACACGGCTTCTGCTATCCGCGTTGCGACTCACGAAACAGTCGTGGGGGAGTAAGATCCTCAAGCAAGGCAGCATGATCGTCATACCTTTTCGGCAACTCCACACCGATGAAAACGTTTGGGGGGCCGATGTTTCGCAGTTCAGCCCATCCAGATTCCTCGAAAACAGGAATTGGGCTCGCCACCCGTCTTTCAGGCCGTTTGGCGAGGGAGCAACTCTTTGTCTAGGGCAGGCGCTAGCTCGACAGGAGGTTTTCGGCTTCATCACTATTCTGGTTCATCATTTCCACATTACTCTACCTACTGATACTAAGAGCGCTGAGCAAGAGAAACCTCGGTTCCCGCGGTTGAACTCAATGACCCCATCCTTCGGCTTGAACGGGCCAGTGAAAGGTACGGACATTGTCATTGGTGTTGCGGAAGTGAAAGGATAATTTTCGGGACGAGCTAACTGTTTAGGGGCTGATGTTGGTAGTTTATACCTTCCCCTGCCTCCCGTGTTGGCGCCCTTACTTGAGTTATGTAGTCAAATATACCAATTGGATCCCATTTCGTTAATCGCCCGAGTCCATAACCCGGCCTCGGTGAAAATAATCCATGTACCAACGCACCAACACCGCAATGGCCATGATCGCAGGCCCACCTTTCAGCAAGGATGCGCTGTATTTATAGGACACCTTCCACTAAAACCTCCCGTCCTACAGGTTATAAGTGTACTGGATTATAGCGCATACCTCCCTAAAAGTAAACCACAATCGTGTGACCACCTTTCCCAGCGAGCCTAGCTTAATTGGATGAACCTATCATATACCTAAACACAAGTAAACAAGTTGAGGCGTGATATGAAACAGCCATCGTGGCGTCGCACCTTCTCACCGGTGTGAGGTTGTCATTAGGCTTTGATTAGCTCGGCTGAACGCGGATATATCGGAGCACGCTCCCCCTTTTTTTATGCTAGAGAGCCGGCACTCACCAGCTGTGTGACAGCAATTGAGAGGTCGTACAACGCACCCTGTAAATTTCCGGGTACCAAGATGGAAGGTATCCGTTGAGAAGGTGCGACCCGCACGATGTGGAGTATCTAAGAACGTCTCAAGGCGATTCTCCTAGGACTAAGAACTTACCAAATACACCATCATCCTTCTTGTAGCCCCCCGACGTATCGTTAGATAATACGCTATACATGCAGAGTACGCATGTAGCGCATCCGATCATCTGGTAGTTAATATCCGCAAGTAAGGTTTAATTCAATATCGTAACAGCCTGCCTCTAATTGAACCGTGGCTGATCGCGATATACTTGTTGGGCCCAGCCTGCAGACAAGCGCAATTCAAGAGGAAACGCTCTAACAATTTCACAGGTAGGTAGGTAAGTAGTTTCTTTGTTTTCGATAGACTTCTCTTAAATCTTTCAAGTCTTCAATGTTCATACCTACCAGCATCATATGCAAAATATGCTTGGCGTATGAGAAACCATCACTATCAGACCTTACTTTGGCCTTTTCAATATGGCTAAAACCGATTCATTCTCTCTTAACCAGCCTCAGACAACAAGTGGTTATCTGAGCTCGTGGCGCCTTGCGACCGTCATCGGTAGTCTGTGCCTCGGCATCTTTCTATTCGGACTAGATATCAATATCATCGGTGTTGCTATCCCTCATATTACAACTGAATTCAAATCATTATACGATGTGGCCTGGTATGGCTCTGCGTATATGCTAACCATAACAGCATTCCAACCGCTATTTGGAAACCTGTATAAATATTTCAACGCCAAAATCGTCTACTTAATATCTCTATTCACCTTCGAGGGTAAAGCATTCTCGGTAGCAACTATCAACCCCCCACGCACCTTGTTGCTAATGTTTGTGTATAGTTGGATCTGCGATATGCGCCGCAGCTCCCGTATCCTCCGTCCTCATCTTTGGACGTGCGTTGCTCGGCCTCGGTGCTGCTGGGCTACTTCAGGGGGCTCTTGCTATAATCGGACAGGTCGTCACCGTCGACAAAGTACCACTCTATCAAGGTATCGTGGTTAGCTCAATGGCCATTAGTGTTTGCTTCGGGCCGGTGATAGGTGGTGCTCTCACGGAATATGCAAGCTGGCGTAGGTATTCATGGACCCGAGAATAGTAACTATTTTACTGATATTTTCTCTAGGCTGGTGTTTTTGGATGTAAGGGATACGCGACTGCAAAACATCTATTCACCTTACTAATCGATATATTAGTAACGTACCAGCGGGCGTTTTCGTCATCCTCGTAGTCCTAATCTTCGTGCCCCTCGGTCGTTCGTCGAATAAGGTCAACGGAGCACTACCCCTACGAGAAAAGCTTAGACATATGGACCTTCCCGGCCTCGTTCTTTTCCTTGGGACCATATGCTGTCTTCTTCTTGTGTTAACCTGGGGCGGCCAAACATATGCTTGGAAAGATAGTAAAATCATCGGTCTGTTTATTGGCTTTGGACTCTTACTGATATGTTTCTGTTTCTGGTTGGTGAGACAAGGCGATGTTGCTATTATTCCGCTTAGGGTATTGAAGAAACGTTCGATCTACGTGGGATCTGTGGCCCTCCTAGGCTACGGTATCTTATCTGTGGTTGTAAGTTTAAGACTTCTGAAGATGGACCAATTTCTTATCTAACTGTAGTTCTAGTACGGCTACTATCTCCCGATTTTGTTCCAGTCCGCCCAAGGGGCGTCGACCACCGAAAGCGGGCTCCGTTACATTGCGCTTGTTGGTCCTCAGATTGTTGCCTTGGTAATCGTTGGGGGATTCGTGTCCACCTGGGGCTACTATGTGAGAAATCATGAAATAGCTATCGGTGGATTCTGGCTGACGAAGCTTCTTTAGGTCCCTTATATGATAGCAGGAGGAATCGTGTGTAGCGTTGGGGCTGGCCTCCTCACTACCGTAGGCCTTACCACTCCAACGGTGAAGTGGGCCGCGTATTTAGTCCTTACCGGCCTTGGCCTTGGTATGGCAGCACAGCTTCCCTACACAGCTCTCCAGGCTGTTCTTGAGTATGGCTCACTACCCCAATATTGAGAAATCACATCGAAGGCTAACTTCTTCTAGACCAGGAGATGTTGCGACTGGAAATGGTAGGTTCTTATGGTCTTTTCATGAAATTATTGCTGACCAATAAATAGCAATCGCCGTGTTTTCTTTTCACTTGGCAGGGTATGTATTTGAGGATATTTACTTCCTCCCCCCTCCCCCTTTTCGTTACCTCCGTTTCAGTTTTTAGTGTAGACTAACACCGCGAAGCGCTATCGGTACGGCAATCGGTCAGAATCTCTTAATCAGCGGCCTCTATCATGCGGTACCACGATATACGAATGCTGTCTCTCCAGCCGAAGTCATTCAAGCTGGCGCTACTGGATTAAGCACAGTAGCTACTTCTCCAGAAGTCCTGTACGCCCTACGATCTGCGTACAGAGATGCGGTGCGTTGGACAATCATTTTAGGACTTGCTGGGATCTGCATGACAATCCCGGCAGCTTGTGCGATGGAGTGGGTAAATATCAAAAAGGTGGCGGAGGCAAGACTTCGTGCTCAAGAATCAGAAGTCACTGTCGTTGGCGATTCACATGAAACTTCAGACGGTTCCGAGATAAAGTTGAACCAAACATTCGAAGATGTTCATACCTAAGCCGGTATTGAATCTTGTTCAATTCTTCTTTAGGTATTAACTACTTCACTGTTGGTGGGATGTCCAATTTCAAATTTTGACCTCCGTACACACCTAGGTACCAGATGGAGTGTACAAGCTGGGAAAGTGCTACTTGCACTGTGGGAGGTATTTAAAATCTCCTGTGGAGATTTTAGAGCTTAGAAAACCAACAACAATACAACATTCTATCCCTTTAATTCTTTTCTGTACCCAAGTACCTAATACATAGTTAGGTATCTACATTTTGTCACTTTGCAATTGTGCATATGTATTTTTAATAGACATATCGGTTTATTCCACAAGCTATAACCCTACGGTTTCAACGTGAATCAAATATTAGTGATCACTTATCTACATAGATAGTCTTATTCTTTACTTAGGTACCTACCTACCCAACACGAATAACAGGCACAGTTTAAATCGTGCAAAAATACGTTAGATTTTACTGTATATCTGGATAACACCTTCTGTACCCCAGATTTTGTCAAGACCCACTTTCATCCCACCTCCGGCATCGCACCAAACTTTTCTAGTTAGCCAATCACGATTATTCAATTGTCAATCGTCAAATCGATTGTCGAACTTTTTTTTTTTTTTTTCCTTGTAGTCAATTTATTCATCGTGTGCCAGTTTTCCTGCGATGTCAACCGTGAAGGATGAGGACAGCTAATCTTTTGTGCCGTCAAGGCACAAACCTTCAGGTACGTTGAATCATCGTCAACTCTAGTCTTCCAAAATTAATTCCCTTTGTAGGGACGCATAGCTCGCAGTCGCCAAGCACGCTTCCCACGATCACGATCCTTTGCGACACCTGCATTCGGCAACCCGAACCCACGGTTACCGCCGTATCTTAAATTAGCCCAGAACTATGAAAAGGTCAAGGAGGTTCTAGGAAAGGGCACCGCCCTAACCTTGGCCGAGAAGATTCTCTACAGCCATCTTGACAATGCCGAAGAATCTCTCATGACCAACACGAATGGCGGCCGGAACGTTCGAGGGACAGCAAACTTGAAGCTCAAGCCCGATCGAGTTGCTATGCAAGATGCCTCGGCGCAGATGGCCCTCCTACAGTTCATGACGTGCAACCTACCTTCAACAGCCATCCCGGCCAGCATACATTGCGACCACTTAATTGTGGGCGAACGAGGCGCGAAGGACGATTTAGAATCGGGAATTAAGGTGAATCAAGAGGTCTTCGACTTCTTAGAGTCTGCCGCCAAGAAATACGGGATCGACTTTTGGCCTCCTGGAGCCGGTATCATCCACCAAAGCGTCTTGGAGAATTATGCTGCTCCCGGTTTGATGATGCTGGGAACTGATAGCCATACGCCCAATGCCGGGGGTCTCTCGACAATTGCGATTGGTGTTGGTGGTGCTGATGCTGTTGAAGCTCTTGTCGGTGCGCCGTGGGAGTTGAAGGCCCCTAAGATTCTGGGAGTGGAACTGAAGGGGAAACTCAATGGCTGGGCCTCACCCAAGGATGTTATTCTCAACCTCGCCGGCCAGCTTACCGTCCGTGGTGGTACCGGTTTCATTATCGAATATTTCGGGCCGGGCGTTGAAACGCTTAGTTGCACGGGCATGGCGACTGCCTGCAATATGGGTTGGTTCATCTCTTTGATGGGGGACCGTGCTATTACTATCTTGCTAACAACATAACTAGGAGCTGAGGTCGGCGCTACGACTTCCATTTTCCCTTTTAGCCCAGCTCACGTCCGGTATCTAGAGGCTACACATCGTCACGATATAGCCGCAGAAGCGAAGAAGTTTTCCGATATTGTTCAGCTCAGGGCCGACCCAGATGCGAAATATGACGAGATCATCACCATTGACCTATCCACATTAGAGCCCCACATCAACGGACCCTTTACCCCTGATCTCTCTACGCCACTTTCCCAATTCAAGCAAACCGTCCAGGAGCAGAACTGGCCCGACAAGCTCTCGGCAGGCCTCATTGGTAGCTGCACAAACAGTTCTTATGAAGATATGACACGTGTGGAGGGTATGGTTCGTGAAGCCATGGAGGCTGGTCTAAAACCTACATCCGACTTCTATATTACCCCCGGCAGTGATCAAATCAGGGAGACACTACGACGAGATGGTCCTTTAGAAACGTTCAAGGAGGCAGGCGGCACACTTCTGTCGAACGCCTGTGGTCCCTGTATCGGCCAGTGGAAGCGACGTGACGGTGTTGAAAAGGGGACGCCTAATGCGATTCTCACCTCGTTTAACCGTAACTTCCGCGGCCGCAACGACGGCAACCCCGATACCATGAACTTCCTCGCCTCGCCCGAGATCGTGACTGCCATGACTTTCGCCGGCACCACCACATTCAACCCCATGACCGATTCTCTCCCCACTCCATCCGGCAAGGAATTCCGCTTTACTCCCCCTTCAGGCCTCGAGATCCCCGCCCAACGGTTCGAAACAGCACGAACCGAGTTCCTCCCCCTCATTCAAGCTCCCGACGCATCGGTTACTGTAGCCATCTCGCCTACCTCGGAACGTCTAGCTCTCCTCGAGCCCTTCGAACCCTTCCCCGCCTCCGACCTATCGGGCCTCCGCGTGCTAGTCAAGGTCACGGGCAAATGCACGACGGACACCATCTCGGCGGCAGGCCCGTGGCTCAAGTACAAGGGCCACCTGCCGAACATCAGCGAGAACACGCTCAACACGGCGGTCAACGCGGAGACGGGCGAGGTCAACGTCGCGTACGACCTCGACGGCTCCAAGCACACGATCCCCGAATTAGGTAAACGATGGAAGGAGGCCGCGCGCCCGTGGCTCGTGGTCGCGGAGCACAACTACGGCGAGGGCAGCGCGCGAGAGCACGCGGCGCTGCAGCCGCGGTACCTGGGCGCCAAGATCGTGCTGTGCAAGAGCTTCGCGCGCATCCACGAGACGAACCTCAAGAAGCAAGGGGTCGTCCCCCTAACCTTCGCCGACGAGGCCGACTACGACCGGATCGGCGCCGGCGACGAGGTCGATACTGTCGGGCTTTACGATATGCTGCGCAACGAAGGCAAGGGCGACGTAGCGCTTAGGGTTAAGAAGCATAAGACGGGCGAGGAGTTCCTGGTCAGGACTAAGCATGCTGTTAGTAAGGATCAGGCTGGGTTTATATTGGCGGGGAGCGCGCTGAATTTGTTGGCGAAGATGGGCCGGTGATTTGGGTTGGGGATGGGGGGAGGTGAGGTAAAGTTAAGAGCCTTCGGATGGGAAGGAAAGGGAAGGGAATAGCTAGGACAAGATCGGTTAACTTGGCTTAGCTTGGGTACCTTTACGTGCGGAAGTGAAGGGAGAAGGAGGGGTCCGCGGTTGGTTTTCGAGTAACCATGCGCGTATATAAGTGCATTTGCATAGGTGCTCTCGGCGGCGGATATGGAAAGTTCGGTCGGCTATAGAGAAAATGAAAAAAGATGAAATACGATGATATGTTGCCTAGCTACCTAGGTACCTAATATGACAGACATCCACTGATTGCATTATTTGCCTGTGTATGTTGGTACTCATACTAATGTACGAATATCCTGAGTCTTCATACTGCTAGATGGGAGAGGCTAATAACGAGAAAGAGGTAATTATTGGAAGTTATTAGATAGGTACCTATATAATCCGCCCCCTAAGGTGATACTCTCAGAACTCAAGTGTCCTGATACGAATCCAAACTAGCTTCTAGCTGAAGAATACAGATGCTTCTTACGAACTGGTGAACGAGCATGATTTGCTAAATCTGGCAAGGGTGGTTGCCACTTAGTTATAATGTAATAAGGTTGAAGTGTGATTTGGGCATGCTAAATCGATGGACCACTAGGTAATTTTAGAGTTGGTTTACGTGCATTTACGACATTAACGGACATTGGTGATAGAAAGAACACCAGGCGCCTTCTACAGATAACTTGATGCGTTCGTGTATCTTATCGACCATGCACTGGGCAATCATCGATGTAGTCAAGCTGAAGTTTCTCGTATTTCATCTTCTATTTTAAGCAATTCCGATCCTGTTCAATCGGGCGATTCAAAGTACAAAAGCGTTTCCTCCTATCGTGTAATGCAATCCATGTAATGCGATTTCCAGCTTCATGATGTACTCAGATCCTGCAAACAAATGTACGTATGATCCATCAAGATCATAGCCCGCCTAGCTGTTCAAAGCAGCATATATGGTGACGCCCGACTCCGAATCCTATGTACAAATCTGTGTTAAATGATCCCCATCTTCTGGGCAATCACTGCAGATAGTAGACTATGTCGGTTGGCCAAAATGCCAGTTGGTTGTTTTCGGGCTCCTCGAAGCATTTCTCTGGTCGAACGGATCCTCGCCCATCTCATAATCGCCCTCTTCGTCCAGTCGGTCCGGTTCCCCTTCCTTCTCTTTTAGCAGCACATTGCTTGAGGATGAACTTCGTTCCTTGCGAGCTTTGAGTTCCTTGAAATTCGCCCGTTTATGCGCATGGTAATACTCTGCCATTTCGTCTAGCTCATCCAACGCCGCCAACCACTGGGGATTATTCTTTACCCGCTCGGGCAAATCAGTGGTAATATGACCTTCTTCTAGTTTCCTCTTGGCAGCACGTGCCGCTGCTCGGCCGAAATTGTCCTTCCTGTTTCCCCGTCCACGGATCTCTCTTTGCTTCTCACGGTGCCATGTCTCGGAACGAGGATGCGACCAGTGGATCCTCGGGTCAATGTGTGCATAGTGAGTTGCTGGGCGAGTTGGACGTGGCGGTTGTCTCCACGGAGGCAGACCAAACAGAGCTGAGCCAGGTCGAAATGGCTCATTATTCTTACCATATATATAAGAGTCAAACTTCTTGGAGTCATGTTCTGATACTAGCATTTGTCGCTTCTTTTCTGGTTTTGGTAGTGCCCGATCTTGATATTGAACCATGGACCTAAGGCTGGGTTCGGCAACTAGGGCGTCGACAGGCTTTTTCACCTTGCCAGTCTTCCCACTACTAGCCGACTCCGTAGACGGAGACATCGGCACGGCATTGTGACTCGATTCTGCCGAACAGGTGTGCGAGCTTGCCACATGTGACTCCTGTGTCTTAGAAAGATTTGATTCTTTGCTTTGTGATCGATATGTACGGCCAGCAACATTTACAGGCTCTGGTTGAGATGGTAACGCATCCGAATGGTTGACTCCGTTTTCACATGGGGCACCGTTGATTCTTGGTGTGTGAGCCGTCCTCGAGCCTTCAATTATTTCCTGCACAAAATGGTTCGTCTGGGCACTACTTGTGAGTACTGGCCCAGTATTATATCCATTAGTGCTTGATAGATTCGTTGTTGTAGACAAACCAGGAACGAGAGGTGGTGCAGAGGAAAGTAACAGTTTTTCGGGCCGGGGTGCGATGTTGATATTGTTCGGAGCCGGCCGGGGTGTTAAGTCTGGATCTGTACTGCGTGCATAGCTCTTCCCGTCCCGGTTTGAAGCACCCACATTCCCGTTAGGTCTCGCCGGCTCTTGCTTAATAGTGGTGTTTGCTCCTGACTTTCCTTGCCCAACCCGAGCATAGGGCTCCGCAGTGGGGCGCTCTCGGTCTTTGCGGGTATCGGCGTGCGAGGCTTGGCGGCCGTTGCCAGGAGGTTGGGGCCGAGGCTCATCGTCCTGAGTAGGATCAATAACTCCGTTGGTTGAAATAACATTACTCCCTACATTTTTTCGTAGACCTTGCTGCTTGGATATTTGCGGGTTATTTAAGCTTTTTATCGCTGGAAGGCCCTGATCCTCGCGCGGCTTAGGCCTAGGCGGCACCTCCAGCGATTTCGGGATTCCCTTCTTCGGGCGAAGGGCAAAGTCGGACGCTACAGATTCTCCATCGCGCTCCTCAAAATCTACCGGCTTGAATATAGAAGACGAATGCGAGGCGCTCTTCGTAAATGGAGGCACATAGTGACTTCCTAGACCTGGTTTATCTGCATCGTTGGATAATCGGGGCTTTTTGAGAGGTCTTTGGTCAAATAGAACGGCTTCACCGACAGGGATACGATCTAAAGATGACCGAGAACCAGAGGTTCCGGCCACGGAAGGACTTTGCTTCGGCCTAGAAGAGCTGGCAGTTTTCCGGGCGGTTTTCTTATCGGACAGCTGTTTCTTCTCATTTTTCTCCTTCGGGGGACCCAAGGGTGGAAGAGGAGTCTTGACAGTAATGGCATCTTCTAACTTCTCTTCTGGAGGGGCCATAGCAGCTAGGTTTATGTTAGGTTATATTCATGATAAATATGATGATGTTTGGTTACTGGGGAAATACTAACCGCGTGTGGAAGCAGGTGTGGCAACCGTTGCAGGCTTAGGCAAATCTTTGCCTTGGGTATGCTTCGCACAGTAGGGCCCTTTGATAAATACAGTGGCATCGCATTCTTCGATTTGACACTGCTTCAGAATAAATTGATAACCCCCCATGGTTCGAAGAGAGAATAATAATTCAGTATGGGAAGTTGTCACACCAAGTCTGAGGCGACGGTACCACAAGATGGAGGCTTAATTATGCCCCAATACAAAGGCAGTCGCGCAGACTCGTGAAAACGACGGTGCGATAATTGTATTCTTTTCTTGGAGGTTTGTTGAAATGGTGTCATCTTAGCCGAGTTTTGCCTCGTATAATGGAGACTGGGGAACCTTTCAGCGATTACACTAAAAACTATGTACGTGATAACTATAGCAAGTTAATAATTAAGTCCGGCGCATACAAGGTCCACTATTGATGGTCGAATCATTAATTGAGGAAGGAGGGGCAGCAAAAAGATTGATGACCTAAGGTAATTTAGGTAAGAGCATTGAGAGGAAGGTATAATTAGACTCTGGACATTAGGAAAGACCAAAGCTACTTGAGGTAGATAAGATCGGCTGGTGGTCAAAAATGAAGAAGGGACCATGGAAACGAATGAAAAATGGCAGGTGCTCACTTACTGAAGCAGCCGAGCAAAATCGGCACCGAGAAGTGCAAGCTATGATTACAATAATGATGTTGATGGATTAAAAAAGAAATAAAAGATGAATAATTCCTCTTTATAAGATAAGAATGGCGTATGGATGATTAAGGCAACGGTGACGTCGCTTTTCCATATATAATATCAAATCTTGACAATGTATTATATCCACATATACGTTGGGAGGAATGAGAAAAGAGATCCTATAGACGGAGTTAGGTAAGACAACGAAGTGCAATAATCTCGACTAGAAAATTGGTGGGGTAATCAATGAAACGATAGGCTGGTCTCAGATCTTTTCAGTTTTCATTTTTAAGTCATCAACCTGCAGGAGACATCGGCTTCGAACCCCAAACCAGCGCTCATGATCCCGTCGGGCGCCAGCTGGCGCCTGCGGGTATTCTCCGCAGCCTTTGGCCCTGCCTCATGGGGGCGATGCGAGGCTGGGCTCCTATATAGCGGAGCGTGCAGCGGTGATCTGCAACTCATTTTCCTTACATCCCAGACTACTAGACGGGCCAATGAATTGAACGTGGCGAGTCCTATGTAGATTCGGGTATTACAAAGGCGCGTTTTCGAGTAGAAAACTAGGTTGGATTTGAGGCGAGTTATAGAGTTCGAAACCAGAAGTCCCAGACGCAGTCTGACCTTTTACCAGTTTTGGTCATCATCGACCAGCCATATCGCAAATGGAGATGAGGAAACTCGCTATGAGGAGTTTCCAATGAAGTAATGGAATACAACATACCAACAATGATTAATACCCTCGCAAGTTCCGATCCAGTGTAGCTACAAGGCTTCCTCGTCGTCATTATCCGAAATTGATGAAATTAGCTTGCCGAACTCAGGAATCGGGATTCGATACCAAGATAGACGAGATCGCGCTGGTGGCGATTACGAGACGCGCGGAGCAGAAAAGATTTTGCTAATCTTAGCAGACCGCTTCCATCAAACCATTTCAGCTGCTTCGATAACTCCGAATTCAGTTGTTTTATGAAGAAACGAGATGTGGTGTTAGTGAGATAGTTGAAATGGCTGGCGCGTGGAAGGGGAATTTACTAGAAGTGGTAAATGCTACAGTAAATTATGAGAATTAGTGTCGGTGATAAAGCAAGGGTCCGTGCGTTATCTTGGTGTGGAGAGTCGGGTATCGGAATATTATAATAACGCTCTTTCATATTTAAGACCCAGTTTCTTAACTAATACTAGGTAGTTCCATTCCTATTTTTCATCAGCTATTTCTTCAATGGCCTGTGATAGAATACTTACCTACTCAAACTTCAAAATCAGAACGTGGTTGTTGTGTTGGACTTCGAAAACAACATACTCGTTTAAGCGTAGACTAGGGTAGGAAGATTGATAGGATTAGGTACCTACCGATCGAGATCCCAGAATACAACTATCCACTCTTAGAACTCCGGACTGTTGCAATTGTTGGCAATTAGGCTGGCCGCGGCTCGGTCTGTACTACTCAAAAAGCTTGGCATCATACGCATACCAGGTAGCTGACATGCATGATATTTCATCTTGTGATGACCATTTAATGTGTTGGTCGACAGGGCTTTCAATTATTCTATATTTTGAAATCAAATTTCCATCGCTTAGTTCGCTAAATTGATATCTATGCAAATATTTATATTGCCCCTTATCAACTGCAACAGTAATTATTCTAGTACATGTACATCACTTGATGGAATTATTAAGTTGAAGGGAGTTTTTACCTAATAAAATGGTAAATTCCGGGGTTTGATTCAGCTGGAAAGTTATATCGGCCCTGTGGCTTCTTGCCAATTCTCTTAATAATGCTGTTTTATGAAAACATAATTCACCTAAAATGTCTAGATACCTAATTATTAGTTCCAGGTCATCTTCTGGTACTATAGAAACTGCAAGCAACAATTCCATCTGGCATTACAAATACATAATAGTCACTAATTAGCCATATCTTCCCAGCATTTATGTTGCATGATTCTCATCAATAGATTCACCATCATTACTTACCTACCTACAATCAACTTATTTTCTACATAGGCAGAAATCTCATATAATTATAACGGTCATTAACCTAGGTACTCTTCGAATTGAGGAAAAGAAGACGATTCCCTCTCTCTAAAAGTGCCCATGCCTAATATTAGCCCAAGAGATTATCTTTTTCCTGGTTATACCTCAAGTTACACCAAGACTAGTCTCGGCACAGAGGATCTTGACATCCATCTTTTCACAGGTAGTTATAGGAAAAATTAATGGCCTAATTCATGGACTCGATGGCGTATAGCTTCTATAATTATAGCTAGAAAGAGCGACAACCGATGCTCAGCTCTTCCTATCTTTGATATTTCAAGTATCCGTCAAACCTTGTTACTTTCTTATTAGTAAATAAAGAATGGCGAAGAATTATTCCTAATTGAGGGGAAGGGCCACGTAAACTGAGGCCTTAGTCATAGAGATACTGGTGTGATATGTGGGGTTGCAATATACGCTGCAGAATGGACAAGATTCTAATTGGACGAGAATGCTAGGTACATAGGTAGGTAAAGATTCTTCCAAAGTATGATAGTTGATCGGCTTGTGAACCGGAGTTGCGGACACAAAATTATGGTGTTGATATAATACACATTATTTATCTTACAATATTTGGTAGAACTAGGTATTCGGGACTACTTCATGTCTAAACACGTATACGTTGGGCAGCAGATAAGGATGAATTACAACAATCCAGATTATCTCGTATATGATATGATTTTAATACACGCAAAGTATAAGTACACATACGAAGATAACCACCTACTTATATACCGGACACATGACGTCCCAAACCAACCTTAACCCTAATCCTGCAATTCATACAACTGGCTCACAGCCCTAAGCCCGTCCTTCGAGTACAAGGCCAGGAAATGCGTAGTATCGCGATTGAAAACACCCGGCCAGTGAAACGCGGCCTCGCCGGTGACCACGCTCGCAGACCAGGTGCTCCCGCCGTCGACGCTAGTGATTACCTTCATCTGGGCGCCGTCGTACCCGCTTGTCCCGTTTACGTCCTCGTTGGTCATGAAGCTCGCCACTAGGGTACCCCACACGTTATACACTTGCGGGGCTCCATCTAGCTTGCCGTTCCGCGCCGTGTACAGCCGGTTACGCTGACCCCGCGACAGCCCGTCGTCACGTGAGAGCACGCAGTCTACCGAGAAGGGACCGTCCTCGGTATTCTCGAATACGGCGCTATATAAGATGTTAGTATGATAGAATACGGGACATATTAAGAACCTACATGAGGTTTCCGTTATTGTCAATAGGCGCAACACCAACCATACCATCTCGAGACGTCCGGTCGCCTCCCGAGACGGCAATCCAATTCGACCAAGTCGAACCACCATCCGTGGAATATTTCATGAGGTTATCCTGGTCGGCAGCGCTGTTCTCGGCAGAGTAGTAACACTGTAAAGATCCATCTCTCGCAATACGGAGGAAGGGCTCCCAAAGGCCGTTGACGCCGGACGGGACGTGCTCCTCAACAGTGGACAGGTACTTGAATGTCTTGCCGCCATCATCTGAGTACGAATTTGAGATGCGGAAATAAGTGTAGTGCCAATCGTCGCCGGTGCGGTCGTGGTTCCGGTATGCGTATAATATGCGACCGTTAGGTAACTGGAGTGGCATCGCGTTATTGATATCGTGAGTCGCAATCTCACCCGGGAAAACTTCACCGAGGTAATCCCACGACCGGGCGCCGTTGGTAGACCTCACCACGCGTAGGACATGTTCGCTACCATCCATAGCGACGTAACCGCCGATCAGGCTACCGTCGTTCATGAAGCTAACACTGACATATTCGGAACTGGTATCGATCACCGCTGGATCGGCGGCCTTGACTACACGGCCCGGTAACCGTCTTTCGAGGGAGGCCGGAAAAGTCAGGGCTACTGTAGGTAACTAACTCAACAACGACAAGCGCCGCGATGAAGATCGTAGAGTCCATGATAGCCAATACCCCATGCTTCAAAGCCAATGCAGGTCATGACATACTATAGGTATTCATCTCCACAAGGGCTTCGCATAGATTATAATATAAGTGTCGGCTTCATCCTCAGGCCTTGAAGCACACCATCACGGTAACCAAACTCCAAGGAAGGTAATGTCGTTAACCCTAGAACTGGCATTGCACCATGCTCAATCTTTCCATTTCGAAAGCCCTTTGCCGCTGCAACGAAGCCATCACGAGGCCTATGAGCCAAATAGGATAGAGCTCGGTATGCAAGGCTTTATTGTCAAGGGCGACTATCCAAATTTGGCAATATGGTGTCTTTGCGCTACCTATAAGCTGAGTATAGTAGAGTCGTTATAGGCCGTCGAAATCTCAGGTAAGTACATCGGCCGAATCAAGAATCGAGTTCCACCTGTTTTAGCAAGGCGGTGGTGGTTCTCATTTGAGAAGGTAGTGCTGCAGGCTCGGCTTTAATAGCCATTGAAACTTCGCCATTCCCGAAGGCCGCAATGAGATGCTTGGTCGCCGCTTAATTATTAAATTTTCAGTTATCTTGGAAACACCTACCTCTATTAATGTATGAAGCAAGTATTCAAGATCTATAGTCCATTATGATTCTTCTGTAGGGGTTGAAGGATGCGGAAGTAAGCAGTTGAAGGAACGTTTCAATTAACGCAAGACTCCTTGGTCTTCATGATGTCCCACATGCTCCAACTTGGAAAATGTAGGACTTGTAAGATGAACAAGGCAACATATAATAGCATTATCACATTCGAGTCCGAAAACAATATTCCCAAGCCAGTTGCTCTCTTCTCGCCAGCACGTGTTCGGCTCCCTTCCTGGAGCAGAAGCGAGGCGTGATTAACCATTTCGCGGAATCCGAATCCAGAGTCTAGAGACCCGATCTTAGCCTAGCTTCAAGTGAGCTAACGGACTGGAGATTCTCGTCGCTTGACGTATGCTAATTCAGAAGAACTGGAATCCAAAGGGTAGCAAGATAGTAGAATCAAAAGAAAGCGCACAGAACCGCAATTTATATGGTCGGAGGAATGCAGCACTGCATACACCATCATCCAATCTCTTGTTCAGTGAAACCATCGTCAAATTTAACGGGAGGAAATTGAAACTTGACAGGGCCGAAGGAAACCTTGAATAAAGCTCAAGAAGCACGAAAGTCACGTGCATTCATCTAGACCAAACCTTCCACAGCCCCGCATCCAATCAGATGTCTCCTGATTACCTAGGGCACTAGGGGCCAATCTTTAACCCGATCCGCTTTTCCCTGCCAGTTCCAGCCACGGTCACAGCCCACCCCATCGGCCCATTCCGATCACACCACCCAACTCTCGCATCGAACGACGCAGCAGGCCAGAATGCCATAAGCAGAAGTCCAACGGCCTGATGTCTCGCTCTCTTCAGCTCGAATGCGGTAAGGGCTTAACCACTCATCTCCGGTCCCTTTTCGCCGCCTCGCTCCGTACCACTGGAGAATAGCCGCATGGCGTGACGAGGCTCCAGCTCACCAGACACCAAAAAATGTTTCTGGGAAAGCTTTTTTTTTTTCGTTTAATGCCAATCTGACATGACAGGCCTGTCAGTCCCAGCAGACGCAGGATGCCGTCATGGGCCCTCCTGCCAAACCATGCCGCTGGATTGCGCCGCTAACCCGGGATCGGGCCCTCGTCTCGTATGTTCAGCAACCTCTAGAACTCTCTGTAAGGGGCGGACCGCGATGTGTTCCCAGTGTCGTGAGTAAGATTAGGTGACCGACGTACCGAGTGTCTTTGCCCGTGATGTAGTGACCCTAACTAGTATAAGAGAACCCATAAACTTCCCTCGTAAGACCAAACAGAAACTCCTATCATCACAGCAACATAGACATCTTCACTCATCATATAAACTTCATTGCATATATATACATTTTCGTATATACATATCAAACCATCTCCGCTCCGAGCTCGAAGTATATCTAGAGTAACATAGACTTCTCAACTCTTAACGACCTCTTACGATCATATCATCTCATCTCATCATCGAGTCTGTTTCGACACTTGTCTTATTAGACCTTATCATCTCACATAAAATAAAAAATGTCAGCCGCCATCGCCTCCCGAGCCCAAGCTCCCCTATCCGCCATCATCAGGCAAGCCTTTAAGGGCCTGCGACAATCTACGCGGATCGTCGAAGGCATTGAGGCTCTACCCTCTGCCGGACCATCTCAGCGCGCCGACTGGGGCCGCATCGCCAGGGCACGTGTTGGTGTTGCTTCTATGTAAGTCTAACTTGCCCCTAATTACCCACCACCAACCACTACAAGCCGGAATAAGACTTGGCTAACATGACTGGCAATAATAGATACTTCCCCATGATGGGCACATTCCTTACCTGGCCTCTGATATCCAGTCACTTCCTTGACGGCCACATGGGACAATTCTAATTTCGGATCTGTTCACCTTCACGTTCATGTTCATACTATCATGGGCTATACGAACCACACTACATACCGCACACCATAAACCATAAGAGCCATCCGTCGCGACGATTATACAAACTGTATATATAATACCTAGTATTCGGCCGGGCGTTTTTGGTCACCAGAAGAAACCTGACACAGGTTTAGCATCATGACATAAGGAGGCGTTCCGGTTTAATTAATCAATTTGGAGAAAGGCCAACGCGCCGAGTAGGAGGAAGAGGGGAACGCAGAGCAGAAGAAAAGAAATCATCAATCAGAGTTAATCGTACAGCATATGCTATATCAGGAGATCTTCCAAAATTGTCGATTACCTACGTCTAGCCTCTTCTCTATGTCTTATCTTCCTTTGTATATATGATGCCCATCTACCTAGGTACATAGTATGCTACAATACCTTATGAGATAACAGTACCATTCACGGCGTGAGCCTCAGCAGAAATATTCTCAGCACCCGTCGCAGCAGCACCCTTTTCATCGTCGTACTCGAGATACCCGAACCTCGCCTCAGGCACATGCAGCTTCCTCGCCTCGCTCGTATCCTGGAGGCCGGTACGCCTCAGGACCTCGACGGTCCTCGCGTAGTTCTCCTCGGCGTACTTCTCCGCGTCGAAGCCCAGCAGCCAGGCCTCGCGCCGCAGGCGCATGCTCTCGGGGTTCTTCTTCGCGGCCTCGAAGTCGGCCTTGTGCCAGATGTCCCGCGTCTGCTCGCCCGTCTTCTGCGCCGACTTGACGCGCTCGTACCGGATCGCCTCGAACGCCGCGACGGCCTCCTGCACGTGTCCCGGGCCTCCGCTCTCGCGTAGGCAGACCGCGATCGTGACGCCGTCCTCCATGGCCTGCGAGGCACCCTGGATTGACGTGGGCAGGAACGGGTGCGCCGAGTCGCCGATCAGCGCGATCCGTCGGCCCTTCGAGATCCACGTGGGCAAGGGGTCTCGATAGACGAGCTTCCAGTCGATGAGCGGGCTCGGCGTCTTGTCTAGGATCTTCTGGACGACGGGGTCCCAGCCCTCGAGCACCTTGCGCGCGTCTTCGAGCGGCGCCTCCAATTGCCAGCTCTCCTCGATGTCGGCTTCGTCCTTGTGCGTGCACACCCAGGAGAAGTCTTTTCCTTTTTTCATGCACCCTGCGATGAAGTGCACGTCTGGCCCAAGCCAGGCGACGTGCTTGTCGCCGCCCTCTGTGAAGTACTTGGTATCGGGATCCTTGGCGATCTCGTCGGCGCTAAACCAACTGCGATATACGGCATACCCGGACGGTTTCGGCGCGTCCTCGAATCCGAGTACGATCTTGCGGCCTTTGCTGCGCACGCCTTCGGCCGCAACGACCACATCAGCCGTAATCCGCTCGCCGTTTTGGAGGACCACGCCGGCTTGTTTGTCATCTTCGAAGTAGTCTTCGACCCGTGCGCCAAGTCGGATGTTAACTCCGATCTCCTTTGCATGGTTGTAAACAATCTCATGGAACTCGCCGCGATGGCCGTCGAAACGAATGCCGAATTCCTTATCTTCGCCTTCCCAGTACTGATTAAACAGCGTTTCGCCTTTCCATGTCTTAAGCGTGATCGCGTCGGCTCGCATGCTCAATGGTTCCAACTGCTCGGCTACGCCTGGCCACCGGCAAAACAGCCGCGATGAGTTGGGTCCGAATGAGATGATATCCCCGAGCAGCTTGAGCTCTGGGAATTTCTCTAGCACCAGCACATCGTGGCCTTTACGCTGGCATTCGATGGCTGCGGTCAACCCCGCGAAGCCAGTGCCCACCACAATCACCTTGATGCCAGTCTTGGCCGGTTTCTGTGTATCAGCCATCTTCCTTGATATGTCGTTTGTCTTGCTTATTCTTTTTCTGCCGATATTCTTGCTTTCTTAAACCTCGGGATTCGTGGAATATATGCATATCGTGGATACCGTTTGAGTTGCCCTCGGGGATAATTACGTGGCTAGATTCCACCCTAACCGCAAATGCTTGACTTCCTCCACAGCTCGACCAGCATAGACAGGGCGGCATATGTCCTTCTACTCGTGCATTGCTGACTCGCCGCGAGGCTCTCTGTTTCTCCTTGAAACTAGCCATATTAGAGCCAATGTTCCCCGCATCCGGACTCCAAGAGGATTGTCGGCAGTTACATCGAGACCCCTGGAGTGCAGCGGATGACGATGTGTAGGCGATGTGTAAGCATCGAAATGATCATCCTGTGAAGTACTTTAGAAGACCTCCATCAGCCTTTCGCTAACAATAACCAATAAGAGGCTGAGCTGCTCATTAGGAACTAAACTAGACAAAACACCTGAATTCTAACTAGGCTTTTCTCTCTACCGAATTTCGCGGGGAAGTTGACGAAGCTTTTTAGTTCCCCATAGGATACTTGTCAAGGTGCATTTCCCCATCGCGGAGTATTTGTTAATCAGGCTTAGATCGTGCGGAGTTTTGTAGATCTGGGCTCAATGCGTTGTGAGTGGCGATGGGGGTGGCTCGATGCTACCCTGATGCAGGAGTATCATTTGAAACCCTTGCCGGAGGGGATATGTAGTCAGTGCTTATGTATCAGTATGAATCAGGATGGATTCTCCAAGTCTCGTCAACGTATATCAAATCTAACGTCCCCTGAGACGCGTTCAAAAGAGCGACGTCAATTGTTTTTCATCAAATCATAGAGCATTGTATTATTATTCGTGTCTCAACAGGTTGAGAAAATGCCTTGGGGAATTCTTGAGGATACGCATATGGACCATGTCCCTGGCACAAGTATGGCGATACCCCCAAGATGATAGAGATTGACAAGACGAGTACTAATCAAAATTTCAGTCATACTTGCCGATCAGTCTGACGTGCCGGAGGAATACCGAGATATCTCTCGAGATCTACTGAAGCACGGTACCGGAAAGCATTCGCATATCATATTGTCTCCTCAACCAACTGACTCTCCCAACGACCCTCTGAACGTAAGCTCTAGGCCCTGAAGAAATTTGAAGATCAAATACTTACAACAGTCAGTGGCCAACGTGGAGAAAAGATGTTATTCTCGTTATCGTCGGTCTATCCGCCGGTGTTGTCGGTGCATACGGCCCAATGCTTTCACCAGGATTCGTCGAGATCTCTGCAGCGCTCAATATAACGGTCAATATGTTATCGCAAGCAACGGCATGGGTGGTCTTGATGATCGGCCTCTCGTTGTTCATATTCAACCCCCTGGCTAAAAAGGTTGGGCGGCGACCGGTATATATATTATCCTCGATAATCATGCTTTCTGGGAGCATTTGGGGAGCTCTTGCGAAAGATTATAGCAGCTTCCTGGGCAGCAGAATCTGGAGCGGTTTAGGCATGGCTCCGTATGAAGTGCTTGTTCAATGCACGATCGCAGATACATATTATGTGCACCAGCGTGCCACTAGAATTGCGATCTGGAACATGTTCTTGGTTCGTCTTCTTGTACCCCTGTAAAATTCAGTAACTAAACTTGTCAGTTATGCGGTATCAGCGGTGGCGCCCTCATTGCTGGTTATATCATCCAGGTAAATCGTTCTAAAGGCTGTGATTGCAACTCTCTAACAGGATTTATAGGATCAAGGTTGGCAATGGACTTTGATATGGTGTGCTATTCTTTTCGGCATACTTCTTCCTCTAGTCATCCTCTTCGTTCCCGAGACGGCATATAGAAGAAAGTCACTTGAACAGCAACTAGCAGCGAAAGGCGTTACTGTCCGAGACGCAAAATCAGAGACTTCAGAGAAGAAAGAGGCGCCATATGAGCAAGACGAAAGCGCGAAAGCAGAAGCAGTAGAAACTGGAGTGGTGACAGAACGCAAAGACTCGTACTTACGAAGCTTGAGGCCGTGGAGTGGCATCTATACTGATACGCCTCTCTGGAAGATTTTCCTGCGTCCGATGGTGGTTTTCTTCTATCCGGCTGTCCTCTGGGGATTCTTGCTTTACGGCATAACGTTGTCCTGGATTGTTGTCTTTAGCGTTGTAAACGCTGTGATCTTCACGGCACCACCATATAACTTCTCAGTTTCCGAAACTGGGCTGATTTCGCTGTCCCCTTTCATCCTCACCCTCATTGGGGAGGTTATTTCTGGTCCAATGAACGACTGGATTTGCATGTATCTGGCCAAGAAGAACCGAGGAATCTATGAGCCCGAGTTTCGACTTCCGCCAATTATTATCTCATGCTTAGTTGGCATCGTGGGCTTCTTCGGATTCGGTGCCACCGTCCACTTTCAAACACACTGGACCGGGCCCGTTTTATGTTTTGGATTGGCAAACATGAGCCTTGCCTTGTCTAATGCCAGCGTTTTCGGTTATATCATCGACTCTCATAAAGAGCTGAGCGAAGAAGGTACAGCATTCCCATTGCCATAACCGATGATTTCATGTGCTAACCGCCATGGCTTGCAGCATTTGTGGCCATCAATGCCCGAAACTTGCTTACTTTTGGACTGACCTATTTCATCAACGATTGGCTGGCGAAGGATGGCCCCCTAAAAGTGTTCAATGTGCTTGGAGGCGTGTTTGTCATCGTCAATGCATTCACGATCCCATTGTGGATCTTCGGGAAGCGAATTCGCAGCTACATTGCTAGAAACAAGACCTTGCATGCATTCATGCACGAAGATCAGAAGGATTGATGGTATGGCATAGATATTATTAGGTGATGAGTTAGAATATACGATAATATAGGGTGATATAGAATCGCATGAATTTATTTGAGTGATGATAAGAGTGAAGACAAGATGGAGATAGAAATGAATAAGGTAATCCCACATATTGGAAGACTTGTGTAACAGCAGGGATCGGAGGGAATGAAAAGTGGTCTGTGCATAGGGTTTAGAGCTTAGACCACATCCAACTGTCATTTTGACACGGACCCCTGCAGAAGCTCCTGACAATCTAAAGAAAGGCAGGCGCGTCGTGGAATTGAATTTGAAGCTTCGCCAAAAATTGTCTAACCCGATAACTGTCAACCGTCAATTTGCCGATTTCGTTCTTTGCTACACGATCCGTCCACTATTCACCTTCCACCGCTCCGAGCCACTTGCTTCTTGGGTTTACGAATTGACGACTAATTATTTTGACATTCCTTTCCATTCGCTACTTTGATTTAATAATACCCTTGAGAAATCAACCAAATATTTAGTGTGGCCTGCAATAACAAACGGAATACCCACTTTGACCGACTTTGTGACTTTGTGAAAGCGGAAACCCGCGAAATATCCCGGGTTGGAAACGAAACAAAACAAGCCAACATCGCAAAATTCAAACTCCATAAGTTAGGCTACGGATTAGAGGGTAAAGGTTTATAACCAAAATTTAAAAAAAGGGGAGACCGGAGTGGATAGACAAGAACACCAGTTCAGATACCCAAGGAGCCAACGATGACAGACTCTCTACACAACGCACCCATCGTGCTAGACAATGGCTCCGGCACCATCAGAGCGGGCTTCGCAGGGGACGATCTACCGAAATGCTACTTCCCCTCGTTCGTCGGCCGGCCGAAACATCTAAGAGTGCTAGCCGGCGCGTTAGAAGGCGAAGTATTCATCGGCCAAAAAGCGGCGACAGAGCTCAGGGGGCTTTTGAAGATTAGGTATCCTCTAGAACACGGCATAGTCACGGATTGGGATGACATGGAGAAGATATGGGAGTACGTCTATAGTGAAGGCCTGAAAACCATGAGCGAAGAGGTATGTACATGCACACACACACATATATATCTCTATATATACTGTATACAGGCCCCTATTCCATGAAGGAAACGCTAACGTGAATGCGTCTGCTCTTCAGCATCCCGTCCTCCTAACAGAACCCCCGCTCAACCCGCGAGCGAACCGCGACACGGCGGCCCAAATCCTCTTCGAAACCTTCAACGTGCCGGCGCTGTACACCTCCATCCAAGCGGTCCTGTCGCTATACGCGAGCGGGCGCACGACGGGCTGCGTGCTCGACTCGGGCGACGGCGTCTCGCACGCGGTGCCCGTGTACGAGGGTTTCGCGATCCCGTCCTCGATGCGGCGCATCGACGTCGCCGGCCGCGACGTGACCGAGTACATGCAGACGCTGCTGCGCAAGAGCGGCTACGTCTTCCACACCAGCGCCGAGAAGGAAGTCGTGCGCCTGATCAAGGAGTCCGTCTCCTACGTCGCCCTCAACCCCAAGCTCGAGGAGAAGGAGTGGCAGAGCGCCAAGCTCGACCAGGGCAAGGCCGCCGAGTACGTGCTCCCCGACGGCAACCGCCTGCGCGTCGGCCAGGAGCGCTTCCGCGCCCCGGAGATCCTGTTCGATCCCGAGATCATCGGTCTCGAGTACCCCGGTATCCAGCAGATCGTCACGGACTCGATAAACAGGACGGATCTGGATCTGCGGAAGGCGCTCTACGCCAATATCGTCTTGTCTGGTGGTAGTACCCTGACGAAGGGCTTTGGTGACCGCCTGTTGAGCGAAGTCAAGAAGCTTGCTGTCAAGGACATGCGGATCAAGATCTTCGCCCCGCCAGAGCGAAAGTACTCGACTTGGATCGGAGGCAGCATTCTGGCTGGATTAAGCACATTTAGAAAGGTATGTCTTCTGTCTGAGAAGCAAGAGGTAGAAATACTAACTCGGAAGATAGATGTGGGTTAGCATCGACGACTGGCATGAGGATCCCGACATCATCCACAAAAAATTGACATAAGCTTCCCTGTATGTATTAATTTATCGAATGAATACAGGGCAGGCGGAATGTTTCACGAACACACAAACCTGGGGCGGGGAGGAAAGGGGTCAACGAGTTACGAACATTGGTGATCTCTTATCCCAATGTAATAGATACGAGCGTGACGGAATTATACAGAAGCATAGCACGACTCTTATTAGACTTGGTTACCTAGGAGTGACTAAGAAGAGGGATATCCGAGAGTTCGCTACTAGGGGTTCCAAGATATGCAAATGGGGGGAAAGGCGAGGGGTGATGGGGCAGAGGGGAGAGGCCGGCGCCGGGCAGCTTGTGTGTCAGATTATTGGCGGAATACTTAAGTCATCTATGCAGATGAATGATACCCAGGCGTTGAAGATCGCAAATATAAGCATGAGAGATATTTGCGTTGCGTGATCGTGATGATGCAGGTACAAATGATTTCGTATTCGTTTGAACGACGATGCATTGATCCCCTTAGTTGCACGGATAATTATAAGTAGAACATTTATGATATGACAGCACAAGACAATTAATTCATAGGAGACTGAGTACCAAAGTTCGGTTCTTGGTGGCCGTGTTAGACACTGACCACCAATATTTATTCCATTCAAAAGCATGCTATATGCATTTTATAAATCCAATAATTTCTCCAACCAAAATATCGCCGTCGGGGTATAGGTATCATATTCATCAAAAATTCACCAGAAACAAACGCCCGCCGTTGGTGTGTGGGTAATATCTTTCGTTCCGGAGTCTGCCAGCCGGTGGGAAAAGGTGAAGTCGGCAACGCTGTTGGAATATATGCGTTGTGGGTACTGGGTAGGTAGTGTCCATCACCCTCGACTTCTTTTCTCCCGTGAAACCAAACCAAATCATTGAGCTTTCCTGTTTGCTCTGAGGCCCCAAAACTGCTGTTTTTTTATTACCCTTTTCCTGGATCCTTTCGGGATCATGATACCCGATCATACTCGTCGTGAAGTATGATAGTATCCGAGAACTCCGCTACGCCACGCTCGCCTTTGATGAAAAGTAGAGAGAAGTTGGTTGTGGTGAGGTGTGGTGTATGTAGTATGCGATGTGTTGAATATTAGGTCATCGCCATTGATCGCCGTTGAGATGATGATAGGTTACACTGTAGTAACTTAGCGCCGGTGACTTATGCGGCTCCAGATGTTGGACAAGCTACCGGTGCTGCTCGAGCTGTGTTGACTCGAAGCGTCACTACCCTTGCGGACGGTGGTGGGCCCGCTGGCTCCATACACGTTCCCGGCACCGCCCCGGCCGACATAGCCGACAGGCTTCTGCTCGATGTGGCTCTTAGAGGCGAACTCCTCGTCGAACGACATGACGGGCTTCTCGGCTGAGACGTGTGCGTTCCCTGCACCCCCTCGTCCGGAGTGGAAGCGAGTCGAGGTGGTTGACACTGGCGTTGGCCTTGTCGCGACACCAGTGGATGGCGTCGTGGTTGGGGCACGGAAGTAGTTACCAGCACCTCCGCGGCCAGAGTGAGCGTACGAGTTCTTCGGGATGGTAGGGTGAGGCTCCGTGATGGTGAAGTTAGGCATCTTTGCGATTCTCCTGTTTGGCGGTGAGGTTGATAGTAATTTGATAGTAGATGTGGATACAGGGAGTTATATCTTCGTTAGATGGTTGATGATCAAGATCAAGAGTTCCGGTAGAAGAGTGGACTTATAATAGGCAATGGGACGGAGAACTCAGGTTAATATACGTATTTCGATCGCGAGGACCGGGGAGCAACCCCTTTGTCATAGTTACACCACCGCCTCGAGAAAGTTCCAAGTTTGCCTGCACGTGGCGTCCACGGACAGGAACCTGGGAACCTGGGAACAAAGCTGGTCACGATACGTAACTACGTACTCTAATTCTAGAATGAAAAACAATTCCATTTTGGAAAATTTTTCATGGCGTCAGGGAAATGGTAAAAGGTACGCGGTGGACAACAAGCCTGGCAAGCATCGCTCTGAGACGCTAGGCGAAGTTGCCGGCGTAGCTTGTCGCATGGAGATGACAACATGGTCAGGTCGGATTTGTTGTTTTCTCGCCAAAAGAAACTCGGTATATTTTTTAGGCTGGAAAAAACCCATCGCCTTGGCGTCGATGTCGTAAGGCGCCTAGCAGTTAAGGGTAAGTTAAGGCAAGTTAGTGGAATCTGGGGTAACCGCGTGATGGATCCCATTAGCTAGGTATTAGCTAAGAGAAGCTCGTAGAGTCGAAGCGGTTACGAAATCGGGGCTTGGGTAAAGGCATCATGAGACCTGCAGAGGAGTTTTCTGTACATAACCATTACCCCATAGTTTGCTCCCTGGTCGCTAGAGATCGCTAGGGATCGCTGGGCAGGGGTTGTGCAAAATGGGCTCTTGGTGGTGCAATCCATTCTTACTTTCTGCTTTCGGACAAAGCTGAACGGCAAATATCCATCTCGGATTGGTAGGGACATGCCATACATAGAAGCTGCCGGTGTATTTCACTGCAGGTACGAAGTCGTTGATCGAAGAGCCGCTGCAATCCGCGAACCAATGGATTCGCCAGCCACTGAGCTCAATGGGAGACCGAATCTCGCCATACGCCCATATGCCGATTTTGCCTTGTCGAGCATGTCCAGCCAAACCAACCAATGCTGACTACAATTGTCCATCAGGCGTTCCCGAGTGGCACTGTAGTGCATGTGATGATATGAGCATCTCCGAGCGAGTGAAGAACAACAGCGATTTTGGTCATCTTTCAGAATACCTACCAATAGCTGTTCCATTCGGCCTGGAATTGGAGAGAACCGGCGAAAGAATTTGATAGTGTCCGGGACTATGGCTAATGAAGTTTTTTCCTAGCTAATTGCTCACCTATGCGATCCACATTTTATGGGCATGACCCCAAAATAAGAAAAAGAGGTTTACAACGAGATGTCGGCTTATCCGAATAAGATCGCACTTGTTGATCGGGCTATTTACAATCGGGGCGCGGAGTTGAACTTCACATACATAATTGCATCTCAAGCGTCATTCTAAAAGCCATCATGACCAGGTACAGAACGTTACCCCGTAAGCCAATGCGAAGGCTCCGCTGTTACAAGGTAATCCGTGACCAGCTGACCGATGAAGGAAAAATAGCGTCGGAGAATAAACCAGGAAAAAAAGATCGTGACGTGAAAATTTGGAGTTTAGTATTTTTTTTTAATTCGCCTTAACCTCCACTATTTAGTTATCGCGGAGTATGACTCCGAATATGTGTCTATCGAGGTTCTTAGCGCCTATTTTATTCCTTTTCTTTTCTTCAGCAACTTTCAAGATTCATTCTTTACATTCTTAGATTTGCTTCAAGTTTTATTTCCCCTTCAACTTTGGTGATTTTGACGCCATAGCCGAGTAGCGGTTACATTACAACATTGCATCGTTTATTGACATGAGACTGTCAACGTGGTATTCCATGCATCGGACCTAAGCAATCACTATGTACATATTCATAATATTAAACGTGGGATAACGACATTATCTTGCCCTAGTTCCCGGATATCCTACAATGCTAGAGTAAAAGCTTGCTATAACGAAAATCCAACCACCAATTCTTTCAATGAGAAGGGTTCAGTTATATTCAACCTAGAGGAGAACCTCTTGTTAAGATTTCGTAACTTTTCGTATCACATCAGTCGCGAAATCAGTCTTCGAATATGGATGTCATTTACCCTATGCCTTTTCCCTGAGGCCTTTCTTGTCAATATACCAATGTTTTACGAATCCCCAAATTCCTCCGAAACACTCCGCCGAGAATGACTTGTACTTAAGCATCTATATCAACGGACTCTTTTCATACGATTTATATTTTTCGCTATCTATTATTTAACTATTCATGTTGACCACTCTACCAAAATTAGGTATCCTCTCTACATAGTGATGAGATGTAGCAACGAAAATTCGTTTTGTTTCAATTTTAAATCTTAACTGCTATGTGGTGTCACCACGTAAGCGCTGCAGTATTTCGTCAGGAACAGGCGTCTCAAGTGCTTCACGCTAAACAGGCCCTTCTTACATGAATACATACTAACAAGAACGATGGAATCAATTCATAAAGCTGCCATCCTTGAGCAATCTAGTGGGACACACAGAGTTGGGATCTTGGCAGATTCCGTTCCTCATACGGCTTTCTATTCAGCCAGCACGTTCTATCCGGAGCACCACCTCACTCCTGATCGACATGCTGCACCAAGAAGTTCGCGAAACATGAAGCTTGACGTCAATTGACGCCAGTGGGAAATATTTGACTGGCCGCCTTATCTGCAGCAATATCGTCGTAGCAATACTCTACCGGCCTACCAATAATTTGGCAGCGTTATACTAATCAAAAGCTTGATCAAAAAAAATATATGCATGTAAGACCGGGCTTGGTGTCCAGCCAATGATGCTCGAACACACGCATCACCGTTACGCCCTGAACCCGAGTGATAATTATTTTGATCGAAAGATACATCCATTTAGTACCTTCAAATCAAGCCCAGGACCAGGAGTTACTGTTCAAAGTATCCCTTAATCACCATGATGATCAAGTATGCCCTCTTCAGACTTATAGCCCTGTTTGGACCGAATCAATTGGGTATTCATAAGTAACAATTAAAAAGCTAGCCAATAAAATATACTGAGTTACATGTGCTGCCATAGTCTGCTCGAACTGACATCAAGCAGACTGATAGATCCCATAAATCCCATTTTAGAATACAGGTGTTGGTGAAGATGTTTGTCTCCCGTGAATTAGTTACGACTCGAGTAGTACTGAGTAGGTCTCCTATTCAATCGAATTGACATAATGGCGACCATCTGGTATTGTGTAAGTCCTACCCATGGAGTAGTTCTTTGTGTTTTCTTACGATTGCTCACTTTTTTTTAGTGCGCATGTTCGCCATACAACGGATGTGGAGGAATATCATCGGAGCTTCATCCAGCTTGCATCACATGTGGAGAGATCAGATGTTCTGGATGTGTGGAAGAAGCTGCGTTTGGTAGAGAGGCGGAGGAAGAGGGTTCTTTATACCCATGGCCTGAGGAAAATGGGATGGTTATTAATGATGAGGCTCTGATTCGAGACAACCATGAGCATGAGGCTCTGCGAGAAACGAGTCAACCATTCACCGACGGAGCCTCATCGTTACAAGGAGGCTTTAGTGTGGACCCACTGGATTGGAGTTACCCGGCTACTGCCATGGAGAGCCCAACAACTATCCTTGAGTTGACTTCCAACTATAGGCATAGAGAAACGGAACGAATTAGTGGGGTCGAGTCGGAAACCGACTGGCCGAGTCAGCTTTGTGAGGATGGAGAAAGGACACCCCGTAGTGGCCCGGATGATAATGATCCATTCGACTCAGTTGACAAGGATGTAGACGTCCTCTTCTCCCACGAACTGGAGCTGTCCCTGGACTGCTTTCCTTACCAGGAATATCAAAATGGACAATTGCCACCAGATACAAACAACACAGAGACTTTTAATATTGATGAAATCGACCAATTCGACTTCAATCTGGCAATAGATCATGACGGTGCAAACATTATCGAGCCGCAGCATTATTGGGAGGAGTCCAGTAGTGTGAATGCCCCTACGATTCCACGTCCTCCCGAGCCTCCCACTTTGTGGCCCATCGACGCCATTCAACCAGCGTGCAACGTACCTTACCAATCATCATCGATTGCACCGTCAACACTTCGAAATGAAACATCACCACTAGATTCCCTTTCTCCAAGTCCCCCGTCTCACAGGGGTACGGACCAACCCCGTATTGCTAGAAAAGGCAAAGTTTCTCAAGCTATTAGAATCTGCGAGTCTTGCTCTTCGGCACCGGAACATTATGGCAAACCATTTGCTTGCCTCTTCTACAAGCTCAATCCAAAGAAATACTTCACATGCAACAACAAGGATTTCACGAGTATTGGTCATGTGCGGCAACACATTAGAAAAGATCACTGCAAATATTGCTGGGCGGCTTTTAATGATGAGAGATCATCAAAAACACATGCGGAGTGCCAACCAATGGATGGAAAACCCGTCATTGATTTGGCGCCAATGTGCAAGGCCCAAATTGATCCTAACATGAAGTGGTATTGGACCTGGAAACAATTGTTTGGAGAAAGTGTCCCCTTACCGCAGTGCCCCTATTCACATCCCTGTCTGGACCTGGAAATTTACATTCTTAATAACCACCGAGACGCCGAACTGAGCGATTTGACAGGCGCCGGCGACGCAGGATCAATTGATTGTTGATTTATAGCTACTATATAGCTCACATTATTGTAGAAATATAGCTTACATAGGTACTTGCGATAATTTAGATTTATCTAAGATGGAGTGTACATGGCAGGAAGGTGCGATTAATACTGTACTAGTATTTAAGTTCTCCACAATGAGATCCAAGGTCTGAGAGAACTAAAACAATACAACATCTTATCCCCTCTAATTCTTTTCTATCTATTCGCTATTAAATCTGGCTGTAGACTTGTAACCTACGTGCTTAACTTTAATGGACTATGATTCCAGCTCCGCCATTCAACCCCATATCAACGAAGATTATTTTCAATCAAGCCCCTCGTGGATGAGAAAGAGGGAAAAAAAATATAATCATTAATAAATGGGTACTGATTTTGAGCTTCTTAAGTTTGGACGAGCAGGGAGTTGAACCCTGGACTTCTCGCATTTCAGTATCGGAAAGATGCGAAGCGAGCACTCTACCACTGAGTTACACGCCCTTGGATCGAATATACCCAGTCTGATTGGTCAGAGCTTTCCGCTACACCCAGTTATGTGCACTAAGCCGAGTGCACACTGGATAACCACATGCAGTCTACCTACTACTATACTAACTAAGTAGTTCCTAGCTCTTGCCTAATCTTTATCAGGATTCTTTTTTTGGTCTAGAAAGAAGGATGACCGGTAGGTATCTGGAAAACCACCACAGCCGACTACCCACTAATTCTATATTACAATAGGTTGTTCTCAAGGATAAGAGAATAGGTAAGTTTGCCCGCTATCCAGTACCCATAGGTACGTAGGTGAAAAAGTTGCTCTAAAACCCAAAGGCTCTTCCATTTTCCTATACAGAATCGTGCATTGAGATAGAATTCACCATTGATGTTGTCCTATCCCCTTAGTGGACGGCATTGATAGCCCTGGAGGTACACACTAATCACCTACGACAGTCCCATGGCAGGTCCTCGGATAAAACTATCAATTGAAAATAACATGGCTAAGTCTTGTGAACTGACTTCGATTCTGGTACTATGCCGTTCCCGATGAGTGGTGCCGGAAACGTCACGTTTCTTTGTCTCCTCCAATTCGGAATGGGTTTGTTGTCATCAATGCGCTTTCCCTACTCAATATTCGAGAAAAGGACAAACAGTAGTTAGCGCATATTTCATTCTAGGGTTTGGTTCTCGTATTTATGCCGGCGTTATGAGACAGCCACTTAATTCCTTTGCTTCATCCCGACGCATCTCTGACTAGTACCAACAAAATAACAATACTAGGTACTCTATCAAAGCCGATAATCTCCTATCATACAACAGCACTATACCTACAAACCTAGCAAAAGAATAAAACCACGATGCAAAAGCGTAGGCGGTCTTCCGACGCCTCTTTCGGCGAGGAAGCCCTGACAGAAGCCGAGGAGCAGATGATCACAGACAAGCACGCGGAGATCAACCTCGTGGGGGCCATGATGGAGCGGGCGCGGCAGGACACGGCGGAGGCGTACGACTGGGCCGGCGCGATCGTGAGCGGCAGGTTCCCCGACGGCACGCCCATCAACTACGGGCCGTACTTCCTCGACGGCTTGAGGGGGGTGATCGACGCCGCGTGGGCGTCCATCGACCGCGCCCAGGCGCACCTGACGACGATTGAGATTTTCCCTATTCCAGACGCCGCGAGGCTCGGGCCCCCGTTCCCGGGCGTGCCGGCGCTTGTGGGGACGTACCGCGCCCAGCTCGATAATATGGGCAGGCAGCTCAATGAGTGGAGCGCCGTGTATGATGGCGGGCGAGGGCGCGCGCTTAGGAAGGACGCTGATGGCGATGTTGTTTTGGCGGATGCGGATGATGATGATGATGATGGACAAGGTGCTGGAGGTGACGGGAATGACGAGGATCAAGGGGGTGATGGAGGAGATGGGGGAGATGGGGATGGAGGAGACGGAGCAGGAGGACCAGCCGATGTCGGAGATGTTGTAGACGGAGATGGAGATGGAGGTGACGGGGACGGTGGCGGTGGCGGAGATGGGGATGGGGATGGAGATGGGGGTGGAGGTGGAGGTGGGGGTGGGGTGGATGAATCATCGCCCTTGTCACCTTTGTCGAGCTCGGTAAGTGGGAGCGACGATGGAAGGGGAGCTGGAAGGGGAGCTGGAAGGAGAGCTGGAGGTGGAGCCGGAGGAGGAGACGGAGGAGGAGACGGAGGTGGGGACGGAGGTGGGGACGGAGATGGGGGGGACGGAGGGGACGGGTGGGACGGGGGAGACGGGGGAGACGGGGGAGACGGGGGAGACGGGGGAGATGGTGGAGATGGGGGAGATGGGGGAGATGGAGATGGAGGTGGAGGGGGTGGAGGAGATGGAGGAGATGGAGGAGATGGTGGAGACGGAGGCGGAGATGATGATGACGGCGGTGGAGACGATGGAGATGGAGACGGAGACGGAGGAGACGGAGAAGAAGAGGAGGCAGAAGAAGAAGAAGAAGAAGAAGAAGAAGAAGAAGAAGAAGAAGAAGGAGAAGGAGAAGAAGAAGGAGAAGAAGAAGAGGAGGAAGAAGACGACGAGTCTGATGAGGGTCCTCCAGCTTGGAGCCGCCCTGGGAACCCCGGTCGCTATGCCCGTCACTATAGGCTCGTAAAGAAGGGCGGAGGCTTCGCCCGAGTATTACCACGGTTTCGAAGGAATTGAAGCTGGCGCAGAACAGCATAAAATGTTGATGTAATATTGTTTCGAAAGTTCATAAATTCACGTATAGAAGGAGGGCTAACGCCAGTATGTGTAAGACCATGTATACTTCTAGGATGGCGTATGATTTAGGAATGTCATCTTTGTCATCTTTTTAACCTAAATCATGGCTAAATGAAACAGAAGAGCGATGGTTCTTAAGGTAATCGACGTATAATATTCATCCGTAATTTTTAACAACTAGTATATCAATATTGCCGCAAAAGGCGGCGGCTCTCATATCTATGAGTAGGTAGTTATTCTCTAATACTTACCTCTGTATGCTTACCAGGTAGGTACTATTATTTGACGTAATAGAGACCTAGATGGGGTTCTCTTATGATAAACCCTACTCAAGTGCTTTATAATTGGTTTAGATTAACGAAATCGGATACCGAGCCTAGAGCGGCGAGGCTAAAAATGAACCTAAGAAAAAAAATTCACAACTCCTGGCAGTAAGGGGTAGAAATGGCCGCGTAGTGTAGTGGTTAGGTATGTGGTATCACCATGAGAGATTTCCTCCTGCGACTAATCTGCTAACAATTAACCAGCACGCAGGATTTGTAAGTCCCTTTCAAGCTCTACTTCAGGGCTTCTTCCTAACAATTCCTAGTGATGTTAATCAAAATTTCCTGAGACCTGAGTTCAATCCTCGGCGGGGCCTCTTCTCAATTTTCTTTTTCTTTTTTTTTTTTTCGCTTTTCTTCTGTCATATTAGTGGAGTATACGGTTCAAAGCACGTACGATGTTGTTGTCATAAATCACCAGGCGCATATTCCTCGTAATATTTATTTTACGCAGTCGATAAACCTCGAATACTTATTGCGGGTCAAGGCCTAAATGAGTTAATTGCATCATGTGACTTGGTGTTTTCTCACGCGCGTCTTACCTAATCAAGAGTGGAGAATTCCTAGGTACATGTGCCCTGTACCCGGTATTCGATGTTACCTACTCCTCCCACTTCGACCATATTACCAATTTACCAATTACAACATCGCCTCATCGACACTTCTTCAATCTGCAGTACGCTTGCTCCTCGTGATATGCCGCATACCGGAGCAACTACGCGAAACTCCATGATATAACCATTTAATTTTGCATCCCACCCGCGATGCCAGCGTATGTCTCAACTCCGATCCTGCAATCCTCCAACGCGTCTAAGCTGACACTATTATCATGACCAGTCCCGGCGAACAGCATAACGGCATTGCCAATCCTTTCGAGGAGGCCAGACCTCACATCTCCGAATTCACTGCTACTCAGATTGCTACCCTGCAATCGCGTCTAGAAAAGCAATTAGGTCCTGAATATCTCTCCGCACGCAGCGGTCCGTCAGGCCAAAAAGTTCATTATATCGCCGCCGAGAAATGCATCAATCTCGCGAACGAGGTCTTCGGCTTCAACGGATGGTCTTCTAGCATCCAGAACATTCAAGTCGATTTTGTCGACGAGAACCCGCAGACTTTCAAGATCTCTCTCGGCTTGTCTGTCATCATTCGCGTAACGCTACGAGATGGCACCTATCACGAGGATATCGGGTACGGACACATCGAGAACTGCAAGGGAAAGGCCGCCGCATTCGAGAAGGCGAAAAAGGAAGGGACTACGGATGCGCTGAAGCGTGCTTTGCGGAACTTTGGCAACGTCCTTGGCAACTGTATCTACGACAAGGATTATCTCTCCAAGGTTACCAAGATGAAGGTTGGGCCCGTCAAGTTCGACGAGGACAACCTCCACCGTCATTCTGATTTCGCGAAGAAGACCCCAGACGTTGTCAAGGTTGAGCCAAAGGAGATTATGAATAAGAGTGCGGGTCCTAGCGCTGGTGCTGGTGCTGGGACCGGTACTGAAAAGATGACCGCGCATGGTGGGTTCGACTCCGATGACATCGACTGGGCGGATGCTGATATTATGAACTTGTAGTATCGGATTTGCTTGACGAGGACTTTGGAGATTTTGATATGGTTGATTTTGGCGTTACGGACGAGGGTCACCCCGACGAGGTCATACTACCAGCTTCACATGGAACGAGTTCAAGTGAAAAGTCCCAAACTTTACCAGTTGGCAATAGCAGTGATCGCAATACTTCATCTACATCTACATATACATCTGCAAACAGTGCTCCGAAGCAAATGCAGCCACCCCCGCGGCCAATGGCCCAACCTCCTAGGCAACCTCAAACCCCAAATCAGCAAACACCACAGCGACCAGGCGCCTCTTTTCAGGGCCGGCCGAATCCGCAGCAATATCCAAGACCCCTTAGCCACGCTAACAACGCCGCCCAACACGCCGCAGCAAACAACAGAACAAACACGCCACCTCCCCAACCCAGAGCAGCGCCAACAGAGCAGGTCGGGTTCTTCTCAGCCCGATCGATTAAAAAGCTGCCCGAAAGCGCCACTCCAGACGCTCCCATCATCCCTGTGCAGGGCGCCAAGCCGTTCGATCCTCATCTGGACAGTCCCTCGATCCGGAAAACACCCGGCATCGACCACAGCTCCTCCAAGCCGCTTAGCAAAGACGGCAAGCACGTTCCCCCCACCAAGAGAGACCCCGAGCCGCAGCGCGGCCCAGGCCCAGCTAACGGACCGGTCGGCAATAGCTTCTCGAACGCAGTCGGACTAGGCCCCGGTAGACCAAGCACGAGTGGTGTCGGTAATCCCGCGTTGAACCAGGCCAGACAGATCGGTGCCCCGGGAGGCGTGGGAAGTCCGATGGGAAATAGGGGCCAGTATCGGCCCTTGACGGTGAAGCGGCCGGCTCCTACGGGGGGCGAATCTGGGAATAGGACGCCATTGACGGAAGTGTCGACAAATGGTCCTCAAAGTATAGGCGGAGGTGGTGGAGAAACTGATCCTAAGAGACAGAAAGTCTCTTAATTCGCATAGGTGTGGCTAAAATCGCTTCTGCAACTGAACTGGCACGGGTATGGTATAGGCAAGAGACGGATTCTTTCTCGGTGGAAAATGTTCGGCGTTGGGAGTGTTGCTGTTAGCTCTGTTGATACCATGTCGACTTCTATGATCCTGAGACGCGCAACGGAAACCGATAGTGGCATAGCCTAGCTAATGGACCTGATCGGAGTTCAATGAAACGATATTTTAACCCTATCATTGCCTTATTTCGATGTAATGGGGCCTGGGAGAGTATCTTGGCCAGTTTGATGTGATACAAGAAGTCAAAGTTCTAGTAATGTTCATTCAAGTCTTCCAACATTTATCAAGCTTCTGTACGGGATTTCACCAACTACCTAGCCATCTTAATATCTTCCCAGAGCAAAGTACAAAACCCCCGTCAAATCCAGGCGAGTAAATTCATTGCCATATTAACCGAGTACTTCACGCTAAATGACTCAAGATGGTAGAATGTGACGGTGAAGCCGACAACTTCCACAAACAAGGTATAAGACACAAGGAAAAACCTGAAAGAATGAATGAATTATCGTCGCGCGTAATATTTTATCTCCAGTAGGTTAACTATTCGAGCCGAAAGAGTAAGGACCGGGAAGGAAAAGTGTCCGATTGGCATCCTAGCGGTCCTCCACCCTCGATCCTCGATCCTTCAAACATTTCGAGTCTCAGCGCTAGGATCTCGTGACTCACCGCACTGGCTGGTATAAAATCGAAGAGGTTGACGACACCTCGACTTGTATAAAATCGTAAAAAAAAATCATTCCCTCTAATCAATTTCAAAGCCTTTTTTAACAATAATTATTGAATTATAAGATCATACATACCGGATACATAGAACTGCTTAATTCAACAACCATGACAGATAATAAGCCCACGCTCCACCACCTAGAGGTTAGTCTCACTTACACTTACACATACACTTACACGCGATCCAAGCGTAAACCCCATTCTCTTGTCCACTAACTCGCGAGAAAAACACAGAACTCACAATCTCATATCACGCTATGGCTCCTAGAGGAACTAGGCATAGAGTACAACCTAGTGAAGCACGCGCGCATCAAGAACCGGGCGCCCCCGGCGCTGTTCGCGGTGCACCCGATCGGGAAGTCGCCGACGCTCGTCACGCCTTCGGGCCGCGTGCTCACGGAGCGGTCCGCCATCGCGCTGTGGCTCATCAGCACTTACGACGAGGGCGCCAAGTTCAGGTTACCTACCCCTACCCCGAGCAAGACCGGGAGTGAAGACGACGCGGTACGCGAGGACCAGCTCATCTCCATAGGCGGCGCCACGCTGTGCCCCATGCTGACGCTGAAGCTCGTCTTCGCCCTCACCGTCAAGCAGACGCCGTTCCCGCTGCGCCCGCTGCCCGCGCTGATCGCGTACTTCGTCAACCGCGTGTTCCTCGACGCGGAGCTGCGCAAGCTGTTCGGGTACCTGGACGCGCAGCTCGCGCTTCCGGACGGCAAGGGCGAGGGGGAGAGGATGTGGTTCCTGGGCACCGAGGAGCCGACGCGCACGGATTTCTCGCTGATGTGGTATGTCGATTGGGCGGTCCAGTGGGGGTGGATCGATATGGAGAAGTACCCCCGCTTGAAGGCGTTCCATGAGAGGTGTACGGCGCGGCCGGCGTGGAAGAGGGCGCTGGAGAAGGGGAATGGGTATAATGTTGCGTTTTAGTGATAAGGTGTTGTTATGCCCTAAGTTTACGAAGGGTTATTATGTCGTGATTTTTTTTCTTTCTTTTAAGTTATTTCAGTGAACTTAAACCAAAGCCCCGCTTTTGCTTTATACCTTTTTAACCACATTAATTTTTAATTAATTAAATGCATTTATTCGGGAAAATATAAAAACGAAAATTTTAATTTAAAATAATTTAATTATTTTTTTTTTTATATTATTTAATAAAAATTAAAAATTAAAATAATTTTATTAATTATATAAATTTATAATTTAATAAAATTTTATTTAATTAATTATAATTTTACGTATTTAATAAATTTATTTTTAATTTTTTAAAATATTTTATTTTTTTTTATATATAATTATAAATATTTTATTATAATTATTAATTTTTTTATTATTTTTTTTATTATTTTTTTATAATTATTTTAATTATTTTATAATATAATTTTATTAAATTTTATATTTAAATTATTTAGTTTTTTTAATATTATTTTTATTATTTTTTTTAATAAAAAAATAAAAAATAAAAATAATTTCGAAATATTTATAAAAAATAATAATTAATATAAAAAATTTTTTATTAATATATAAAAATTTTAATAATTTTTTAAAAATTATAATTATTTTTTTAAATAATTTTTTAAAAATTAAATATTATTATAAATAATAAATAATAAATAAATAAAATTAAAAATTTATTTAATATATAAAGAGTAATGTTAGCCGCGCAGTATGATATTACTTATCTCCGGCGCGCAGTAGCGCTAAAAAAGCGCGTCCGAAAGAGGTATAGGTCGGGTACTTTTGCTGCCATACAAACCGTCATACAATTAGTTGTACCTTTGTAACCACTAGAAACAACTATTTCTCAGCCAACTTCAATTGATTATTCCTTGCTCAACTCATGCCCAAATCTCTTATAATTACAATAATTTAAAAGCACTCAATCCATTCTATATTAAGTCCAATTTGCAGGACCTAAAACAAAGGTGTCAAGGAGATATTGCAAGATCAAAATGGAGCAGTGGTTGAATCGCGGTCGCAAGACTTGGAAGTGCTTCAATCCGACGAATCTTTTGAACCTTGAATATCTCAACCATTTGAAGGAGGCAATCTTCAATATTTGAGCCATAGAGTCTCCGAATTAAGAGCTTTTAGACTTTTGTAATTGCAAAAGGTTTGGACTTGAATTGGGCGTGGAACAATTGATCAAACGTAGGTATAGCGTTAGAGGGTGTTCTACACACCGTTCGAACGCGCTAGCGCCATTTTAGCGGTACTGCGCGCCGGAAATAAGCCACCCCATACTGCGCGGCTAGCATTGCTCTTAATAAAAACCATTTATTAATATTATAAATTATTTAATTTTTTTATTTAATATAATAATATATTTAAATTATAAAATTTTTTTAAAAATTAAAGTTTTTAATTTAAAAATATTTAAATATATAATTTAAAAGTTTTTTTATTAATATAATATATAAAATTTATTAATAATTATAAATATTATTTTTTAATTAAAATTAATTATATAAAATAATTATAAAAATTTTTATTAAATAATTTATTTAAAATTAAAAATAATATAAATATTATTAATAAAGTTTAAATAATGTATTAATAACGTGTATAAAATATATATTAATTAAATTAATTATATATAAAATTAAAATTATATTACGTAAACGGTGGGAATAAATTAAAATAATTTACTTTAAATCGCACGGGCTATAAAACTTTAGCCCGTTAATCGGGACCACGTGTTATAATCTTAATAAATATATATTTTTTTTAATTAAATTAAATTATATAATATTATTTTATTAATTAATAAATAATTATTTATATATAAATAAAATTTATTAATTTTTTTAATTTTATTAATTATTAAAAATAAACGAATTTTAAATATTTTAATAATATTATTAAATTAATTTTAATTTAATTATTTTAATAAATATAATTATATTATTATTTTATTTTATATAATAATAAATATAATTTAAAAAATTATATTTTTATTATATTTAATTTAAATTATAAATATTATATTTTTATAATAAAATATTATATATTAAATTAATTTTATTTAATTTATTTTTAATTTAAGTTTTAAAATATTTTAATATAATAATAATTTAAAAAAACATTAATTATTATATAAAATTTTAAATATAAATTAATTAATTAAATTATTTAATATATTAAATTTTATTATTAAAAAAAAATATTTAAATATAAAATTATTAAATAATTATTTATTTTTTAAATTTAAAATTAATTTATTTATTAATTATAATATTATTATAAAATAATAAATAATAATCGAATAAATAATATATAATTTTTTTTATATTAAAATTTAATATTTAATAAAAATATTATTAAATAATATTTTAATATAATAAAAAAATTAAAAAATTATTTTATTAACTTTAAAATATAATTTTATAATCCGTCCGAAAGACATATTACGCCCAAACTTTTTTCAATTACGTAATTAATTAGTAAGCGCTTACGTAAATAAATCTTATTTAATTGATAAGTAATTGATAAGCTGATAAGGAATTGTCACACGCGTCAATCGGCTTATTGATCGCGCTAGAAGGCTAGCGCCTTGGCACACACCTTAAATTCGTCCGCGCATTTGATTGGGTGCATCTCTTTAGTAAGCTTAGTCATCAGGTCCAGGGACCAAGGGACTGGCTCACTGACTGTTCAACCTATTATTGACTTGACGTTGAACTGACTTAAGGACTGATTATTCAACTGACTTAGGGACCGGCTTACTGACTGTTGAACTGACCGTTTACCTGACTTTAAACTGACTTAAGGACTGACTTTTCGACTGACTTAGGGACTGCCATATTGACTGTTCAACTTACTGTTGAACTGACTGTTTACCTGACTTAAGGACCGACTTTTCGACTGGCCTAGGGACTGACTTTTGACCTGACTTAAGGACTGGCTGACTGACTGTCCAACTAACCTTTGAACTGACTAAGGGATTGTTCAAGGGACTGTTGAACTGACTTTTGAACTGACTTAGGGACTGCCATATTGACTGTTCAACTTACTGTTTACCTGACTTTAAACTGATTTAAGGACTGACTTTTCGACTGACCTAGGGACTGACTTTTGACCTGACTTAAGGACTGGCTAACTGATTATTCAACTGACCTTAGACCTGACTTAGAAGACTAAGGTTAGGGTGGTTAGGGTGGTTAGGGTTAGTTAGGATTAGGGTTAGTTCCGGGGGTTTGGGGGGCGGTGGGAGCCCCCCATTTGGTATATGTTTTGATTATTTAGGGACTGGTTGACTGACTGTTGAACTGACTTTGGGACTGATTATTCAACTGACTGTTCAACTGACCTGGGGACTGATTTAGGGACCTATTTAGTAACAGGTTTTAGACCTGACTTAAGGACTGGCTTATAGACTGTCCAACAGACTGTTGAACTTACTTAGGGACTGACTTAAGGACTGATTTAGGGACTGGTTGATTGACTGTTCAACTAACCTTTGAACTGACTTAGGGACTAATTAAACTGATTTTGAACTGACTTTGGGACTGTTCTAAGGACTGTTAAACTGACTGTTGGACTGACTGTCCAACTGACCTTTGACCTGATTTAAGGACAGGTTCGAAGAACCTGTTCAAGGCAAGGGATTTGAAGTCCTTCGGACGGATACTGCCTTTTTTTCCAACCCCCTTTAAGCCCTGCCTCCCAAGTATACTGCCTTCTGCGAAGAAAAATTTTTCTGGCCTTTTTTTTTATTTTTGAAGTCCCCATAGCTTTGGGAGGGCAAAAAATCCCATAGCTTGCGAAGGGCCATTTTTCCCGGACATTGCGGAGGGCCGTACTTTAAAAATAAAAAAAAAGGCTAGAAAAATTTTATTAATTATTCCTTAAATTAAATTCTTTATAAATGTTTAAATATATTATATTATTTAATTTTATTACGGCTTAACATTAATAAAAAAATTTATATTTTTATTTAAAAATAATTATAATTATAAAGAAAATTCCGTTAATAATTAAATTAATAAAAAAATATTTTTATAATAAAACTTATTTTTTTCTTTTATTAAAATTAAATATAATTTTTTATTTTTTATATATATATTTTTATTATTTTAAATATTCGTAACTTTAATTAATTTATTTAAATTAATTTAAATTAACATTACATTAATTTTTATATTAAATATTAATAAATAAAAAGTTTAATTAATATTAAATAATTTTATTCGTTATATAATAATATATAATAAATAATTATAATATATAAATTTATATTTAATTTAATTTTATTTAATATTTTTTTATAATAAATTTTATTTTTTTAAAAATAATTTCATTTATAATAAATTTTTTTAAATATATATAAAAAAATTATTAATTTATATTGCCGGGGATTTATAAAAAAAACCTTAACTTAAATTATAATATTATTTATAAATAATTAATAAAATAAAATTATATAATTTATTTTTTTTATTATTATTTTTTTTTATTTTTTTATTATTAATAAATATAAAAATAAAGAAAAACGTAAAAGGTTTATTAATTTATTAATTTTATAACTTACTTTAAATTTATCGTATATTACATTTTTTACATTTTTTATTATATATTATAGTTTTAACATTTTTTAATATATATAATTTTATTTTATTTTTATTAATAATAAGTAAAATAAATTTAATTTAAATAAATAAAATAATAACGTTTTAATTTTCGTTAATAATATTTATATATAAATGATAAATAAATAATATATTATTAAAAAAAATATATTAAAAATATTATAATAAATAATTTAATATATAATCGGAAAAAAAATATAATAATTATATAATTAAATATATATATTTATAAATATTATATTAATAAATATAAAATAAAAGTAACATTTATAATAATTAAATAAAATAATTATTATAAGTTTAATTTAAGTTTAATTAAAATTTATTTTTACGCGTGTTATATAAAATAAATTAATATTTTAATTTTTATTTTAAAACGGGATATTATTTTATAAAAATAATTTATTATTAATATTATATAATAATATTAATTTAATTAAAAAATAACTTTTAAATAAAATTA